AGGAAAAAGAGCGGGCTGCACGGCCAGCGGTGGCTGAACTAACTCTAACCGCCTAAGCAGCAAGGCGGCCGAAAAAGTCTTTAATTTTTTTTTTTCCTTTTCCTTCCAAGGCCCGGTTGGAGTCCAAGGCTATTGGGCCACAAAGGTGGCTCGGCACCGCCACTGCTGCACCGCCCTTGGGCCGTGACCCGGACACTAACAGACCTACACCGGGTCTGCGCGCAAATCGTGATAGCGGCGAATGAACTGGCACTTACGGCCCAAAGGTGACATGTTGCCATCCCAGGCCCTTCTCCATGTCATTCTCTCGTCTTCGGTGATCGCCTGGGCCGAGAAATGGCGGCGCTGGAGCATAGACAAGCCAAAACAGCCAGAGCACCACTCACTGCCGAGATGTATACGAAGTACATACATGGGTTTCTCACTTTCTCACGGGATGCACCGTGATGTCCTTCCCAGGTACATACATACCTAGGCATGGAAGGATGGCCAATGATGGCCTAAGTTCGGCGGCAGGATGCGATTCGTGATTGGAGGTTAGGCCACTGATAAGTGATGGGCTTGTGCATATCAACCCCGATTCTCTACCTAGGTACCTAACGATGCCGCCAGCACCAAGCCATGATGGTTATCCTTGGGTGCGAATTTGGCAGTATGGAGATACGTTGAGGACCGAAAGGTAGTTAGTAGGTAACAGATCTGTTTTCCAGATGCTACACTCTCTACTGCTCAATACATGGATAGAGCCGGACTTGTAGATGTGCAGTAGCATTCTGTATGGAGCACCGTCTCGTAGCGTCGTCCCTTCAGCCAAAGGCGTCTGGAAGCCGTCGATTCGATGGGCATGCCACGGATCTGTCATAGCACCCCACGGTGGGGTTTCTGGCGACATCGGAGAATCTCGCTCCCAGTTTTGCGCGTGGTGACTCAAGAGGCTTGCTATAGAACAGTATTTTAATTCTGCAACTTAGCTGGAAGTTTTTTTTTTTTTTTCTTTTGGCTTTGACAAAATCAACAGACTCTTGTTTTCCCTTAGATTCCTGCTTCAGCCTTGAATTTATAGACGCAATTTTGTCTTAATCAACGTCTTTTCTGTAAGGAAATCTCTATACGCCGATTGGTTTTTTTTTTTTCTACTCCATGTCAATTGCCCCTCCTCGTCTCTGCACTTGATCGGCATATCGTCATTAGTTCAGAGACATTCCCCTCCACCCCTCTATACCAACGTTGCACAGCCGTCCCTTGCATTGATCAATTGAACATCATATATCTTGTTACTAACACGGAGCGCTCTTCAGTCTAGACCAATTTTCAACGTCCTTCATCCTCTTCAGAAAAAATGTCTGAATATCCCGCCCTTCTCTTGCGAGCGGAGCAGAAGCCCCTCGAGCACCGGTCTTTCTCTCCCGCTGTCATCAAGTCTCTGATTGAGGCCGGCTACCCCGTCTCAGTTGAGCGCTCCTCTACCAATCCCGACTTCAAGCGGATATTCGAGGACTCAGAATATGAGGCTGCCGGAGCCAAGCTTGTCGAATCCGGCGTCTGGCCAAATGCCCCTCAAGGAACCATCGTGCTTGGTCTCAAGGAGCTCCCCGAAGAAAACTTCCCTCTCAAGAACGACTTCATCCACTTCGCACACTGCTACAAGGGCCAGAAGGGCCACCAGGAGGTTCTCAGCCGATTCCCCCGCGGCGGCTCTATCTTGTATGACCTCGAGTTTTTAGTGGACGAGGTCGGAAGACGTGTCAGCGCATTCGGCTACCACGCTGGCTTTACCGGCGCTGCTCTCGGTGTCAAGACTTGGGCTTGGCAGCTTGCCCACCCTGGCGAGAAGCTTCCTTCTGTCGCCACATTCACCGACGGCCGAGGATACTACATGAACGAGGATGAGCTCGTTGAGCAAATTCGCAAGGATCTTGCTGAAGGCGAGAAGAAGCTCGGACGTAAGCCTACTGCGTTTGTCCTGGGTGCCCTTGGTCGATGTGGTACCGGTGCCTGTGACCTGTTCCTCAAGGCTGGTCTTCCCGAGGAGAACCTCACTCGCTGGGATCTCGCTGAGACCAAGGACCGTAACGGTCCTTACAAGGAGTAAGTTTTCTGTTGCTCTTTTCACGGTAATAGCCAGTACTTGAGATCATAACTAATCGTCTCTGTTTTTATAGAATCGCTGAGCACGACATCTTCCTCAACGCCGTAAGCACATCCCAAGTACGGAGTATGGAAATGATAAAACTTATTAACATCTAATGTGATAGATCTACCTCTCTAAGCCCATCCCTCCCTTCGTCAACAACGACCTTCTGTCGCAGGCCGGCCGTAACCTCAGCGTTGTTATCGACGTTTCATGCGATACCACTAACCCTCACAACCCTATCCCCATCTATGACATCAACACCACCTTCGACGATCCCACCGTCCCCGTCAAGATTGAGAACGACCAGAACTCAACTCCTCTTTCCGTCATCAGCATCGACCACCTTCCCTCCATGCTTCCTCGCGAGGCCAGTGAGTCATTCAGCGAGGGCCTCAAGGAGTCTTTGCTTCAGCTCAAGGACCGAAGCACAGCCAGAGTTTGGGCTGATGCCGAGAAGCTGTTTAACGAAAAGGTTGCGCTGCTGCCCGAGGCGCTGCGCACCAAGGAGGTTTAAAGGAAGGGAGAAGGGAAAACAATTGTTAATGAAGATCATCAATAAGCATGGAATTTTAACGGTCAGGGTAATAGAAACAGGAGCATAAAAATGGGGCGCTTTGATATATACCAAGAGAAGTATATAAAGTGCATAGAAAATTTGATTTCTAAGGGCTATATCAAAATGAATACAAGTGGCCGATTATTCTTTTTGTTGTTACGAATTGATTCCTCGTGCAAATGGTTGATCCCTTACAAGCAGCTGGCTCAGTCACTGTGTATTTATTTATACGCTTAAATTCATTCTCTACATAGCAAGTATACTCTACACAAAAGCTTGGATTCCGGTAATTGCTCTGCCCAAAATCAAACCTAGACATTCCATCGTTAGCAAAACTCCGGCCCGTTTCAATAATAGCGTAACAGGATTACTTACTGTGAATATCGCTCTGTCCCTCATACGTCTGCGTCACAAACAGATTCGCCACGTGTCTTCCAATGTGATACTCATCGCTCACGGCGTTTCCTCCAAAAATCTCCTGCAGCACACGGGCGTTCCGCAGAGCAGCGTCGCAGTTCTGTCTCTTCACCATGCTGATCATCTCGGGCGTGACCTTGCCCTCGTCCTTGAGGCGGCCGACTTGAACTGCCGCCAGGGTGCCGTAGGCGGCGTCGGTGGCGGCGTCGGCGAGCTTCTTCTGGATGAGCTGGTACTTGGCGAGAGGGTTGCCCTTGAATTGCTTGCGCTCCAGGGAGTACGTGCGGGCCCGGGCAATGGCGTCCTCGAGAGCGCCCATTACGCCCAGCGAGATGCCGTATCTTGCACTGTTGAGGCAGCTAAAGGGGCCCTTGAGGCCTTCAACCTCGGGGAACATGTTGGCCTCCGGGACGGGAACGCCGTCCATCTGGATCATGCCCGTGATGGAGGCTCGAAGACCGTTCTTATCCTTGATCGCAGGGGTCTCAAGCGTGCCCGGCGGGCAATCCTTCCTCTCAACCAAGAAGCCCCTAATCTTGCCAGTCTCTTGCAGCTTGGCCCACACCAGCAGCACATCAGCAATAGGGCTGTTGGTGATCCAGGTCTTGGCGCCGCTCAGAGAGAAGTACCCCTTCTTCGTGGGATGCGGCTTCGCAATGCTCTCCATGCTGCCCGGGTCGCTGCCGTGGTTGGGCTCCGTCAAGCCAAATGCGCCAATGAGCCTGCCCCTGGCCATTTCCGGGAGGAATTTCTCCTTCTGCTCTTCGCTGCCGAACTCGTAGATGCCGCCCATGACGAGGGACGACTGGACGGACATGCCAGATCGGTAACCGCTGTCGACTCGCTCGACCGCTCGCGTGATCAGACCGCCGGCTACTGAGGATACGCCAGCACATCCGTAACCCTTAATACCGGAACCCAGAAGGCCTAGCTCGCCCATCTCTTCGAGGATCTTGGGATCGTAGTGCTCGTCTCGGTAGGCCTCTGAGGTAAGTTAGCAGGTATATAACATCATGCACGAAAGGGTCATTCAATTCAAGTTCATACGCAAGACTCTAGGCTGTAGCCGCTCCTGGCAGTATCTCTCTGCGGTCTCTGCAATGGCCAGCTCGTCCTCGGTAAAGAGGTTCTTCGCATTCAAGGGATCCTGCCAGTCGAACGCGGGGCCAGCACCAGTGGCATAGCATCTCGCAGCAATTGGCCTCGCGGAAGCCGCATTGCGGGCAACAGCCCTGAATGAATGTCGCAGCATATTCAACTAGATTCAAAGAAACAGATTGGTATCAAGAACGCAGCATCGGGAAGGGTGTTGCGACAGCGTTATCGTATGGTCTTATGGCCTCCAGCTCGGCACACTATCGGCAATGGAGCTTCCCCAGACTTGGCCCTCGGAGCCACTAGGAGGAGCACTAATCCGATGAAACCCGCGCCGAATCATACGCAAACTCCACACTGGCATCCCCGCCGCCAGCAGCCGCTGCACATGATGCGGCGCTTGGATTTAATCCTCCGTAAGATGCCTAAGTAGGTACTAGTATAGTGGTATAAGTAGGCTAAAAATGGAATATAACGGGAGAATCGTACATAATAGCCCCAACCCGATCTCGGATTCAGGGATGCGCCTTGCTAATGACAGAAGACGGGGTAAATAAACAATTGACAGATGGATGGTTTCTTCTGAGGAACGGCAAGCATAAGAGAGAGAAATATATAGTTCTGTCAACATACTGTAGGCCAAGACCTCTACTTTCCAACAGCATCACGGCGCAGCGGCATGGCTATTCTAATGAAGAAATGGCCTGTCACTTTCATCATCAGACATACCACTGAAAGGCTCCCACTCCTGAACATTGACATTACTTTTATTGCCCTTCATGTTACTTGCTGCAAGGGTGTCGTGGCCCATCCAAATCTATAATAGCATCATGACTATTCCCACGGCGAATGGCGCTGCCTCCTATTCTCCCACGGGAGTGCCTTGTCCAGGGCTTCCGATATCAGAAGGACTGTGCCGTTCTAAAGAGCCGCGTGCCCTTCGCCTCCTCTCTCTTCCGTCTTGGAATCTCGGCATGACAAGCTCTGTAGAGGTTGAGTTGCGAGAACGCCTCGGAGACTCCCACGGCCGTCTGCGGCGGAAGCGAACCGCGATGCGTTCGCGGAAACCTGGCGGCGTGATGGGCTGAGAACGAGAAACGCGTCTGCTATAGTATTGTTGCCAGCTTCCCGGCCGGGGTGAAATTATCTTTGGCTCACAGTTAGCTTGCTTATCTATAACGAGTGGAAGAAGCAGCAATGGGCATTTACCCCCGGTTGTCTTGAGCTGCGATTGAAATCTGGACAGGATGTCATGCACTGATGTATAAGAGCGGCCGAGTCATCTTGAGCGGTGATTGTCCATATCTGAGAAGCTTGTATAGAAGTCGATCGTGGTAGCCCTCTGTCTCCAGCAAAGAGCTTGCGTTGTTGATCTATGCTAGCGTCGTCACATCCACCCGTCAATAAGGCCTGGTTCGGTAAAGGATAAGTTTGACAGGTTAATGTTGTTGGCGATTTGCGAAATTCGGCCGAGTTGTCGTTCATTTTAGAGGGCAGGATGAGAGTTTGCCGACCTGGATGCTAGGTAACTGGAGCGAGGTAAAAGCTACTCTATAATGATAAAAGTGCTCGGCAACACTGGTGTAAATGGCGACTGTAGAAGAAGCGCTTCCTGTGTCAAGAATCAGTTTTTCAACTTTTGGCAAAGGATTATTAGTGCGCACAAACCCACGTAAGGTAACTGCCCACCGGAGGAGCATTCTTTCTCAACTGCTGCTATTATGAAACGAAGACTGAACTCTAGATCCCTTGTTTGTAGCTTCCAAATATCGTCCGGAAATACATATTGGATGGTACCAATCATGGCTTTAACATAAGACGCCCATGCCAGTAAGCATATAGCTGCGTCGCATCTTGTTTTTGTAGGGAGTCGGGTGCATATTGAACCACCAAACTCACTGCAGATATGACTTGCAACCCTATGTTAAACGACAGAGGAGGCTGGCTAAGTAGGAGCTTCGAGTCCTCGAGGATAGCTCCCGATAGAGAGATTTGCCTCTCAGAACTATCCTCTGATCGGTATGCCGATACAAGCTCTCGCAAATTTACGAGAATGCGAATTATTTGCTCAGAACCAGCAATTCGGTTTAAACTAGCAGCTGTTGACTCTGTGCTGTGTCTGCCGCTGCTCGTTTCCCATTTGTCAGTGCTGGTGTCGAAACCATTTCCTGTTGCCAATTTTGCATCTGGTGAAAGAAGCGTATCAATGACGCGGTCGAATTCGGTTTTACCACGGTGTAGAAAGGGTACCTCCATCCAGTCTTGAGTCCCCAGGAGTGAAGTCTTGCGAGTGGATAGCGCTACGTATGACTGTATTACAGTAAGTTTCCCGTCCTTTGACCTCCACAAGTCACCAGATGCTGCACCTACCATGAGAAAACGCAGGTGCCAAAATATCTCAAAAAATGGCGACGTCTGGCAGCCTTCGGGTCCCGCTTGCTCTAGGAGGCTGAGGGCGCCATAAGCATGGGGAAACCATGAGTCCGTAGCAAGAGGTGCCATCATCTCAAATTCCAACAGCGCCATGGACATGAGAAGGAGATTCAAAATAGATGGCAAATTCCGGTGCTTCCGCCATGGAACAAGCCGATGAAATTGAGCCTGGTGGCGCTCCAAGCCGCTTGAATAATACCCGTACGCTGCCGCTCTTGACGACGCATCATTGCTAAGAAGAGCTGAGATGGCTGCCTTCATGGCTTGAAATGGAAGCAGCATAATGGACTGAAAATCTGCCGACAGCGGGAGCTGCGGAATCAACATCATCCATAGATGGGGCGTCCAAGGGCATAGATGATATGATGCAATATCAAGCGCCATACGCGACATCATTTCATGTATGTTGCCGCCGATGCTGGTCGGAATGCCAGCGTTGCCCGCTTGCTAAGCCGTATAAGCGCGAGCTCCTGAATCAAAGGGTCTGGCTAAATGCTTACTTTATACCATTGATCGCGGCAGACAAGTTGCCGCTGGGGCGGTAATTCTGGGGAGATTTTAGTAAATTCGCAGTCAAGGATCTCGGAATACCGAAGAAAGACTTACCATCTACACTATGGATAAAAATAAGACCTTGCGTGGTTCCAGGACATGGCTGCTTGAGCCGTATGCACTGGGAACAGTGCGGTTGCTTGTTGTCACACTAAAGCCAGGTTAATCATGGTACTCCTTTTATTTTCTGCATCAATTTTGTCGGCCTGTTTACTTTTATCTTTCTCCGTTTGCATGTCTTGCACCCATGTGTCCTCCGAGAACCTAGTCTCATTGTCCTTTAGGTTACGGTCATACGTCTAGTCGGTGAGAGGTGTGGTTGTGAGATATAAGTGGGAAGAGTTGTAATTCGCCGTCAGACGACTAAGTCGGCAAATGAAACCAAATCTGAGCGGATGAGTAAGCAGTCTGATCAAGAGCAATGCTGCTCTACGGAATTTATACAAATACACAGCTCTAACCATAATGCGCATTGTTAGTGTATTTCATTTAAGCAGGCAGTTTGTTTTAGTTTACTTACACTCAAATATCATTATAGCTCTACTATTCTTGACCCCAGGCGAGTGTGTATTTTCGCTATGCGATTTTTCATCTTTCTGTTCCTCCTCTGCAATGTTCTCAATCGTACAGAAACAAGGCCGAAACTCCGCGTATTCTCATCTTTTGCTTGATATTACTTCAAATCAAACAAGAGCTCGGTAATTCAATAGTCATAAACACAAGACCGACAGCTCCTTTAATCCTCAATGATTCAACCCACTCAGAAGAGCCCGATTGGGACGACAAGGGAGCCGAGAAGTATTCCCGGCATTCGGAATTCCGGCTTGGGAATGTCGCTGTTCTTCTTGGTTAACTAGTTCCACGAGCTCGTTTCAGTCTCAAGGCAGCATATAGAGAGTTTCTAAAAGATACTCACGTTATGGTAGACTATGTTTCCCATCTATCCATCCAAAGCCGTGGCACATAGTTCATCGAGCCCACCTCATATGTACATCAAGCCAGTTGGTGCAGGCTGGAATCCATATGTGTTGCCAAATATCGCTGGGAACGTCGCAAAGAAGATATTCAGAAAACTGCATACACTATAGGTGGTATTAATTGGTTGGGTTTATCGAGAATAGCCAGTAGTTCTTACAGTGCTCCATAGAAACTCATGATGAGACAAATAGGGCATCTTGTAAGAAGCATCAAAGGGCGTAAAGTTGCTTCTCTAGCTGTAGGCCGCATCAGTGAAGCAGAAGTGCCTACTCTTTCGTTCCTTTGTTCCAGAATTTTAGCAATCCTGTTCTCTGTGTACCATTATTTGACGAAATGAGTGAATGGTCCGTCTCGGGGAGAAAAAACACGCAAAGGATCAACGCAGTAGCATCAAGAGCGGCCGTTAAGACGAAGCCATAGCGGACTCCGAGTGTCTGCGTCAGATATCCTCCCATAATAGGTCCTGTTGGTGGCCCAATCAGCAGGCCCAGCCGTATATAGCGCTGGCTGGAGCTCGTTCTTGCGGGATGAAAAGATCAGCTATGACTGCTCCGGCAATCGATATGGTGTCGATGCTTCAATTCCAGCCAAGAATCGAAAAGGAATTAGTTCTCCCGTCGACTTGGCGAAGATACATGCAATACTAAACGCGGTGAATATGACGCTCGAGATGTTCATCACCCACCTCCGTCCACAAATGTCAGATATACGGCCAGAGTCAAGGCTAAAACTGTGCCAGGCTTGATGTCATTTTTTTGGCGATTTCTGGTAAACCAGGTGTCATGATAGAGCTCGCAAGCGGCCTAGACGAATAAGAAAGATGAAGTAGTTTTCATGTAACGCCAGAGAGCTTATGAGATGAATGCTGAGAATAAGATTAGTCCTATCATCTCATATTTTTTTTTTTTTTTTTTTTTTTGGAATTGGCACAATCTATGGGATTTTTGTCCGATCTGCTCCATATTTGGTCAGAATCAATGGTATCTGGGCTTCATACCGATGAAGTCGTATTGGGAGGTTTCTCCAGATCCATGATAGCGATTAGCTAGCGGTTCTCGAGGTTCGTCCTATAAGAGAGCCATTGTTACAGACAGATGTCGGGTTTTTGTAATCATGGTGAAAGGAAACAATAGAGAAGTCTACATTATTTTTGTATGAGATATGCTCTTGTATCCTCGGTACTCTAACGATATATAGAAGAGGAAGATATTATACAGTGGTGCATGCAAGTCCCTTTGATATGAATTGTCTTTGGGCTAAAGCACTTGAACTCGGCAGTCTAGCCTGTTTGGAATGGGGATTGTATCCCTGTTGCAGGCAATTCAGATGGAACTACATGCTAGAAAGTATATGCAGCGTCTACGTGACTTGGATAATCTTTGTGTTCAGACGATAAATTCGATTAATTGTCAATAAATACTATACTCATATTAAATGAACTGGAATGGCTGTAATTGATCATGATTAGGCAGATTAGCTCAACATCGAACTCCAAAACGCAGGAAATGAGGCATTTTATAGGGTAGGTGAGATGGCCATAGAGAACCTCTAACATGAAACTCCTCGTACATGCAGATAACCACGCATAGAAAAAAAAGCTGATAAGAAAAAAAAGTTTCGATTGATTGTAGTGTAATATGCCGAAATTTTAGTTTGCACATCACTCGCAAATATTATCTCGGTAATTTGGGGCTCAATCGTGCAAATCAAAATCTCGTCAAGTTTTATATGGGCAATACAAGGTAGGTCGAATTTTACGGTCTTGAGTTCCTACCCTTCTTTCATGTGTAATCCATCACTGGCTGGATACCAACTCCGGCTTTTGAAAATGGACTACCCGGCTAACCCGGCGAGCCCTATTTGCCTAATTACGAACCTGAGGTCATCTTGCCGTGGGTTGTTGGATACTCTGCAAACTTGCACGCGATCGACGCGAGCGATTACATACATGTACTCATATGACGTGTGTATTTCGGTTCCAGATTCCATGCTTGACATGCACTACTTAGACTATAGAATGCCAAAGGCAAAGAAAAAAAAAAGATGGCGATACAAGTTCACAAGTAGGCATTAGTAGATATTAGTATTTGTGCTAATAACGGCTGCCAATGTTGCCAGAGTGACCCAATTCTGCCCCCCTGGGGATATTTACCATAATACGAGCATTGTACTGTACGTGGGCCGGCAGCTATACTTTTAGAAGCAAATGCGACATGGGGATGACAGGCATTCCACAGCCTAAAGAAGAAGCTTCAATTTTCTTTCTCATTCTTTTTTTTCTTCTGCGCGACGAAGAAGGAGAAGGAGGTTCCACCAGCTCTTCTAGAAAAGCATGGCCATCCGGAAGAGTACGGAGCAGCAACCGTGCAGCACGGAGATATTCATCGGTCAGGGTTCGTCTGATCGCGCTGGTAGAAATGAGAGAGCCCGCTTCACTGGAGACGAAATTCAGGGATGGCGAGGTCGATGTCTGAGGGGGCTGAGCGGCCCTGGTCGCCGCGAGCGTTCGAGCAGGATATTACCAGCCTTTATGCGCTGGGCCGGCGGAAACTTGCCGGCATGGCTTAATGAAAGAGGGGAGGCAGTGCTGACAGGGCCGGAATTACTGGCTGGAAGAATGCGATCGTATTCGATCCTTTTTTGGCAGCGCCAAGCAGAAGCCGGGGCTCAGGGGAAGCCGAGTCTGTGTATATGGAGAACGCTTGTATGTGGTATATGATCTGCCACAGTAATTATTACGACGCAGCAGTACTTGTACCCGATAATAATATGCAGGATTTCGGGTCTCTGGAAACGCGCGAAACATGCATAAAAGGAGCTGGGGCCGATGCCGCGGATTTAATAGGTAGACCAAGGTATTGACCAACATGTACATATACCGGTTGGCAAGTTGCGACAGGATCGGTGCACAGATACGGAGTAGCAGCTGTCCTAAGTCCATGTGATGCTCCGCTACGCCCAGCCTTCAAATTTTCTCTCTTTGCCTTGTTTTTTTCTTTTTTCGCCCTCATTTTCATCGGCAGCCGTATCGTCGGTGGTCTGACTAAGCCCGTCTGTTTCACACGCGCAATGGTCCAACACGCAAACTGTCATGCTAGTGCCAGGAATTGTCAAAAGTTGCTTGCCCCCCTGCTTGGTCTCGCTGGTGGAACGGTTTGATGTCATGACTTGTGCGTGCTGCGGACCCATCGTGGAAATGCCCAGCGCCGAGGGCATCGCCTGAGTCTCCATGTGCTGTCTGTAAATCATTTCTGCGAGTCAATGTTGGAAAAGGGCTTGGTCCGGCCTGGGGTACCTGTACTTGCAGCCGCTGGGTGGGCGACCCTGTGGATGCTCGTACCGGCACCCCATCGCTGACACATGCTTCCTGGCGCGCAAGACTGGGCCTTCTGCCTTGGGGCACAGTTGCTGCTATTCTTGAAGCTCTGCCTGGTGTGATGGACGAATTGCTTTGCTTTGCCGCCATGCCTGCTCTTATACCCGCGGCCTAGTATCTGATGTAGGGACCTGCATGCAACTGAACTCCATTTAAGCGCATCCTGCTGTCTGCCGTGGCACGCAAACTGAGCGACCACGATGGCCCGGCGTGCATTTGCACTGCCTCCCGTAGCGGCAGATCAACCTCCGTTCAGCTGGGCCAGGAGCAGAGATCACGCCCTATGGCAAGCGCCCATCAAACTCCAGGTTCCATTGACTTCTCGTGTGTCTATGCTCATCCACTGCAGCTCCAGCGTGTTGGCGGCCGCCCACTGCAGCAGCGGCAGGGCTCCCTTAGCGGGCCTAGCTCCCCATAGCAGGATTTTACAGCGCGCTGTGCTGTGCTATGCTGTGCTGTGCTGTGCTGTGCCCTTGATCTCCGTGCCAAGAGGCGTTGTCTCCAGGCCTCGTCTCCCCTTGTGGTCCATCCATTTTCCGCTGATAGCCCCCTGGGCCACCATCATTAGCGCTGGCCCGGAGCGAACGATAAACCCGCCACTGGCACCAGCCAAGCGCCTCGTTCCAATTTTCCACGAGGTTGGAGCCCGACAGCCCGCGCGTCGTCAAGAGAGGCAGAACGACTTCATTTCACGCTCTACTTTTTTTCCTCTGTCGTTTTGCGTGGGAGCGGCTGCACTGACTGCATCCAATCCATCCCTGTTTTTTTCCCCTTCCAGGCGCTGTTGCTCGCTGTAACCCCCCCAAGCCAATTCGTCATCCCAGCGGGCTGCGGAGTGGGTCAGCGCGCCGCCAGTCCTTCCCTCTGGTTAGCTGTTCTGTCGTCTCTGCCCAATCTCCTGCACCATCCAATCCAACCCGCAGACGCAGCACATCTCCATCCCCATCAAATCCCTTCCCATCGATCCAAGAAGCATCGCTCAATTGGTAGCATTTAGCAGCCGTCCGCCGCTCGCGTCCGCCGTCGCAGCGAAATGCCCTCGTTCCTGACCCAAGACAACCCGACAGTCTTTTCCAACGGCTCCTTCATCAGTCTTGAGCACGAACACGAGCACGACCACGACCAGTACGGCCACAGCTTTGCCGCTGCAAAGGGCCTGGCGAATGAGGCATCCATAACCGACGCCCGGTCCTACGCCGTCCATGAGCGCTTCGACGAGAGCTCGACTCTGTCCACGCGCGACTCGGACGTTTCGGACTCGCCCATGCCCTTGAACGAACTCGACCAGTGCTGGCAAGAGGACGGCAGCGGCAACGGGACACGGCCCACGAGTATGAGCTCTCTCTCCAACGGCAAGAGTCTGGCTGGGGGCTTTGAAGCACAGGATTATGGCGATTCCAGCCACGCGATGGCTAATGGCGCCACCTTCTCCCTCCCCCATCGCACCGTGCCACAGGAGCACATGTATACAGGTGCCGCAGCCGATCTGGCCCGCAAGCCAGCCGCGTTATCGTCGTCCATCAATCAGAGGGCATCGACAAGGAGCGTCCAAGACGATGTCTCGACTACCGTGACCCGGCCAACACCGCCCCCCACAGATGCCGAGTCGCACAGCCCGCCTCAGCCTTGGACGCCGTCACCGATGGCTTCTGACCTCGCCCTGCCGCAGCATACTAGTAACGGCGCCCCCCATCGCTTTTCATCTCCCGCATCCTACCAGCCTACCGGCTCCAACTCGGCACCCTCTTTGTCCGCACATCTGCAGCCCGGGCCCGGCATGGGCGTCAAGCAGAGACACACCCTCGAGGTGCCCAAGCCTGCACCGGGAAGAACCTCCAAGGACGGCCTTGACAGTGCTCAAGCCAGCGGCCGCTTTTCACCAACAATCGCCAGCCCTGCAGGGCCAGGCCGTGCAGCTTCTTTCAGCCTGGCTCGACGAACGACGCGGTCCATGCAGTCGGATGCTCCCCGAGACGAGATTGTACCCGACGAAGACGCCATGCGATGGGCCGAGATGTATCGACAGAAGCGAGCCAGCAAGCGGAGACGGAAAGAAGAAGAGGACGATGACCGAGTTTTGGTTGGCACCAAGGTTGATGAGACCCATGCCAACTGGGTAACGGCTTACAACATGTTGACGGGCATCCGTGTATCTGTCTCGAGGACGAATGCAAAGTTGGACCGCGAGTTGACCGATGCGGACTTTAATGTTAAGCAAAAGTCTACGTTCGACATGTATGTCAATCTTTCCCGCTTTTCAATCGTAGATGATCATTCATGCTTGATCCTAACCATCCATTGCCTTCTTATGATGCTGATATTATCCATTTCAATAGCACCGGTAACGAACTTGTTCCCTCAGCCAAGTACGACTTCAAGTTCAAAGATTATGCTCCTTGGGTCTTCCGCCACTTGCGAAATGCTTTCCGTCTGGATCCTGCTGATTATCTCATGTCCCTGACGGGCAAATATATCCTTTCGGAGCTGGGCTCCCCGGGTAAGAGCGGCAGCTTTTTTTACTTTTCTAGAGATTACAAGTACATCATCAAGACCATCCACCACGCCGAGCATAAATTTCTACGCAAGATCCTCAGAGAATACTATAAACACGTTACCGAGAACCCCAACACGCTCCTCTCCCAGTTTTACGGCCTTCATCGAGTCAAGATGCCTTACGGCAAGAAAATCCACTTTGTCGTCATGAACAACCTATTCCCCCCACATCGAGATGTTCACACCACTTTTGATCTTAAAGGCTCGACTATTGGCCGAGACTATAGGGAGGAGGATTTGGAAAAGAATCCACGCGCGACCCTCAAGGACCTGAACTGGCTCCGACGAAAGCAGAACCTAGAACTGGGTATCCAGAAGAAGAAGCTATTCCTGGAGCAGCTCCAACGAGACGTGGCCCTCCTCAAACGTCTCCACATCATGGACTACTCTTTGCTGGTTGGCATTCACGACCTTTCCCGCGGGAATGATGAAAACCTTCGCGGAAAGACATTGCAGGTGTTCAACCCAGGTGGTGAGAAGAGCCCTGAAGATGACCTTCAGGCCTCTCTTCTCCGAACTCCATCGAAGCTGGAAAACTACCGCAAAGCCAAAGAACTACGCCAAATGGTCCAGAAGGAACGCCCAGTACCTATGGGCGAAGCCAACGACCAGATGCCTGATGATGTGGGAGAAGATCGTCGTGGGCTCATTTTCAACCAAGACGATGGTGGCTTCCGAGCAACTCATGAAGACAATGAGCCCGCAGAGGAGATTTACTACCTTGGTGTCATTGATTGTCTCACTCACGTAAGTCTAAAAGGCATAAATGCCATTACTCACCGAAATCCTGCTAACCCATAGATAGTACGGAATGATCAAGAAGATCGAGCATTTCTGGAAAGGCCTTTCAAACGACAAGAGCAAAATTTCAGCTCTGCCGCCGGACCAATACGGTGATCGCTTCTACCACTTCATTCAAGGCATCACCATGTCCGCCGAAGAGGCCAAACGAGAACGTGCACGCAGAGACCAGGAACTTATGCTTCAAGCACAGAAACAGGAAAGGTCGAGGCAGAGCACTATTCCTCCTATGCCGATGCACGAGCCGCCTGCTCCTCCCATCGGAATACAGCCTAATGGGCGAGCGTCGTTGAAGGGAGCACCCGAGGGGCAAATCCCAGAGCGAATTTTGAAAACTAGTGCGACGGTGCCAGGCGCGAGAGACTCACAGCACGAGGCTATTTTACCTGTGGTTGAAGAAGCCGGAGAAAGCAGCAGAGACGACACAGAACGATGGGTTCATGAGACATCTTGGAAAGACACGCCCGAGCCGAGCCGAGCGCCTCCGCCAACACCACCTGCCCACGACCAAACTTTCCTTAAGCCCGATAGCTCTGACAGTGGTTATGGTGATAACAGCAATGGGACTGTGAGCAGAGACAATTCGCTCAAAGTAGCCCGACCGGTCAGCCGAGGAAGTCTACACAAGGTTTTACCACCCCTCCCCAAGAAGGAGAATGCTCAAGAAAGTGGAATTAGAATGGTCATGTAGACGAACTACAACAACAAGACTTTATCCTTCCGCTGGTGGATTGAAAATTGATTGGTATTACGACAAAGCACGGCATGGCGCATAAAATCAGCGATGTTAACTATACACAAAGGGTTCAGACTTTAACAGCCCCTTATTTTTTTTTTCTCTGATGATTCCGCATGAAGGACAAGGAAACGGTCGGGCGGAATTGTTGGACTCTACGATTTTAAACACTGTTTTGCAACATAATCAGCACTTCGCGTTTCTTTTCCTTCTCAATTTTTTTTGTTACATTTCTTCTTTCTCACTCGAGAGCACGCGTGTTTTTGATTTGATTGTTCCCCGTTGGCCACGTTTTCCTGTTCATCTGGTTGGGCTTATTTCTTCTTCTTTTTTTTCACCCCTTTTCTTTTGTCGTCAGAGGAAATATCATATTCACTCTCTTTTCCTCCCGACCTGCCCTATTCTCCTTTTTCTTCCCCTTTTTTCTTTTTCATCTTGTGGTATGTCGCAGGTGTGACATAGGGGCGGAGACGAAACAGAGATGGCGTGAAGTACAAATCGATGTTGTTGTAGGTTGTAAAAAGAGGAGAAAAAAAGAGAGAAAATGAAAGACAGAAGGCAACCATTTTTTTTTGTCCGCGCAGGTGTTGTGCAAAGTGTGCTAATATTGACTTTTCTATTACAAGACGTGGATGATACCATTGACCGCATTCTCAACATACATACAGACAGACAGCTATTTAACTTTTTTTTTTTCTTAAGTAGATTCGGTTGTTTATTTACCTGCATCTTCATGCCTTTGAGGGTCTCTTTTGTCTTTATATACTGGTGATATCAAGTATGTGTCAATTATCGTGATTTTCTGGGAGAAGGAGGATAGAGAATAAAAATTACTTTGTTTTTGAAGTTGAACCGTAGAGCTTTTCCTTGATAAAGATTGTTTTGGAGTTGTCTGTCAACGCTTAGCATGGGCGGATGGTTTAGTGGTATAATTTTCCCTTAGCATCTTTCAACCTTTGAGTTGGATAATCGCATGGGAAAGGTCCGGGGTTCGATTCCCCGTTCGTCCAATGTTTTTTTCCTTCATTTTTTTTAGCCTCAAAAATTTGAACTTCTTTTTCTTTTCTATTTAAGTGTTGTACTTACTTTACTAAATGGTAGCCCATTTGTGCTAACTACATAGATTTGTTGACACATTGCATTCCAAGTGTATAGACGAGAGCGTGTCAATGGCAATTCTAAATGGTCCAAACTTGCATAACTCATTCACATACATCCCTTTCGAACAACGATAGTCGACAGCATGGAGTCAGTTAAGCTTTTTATAGATAGGAAAGTATATATTAAAATATCGGCCATATCAGCTTGGCCTCCAGTATTAACTAAACGTCATTCACTAAAATTTTTCAATCTTCTTTGCTCTGTATCTTAACCGGGTATTCTACTATTTTTCCTCTTATCCAGATTGTTACTTTTCTTCTCCCCTTTTCTAATTATTCCAAGTAACTTTCATGGAAAGAGGGAAAGGCGAAAGAGTGCCCCAATCCTCAGTGAGGTACTCGCTAAGGCCACCTTGCCTAGCAACTTTCTTCAGCTCACCCTGAGGTCCCACAACCTTCTTCAAGCCTTGCTTCTTGAAGATGGCTCGGAAGAGCTCCACCAGTGCAATCTGGCTGACTTCGTTACCAACGGCAGTGTGCGTTCCGGCGCCGAACTGTATGTAAGACTCTAGAGGACGGCGAGGGTCGACAGTTTCAGGGTTGGGGAACTGGTGAGGGTCACGAGCGCCAGATACAAAGGAGACAAAGACCTTGTCACCTTGGTTGACCTTGACCTTGCGTCCGTCATCTTCAGTGATGGTGTCGGTGCCGGTAGAAACTTGGTGTAGGCTGAAGGCACCAGCCATACGGACACCCTCCATGGCGAAACCGAGGAGGAGAGAGTCAACCTCAGGGCTGGGCTCCTGGTTGGCCAAGGTGTGGATATCGTTGACGTATGGGGCGCCTTCAGTGGAGAGATACCAGTCAAGGGCTTGGGCAAACTTGAATTAAAAAAAAAGGTGGTGTTAGTATTTGAATGGAAAATAGGAAGAGAGCAGGAGAATAAAGGAATAAATACGTACCAGACGACCTTGTGACGGCACAGCGGCAGCAGCGGTAGGGAGAATCAAACCCCACGCAATATCATGAGCATCCAGGCCAGACTTGGCCAGACCCTTGACAGCATTGACACCGGCGGTGGACAGCGGGTCATTCTTGGTATTGCCTGTGAACAGACGCAGACCAAGAGACTTGGTGTACTTGACAGTCGTCTCAATTGACGCGCCGAGCGCATCGGCAATCTCCTTGGTCTTCTGGCGAAGAGGGAAAGATTTAACGGGATCAACGTCAAGGAAGAGGGTGGTGAAAATGGCAGCCAAAGCGGCATACAGCTCTTGCTCAGAGAAGACACCCTTGGGGTTCTCCTGAGTCTTGAGAGGAATGTTGAAGATCTGGGCAGCGTAGTGAGTGTGAGCCGTGTTGCCAAGGTCACGAACAACGTCGATGTGCTTCTTGCCCATGATAGTGTACGACTTCTCTGCCAAGAGCTTCTCCGCCGTCTTTGCGTAGAAAGCCTTGACGACATTCTTCCAATCGCCCTTGTAGAGAAGAGACTCGAGCGTCTTGCGGTCGCTGGCCTGCATGTACCGGCCGCTGCGGCCAGTAAGAATCTCAAGACCTTGCTGCCACTGAACATTGTACTTGTCGGTATTGGAGAAGACGTGATTGAAGCCACCAAAGGATGTGACCTCAACGCGAGGAGCAGCAGCTCTTGGGCGCTCAAAGCTGAAGCGGTGAACACGGTTCAGGCTGGTCAGGATCTTGCGGTTCTCCTGAGGGATGACCATGGGATAGTGGGCGTATACAGAATCTTGCTTGAAGTGGTTGGGGAAGGCCCGGATGAACAACTTGTAGAAAACGCAGCCGTGGTTGACCTTGAGATCATAGGCGACCTCCTTGTAACCCCAGTGAGTGAGATACTTGGGGTTATAGTCGGTGGTGTAGTGTCTGTCACCACGCACAAGCGAGACGGCGTCGGACAAGACGACTCGGGAAATGGTGTAAGTGGGAGCGATACCGACACCAGGCACCATTGGCGTCTTGGCCTCCTCGGCAACCATGCCAGGATAGAGCTCAACGTAATCAGGATGCTGGTACAAGTTGCGCAGAGCGTCAGCAACCTGAGGATCAGAGTTGATCTCCTCAAAGGTCTCGTAGGCCTTGAGACCAAAGTGCTTACGGAACTCGTTCAAGCCCGCAAGATTCCACTTTCGGCCGCGGATGATGCCCAACATCTCTACAGGCTTCATGATACGAGGGATGTTGCGAGCGCCGAATGAGCCTCCTGGCTGCTCAATAGCTGTGGAGATGCAGTCGACGAGATCGTCATCATCAAAACGTCCATCGGGACCACGAGTGTATCCGCCAAACACGCAGTCGGCGGGATCCTTGTTCATGCTCATAGCGAACTTGCGGACGGCAGTCATGAACATGCGCATGTCCATGGTGCCATAGTTCTCGCCCAAAAGCTCGTCATAGAAGTGGTGCATCCACTGATCGTCCATTTCGGAGATGCAAGAGTGCCAGCGATAGCAGATGTTGAACTCGGCAGAGACGCTGTTTCCGACACCTCGTTCAGAGCCCTTGGTAGTGCCAACATCTGTGCCGGCCTCCTGGCGAGGATCCAAAGTCCACTCGGTATCAACACGGTTCAAGTTGATAATATTTCGCACGTAGTCAACAAGAGTAATGTTAATGTACAAACCAGAAGTCACCAGACGAGCGGTCTGGAATAGCTCTTCATCGTACTTCTTCCAAGCTGCAGTCGCAGCATCTCCCTGTAGGTCAGAGGAAGGCTTGGCAAACCTGTTGCCTTCGTTGATAGCGGCCAGGTTTGCGGCGATGTAGTTGTGGAAGCGGTTGAACATGATGAGAATCACGCAGACACCAGGAGGCATACCAAGAAGTCGCTTATCGGCGAAAGTATCCGGCTTCAACATACCGTCCTTGAACGTGCGGACAGTATTCTGAGCATCTTGGCTATGGCCGTACAGGGGAGCCAAATCGAGGTACGACGACGAATCGTTGATATTGGCATCTCTTTCGTTGGTCCAGAACAAGTCTATGATTTATAATTAGCCCAGTAATTCTTTTCCATGGGGCATGATTGCAAATCATATTTACCATGAATGATGATAGTGGCCCAGTACCAGAGAATGCTCGAGACGTTGTTAGGGTTCTTGATGAACTTGTCCCTGGCCATTAGAGATTCGTAGATAGCTTCAGGATCCGGCAGAGCCCCCAGTGGCACGACTCCGGGTCTGACTGAGCGTGAGTAAGGAGTCCCAGCTGCGCCAAGTTTGGGCATGAGAGGATTCTGAAAGGGTATAGTTAGTATTCGTCTATGGGTAGGTGTTCCTGAGATGAGCAAATACTTACATTGTTGGATCCATCAGCCTGGCGGAAACGAAACTCGTCTCCCATGTACAACAATGGAGGATGATCAAGCGAATACCATAGCTCGTCGATGAACATATTGGTGAGTACCTCTTGTCGCTTAGAGCCATTGGGCAGCGCAGCTACCAATTGGATGGTCTTCTCCATGATCATTGTCTTGTCATCGCTTTGCGTTTCGCCCTTTAGCTTCGAAAGGATAATTGCCTTGAGCGTCTTTAGGTCTAAAATAAAGTATTAGCAAACACCATGGTTCGCCTGAGCACTGCCATTGGTACTTGCCTGCGAAAGTGATTGTGCTCAGATCCTGCATCAGAGTCGGCCTGTTGACAACCTTTTTGTAGGTGCCATCTCCCATCTCACTGGGGAGAGGCCGACGAGAGGCACGGTACAGTTGCATCAAGCCGCCATGCTTGACTGGCTTAGTCTTCTTTGCCTTTGCGACTGGGCCGCTAGGGTAATCGACGATAGCATGATTGCCATTGGCAGCGGCTCTGTTGGAGTTCATGGTGGACAGGATGTTACTACTGGCCGGGTATCACAAAAAAAAGCAAAATGTCCAAGAGCAGCAGAAGCTACGCAATGTAAAAAAAAGAAAAAGAAAGCAAAAAGTCAAGGCGCGAGCTCATACAGCTGGGGTGTTCCACTGTCTTATATACAAATCTAGAGGGGGGCAGCCAAATGACCATCCAGTCGTTGTGTTTGTCTCTTCAATGCAGGATGCGGCCGCACAACAGTAGCAGCTGCAGCATGCATTACTGGGCATAGACATTCCTATTCAACCACTTACATGCGCGTAGGAGTACGAGGGTTCGGGCCGCGGCCTGCGACCGAGCCAACAATCTCAGCGGTAGCAATCTGAGATCGACCCTAGGAGCCAAACAATTACCACATCGGAGACGAGGAAGACGAATAGAGAAAGGCGTGGCCGCTGATAATCCACATAGCGTGCTATCGGGCACCTTAGTTAAAGTCATGCCTGCATGATCAAAGCTGCGATGTCTCTTAGCTTCACTCAGGGGACAAGGAAGGCCACCATTTCTCTATGCCCTCTTAACCGCCCTTACTGGAGAGCCTGCAGGCCACAAGTAAGACATACATGGAGAAGGCCGGAGATCATGCCCCATAGAGACTTTCTCAAGCATCATCAGGCCATAAACCTGGCATTACGGGAGGCAAAGTATTTGTAAGAAACTTTCCCCCTCCTCTGGGTCAGGCACACTCGCTGGTGTTCGATGCCATTGGCGAATGACAAGGCCTTGAAGCGTCTCGCATTGTACTCCAAAAACCGAATAGGAGAGTCCCACAACAGCTATCTCTTCCTCTGCGGGTCAAATTTCTCAGCTCGGGATGCCTAGGGAGTGATAGGAGTTGTCGACTGTATCCAATCCTTGTATATATCATGTAGTCGTAGTACTACGAAGTCGAAGGCGAGTCGTGGTAGCGGCCGCTTGGCTGGCCCTCCTCGACCCACCCCCATCTCGCCGCTGATAATCAGATTGGTCCCGTCAATCTTCCAGCCGCAGAGGTGTGCTAGTCGGCCGTAAATGAACTGGAAATGCCGATTCCCGCTAGATTAGTGCTGCGGGTACCTTTGGAGGAACTTGTTCAAGCAGCTCAAGCAAACGTCAGACGCCTATGGCGACGTACCTGATATTCAATGCCGGGAGATGGAATCGTGAGACAGAGCTCCGACAAACGCTCCTATGGCTAGTATTAGCAAACAGTTTCACAAGATTTTTGAGAAACGAAAGTCGCCGTGTGGTCAGACAAATAGAGGAGCTGCTTTTCCTTTTTCTCCTTGGGGAGAAGCTGAACACCTCTCCCTCCTTTCCTCCCTGCCTGCTGAAAGCTGTCCCCGCGCTAAGAGCTCCAAGCTCCATGCAGAGCAACAAGCATGCAGATGGATTCTGGGAAACTCGGCCAATCCTGCATCCCGTCGGTCGTGGACGTGGCGGCCGGGCGACCTTTCGCCGTGCCAGCTCTCCATATTGGCCCTGGCTTCACGACGTTTGTCTGAGACATGCATATATAAGCGTCAGACTGTACAAGCAGATCGCTGCTTAGACCGAAAGATCCTCGTCTGGATTGGTGCTTCTCCCGGATCCACTCCACTAATAGAGAAATGAGAGGCTTGCTGGACGCCAGCTGAAACTTTTGGTACCACGCCTGTTACGGCGCAATGCCTTTGCCGCCTGGCTTGGTTTTCTTCCCGCCACTTCTTCCTTGGCTTTGGCTTTGGCGGTCACTTGGGCTTGTTCCCAAATCATAAATACGCGATTAATACCATGACGGTGTTGGTATGGAGCACAGTGGACGCAGTTTATTGGCGTACCAGTGTGAAAGGGCGATGCCGCTCGCGTTCTGTATTAGTGGGCATGGAACCAACTCGCCGGAGACCACGAAGTAAAGAGGGCGGAACCGAATCGGCGATCATGTTCCAATCGACTGAAACTTGGAGATCCCAATATGATCCTCAAAACGAATTCTAATACTACTAAAGCATATATTAATATGGGGAGAGCATTGCCTTTTCCTTTGAGCTTAATCGACAATATATGCACAGCTCTGATCTGGATCTTCCCCAAGAGAGAGGACCAGGGTGGGCGGATCATCTAGATGAGATTTGATTTCATTTGCTGTGGTTGGCACGGCCGCGGCCAAGTTGACCCAGGTTGACCCCACCGTCACCGTAAAAGCGACATGACCTGGCCGCTTTTCATTCTCCTATGTAAGTGTTACTACCTAAGCGGCCCGTTGTCTGACCGTGCTAGCAGTATTTCAGTTTACTCTTGTAAGTAGGTGTTTCCATTGGGCTATGCGTCCTTATACATTAGCTCAGCATCGAGCCGAAGAATAAATACAGAGAGGCATTTTGAAATGTGCTCATATCCACCAGCGACATATGCCAACCGCTTTCTGCCAGATACGCTTCACCGGGCTCTCTCCAAAACATTAGCGTCTTGGCTGTGTCCAAGTAACAATAAACTATGGCGTACCGTACAGGATTTCGTGTGCAGCGTAAGCTTCTTTGTGTTGCCTTTATGGCATGATATTTGCATGGGGGCATACTTCGACACGCTGCATGTCGTGTTACCCAGCTCCCGTATGGAGTACACACTGGGTACTGCTAAGTACTATGTAGGAAACAAGTATACTTGAGACCTCTGGGTCTTGTGCAAGAATCTTCGTAAACATCATAACATCATACATCCTCTTTCAATGCGAAGTGTCTCAAATGCGACATGGAAGCCATATGATGGCCACATCGCTCTCTTCATGATCTGCGTGGATACTTTCATGTTACCAGGGTAAACATCAAGTCAAGGTGCTTGTGGCTGTGGCTTGAATTGTTACAAGATAAGGCCATAGTTTTTCTATGACAGTTATTCCTGATGTGCTCAATTGTTTAGATATGGCGGTTATCTTTAGACCGAGAAAATGTTGGTAGAGGGCCAGAGGTTGATTGCGAATAAAAAAAAAAAAATAGAGATCGTTATAACATGGCTGCATCAAGACTCCATAATAATGATTCAGTGTTAAGCTTTGTGTTTCAAGATCTTATTCTCCGATATTCTGTCATTGCATTCGTAGATCGACAACTTCTAAAGGCATTTTATCGCTTTCATACACGTGCCCATTAGGATGATTAGCTTCGCGATAAAGATTATCAATGGAATGTTGGTGAAAGGTCTCTGTGCGAGTACAATTCAGAACATGGTCAAGTCCAGGCGGGTGTGTGAGTCGAAAGATGCCGTATCTAGAGCCAGAGTTAGCCGAATATCATTTGGTGCAGTATGTCCTTCTTCTTTCTCAACTTACTCATTGTATCTAGGCGCACACACGATGGCAATGCTTTCGGGCATCATAACTTGATATCCTGCATGTGTATGGAGATCACGAGAGCTCATGAAACACGTCTGTGTTGGATGTGTGTGTATCCACCCTAGCATGAGCAAGTCCTCATTCATACAGTAATCGAAGAGAGCACTTTCATTCTCCGTCTCACATGTGTCGGGTGTAGATTTCTGATCTGGTATAAGGAGGCATCGAACAAACAGCGCGTTGTTGATGGGAGTTCCACAGAGCACACCACACGTCTCTAAGCCTGCCGCCGTGTTCTTGGAGGCAATTTCTAAAAATTTGGAGCGCAGACTGCCTGGGAGGAATATTGACCGAACAGGGTCCCCGTTTTCAAGATAGCCTCCAGGTTTAAAAGCCAGGCGTTCTTTCTTAGGTTGAGGTACTTGCACGGATTCTTTAGGTGGAAGAGGTGGCTGATTTATATCAACCAATGGTTGCGGAGTAGCATCTAGTGATGGGTAGTCACTAAGATAGGTCTTGCGTGGCACTTGAGGAGGGATAGTTGGTTCCAAATTGTTGAGTTTATCTTCGTACCGGGGTGGAGGCACATCGAAATGCTCCTTCGGCGGTCTTAGAGGCTGGGGCTCTCTTGATGAGGTGTGTTGGCTTTGCTCGTAGTCGACGGGCCTCGATTTGGAAAGAGATGGATAATAGTAATTGCTCGGGGTGACAGGGATGTTTGCCTCCTGCTCGTAAATTGCTGCATCGTAATCTCTGCGTTCTTGAGCCATGTCAAGTGTTCGTCGGGTTGCCTCCATTTGGCGCCGGAGATCGGTATCATCGAACTGTGATGTTCTATTCTCCACGCTACGCCCCTCACCACTCTCCCTATTTTTTTGCATTCGCGCATCCCAAACACTGCTATGTTTACTTGTACGTTTATCTCGGTCTCGTCGGGTTAATTCTTGCTGCGCTAAATCAACCGCCAGATCTTGATGCTCGGCTGCGTCAAGGATTCTTGCATTGCCGCTTAATGTAGGATCCCGAGCGGCAAAGCTCCCATAGGTCGATGATGCTGGTTGCTTACGCCCCTTGGCTGCGGGAGACGATGCTGTATGTTCCCATTCCTTATATGCAGATTGAATCTCTGGTTTCAGCTGCTCGAGATCTTTGATAACGCGGTCGATGCGCTTGGATAGCGATTTGAAAGCCTTCTTATTGTCGGGATCTTTGAATTGAGGATGTGTAGGCAGGAATTTGAGTACCAGGACGGAGTGTCGATAAAGCATCATATAGGCTCGTCCGAAGTCGCCATCTGATAAAGCGAATGATGCCTTCAAATGGTGTCAGCACCTGGATGGAGACGGAGAAACAGACACCGCAAGAGTCTGCACATACCTCTTGATAAAGCGTATCAGCAGCCCTAATCCAATGCTTCATAGCGATATTAACGTTGAAGGCAAAGTTCTCAGCCTGTGCCACAAGCTCCTTGACGCTCTGCGGCCGAGCCGGCGCCATGCTTGGACGGGCCTCCATTGCGATTTAGGCGAGATGGCTGTTTGGATAGTGTCAGAGAGTGTCTCTGCGAATCCTGACCGCTCTAGATTAAGGGTTGCATTCTAGAGGGCAAGGCTGCCGCCAAGAGCTGCAGAGATAAAGAGTTGCCTGGTAGGCAGAAAGATTGTTGTTCCTGGGAAGCCTGGTGCAACCGACAAAGGCGAAGCAGCATGTACGTACATGTGTTTTGCCCCTCCAACTAGGTACATAGTAGGCACCTAACAATGGCGGGGCAGGCGCTGAAGACTTGGGGAATGGAGGGAGGATTTAATTGTTTAATTACATGCGCAGGCTGGCTAGCGCAGCGCTCAGAGCACTATTGCGCCTCTATCGTGAACAACTCTTCAAAGGGGGCATCAGAGTCTGATATCTAGTGGTAGGGATATTGAAGACACGATCGTCTCCTACAGCAAGTCTTGCGACACAGAATCTGGCTGACGCCTTTTAAATAGATGCATTGATATTAGCCTTTGATTTAATTCATCTATTATTGTCTATTTTCCTCCACTGGCCGCTTGGGCTCCGGCTTGGAGCTGAATAATCTCAGTCTTCTTCTTCTCGATATTCTCCTGTGTCTCCTTAATCTGACCTTCTAATCTTGTACTACGCGCAGTGCTTAGGTTAGCTATGACATCAAAAGTTCACTTGCACAAGGTGGTGACCAACATTTCGCCTCCAATAAAATCCAGGCGGCCCTTGACGGTGCTCTCTGCCTCAAAAGTCTCCTGCTTGAGCAAGACGGGCCCTACAAGCTTGTAGACGACCTCATCCTCGCCAATATTTTCGAATTCCTCCAAGCCGTTAGCTTTCACGCTCCTCGTTGGCAAATCGACAGAACAAAGAATGCTCACCTTTTGCACACCAAGGTTCTCCTGTCTCTGGCCTTCTAGCTTTTGGCGCGAAGCCACTGTGTTTTGAAGGTCTAAAAAGCAAAGTGAATCAAGTCAGTTGGCATGAGACTCTTGTACCGGTCAAACTGGGCATGTGTGGCAGGGAGGCAATCCAATACTCACCCTGCTGGAGCTTTTGATACTCTTCAGACAGGGACTGCAGCTTGGCTTGAATCTCTGCCATCTTGGGTTGGCAGCGAAGTGTGCTGGCTGTTTACTGCTTCCAGCTCGTATATCGGAGTCCAATCTTATGTATCAGCCTAATTCCAATTCCACCAGACAGGACTGACTGAGCCAACTTCGCCGACGAGTGCTAGGTCGAATTGGCGACGCCCCGCTTAGTATTAACAGGCAGCTCCAAATTGCGCCCCGTTACAGAGGTAAAGTGTTACCCCGCCAGCGGTCAAGCCTCAGTCCCGGTAGCGCAGGTACCGAGTTATTGTTCGATGTTGTCGGCCTGCTTCTTGTCATCATCTTGCGTTCCAGTCGGTTGATAAAGCCTGCTTTGCCCTTGGTGATTGCCCCGGCGGCCCCTTCGATACCTTCCACGACAGCTCTCGAGCGACAGGCATCCATCGCTCGGCATCTTTCCCAAAGACCGTCTTGTTCTTGTTCTGCGCTCGCGTTTACGATTCCTCGGGCTGCGAAGAGGCGAAACCGTCATCATGTCCGTCAACTTTCGAGACCGGGCTATCGCCGAGGTCCAAAAGGCTATTGCCGCGGACAACGACAAGGAATACCAAAAGGCCTTCGATCTCTACATGTCGTCGATGGAGCTGTGGGTCAAGGCGCTGAAGTGGGAGAAGAACAAGGCCATCAAGGCCACTATGCAGGAAAAGATGGCCACCTACTTAGACCGCGCCGAAAAGCTGAAGCAATTCTTACAATCCGAGAGCGAGAGCAATGCGAACGGCGGGAAAACCCCCATGGGGGCCAATGGATCTAGCGCGGGAGGCAAGGCCAAGCCGTCGGCAGAAGACGAAGATAGCAAGAAGCTTCGCAATGCGCTGTCAGGCGCCATTCTTCAAGAGCGGCCAAACGTGAGGTGGGAAGATATTGCTGGATTGGAGGGTGCCAAGGAAACGCTGAAGGAGGCCGTCGTGCTGCCCATCAAATTCCCAACTCTGTTTCAAGGCAAGCGACAAGCATGGAAAGGCATCTTGTTGTATGGCCCTCCAGGAACCGGAAAGAGTTACTTGGCCAAAGCCGTAGCAACAGAGGCAAACAGTACCTTCTTCAGTATCAGCAGTTCCGATCTGGTGAGCAAATGGATGGGTGAGAGTGAAAGGTAAGTCATGTTGTATTAGATGATGGCGATCCACTAGTTCTCGTAGCTGACGATTACCTACTGATAGGCTGGTGAAACTCTTATTCTCCATGGCGAGAGAGAACAAACCGTCCGTCATTTTCATTGACGAGATTGATGCTCTCTGTGGCCCCAGAGGCGAAGGTGAATCCGAAGCTTCTCGACGAATCAAGACCGAAATCCTGGTGCAGATGGATGGTGTCGGGAATGACAGCAAAGGCATCCTTGTCCTGGGAGCGACCAATATTCCCTGGCAACTAGATGCTGCTATTCGTCGGCGATTCCAGAGGCGTGTTCACATTGGATTGCCTGACATTAATGGGCGTGCAAGGATGTTCAAGCTTGCTATTGGCGATACAGACACTGCTTTGCAGCCTAGCGACTATAACACTCTGGCGACCTTGTCAGAGGGCTTCTCGGGTAGCGATATCAGCAACGTTGTCCAACATGCTCTCATGAGGCCGGTCCGGAAAATTCTACAAGCTACACATTTCAAGCCAGTACGTTTTATTATCAGCTTAGTATGCACCTGTACCATATCCCCTACTAATCCTACGGGTTCCTAGGTAATGAAAAATGGCAACCGGATGTTAACTCCTTGTTCTCCTGGAGACGACGAGAAGATTGAAATGACGTACGACGATGTAAAACCAGACGAACTGCTGGCTCCGGATGTGTCACTCGCGGATTTCGAGATCGCTTTGGGCGATTCACATCCGACGGTGTCCAAAGACGATATCGAGAAGCAGATTGAGTGGACAAATGAATTTGGCAGCGAGGGAGCTTAGGGAATGGGCGTGTCTTTGAGTGTACATGGCACAGCGGCGCTTTGAGGAGTTAGAGGGGCATCTAGGCACTCTTTGCACATACAGTTCTGAATTTGGGAATCGTAATCCATTTTACTGGAAAAGACAAAAGAAGCTGTTCATATTCGATTCTTTCATAGTAGATAGTGGGGCCGTCGTTTTAGTAGGATGCGAGCTTTCTTAGGTCAAAGACCGGAGATGGATTGGAATTGTCGTTACAAGTTCTCTTTACCTCGGATAATTAATGATTCGCTGATTTCTTGGTTTAAAGTAGAAGCATCGTAGACCGCTGCGTGATGATATATTGCGCCACCAGTATTTGCAGAATGGAGTGCGGATGGCAAGACTAAGGCCGGTGAGTAAGTGCATGGAGTGTAGTGTAGCCCCGCCACACCGAGACTCACCTTGAAATCTTCACGAGTTGGACATTTTTCAGCTGTTTTCATCCTTTGTTTTTCACAACATACCAGCGCAATTTGCTTATCAACGCCTTTCATTCATGTCATTTTGTTTCCATAATGGACGCACAAGCTTGGCCAGGCCAATGCGCCGGCCTGCAGTGGCTTTTACTCGAGCCGTAGCGACCAAAGTGAAGACCACTGAGATGCTGAAGGCAACCAGCAAGGTAGCGGAACAGCTCGACGCGACAGGCATATGGAAACGCAAAGGCGGTCGAAAAGCGAGTGGTGCTCCAAAAGCGATAGAGCCTCATAGAGTAAACATTGTGAGCGAAAAGCTGTGCGGTATGTACCCCCTTCTTTTTCCTTGGCCGTTAGCTGAATGGCGGCGGTACAAGGCTGCTAGCTGCATACAACGAACTGACAGCTGGTCTTTCTGACCGACGCCGTAGATGATATCATAAAGTACATGGGCGCCTCATTAGAACGTCACAGAGGATGCGATTTGATTGATTTGAACCCTGGCGCGGGAGTCTGGAGTCGCAAGCTTCATAATTTCTTGGAGCCGCGAAATCACATCATGATGGACCTGGATGCTGAGCTGTACAGCCCATTTCTCAAAGATCTGATCTCGAAGGAAAACGTCCAGCTGATCCCAAAATCTGGTATCGTATGGAAGGATCTATTCGAAATGGTAGAGACAAATCTCTCTCACCAACAGGCTCTCTCTGCTGGAGCAGAGCCAACACGCAACGATACTCTCCTGGTTACAGCCAACTTATCCACATTCCCCAAAAAGTCTTTCTTGGGCTTCGATAGCATGAGCACCATGGTCATGTATCAGTTCATGTCTAGCATCAAGTCATCTTCTTTGTTTCAGAAATACGGGCTGGTGCGCATGCTGCTATGGGTAAATGACGAAGAGAAGCGTCGACTCATCCCTAAATCTCTTAATCGTCGCAAGCGAGGCTCATTTGAAGCCGAGCTTTCCTGCGAGTGGATTCATGAAGTGGCAGGACAAGAGTTGGAAGCTGAGAACCGCCATACGCTACGCGATGAATGGATCAACAAAGAGTCTGCTCTCAATACTCTAGGCAGGATGCAGGCACAAGGCCTCACAATGCCCAGGGGCCGAGGAGTGAAGACATACAAAGATTCGATAAAATCAAAGAAGCTCATAGGGCGGAAACTAGCCGGAGTTCATATGCCTGATATCTCACGACCTTTCAAAAAGGAACTGGAAGACCTCGAACACGAGTTTGTAGAGGACAGTGTGGAAGCCTCTGACAGGCTTAAATTCTTGCGTAGCAGAGAGAAGTATGAAGTCAATCACTACAAATTATTCTTGGAGCTGCTGCAGGGGTACGAGAGGATATCTGCTATGACGGAGGATGGCACGGGTGCGTTCGAGCAGGCTGATAAAGATTGGAACGAGATGATTGAGAATCTCAAGAAAAACCAGCGAATGGAGTTTAATCTTCTACGAGACAGCTACCACTTATTTCGCCAAGATCCCCCAGCGTTACTCTGGGACCGACGAGCATACGAACCGCTCGCCGCCAAGGCAGACGAATTCTTTCCAAATGCACCGACGGCCCTCCTGGATATCCAGCCCAAGGCCATGCATCCTCTACTGCGGCAAATCGGCCCCAACAGCAATCACGCCGGAGACATATCCGACGTCATGCTGCGATCTTGGTGGAACTTGACTCTTCTGCCAGTGCATAAGGCGATGGATGGCCTGTGGCCCGGGTTTGGTGACTTGATCACAGAGGTCTCCAGCTTGAAGGACATCCAACGCGGAGGGACGAGGATGACGGAACACGGGTCACTAAGCGCAAGGAGCATCAACGAGGGGCAGTGGACCGAGATACTCGAGACGTGGATGAGATGGCCGTTCAGGCCGACATATGGTCAGATGCTAGGCAGGATGTCAGAGGATGATGGGGATGGGGACGATGAAGACGTCAAGTCTGGTGCATTGGGAGCGGTAGTTTAGATCATTTGATGATGGCCTGGTGCTTTTACTGTACGATAAATGAATGCGGCTGTGGACGGTACAATTGGACAATTGTGGCTGCCAACTTATGTATCTGTATATAGACATGGACAATCACTATAACAATTATGAAATCACGAATACAGGGTACGACTATGACCGGGTAAAAAGAATTGAGCAATATTCAATCAATTAATTATTATTATGTTACAGTTGCATTCTTCATCGCTCATCGCTCGTCGATTAATTTGAAATCTTGGGATTGACCTTGCTTCTACATTTCGCATATAACATTAGCACCCTCTTTTGACTAATAAATCTCGGTCTGATTGATTACTTACCCGGTCACCTTCTCATACATTTCTCGGCCGGCATCGGTAATCTTTTCTTGGGTGTTGCGATCCATGTTGTAGCCAGCCTTCTTGGTGCCCATGCCGAAAGCTAAATGGAAAAGACGTAGTCACGTTAGCCATCCGTTCGTTCTCAGGTGTCTTATGATTTTAGACTAAGGGAAGATGAGAGTTACCCTTGTCGACGTAATCCTCCTTCTGGGCTCCTTGAGCCTGGGGAGCGGCAGCGCCTTGGGCAGCTGGCTGACCCTCGTTCTTGTGCATAGCGTTCTTGACGAAATCCATGGCTGATTGATGTATGTTTAAATAGTTTGATAATGTGCTTTGTATTCAGAACTCTGGTAACAAAAATTGGGATTCTATGATTCGAGTTTCAAGTATTCAGAAACCGAGAGGCCTTGCTCATCCTATATATACCCTTTCTTCACCCCTCATCAGTGGCTTACTCAGGGATCCAATCGAGATCTTTGCTTGCAGCCATGGCTGATAGCCCGGTTAATCATAGCTGACGAAATGAGCGAATGACGAAGCGGTTTTCGCTGTGCCTCGATTTCAAGCAGTTTGGCGCATCGAATCATAGCGTGCGGCGATGCCACCTTTCTCCGCATACGTCATAGTAGGGTCAACCAAGTACAGTGCTAGCATGTGATAAAAATCCGAGAATCCACCCAAAACCGCCAAAATCTCCAACCAGGGCAAGCTTAATTGGGGAAATGGCTGTGCGGTCCCCTGATGCCGATCTTGCATCATAGCGTACTTTGTATTTGTCGATTTACGTATGCCAAGTTTTGAGAGATAGATCATATCCAGCAGGTTTGAAATATCCTAAATATAGCCCAATGTAAATCAAGATTAGCTACACGCAACATGTTGCATACATACTATGCATGTTGCAGCTTATTAGGCCTATTCTTATTTACATTGAACCCTACATACAATACAGTCTTATTGTTAAGAAATTGCGTTTAATCTTTCCTGCTGCAGTTGATCCATCCCGTATGACCGCTGCCCACGATCTAATACACGACGCGCTGCCTCTCTATTACCGCTATAATATTACCCAGTTGTAAATAACAGATGCTCCATGAACGAAAACCAAACGTTCTAGCTCAGCAAACAAATTCCAACGCCCGCTCATAATGCATGTAAACGTTTTCAAAGCATCGTCAAACATCAAACATTCAGATAAACCCATCCAGCGTCAACATGACAAGAGATTATGTCGTCGTCTCTCCCGATGATTCGTCCAGCCGTTTCTTGAGGTGGGAATTTCAAGCTTAAGGAGCTTAATTCCTACCACCAAGAAAATTGACCATATTATTTTAATTCCGTTCCACTTGGTTCATTCTTCGCTTGCCATTAGAGTTATGACCTGGCAAAGACCTGGTAAGCCATAATCATTACCCAAAACAGAAAGATCGCTCCCGTCAAAGCCATGGCAAAGATCAAGTCCCAGCACTGACAGATCATCTTTTGCTCCAGCCACGCCAGCGTCTCCTGCGTCCTACCCTTCGGGTCCTGGTTGAAAACGTTCATGTTGCAAGTGCCCTGAATAGATCCGTTGGGCCCCCAGAGCTCGAGAGATACGACGACGAGACCCACGAGCCACATGACGAAGAGCATAAAGGCACCAATCATGACGATGGCAGGTAGCAGCCGACGTTGAGCAATCAACCAAAATATGCCGAATATGAATAAGATCGCAATGGCGCCGACCGTGATGTAGTAGGGAAAGTACCTATACCACGTTGCTGTTAGCATTCCACTGCTTCCCTTATTGATTGAGGAAAGGGATAGTCAACACGTACCAAGGAATTGGCAGCTGGAGTTGGTTCTGGATCTGGATGAAGTTTCCAAAGACGCCTATGATGGTGCTAGAGCATAACAGCATGATGAAGATCCAGAAATTGAGTTGCAAAGGCGGCCAATTGTAAGTTCGAATATGAGTCGTTACGACCTTGCGCTCATAGACGACAGAGGTGCCGCTTAGCATTGAGCGTGATCCCGCCATCATGATGGTTGTAGTAGTTTGGGTATGCCCAGCTCACGCTCGCTCCCGTCGTTATTGTCGTTGCCCGCCACTTATAAGTCAACGTTCTTTAGAAACCTCAATCGATTCTCCGTATTCCTTTGTTCAATCGTCTTTCGATTCGCTTATCGACGCTGGTAGGAGATTCTTTGGTTCGCCAAGATTCGCAGAATCAATACCTATGGTGGAAAATGCTTTCTGTCGTCTGCAAATAACAGTGTTGGAGAGGACCTGTCTGGGTATATAACCAGAGAGCAAGAGAAAACTCCAAGGGGCCACAGCTGACCGGATCTAGACCTCGTTGGTTCCGATAGGTGATGCGATGTGGAGCTTCCCTTCTGCTTCTTTGTTCTTCTTCTTTCGGCAGGCCACTCACAGGCCGTCTGATGTTCCGTATTTCGCAGCCGTGTGCTCCGTAATACCTCCTACCGGCACAAGACAATGCGCAAGACAATGCCCCGTACGAGCACTAGGTGAGAACAGAGGCGATCAATGCCCCTACCGTCCTGTCGGATGCCGGGCCCTTGATGCGGGTTCCCCCTCAGGGCCTGCTTGAGCGCCCAACCAGCTGCTGTGTAAAAGCCCAAGCCCCCACTATGGGCGAGGATGTGGATGAAGCGTGTCGAGCACTGATTGATGAATCTCGCTGAGGAATGTCGGTCGAATCAGTCTTCCCCTTGCATGTGCGTCGGTTGCTGGAGGGGATGGCGAGGCGTGAACCGGGATGCTCCGTAGAGACTATTGACGCTCACCGCTTATGAAAACTGCTCAAAGGATATAAGTGACAGATGAAAAGAAGAGGAGAGAGAGAAGAGAAGATTGGTCAACAGCCGATGCGATGCGACAACTCATGTACATCAAATGCAAGTGCGCGCGTTATTGCTGCAAACTTCTAGTGGGCGAGGAGGGGCTGCCATAGTTCATATTAGAAGGCGGTATGGCGGTTTCGAGGTGGCTGGCACTGCTGTATCCGTCTCTCGCTTTTTGCTGGTAGCTAAAAATAAGATGGCTGGGAAGAGTCTAGGAACGGGAGATTCGCAGCTAATGAGACGCTCAGGTACATGCTCCAGTCCTGCAGACTAATACAGCAGGTGAAGTCTAAACCTGCCTTGTTACTACTCTAACCTTTTCCACGCAGTATCATGTTCGGCTGTAAGTAATAGAACTTTTCCTTAATGTATAACGCAGCAATTATATGTCATATGTTTATGCCTTTGCAAAATTATTGAGAATTAAGCAGCCACCCAATGATGCTATGGGCTTTATAGTGGGCAAGTTCCAGGTACTAAAACAGCCGCCGACAAAACGAACGCAAGCGCTTTATTTACAACTTTTCGCGTCTCTCAGTTCGGAAAGGAAGAGTGTTATGATTTAGCTAATGAATTATTCACTTATCAAACAGTTAAGAAAATGATGTTCAGGCTTACCTTGCTTCCCCCATAGAAGAGTAAATAGTAATTAGTGGGTTTCTTCCCTCCGTTGGCTGTATCATTTTTACAAAGGTACTCAGCGGAAATAAGCGTCCAACTTCCTACTATGTAATAAACAATAAAGATGCCCGTTTCCACGGTCATTAATCCCAAAAGGCCATTTCCAGATCAGGTGTAAAGTGATACAGTGCAGATACCATTGTATACACTTTTGCAATGCAGCGCCAAGTCACTGAGAGTCCACCTAAATAAGCTCTACTCCATTCCAGACTTGCCTGATCATGCATGAGCTTGCTCTAAAAGTACAAGATATTACACAATAATTAATCCATCAGCACGTTAATATGACATCAATCTAGCGGCTAAACAAGTCTGCTGTTGATTCGCCTTTGAAGAATAGTAGCATCTATGAATACATAGCTGCCTTCCAGATTTTGGGGTGCCATAGTAACACCATTTTCCCGCGTTTATATTAGTCTTATACTTCACTCTTAAACCATGGTCTCGATTCCTATATACGAGTATCTTGTAAATAATGAGTACACTCAATCTATACCAAACTCATCATAACTTCTCAGGTTCCAGGCCGGGATACACAAGCGATGAAGACATATGGTAATACTTAGAATCGATAAACTCCCAGACCGTTCCCCCTTCTATCTTCGCGACCAATGATTTCCCATCTTCCGATATAGACACTTGCCTTCGTCCAATGTATGCGCTCGTAGGGTTCTCTAATACATGCAATATATAGCCACCATTTCCGGCCCAATCTATCGTGAGATATTCGTTGGTCGATTGATAAGGCTGTTTCGCGCACATTTTGCCCTCCCTATCGCAACCAAGATACGCGCCGGAGACAGTATTGCGGAAGCCATACCAGCCGTCCTTCTTAACACAGCTCCAGAAGCTGCCACCGCCAGAATTAAGCTCGGGTAAGCATTTCAATACTCCACTGCAAACAGTAACGAGGAGGTGCGGTTCTTCTCGACTTCGGATCAAGAATGTTCTGTCTGCTATAGGTGGACTTCCAAGTGCTCGAATATAATCACTGGGTCGTAATTTTTGGTCATTTTTGAGTATATATTTGTTTGTCAGAGGCATAGGTTCAGAAATAGTGGAAAGAGTACTCGTGGGTGTGGGAATGTTGCCCGTTGAACTGCTGGTGCTAGCGAAATCAGACACCTCTTGCCAAGATTGTTCGTCCATTACACAGGTATATGTATCTTCAAAGAAATCTACGAAGCCCTACCTCTAGGAACCACGGGCGACTTAAATATTTCTCGAAAACAGCCATGCAAATTTACATGTTGCCCATTACATTGTGAGCAATTCATTTAGAAGAGGAGAAGCGTTCGTGCATTCCAAGCCATCCAAGTAAAGCGAATTTACTTTCAATAGCCCAGCCTTGGAAATGATGGGTGGAGAAAGTGAAGGACTGTTCTTACTACCAGGTAATAGTTGAATACAGTCTATACCAACCTGACGGTTGCAGAGAATCCACAGTAAGGAGACAGTGCAAGCCACGAATAGCGAAAGTTTAATAAGAAAAGGCACACTTGTTGCGGTCAGTTTTGTATGACTTGTCACAGTATCTCACATGCTTTTTAATTGTTTCAAAATGCGTACATTTCGCTTTTGTTTAATGTATAGGCATTGTTGGGTGCGCTCTATGCGGAATTAAGAGATATATGCATGCGTGCTACCACAGCTTTCCATCCGTCACTCTAAAATTAGACAGTATAGGTATTTATAAAAATGAAGATGTTCAGCTTGTATCTTCTTTTTTTTAAAAAAAAATTTAGTTCAATTACTATACATCTTCATTCATATATGTCATACAAATTCTCAGACTGGTTTTTACATCAACTACATGCAATGAGCAAGATAATACCGCAGCTTACTTATCTCGCTCTTCACGTCTATTCCCTATCATCCGAATGGAATACCAGTGCTCGAACCTCAATACTCTCCCGCGCTGGCGCATCAGCTGCAGCACTTGGGTCCACAAATGCCGTGTGTGGCACCCTTCTAGCTCTTCCATCTGTCTTGCTGTCAAAACACTTGATCAAGAGGACCTCTTCAGGGGCCAATCCGGATTTGTAGAACCACCTCTGTGTTTCATTATGCCTCACGCCCAGAGTTTCTCCATTTCGGTTAGGATAGATCAATGGCACGGGCACAAGATCCTCTTCTGCGACCGAGTGTGCTTCAGCAACGGCCAGCGGATCCCGCTGGATCTGTCGAATCGGACGCCAAACATTTATTAGCTGAACTCGTCCCTTTACAAGCTCATCTGCTTCCTCGGGAAGATGAAATGGGACACGAGAGAGAGCTGCACTGTAAGATTGGTCAATGTGGACGCGATTGACGGGGCCACGGAAAACGGTAGAGTTTGAGCCGGCGACATCGCCGGGGAGAGGACGGCGGATAGTATGATCAAAAATAAAGATTTTGGATGCTCCAGTTCTTAACACAAAAATTAGTACATACAAAAGGAAAAGGATAGAAGGGAGGGGGACAGGATAGGGATACTCACACGTCTTTGAGAAGCTGTTCCGTCTCTGGGTAGTAATGTGCCTTAATATGATCATCGTCCACAAAATCCTTCTCAGCTGAAGTATGACGGTGAAACTGGAATCCGTTTTTGTCAAGCGTATAATTATCCTCTTGACCCGCAACGTCTCGGATGGTCACTTTATGCTCTTCCGTCGGTCGTTCATTAAATGATGCAGGCTTCCCAGCGTACTGAGGAGTAGGAGGAGAGCCGTCTTCATTATCTTTGTGAAAGTTAAGAGTGGTATCTACGTCATGCTTTGGGATCTTCTGTTGAACGCTCTTTTGATCAAGAAGGGGTTGAAACTGGACTCCTTGAATGGAACCAAAGCCAGAGCTGGTGGAAACGCTCTGAACCGCTGCTGCTGCCATTGTTTTATATTCTGTTCTTTTGAGTTTGGATTTTACGATAGAGACGGAAATCAAGGGATTTGAGCTAATTTTTATTATTCACTTTAAAAAAAAATAGGGGGGGAAGGTGTGTTATGAAACTTTATAGCATTTCCCGGGTCCTGTGCGTTCTATATAGTTACATTTCTCAGAGTATGCCTATCTATTCCCCGCGAGCACGTCATTTTTAACAGCCATTCATCAGGGGAGTTGATCATCCAATGAAAACCTACTTGTCCAACAAAATCGAAGCACTATTTCATAATCAAGATTTAGTTTCAACACTTTCCCCTCAATTGTTTGGTCCGAGGTAACCTGATTTGAAATCCGCATTACCAGTCTCACATTTGTCGTTCGACCAAGCAAGGGCGCGAGGGCGGGGATAGCTGCCAGAGTGCGGAATTAGGATACATATGATGTGTCAATTAGACTTTAAGCGAAATGAACGAACCTGCCGAGTATTACAAATTCTAACATTTCTTAAGCTTACGCACTACAGTTCGTCTTACAATCTATGAGATAGATCAATGATGAATGGTAACATCGGAGATCATCGGTACAATAGGAGAACGGTTAAGTCTCCAGGCTACTGTGTCGTATCAGTTTTCAATTCATTTCATACGTTCAAGACATAACTCTTTTGATAAATAATTGTTATGAGGTAGTAAACAATAGCTGCTCTGGCCTGCCATGATACAGCTCTAAAGCTTGGGCTCAGCTTATAGTCTTGAACTTAAAAACACGGAACTGAAACTTCCTCTCTATACATGTATCTATAATTACCGAGATAAGCGAGGATGTGGCCAATTTATTCATATTTATGCACGAGCCGTGTAATAGACGTCCCGTCATCAAGAACTTCCGTCTCTTCCTCCAGTGTATAACCTCTCCACTTGGGCAAAAGAATTGTCCACACATACCAGTACAGAACACCAGCCACAATCCTAGTAAAGAATATTAGTTTCCATATAACTAGTGACACTGGAGTGGGAAGATTGATGACTTACGTGCTCATGCCCACCACTGCATAAGTTGCATACCAGAGTCCTCCAGAGGGTTTTCCTTTCGGAGGGAAGAACGGCGCCGCAAGGAGTGCAAGACTTAAGAGCGCTCGAGCTACAATGGTAGATAACCACGCTTTATAAGGCCTCTTCAAGTCTGGTCGCTTGAATCGCAACCATATAAGGCCAACGCCCAATGCAAGGCTGAAAACTTGACTGGGATAACCCTCCACATCGAGGATGAAGGAGAATGCTTCCGAAGTTGGTGGTAACACAATAACCAAGAATGAAGGGACAAGATTGACGATGAGGCCACCCAAAGGTGAGTTGAATGGCTTGGTTGATGCAAGGATATCCGAGTAAGGTAAAAAGCCCTGCCTGGCAATCTCCTGCTTTAATCGGGCCTGATAATCATAGACGTTAGCCCAAGGTCATCGACTCTGAACAAATGTCCTTTATCGTGTCACGTAAAATAAAGCATAAAAGACAGCAACTTACCATTGCAAATGCCACAACAAAAACATTTCCTACCGCAGAGAGAGCAACAGCAAGAGGCAAAATCGTTTTACCCACCTGCTCACCAAATACACGCCGAAAGAAGAGCGCCGCAATGAGCTCTCCGCTTCCCTTGATTTCATCAAGAGGAATAACGATGAAGTATGCGATGTTGATGAGCGCGTACATGGCGCAAGACGTGCCCAGTGCAGTCAATGTTACGGAACGCAGTGTCCGTACAGGGTCTTTAACCTCGTTCAGCACGTTGCTGATGTTATCCAATCCAGCATAAGAGTAGAAAACTTTGAATAACCCCGTCGAAATGACTCCCCAGTTCCAAACACTGTCATCCCACAAGTGATCCCACGACAAGGGGTTACCGCCCGATGAGGTGTTTAGCGTCGGTCGGAAGAGTACGACGTAGAGACCAGAGAAAATCATGAAGATGATGATGCCAATCTTGACCCAACCAAGAAAATCTTGTATCTTGATGCCTGCCTTGGGAGCCAACCCGTGAGTCGCTGTCACCACCATCAGCAGAGCAGCAGCGACTGCTTTTGCAGCCCAGCCACTCGCATTTTCCACTCCAAAAGCAAAGAAGACGTAGCGGCTAAAGATGATGCAGTTGCTGGCGGTAAACCCTAGGAACACCGCGTTGATGGCGACTAGCGTAGTGGCAAAGAACCGTGGATATCTGTAAGTAAATTCAAGATAGACTTTCATGCCTCCAGACCGGGGCAGCATGCATCCGTACTCGAGGGACACGGACAGACCAGCGGCTGCAACGAGCGTACCGACAATCCATAACAGCAGTGACAGTCCAGGGCTTCCAACTTGCTGAAGAATAGCTCCAGGCGTGGCAAATATACCGCTACCGATGACTCTAGATATCACGATGATATAGGCGCTCTGCCAGCTTAGTGTTCGGCCAAGAGCAGACGTCTCTGGCAGTACATCGTCTTCGACTGCCCGCGATGGTTGGATCTCGCCGGCATTTTCCGTTTCGCTCAGCGTCGCCACCGTATCATACTTGTTGTCATCTGCTCCCACAGGTAATGGGCTAGGAGAGGCTTGGAGCAACGGCTGCCTCTCTCCATTATCGTCGCTGGTATCACGGCCAGCCATGATGTATCCTTTGGCACTACAGCTGGCCAAAAGCAGAACTCGAGAACTATAGCGAAGAAAGAAAGGGAAGGACAGAATGGCTTTTACTTTTCATTCTCCTCTTATCGGGCACGAAAAAACAAAGAGAGACGCTCTACTGCCCAACGGCCAGTTCGGATCGCCAATAATACCCATTGCTACCCAGAACCATCTTTGGCGCTGATAAAGCTAGAGAGGCAATGCCCACACACAGCAGAGCAGGCACTCTGTCATTCCCGAAGATCCCATGGCCGGCATGACATACACATGAGACGCGTCCTCGTCAGCCAAAACGTTTATTGCGCGATTGGTTCCATTAATAAGGCAGACAACGCCGCCCGTGGCCAGTTGTTGAGACACCCAAATTCCATGGCGCGAGTCTCAAGCGCTCGCACGCCATCGCCTTATTGCCGCAGATAAGAGGTAAGCACTTGGAGGCTCCTAATTGAACTTTTCTGCTAGCGATGGGGGGGAACAAGTTTAAGCTCTAGCGATGCTGTCTTGATAACATTTATATGGAGTATACAAGCATATATATGTAGAATGCCTGTCGTTGGCATGCGTGGCGGGTAGTACAGGGTATAATTCCATACCTCGCAATGCGCGACATTGAATGCTGCACGCTCTTAAAGTGAACACCGGATCCGCTTCCCTGCGAATTTTCTAGACGGCGTTGTCTAACTAGTAGTCCTCCGTAGCATACTTGCTAATAAGATTCTAAATGGGCTGAGAAATTATTAGCTCAGGGGAATGGAAAGCCAATTATTCAGTTTACCTAGCTAAGTCGCTATTCAAGTAGCTGGCTTTGTCAACTTGCGCCTCCTTTCAGCCATCAGCTCTCCTTATTAAGCAAGGATGATCAAGATCAGGCTTGCGCATTGATTGAGATGATGCCACTCTGTTTCGGTGTTTCCCTTGGCTAAGGCAATGTCGCAGCTTATGGATAACACATTGTTTTATTTTGAAAGGTCGTTCTGAGTAGAATATCGATTCGTTAATTAGAGATGTGAGCCTTTTAGCATAGAACACAAAATATCAGCAGTGATCTTTAGTACAAGCTGTTTTACATTTCAAGTTCACGAACGGCCCATTTACGTATTTCTAGGCTAAAGCTCGATCTGGTCTGTCTCACAAGCATTCGTCACTTACCCATGAGGTTTCGGATAACAAAGAGACCGTCCTTTTCCAGAATTCGATTCTTAACTAGAAGCAAGTTCCAGATTCATTCACTCTCCAGGATAGCTCCGCCTTACCCACCCCGATGCCTAGAACGTAGAGCTGCTACGGGCGATCTCCCGACAGATCTAATCACGATGAGATCGGAGGTTGAATAGTAAGGCACTAAGCACAGAACTATTCTAGACCGACTGCCTCAAAAAGTAGTTTTGCAGCTATATCGCAACCGATGTTTTATATATCAGGCCACCAAAGAACTATATGACTCCATAAGCGTCTACATTTGCTTTCCACTGGTGTTTCATCTAAGCTTAGCCGCACATCCAGCTCCCTCAACTCAGGATCCCAACCCACAAGTAAGGTCTCGACCTCTTCTCCTCCAGGGAGGGTAAGAAAAACCGCAAAGGTAAGATAGTATCCCTTCGCTCGGATGCTTGTAGTGCGTTGAGCCGCCGCACCCCTCTTGCATGAGTTTACCATACTCCTTCAAGATCCACAGTTGATCGACCACCCAGCTCTAGCCTGTGGACACGACCTGAAATCCGTTGAGATTGTCTGGGCCTATCATTGCAGTATAGTACGGAGTAGTGGCCATGTTATCGGCGACCTGAAAACGGTGTGCCGTCGGTGATCCTTGATGCTTGCGCAGGCTTGATTGGCTTGAATCCAACGTCAGGCAGGTGAACGGGATGGCTTATGCGTGGCTATCGAGTGAACGACCTGCCTTTTGTTTTAGTGCGTCACTGTTGACCCATCTACGCGAACGCATACTGCATATCCTATGTGTATTACATATCTACCTATCAGTGTGCATTCTACCCACCTAAACTCTTAGGTTGAAATAATCATCAGCAACTTGTATCAATAATCTACTAGGCGGAACAGCACAAGATATTAAGTCTTTGTATCTAGCTATATACTAACCTCTAAATAGGTGGAGATGAATGATTATGGCAGTCAGTAGAAGAAACGGCTCGAAGTAAGCCTATAGGTAACTATATGTGTATACATGTACTTTCAATCACACTCCTCATCCGAGTATCGGATATAGTGCTGCAGTCGATAAGTAGGGGGTTTGTATCTTTTGCCTCTAGCCTTGTTACCTCCTTGAATCCTAGAATCACTAGAGAAAACAACCCAATGCTACTTATCATATTCTGACACTTACGCCCTTGCTTGGCATTGCATGATCCCAGTCTAGCTGAAAGGGAGAGTTTGAGACATCTGCGGCTGAAGCGGGCCATGAAATAGAACCACGGGCGCAGTAGTGATTATAGTGCCAAGCATGACGTATTGTTCGTCTATTTGGGCACCGGGACCCTTAGGGGATGTGATATGTCACTTGGCTATCCCGTGCATATTGTACTCTGTCAAATTGGCCATTAGGAGAATCACGGCCTAGGTCCCACGCGAAGCAAGGCTACTTAAAAATACGTGTAGTTTATACAGTATATGCGGAACATGTCATGCAGTAGCACAAGCCGGTTACTTCAAGAGATTCGAGGCGCAGTAGCAGGTATGTTGTAGCTGATGAGACAACAGTCTCAGATGGGGTGAGCTTATAAAAGAGACATGAAGCAGGTTTTGGTAATATAGTGTCTATTTCTCGAACTTCGGCTGCCATCGAATATGACTATAGCATGCACAAATGCTATTCCTTGCTGTCAGGTGATAAAATACCTGCCTTATTTGTTCACACTTACGCTACTTGTTTCACCCTCTCGATACTGTCCCCCACTCAGAATCTCGTTCTTAATTGGTCTCGTTCCCGAAGTCCATTTTCAGTTTGGGGGCCGATTTCTTCTCTTTCACCTATCTACTCTAGAGTCTTGTTGTCTCTTCTTGGCACTGGGTTTGTGCTTCGTTTCTCAGGTATCAACAATTTCGCGGGTGCGCACCACTATGCACACGCGCATGCGTGTTTTGGCCTTTTATGCAGTTTGTTTCACACCTTTTATCGCGCTACATCGACGCCACCAAGCAGCTTGGAAGGTAAAAGTGTATGTTCTCTTCGTGCTGCTTCTACACATGCCCTCTTATACTAGAATTAGCAGGTAAATATATATTCATAATAGAGCTTATTCATAATAGAGCTTAGGTAATACGGCAACTACTTGTAATAGATGTCTACAACCAGCAAGGATATCTCTCTTAATATAAGTAGGCATTGCTACCTAGTGATATTACTCTACGAGAGAAACAGCAGGGTGTCGAGAGCCTGCCTTTAAATGATACATAGAGTCAATACAAGCTCGGTATCAACACAGCCAATAACACTGCGTTTATCACCGGAGCTACCTCCGGGTTTTCAGGGTTGTTGGGATGTCATCATCCATGTACGTCAATTGGTCACCCATCAAGCTGAAGGTCTGTAAGTTTTGTCCAGGATATCCTTGTATTTACGCGCACACATATCCCAAAAACGTATTTAACATGCACATGCTGGGTCATACCTTTGCTCTGCAGCTGTGATCTGGGTTGAGGCTGCTGTATTGTAATCCCAAAAGGCGATATCAACTAACAGTGTGAAAGTAGGGCATAGCTCGTTGTTAGGCTGCTTCTTAGCACAGCCTCACCAAGTTATCGGTCCACAATGACGGCGAGGGGAAGAGTTTAGAAACAGCCACCGCAGGGAGGTGGTAGGGGGGAAGAGCCAACGATGAAATCCGCGGTAAATCCATCAGCGTATAAAAAGGAAAGAAAAGGCTAAACGAGACTGTCAAACACCCTTGTCCCCCCAACACCACACCAAAGACGCAGTGCCGAGTCGTGGCATCAGGTAGTATTGTAGCAGTATATACTGTTACATTCAACTCAGTACGTCTTTTCAGCTCGTCGCTTAGCCAAATTTCATTTCCTCATGCGGAATGCGCATGAGAAATCAGCATTAACCTCCCCCGCCACGATGAAGACTTGACAACGAGCAGTAGTAACACGTTCTGTCCTGTAGCGCTAACAACATTCAAGCCCATGTCCATTCACCACGCATCTCTAGTGACGCCATAGGCAGACTGCGCACCTATGCAGCAACTCCAATTGTCGCAAAATCAGAAATGGATATATAGTATATGCATAATACAATTATATTATATTTTTATTATAATATATCGCTATCACCCTGGTGAATTACAATGTCTCACAAACTCAGTTGGCCATTACATCGAGATGGCGTTGATCCAACAGCTTGATGTCTCTGATTGCAGTAGATGACCTAGATTGAACTAAATGGCCCTGATTTTAGTATGACTTATATCAGCTCGCAAGTATGAAGCCTAAATGCACCTGGAGCTACTTTTAAAAAGCAATTTTTGCTCATAGCACAGCATCCGGCTGTCCTGATTCGTCCTCGGTTTTAGTACTGCTATCTCGGCTAAGCCACAGCCAGCCGTCCCAAACAAGAGATAGCAGCCCCTTTATGGGGCAAGGAGGCTCCTTCGGTCCAGCCCAGGCGCCTTTGACGGCCGCAATGCATCTACCCGGTCTTTTGAATAGGTGTCGACAGTGGGAATCTCCCAGTAGAAACGCCTTTGACGACATCATGCGGATATAAGTATCAGGCGAGGAAAAAGAAAGGCGTCCAATAGCGCCGCCCATTGGGGGTTAGTTGTGGTCATCATCCTCATCATCCATGCATATCGTGAACACTGCGAAGTTCTGGTCCAATCGCCAGCTCCGATTAATAGCAACCTGGCATATTCTCAGCATCGAAGCTAGAGCCTGCTTTTCGGTGCGGCTGCGACCCTGGCTGCAGCCCAAGTCACTGTCTCAGTGCCGCTGTGCCAAGCCATGCTTCAATCCTACATCTACGCCTACCGTTCATTTAGGAAATTTGTCAAGATGGAACAGATAAAATAACAAGTAGTGAATAAAATCAGGACGTGAGTACACGTGTATACCGTTCCCCCCCAGAAACTTGTACCTATTTCCTACGCCGATAATCCTGTCTAAGCCCCTGGCATTTCCTCTAACCTGCCGAGTTCTGTCTAAACCTAACTGCCCGTTTTCCTCATGGCTTTGTATTACTTCGTACTGCCTATGAAATCCAATGCTGTAAATCTCCGACAACTTGATAGGTCGGATTGGCAGAGCATCCATCACCGCCTTTCTGATCCCACGCCCACCGGTCCGCGTAGTCTGCACCGAGGAGGCCATGTAGCATGTCCGCGATGTAATCGCCAATCACTGGCAAGAATTTCCAACCGTGAAACGAGCCGCCAGTAGCCACGTATAAGCCTTCGCAATGAGGGTGAGGCGAAATGAGGAAATCATGAGTCGGTGTAGAGGCATCCCTGGAAGATTTTTGTCTAAGTACATATTCTTCAAAGACTGCAGCGAAAAACGGGATGCTTACCAGCAGATACGGTATGATTCTATGGAGAGGTTTTCAACTTCCTTGCCATACAAACCATCAAATGTCATCCTTGCACGCTCTTTGAAGAAGGGTACGAAATCTGGACCCGTCCATGTGTTGTAGTCTGATGCTTCGGGAGTCATTGACATCTTCTCGCCAGTGATGGGGTTGTTGACGTAGTTGGTAAAGCACATATCACAGTTGAACTTTATGGTGCCATCTTTCAGCATTGACATGCCCTCGCCTATATCCGTATGGTAAGCGACTGTTTCCTGCGGTCGTGTGAAATACCCATGGCTACAGGGAGTGTAATCCTTGGTTATAATCCTTGGAGGTGGGGAACGGGAGGGGAGGAAAGTCTATCAGAAAACGAAGCATTTTATGATAAAACGCACCTTTAACCTCGGGGAGGCAGTTCTTCAGCACAGGGACACCGGAAAACTTTTCTTTCTGCTCGCCGCGTAGCTTGGAGCAGAAACTAATGGCACCTGTTGCCACCAGTCGGTCGCCGATGTGTAGTTTCTTGTTCTCAGGAGCGCTCTGGACAAGCAGAGAGCCTGTCCTGGCACCGGTGCAAAGCAAGATCTTTTCTGCTTGCAGGGTATGGCCGTTGGTGAGCTCGATCCCCACGCACTGGCCGTCGGGACCGAGATCGAGCGACTTCATCTCGCCAACGACGTACTCAACCCCCAAATCCACCGCAGCTTGCATGACGGCCTCCAGTGCCTTGTCCGCTTCTGCATATCCCACTGTGGGGTTGAATAAGATCTTGTCCAAGTTACCGAAGCATGCTGTAGCATACACCCCGTTCCAGCGTTTCCGCACCTCATCAACAGGTAAGAACTCTGCATTATTGGCAACACCAACGGCCTTGTACGACGCAATGCTTTTTTCACCAAAGTCAGATGCATCAGCTCTTAGCATGCCAACTTCATGGTACCAAGGGCTGTAGAGCTTATCGGCACGCCACATGGGCATAGCCTTGAGGAGCATCCGCATGTAGAGCTTGTCTGGGTAATCATCCCGCACGATCTTGTTGATATCGTGTGAAGCGGCTCTAGGGTTCGGGAAGGGAGCGGTATCAACAATAGTGACCTTGATACCTCCCTTCCTAGCGAGACTAAGAGCCGTGGCAGCACCAAAATTTCCTGCGCCAACAATGATAACTGATGACACGTCACTGTGTATAGAAGAGTTTGACGAAACGGGCGAGGTTGGCTCAGTGTCCGTTGCCAGCTGTGGTGATGGGGGAGAAGACCCTGACTTGAAGGCTTCAGACATGGTTGTAGAGATTTGCATTTTGGACAGTATCAGTCCTTGTAGGTTGTAAGCTTATGCTGGCAAGTCAAGATAGATTGCAGATATTGAGATGGAATAAAACGAGAAGAGATATTTCAAATGAAAGTACGAACACCAATATGATAGATGAGACGTATTGGGGTTTTAAGGCGTTCTTCTAGAGGGTGAAGAGCTCGCTCTGACTTGCTTGAGATGTTGAGTCCATTAGAGGAGGAAATAACTTGAACTTTATACTCGGAGTTTTCAGGCATAACATCAAGAAGACGAGGATTTAATTGGGGGCAAGCTTGAACCGACAATTTACATAAGAGGCAGCAAAAAAAAAAAAAAAAAAAAAAAAAAAGGAATGAGCCAGGGTCCACGGAAGAGCAAGTGGTGTGTTGATGCCCTCGCGCATGCGGACACCCCCCAGCAAGGCAAGAATGTAGGGAATCCATGCTATTGGGGAGTCAGCTGGCTAGAGCCCAACGATATCGGGGGCTGTATGAAAGCGATTAACCTGTCAAGAACAAGCCCAAGAAATTTCTCCAAGTTGTGACATAAAGCTCACCCCCAACTACGTGGGGATGAGACTCGGATAGATACAAGGAAGCGGGAAATAGAACCATGGCTGCAGATCCGAAGAAAGGGGAAAATAATCGTATGAGGTGTATGATATGATGGCGCATGAATGGCCCTATCATGGAGAAGCCGAGACCACAGCCTGGGCCGTACTTGAGCTGTATGCCCCAAGACCCAAGGCCCGGCTTTTACAAACAGGAGACAGTTCCAAAGGCAGGGAGGAGTTAGGGACAAGTTGAACCTTGCTCCGGCTGGCGGAAGCGGGAACAGGAGGGTCGCATCAGCGGAGATATGAGGATGAAAAGCAAAGCAATGATTGATGGAGGCATTCATAGAGCGGAACTAGACGAAAAAAAGAGCCTGCCGGGACTCTGTTCTGGCTCTGCTAATTGGGGCGTGTAGTTAGTTAGCGCTGTGTAATGCTGGTACCAGTTGACGCGGAACACTGATAAACATCAGCTTGCTTCTAACAGAGAAAAAAAGAAAGCAAAAACGATACTAGGAGTAAGAAAAAAGCAAGGGGATAACAGAGATTCGATCGATCCCCAAGACGGCCTAGACAGGTACCTACCGTTTACGTGTAAGCTTGAGGCTAAATGGCGCCTATAGCATGTTGCCTGCAGCTACCTGCGATGCCTTCTCACTAAAATATGGAACACCATGCAGTTGAGGGCCTCTGTGCTACCCATGTCGATGTACGACGACGTACGTACATTGTACGGATGCCGAGCTAGGCGCCGTCAAAGGGAACGAGCTGCGCTAAGTCGAGCGTCGTCGGATGCCGTGTATGTGTGCTCGTCGCTGTGTGCAAATACGAGCACACACAGACAAGGACTGGCGTTGATTCTTAGTGGAGACTCTAAACCTGGGAGCAATTAAACGCTCAATGACACAGAGTACTGGACATAGTTCTGACAGCTGGTCCTTGTTCTACCGCAGGCCCTGGCAAGTAAAGACTCCGCCAACGCGGCTGCTGCCCCTTTCACGCACTCTGATGCACGAAGACGTCTGCATACATGACACACGAATATAGCCAGTGTGTGTATTTTACCCCGGCCTGCTCGCTTCCTATCACCCGGAGCATACCCCGGCGAGCATCCTCAGAGCACGACTGCATGCCTTTTCTCTGTTCCGAGGTGCTTCACTACATGTAGTGATCTGTATCGTCCTAGCCCGGCCCTCTTATTGTTCCTTCTGCCAGCTGATTTTCCGAGGCATCAAGTACAATAGTAAGTAGCACTACTACCTCTACTAGCAGCAGTAGCAGTTAGCAGGACACGTCCGGCGGCTGCGTGGTGGAGACAGACCATGAGTGCGACTCCAGGCAAACTCAAATCTCCTTGTTGTCTCTTTTCTCCCGATTTCCTATTTTCGATTCTCGCCCCTCGTCTTCTTGTTCCCACGCCCCATCTCCCCATCTCTCCCCATCTCCCATCTCCCTCCTCTCTTGCCCCAGCGATCGCCCTAAGAGCCAAGCTTCGGTCGGCCCCATCGGCCCCTCCCCCCTAGGGGATCCATTGTCTCTGCCATTACAAGTAAGTAATCTTTCTCCACAGGTTGCATGCATGCATAGTCGTCGTACCCGATCCCGCCGTCGCGTTGTGGATACTCCTGAGCCCGTCCTGGCCGTGGTAGGCATAATTGATATTGTTTAGCGTAGCATGGGATGTTTTGAGAAGACATTGCAAAGTTTGTTGATAGGACAGGACACATGTAGCCAAGAGCATGCAGTGGTGGGCAATAGACAGCGTGTATTGCAGCTTATGTTGCCTGTACGTTCTGCAGCAGCAAGCTAGTGGTATCGGTGTAGAAGTGTGTGCGATGGGGTGCTTCTTCCTGCGCATCCAAAGGACATGGGGGTTTCCGACTGAGCTGACCAACCCTAGCACACACAGAAGGACGGAGATGGTCTCTTCCCGCTGCTACTGGTTGCTCTGTGGCCAAGGTGTTGGCTGTACCTGACACGCATCGGACTGTAACGAAGTCGGAAATAGAGCGCCACTCGCTCGCTAGCGTTGGCCACCTAGCTTTAGCTCCGCTTCTCGATATCAATGCAGAAACCTCGTCGACGTCTTGCAGTCGGTGAATCAAAATCGTCGTGGCACAACTGTGTTACGTACAGGCCAACGCGCTGAGATTTGTCTTCAACCTCGAATAGGATAATGTTTCCATGCTGGATTCTGGCAGGACGAAAGAGACAAGAGAGATGAAAGACATAAAAGTATGAGGATGGCCTATAATGTTATGGTTCCTTCTTGAGCTTCATTCATTTCTTCCAAGTGCTCATTAACACACTCTAGGCCCGCACCATTCATAGGCCACGTGCCTCGTTGTCTTTCGAAATTCATTCGCTCCGAGTATGACCTGTACGGGCAGAGTCCGTGGGTCTAGTACGCTTCAAGATGGTGGTGTGTTGAGCCATGAGCAGCTAGGTATCGATACCGTCTCATAAGAAGTATAGAGGTGTGGTAAGATGACAGCATTGAGATATCTTTGAGGTTGTGCTGTTCTCCTTAGAGTCTGTTACCCGAAGCAGAGGAGAGGAGAAGTACCGCCGCACCCTGGATTTGATAATAGGAGTGAGTTGTTTTAGCTCCTCAGAAGCCCATCAACTGGCTTCGGTATCTCAACTTCGACCTGCATCATGACGCCATCTTTCGCTGGTGTAGGAATCCGATGCTCTGGACATGACATGTTACTTGCATGGCCGTCGAAGCCGAGCCCCTCCCATGTTCCATATATTGGTTTGGTTTGGTTTGGGGTGATGGTCTGCTATGCATTGTTTGTCATTGTCGACATGCTGGAGACATGACGACCGACCTCGGCGTCTGACGAGTGCTTATGGTGGATCAAGTGTTACTTGTCTTCTCTCCGTGGCTGGATTTCCTTTCTTTCGTAACTATTCTGCTATTCGATAGATGTCGGTCGTTATTCAGTAGTGACGAGCTGCTCTCGCAAATCCTGGTTCGGTACCCATTAGTTAATTATACATGTAGCTAATAGATGATCTCTTTGGTCTGTTGAGCCAGAGAGGATGATGGCAAGAGGTGGTTACCGTAAGTTGTGTCAGATGTTAACATATTCTGAAATGCGATCTAGCACATTTGAGATTATAATCGTTGGTACCTTTCTTATTAATTGTTAATAACGCAGTTGATAATTAACGTATATTGCTTCCACAAACCTCGTCTTAATTATAGACAATACGGGCATCATCAAGTTTCTCGCCTGCTTCGATCACCTCGTATCATGACCTATGTCTTCGGACCAGACTGGCTAAGGGGGAAAAAAAGTCTTTCTTACTTTCTATCAAGCAGAAAGTACAAAACATCTGGAGAGCATCCATCGTCTCGGAATAGTTGGTAGCCAGTCGTCCTGGTAACTAACCCTTGGATGGAATGCAGAGCATAGGATGAGGATGGCTTGGCAATCATAATTTGGATACGTTTGGCTGTCGGTTGTATCACTGTGTGGTTTTCGACACTCCAACTGCTGTGCGTGGTGTTTTCATCTATATTGGAGGTACCTTTAGCATCTTAGAAAAGTGCATATCACTTTAATCACGTTGCAATGTGGAAGACACTCTTTGCCCGAGTCTAGGATTCATCCGCCCTTGCCCCCCACCCCACGCCATATGCTGTTTTGGTCTTGAACTCGGCGCATTGCTTTACGACCTCGTCAGTAGAACGCATGAATGCCGCGATGCAGCATATGAGCGGCTCTCGTACCTGTACCTGTACACTTATGCATGCGGACACACGCAGGTGCATGGAGGTCCACCCAACCGTGCAGACCTTGCTGTCATTGCGCCTACACCATATGCACATGGCAGCAAATATCACGCTCTCATTTGTTGAATACATTGGCATCATTCACCGGTCAAGAAAAAAAGATCTGCTGCCATACTCAGAATACTACCATCCATGCAATGTGCCATGCACAGCGTGCAGCTTGCAGCACAGTCGGTGGCGTGAGCCGCGTGACCTTGCAGTTGCTTTTCATTTCCTTTCGATAGAAGAAAACACTTTAATATGCCGAGCTAGAAAGACAGGTGTTTGATATTAGCAAAGACATGTATGATCGCTCGGGGCAATATTGGCGCTTCGCAGCATCTTGGCCCGATGGATGATGTGTGGGGGTTCAACCATGCAACAACCGCCATGGTTTACCATATTTGGCTGCTAGATGAAGAAAAATGAGACCATTTGGACATAAACGAGGCTCGGATGGCAAACATTAGGCATACATCGGGATGAGACGGTGTTGAAAACGCTGCCTAACACTCAATCTCTTACTCAATTGCCCTTTTCAGGTGCTTTCTCCGTACGACGCTCGGAACACTAAGGGATCTTGCTTTTTGTCAAGATACGGCATGTAGTAATTTGAAAGCCAGGATTACAGGAATACGGCCAGACCAATTGCGATTCGAGATATTGGAGCCCAATGGATTGTAGCCGTTCCTTAGGTAGCATTCGAAACACCATCTGGTCACCCTGGCAAGCTTTACACTATTGCACTAATTTCGCCCCCAAATCTCGAGCCGAGTGAGCCTGACCAGGTTTTCGCCCTTGATTTAGGGGGAAAAAAAATAACCAGGTAGAGGAACAGGGTTACGAAAGTAAGAGAATTGGAGATTTAAAAAGAAGCTATTACTATTGCTAGTAATAGTAATACATACTAGCACTACCTAGAATCTACTGCTTTTTTCTGAACGATTGTCGCTAAAGAACAGGCATCGCAGATCCCAGAGTTCAGCTCTCCAGGATGTTTAAATCATGTATGCGGAGCAGCTGCCCCCTGAGTTAATTAAACGCCCGCTACTTTTCCCTTTTCGATCATTTTTATCCCTTTGGTTGTTAGTCTGACACCATATTTTGTCGTCCATCGTTATCCTCATATACCTAGTCTAAGAGTTGTGCTTTTTCCATCCCGCTGCTAAACCAGTTTCAAGCAAAGAACAGCAACGCTAAATAGAGAAATGAAAAGAAAACACGCCCCCACTCCGAGCTGAAAATCGAGCTGAGAAACTAGGAAAAAGTAAAGAAAAGTAAAGAAAAGAAAATGATGGTAAGCAAAAGCAAAAAAAAAAAAAAAAAAGAGATCAGTCACAAGATATCGATAGCGTGAAAGACGAGCAACCCAGTAGTTTAGACTTCCTGACTGACTGGCAACCCTATTATTAGCGTACACGGGGAGATGGGTACCGTGACTTCGGGTGGCAGAGACCGGCGGCCATAGCTTGATCCACCCAGTTGGACGGCGTCGAGGCTAGCAGAGCGCGGACTCGGGGAGAGCCGCTGACGTGGAGACGGGGAAGCCTCACCGACTCGAACCAGGCTTCAGGTGGTTGACCGCCGTGCTTTTGCCTGATTCCTTCGGAAGGGGTCGTGCTTGTTGTATGTAGTTGCTGAGACATACCATGGCGCCGGTTTGGCCCCTGTTTCTTTCATGCCTGTGCTACCCGTATGAGTAAAGCTGCGGGCTGACTTTGCCCGTCACATGTGGACCATTTTGATTTCCCTCGCTTTTCTTTTTTTGGCATCCAGCTTCTCTTGCCCCTCTTTTCGGCCTATAGAGGAGATGAGAGTATTGGGTAAGTTCATGGTTTGTTTGCGTTCATACTTGCCTATACATCAAATCGTGATTAGTATCAGCAGCTAATTAGGTGGCAAAAGAGGGTCTCATCCTAAAGTACTTACGCCATAAAGTAATGCTTGACTGTAGCTTTGTGCCTTTCCAATCCGTCACGGCGCGCAAATCGGCGCTTCTTGGGAGGATTCGGGCAGCCAGGTACATCGCACCGCCAAGGCTTGCGATGTTTGTTACAATGTTGCCTGCATGATAAATTAGCAAACATGCTAGCTGGTGCATAAGACACCTGTCCTAATGCATCTGTTTTCCACATCTCCCAGGGTTTGGGATTGGGATGGAGGAGGACAACAGGGGATAGACGGTTAGGCTTGCCACGATGCTGGCAGACAGAGGTTTCTACATACGCAAAAGAGGAGTTACGGTCGAAAAGTATTAGGTTTCCACTCTTATCAACGCCACCTTTGTCGCAGCGATGGCCTCTAGGACAATAATATTTTCCTTTACCCCGCTGCTTCAAAGCCTTCAAGTTGATACCTGCAAACAGGCCGTCGTCAGAATACTCATCCGAGTCTTCTTCCTCAACCTCCTCAAGTATGTTTTCTAACGCAGCTGATGCCGATGCGGCCATTGCTATTTCTTCCGCCGAGCGAGGAGGTGGCCGAAATGGAGGGGGAGGAGGAGTAAGAATTGGTGGTGGTGGAGGCGGTGGTGGAGGAGGAGCTGGAGCCACGATTGGCGTTAATATTCTCACAGGCCTTGGGCCTGTCTTTTTTGGCATCGCTTTTTTTAACATTGTCCTTCTCGGTGCCGGCATCAGGGGCACCAGCTTTCTGAGCGTCGCCCTTGCCTGTGCTCCTTGGCCTGGTAATTCGTTTGCTAGAAATATTCTTGTTCCTGCTAGTAATGCTTGCTTCTCCTTCTGCTGCTGCTCCTTCTGCTGCTGCTGTCTTTGCTGCTTCTCTTGCTGTTGCCGTTTTTGTTCCTGCTGCTGCTGCTGCGGAGCCGGCGGCGGCGATGCTACAGGTGAAGTAGATACCGATGACTGTGTTGGCCATATTGGCGGCAAATCGAGCGATTGAGCCGGTGGTAAGAGTGGCAACGAGGGTAATGGTGCATGCGCTGGCCTTCCAACTGTTGCTCCATCTTGCAGCAAAGCCACCGCGTCGGCAATCTGCTTATGACATTCGGCTGCATGTGAGGTATTATTAAACACTTCTGGCATTGAGTTGGACTCCGAAGAGGCTGCCGATGCAGCTGCGGATGTGTCTTCGCTGTGTAACGATGAAGACGGCCGAGGGTCAACTAGACATGATAGACTAGCCTTCCGGTGGCTTCCAAGCTTCCATATGGTTTGAATATCCTGAGAGTGTTGCGCTGCCATGTCACGCATCTTACTGTATGTTGGAAGTAACATATGGTTAGATTGTATGGACACTTCAGTGCTAAACAACAAAAATACAATAAATAGACGCACCGAAGGCGGCCGAGAGTGATGTCCAGCGAAGTGGCCTCGGTAAGATCCGCAACATTTGTCTTGGCTCGAGAATTCTCGAGGATTTGCAGAGTAACATGATCAATATGAGGCCCTTTGATAAGGTTTTCAATAAGATAGGCCCATATCATGGCAGTCCGGGTCAAATAGTCGCCCATCTCCGTTAGCAAGGCGGTGGCATCGTCAGGCGAGGACGAGCATGTTGGCCCAGACGATAAGGGAGACACTTCCTCAACTCGCTGGACACTCTGAGAAGCTTGTTTAAGGTATTGAAGGACCAAACCTTCCAAAGAGAGAGAAATGGGCGACGCAGGGAGCCCAAATGTGAAGAGATGCGTGGCTTGAAGCGGCTGCATAGTGTGCGCTGATTCTATTACTGCCAACTTCGAGATCATAAACTGCAGCTTCAAGCCTAAAATACTCCGTCTGCTGTGACGGGGTAATAGAGTAGAGGATGAATCTAGCGCAGCGAGATTTCTTTTTCCTAAAGGGGGGCTTCCCCTATCAAGCCATGAGGCTGAAGTGAAACCTCTTCTAAGGCCAATGCCAACTTCAGTATTGACGATTGATTGAGACGATGGCTTGCTCTTCGAATCGCCCCGCTCTCCAATCTGCAGCCAGTGGCAGGGTTACGAAAGCAGTACAGCGGTACTACTACGTACTCCAAGCAGCAGTTAACGAAACCAGGATTCAAATTCAAGAGACAGCTGTGTATTGCAGCTATTGCAGCTCGTGGCTGGCCTAGTGGGTCACAGCCAAGGACCAGCAACATAAGACTTGGTCGCCCTTGTTATGGAAACCCTGTGCTGCCACGGCGAGCTGTTGGACAAACCAAGGGTCAAGAATGTTGGGATAAACTTTGCGTAGGTCTAAATGGGCAAAGGGGTTATCGTGCGTACTCTCTGTCTGTAAACGCTTCGGTGTCCCACTAAGAGCTGAGGCTCTTGCAGTTGCAGTAGGAAGATGAATAATCACGGGACGATGGGACTTCCCATATTTGCTTCTTTGGTGGTGGGCTCGAGCTGGAAAGACTAGGGGGGTGGTGATTCGACTGAAAACTAGTGGCCACTTTGCTCTGTGCCAAAGCTGCTGATATGCCTGTGATTGGCGTGTGATGGCCACCCTACGCCTGAGAGTCAAAGGATCTTGAGTCCAATGGCCTAGTTTGTGCTACCCACCCGACTCCGCACTGGATGCGAGGGAGAGAGAGAAAGTGTGAAGAGTGAGGGAGAGGAAGCGTGAGAGATGAAGTGAGTGAGGGGGAGGGGTCGGCAGGAAGAAGACCGAGTGAGAAGGATGGAGATGAACCCGGGCAGGTTTTAGACGGCTGAGGTCTCGAGATATAGAAGATAGGAGAATCAAAGAAGCGAGGAAGTTCAAGAAAGATGAAAGCAGGCCCAAGTAGGGAGCCCAGCGCCCAAAGAGGCCGTGGCAGAAGCGAGTTTAACAGCGTTCCAGACGGCATGACTGCCCCTTTTGAGCCTGGAGAGAAGCAAATCAGGATGCCAGCGAAGGCTCCCACACTGGCGTCGTAAGGATCCGAGCCATTGATTGGCCGCAACGAGGCGAGGCGAGAAGGACGGCAGAGAAAAGAGACAACAAGAAGGCCGAGATAGAGCTAATGCGCCCTGGCTGCACTAAGAGTAGCAGGGGCAGAGACCCCTGCACACCGGTTGTGCGAGCCGCGTCTCTCTGTCCGCAGAGGCTGAGCAGATTGGCTGGCTTGATGATCGCCTGGATGGGGTCGTGGGGAGGCCTGAAGAGACAAGGGTGTGTTGAAGGCTATACTCGAGAGAGCTCTCGATGCCAGCTTCTCCACTCGGTGAGACCAGGACCCTGGCCCCGATCGTGAGGATCCTGGTCTCACGCCGCGATCGTGAGTTTCTAAAGACGCCAGGGAGCCGGAAATCTCATTGTACAGTACTTGAAGGGAAATTATGGCTTCAAGGACCCATGCTTCCCACCCTCTTTCGTGACGCTCTGCATTCTAGACCAGAGCGTAGCAAAAAGGTAGACTATTAACGCAATAAGTGGAATAAGATGGAAGGTGTTCTAGCTCTCTCGCTCTTTCTCCCCAGCTCTCTGCTCGTATCCTCAATACATAAGAATCAGTGGGGACCAGCTCGCGCGTGCCCTGGACTTAACCTTTGGTCCGACTCGAAAGCGTACATCACGTCGCTGCTCGTACGAGTACTATACTACTTGTAAGCATCGCATTTCCAGATTACTCTTCTCTGCCTAGCATCCGATCCTCGGGCTCGAGGCCCTTGACCGCGGGAATTCTCACAAGCGGAGCATCACGGGTACACAAGTAAGTAGGAGCCAGTTCCTATTCTGTCACTCATTGCCAGAAACGAAGACATTCCGGTCCTGCGCGTGGGCCGTTACTTCGTTGTCCTCTCACAAAGGGAGGCTCAAAAGAGGGGAGACACAGAGAAAGTAGAGTTATCCGCTGACACCCCGGCTCCCTGTTTTCTCTTTTCTCCTCTTTCTCCCATCCTCTCTCCTCCTTTCCTCTTCTCTTCCGTCTGCTCCATCTTTCCCTCCCGTTGCCTCTTCTTGGCTTGTGGTCAGATCAGATCAGCCCAGATCACCGCCGGATGGGTCGGGCCAGAGCCTACGTTGGCCTGTGCCGCTGCAGATTTCCCTGTTCCCTCCCGCATTGCGTTTTCTCTTTTCTCGTCTCATCCCCTACCACCACCCCCCCAAAGGCGAATAGGTACAGTACGTACCGGCCTACCACCCTCCATCCAATCCTATTCTCCGCGCTGCCAATACTCTTCTATATTGGAAGACTGGCAACAGAAGGATCAATTATTATCATGTTTGTGCGAGTGTCATGTCGTGTATCTGATCAGTGCTGTCTAGTACCAACTGCTTTGTCTGCGTGCGCCTGAACCTGGGTTGAGCCAGTTAGCTTATTAGAAGTCCCCTCAAGTTGCTCTACCGCTACTTTCAATACTTTAGCCACTATAGATACATAAGTCCAGGTAGTGCATGCCTCCAACCGCTGTTACCTAGTTGGTACTAACTTGCAGGCAGCTTCGACTCGGTGCAGCTCAAAAGTGCGGCCGCAGCTCGGATCTGTCTCCGGCAACCAAAAACAGCGTCAGCACGCTCCACCATCTAAACCAACGGGCTTTTCAAATTTGCCTTGTGTGGTTTTCAGATCTTCCCTCACGCTTCCCTGACCCGAGTTTTCGGTTCTTCAGTTGGATCATTGCAATTGAAGGTCTAAGCTTTGGGGACTACTGGAGGGACGCCCCCCCTCGCTTCGCTCCCCGCCATATCCCTACACACAACATACACACTCACACATACGCCGTCTCTTGTTGCAAAGCCAATTGCAGCAAAAAAGCTGGTTAGCTCAGCTTGAGGCTGGTCCTCCGACTCACCAGCTTGTTGGCATATCGTCATCACCTGCTGGAGCTTCATACTTGGTCTGGCCCGGCAGAAACTGCAGCAAAGACCAACACAGTGAGCATCGTCGTGCTTCGTATTCCTGTCGTTGCATTAGATTGTATGTGCATGGTGCACGCCTGTCAGGTCCCACCAGCAGGAGAAGCTCGTCTAAGCTCTGTGGCACCCACACCGGCTCCCCTGGCCTGCTGTGCGTGTGTGTGCGTATTCACGTCATTCATTGCCATTGAGCGCTGTCTAAGTACCTGACTCAGTACCAATGAGTGACTCTCAGAACCAAGAGCGCCCATCCAAGCGCCTCAAGCTGGCGCCGCATCCGCAGCCAGCAGGTCTTTCTCAGCCTGGTCCTCCGCTGCGGTTCATCAAACCCGCGCCGTTTCCCAGCGTTGTGGCTCCTCCGAGAAGCACTATTAACATGCCTCTTTCGTGGGTCAACGTTCTATCCACTACCCGTCCTCGGCGAGTACGTGAACGTGTACGTGAACATGAACATAAGCCTGAGCCTGAACCTGAACGTGAGCTACGTCGAGGCCGCGGCCGTGGTGGCCGCCGTGGCCGCGGACGTGGTCGTGCGTCTACCAAATCTGGCACGCCCCAGACAGAAGCTGTCTCTCTGGTAAATGCAGATTTAGAGACAATTTCTTCTCCAGTTCCAACTGAATCTATATCTTCGCAGATTTCAACTCTAACGGCGACTGTAATGTCCCCCGAATACTTTCCTGAGGCGTCTTCCGAGTTGTCTTTTGAGATATCTTCCGAGGCATTGTCCGAGGCGATTCATGAACCAATGCAGCTAGATGCGGCAGCGTCAATAGAGACAGTAGTGGTTCCTCAAGATATCAGTGCATGTAAGTCAACAGCAAGCGACTGCTACGCTATAATTAGCTCGCTGAAAACTGCCTGCCTACATACATACACGTCTAGTTGGATATTGGTCGTCTATCTCGCATGAAATGGACTCTTCCCTATTCGCTTTACCCCCTGCTCCTATCTTTCCGTATCATTGCATTCTGTCTTATGTTTTTTCTCCGATATTTGTACCACTCATCATGCATTGCACATCACACCCCTCCAGTCGTTTTCCCACCCCATCACGAGGCTGAACACCTCTCTCACGTGGCTCTTGTCCTGGTGGAAGAGAATGTTTCTTTTACAAGATGAACGGCAAACGACCATCAAATTCAGCCTGTCTCTATACTCTCTTGTCACTTTACCCCGCTTAGTCGTACAACTCTGGTTTCTTTTGTTCTCTCAATCCCTTGATTCCTTTCTCCTCTTCACTCACCCCTCTGGGCTCCAAGCAGGGAGACGGCCGCTAAGTTAACCAAGACAAGCCTCTCTGGTAGTACTAACAATGACTCTAGCATCACCACTCACAGAGTCCACCCTTTCCCCAGTGTATTATGAAGATCCACTGAGTCATACCAACTTCTCCGAATTACAATCCCACTCGCTGGGAGATTTAGCGGAAGCTTTGGCCGAAGAGTTTGCTTCCCCAACTGCCCGGCAAGCCTCGCCATCATCAGCTGAAGGCGAGCATAGCAGCCGCAAGCCGCGTCATGGGTTTGTCAGCCCGTTCAAGGATTGCTTAGATACTTTCGGAAAGCTATCGTCACTGCGGTTCCCTCGTCCTACAGACGGCACGGTCAATTCGTATATCAAATTCAATTGGCCCAAGCGAGATGAGCAAAGTAGTCGCCCATCGTCCAAATCGGCTGCCACGCAGTCCAGCGAAGATTATAATGGTCAAAACGAAGATGTCAGACAGCTGCGTCAGTGGTCTTCAGCCTTAGTTGCTGCAAATTATCACTCAGCCCAGGCATCTCCCCAAAGCACATCAGAGCAATTGTATTTGGAACAGCAGGGGAGATACAGTCGGTCGCCTTCACTCCAAAGCAGCAGCACGTCGCGCTCTGCAATTCTAAGCCCTTCCAGCTCGAGTACTTGTGCCCACTCGTGGGATCCACGAAGTTTCGATACGTTGCGCCAGATGGCAGGATATACTGTCCCTAAGACCCCGTCGCATTTCGGGTTCGTTTCCCAAATGGATGATATGGATAAGCGCTTTTTCGATTTTTGTACGTTATATTTTCTTTATTTTATCAAGAGGCTTCATATCCTTCCTACTTCTCTATATTCAACTTTCATAATATGCTACATTTACCTGCTTTACTACACATTCTAACTTTTGGCAATCGTAGATGTGAGGAACTGGTGCCCCGGCCGGAGTATCCTAAAACAGACCAACCTGTGGCTCACAGACTTCGCTTGCATGGAGGGAAGCGAGGGCGTGCGAAGCGCAATTCAGAGTCTAGCCGGCGTATATGTATACGATTATCAGCCGTTAGAAAAAGTAAGCAAACGGATTAATCTTCGCTATCGCCAGGCTGAGGCTCGCTTGAGCCACCTTCTCGAAAAGACAGACCTCAGTGTCGATGAAGCAAGCGAGCTAATTACCATTTTATGTATTATGTCAATGCATGATGTAAGTTACCCCCTCTCTATATTGTTCAGTATCCGGTAAACGCCAGTCTACATTTTTTAAGTGTTTCTAACAAGAGTGTTCCAACTTGTAGATTGTCCTTACTGAACGCCGTTGCAAGTGGCCAGAAGTCCCTAGATGGCTGAAAGGAACTGAGCTATGCGAGCACTTTCTTGAATCCATTGATGAAGGGTCACGATTCTGGTCCAAAGACAACATCCAACTCTCTTCTCTCCGCAATTCCCAATCCGTCATTGTTGGTAGAGCCCTTATCCTCTCACAGCTCATGACACCTCTTCCCTCGCCATATACTTTCGATCCCGTAAAAGAAGCCAATCGCTTTGGCTGGCTCCTTTATGGCAATAGTCGAGACATGTATGAGGTTCACGGCGGTTGTGGCTTCTCTAAGAAACTGCTCCACTGTATGCGCCAGATTACATTCTGCTCTGCACGGCTAAACCAGTGCCCTGAATCCCCCGTTGTTCCCATTACTATTCGGTATATACTTTCTGAATTATTAGATATGAAACAATGGAGCAGCGCGCCTCTTTCCAATCCGTTCGAGGTCGCCCAGATACAATCTCAGGCGATTGAATGGGTCCGCGCTGCTCCAGAAGGGTACATGGTCAGCAATACCACTGAGATGACAGAGGTTACCGCGGAAGCCTGGAGAATTACGGCTGTTATTTACTTACAATGCCGCGCTCTAAGGTAAGCGAATCTATTGTTTAATGAATGAAATAGAGTATAATTTTCAGTGCTAATGATGATACTTAGGCTACCTCGAAACCATCCAGACGTAATTGCAAATCTGAGTTATCTTGCTAAATGCGTAAGCATCATGCCAACCTCCGGGTATTACTTCACCGCCCAGGCACCCCTATTCCCAGTTTTCCTCTTGGGTATGCTTGCTACTATCGCTGAACATGCCAAAATTGCGCAAAAATGGTTTGACAGCGTCACCAGCGCGCCAGTGAGAAGCGTAAGGAGTTCATTTCCCAGATACACCAGCTTCTAGAAATACTGATCAGGCTCCTATAGAGTGTACCTCCACTGTATGAAACATTAAAACGCATATGGACGTGGATTGATACCGAGCCGAGCATTGTCGTTGATCTCAAATCACTAGATCATGATATCGGCAAGAGATATCCATGGTGGGAGCACCTAATTCAACGCGTGCAAGAGAAAGAACAAGAGATTCTATGCCTAACTTGAGGCCGAAGATGTGCATTATTATTCCTCAATATGATCTATGAAAATTGGCAGCTATTTCAGTCTCCAATTCAACCCAAATACTATTGCTTTTCCATCAGCCGCCCAAGAGTCTAAGCAAAGGAATAATCAGCATAGGCCTAATACCTTGCGATTCATAACTCCATTAGGGTTATGCCAATCCGGATATGGCGCTATCTCCATCCTCTCTTTGATCTTGCTCCTCCTTCGCTTTGAGGAGATACTGTCCTGCAGAACAACGGGTTAGCAAAAGGCTTTTACTATTGCTGACCCTCGGATTGCAGAGGATAATACAAGACACTTACTAAACTCAGAGCCGGGTGCTTGCATGACATTTATCACACTCAGTCCCGCCTTATGGCACATGAGTCGAACGCTCTCCTCTCCATACTTGTGAGAGTCGAACCAGTCAAGCTCGTCACCCGCTTTGAATGTCCGGTTGAGTCCATGGATGATGACATCCCTTTTGGCTCGAAAGAAAAATCGGTGGCGAGTCGTTGGTTGTTCTTCAAGCTGCGCCATGAATTCCCAGTCTTCTTCTTGGAACCACTCTTCGCCAACTGCTTTATTCACTTGGTTAAAGCCGTTCAGGAAGAATTGGCGATACAGGTCATCCCGAGAGTGATAGGCTTTCCAAATCTTATCCTCATCTTTAGGCAGCAGGTGAGCATCCATGCCTACCAAGAGGAGGTCTCCTGGCCGGAGCGCCGCGGCCCAGTACCTCAAGTGGTTCAAAGCTTCCGCCCAAGGGTCGTTGCAAAGAACAGAGCCTAGAGAGAGGAATAGTCTCTGACCTTCGACACCTTTCACATAGGACATGCCATCTTGGAATGTTCCCCACAGCCCTGCACAAGTTACCTTGGCATTCTCTGCGGAATGTTTGCCAAGAAGGTAGCCTACGCTGTGCTCTAATGATGCTTTGGAAATATCGAGAGCCAGATATGTAGCTTCAAGCTGCGCCTCCTCAAAAGAAGAGAGCAAATGCTCCACCTTGCGAGTATCTCTGAGACATTGGAAAATTATTAGACCATTCGCCTGACTTGCTCAAAGTTTGATCTTGTTAAAACTTACCCAACTCCAAGATCAATCATGGTTACGCCAGGTTGAAGCCGCTTTATAATGTCGTTTCCGTGAGCATCAAAGAGCGCAATCTCATCATGAGTTTGATAGAACTCGGGTGTGAAGATGATTTCATTCCAAATGGGCAGTCCAACGTCGGTGTATAAGAGCTCATCTGGAAGAGTCGGCTTTGCACTGGGGCCATAGACGGCCGTGAGGACTCTGGAAAGTCTCTCTCCGACGTCTTCATGCAGTCGGCTTCCGCCTATGTCTATTACATCGCCATGACTGGGGGTCTGGTGTTGTGAAGACATACTTCTGTGCGTGCTCAATGGGTCAAATTGATAATTGAAGGGCAACAGTACAATACAATGGCGGTATTTCTTGCTGCAGGTGCGGTCTGCTCTCTAGGCTCTGGCTTTTATTCCACAATATGTGCAAGATTCTATGCTGAGTCGTGGGTAGGGAGATGCGGCTTTATAGTATAATATTGCTACTCTGATTCACTGTTATGTGGGTGTGAATAGGAGAAGGCAGCAGAGATGAGAGGCGGAGTAAAAAATACCAGTAAGAGAGGAGGAGCATTCACAAGACCCATTTCTGCATTTTAAGCCAAGCTTTGGGCAGTTTACATCTCATTTCACTGCGCGGAGAGCAATGATAAGCTCTGCGGCGAAAGTTGGCTCTGCTCGTCGCACACTGCATATTGTGCGCTCTACTGTCAAGTCTCCGTATGCATAGAGCTGCGGGCCTTGACTAAAAGAGGAGGCTAATAAGCGAAGTTTCCGCCTGGGATGTCCCGAAAAAATGACAAGGTCAAGTTACCACAATCGGTATGTACGTGAGACTACCTAGCATGCCGCCCCGTTGCCCGTGGCCATCCAGAGAGCAGCATGAGACTTTTCATGTCCAACTGGCCATGTGAGGCGAACTTGGACTTGCGGCCGGGGTACGACCAGATGGGGTTTGGCCTCACATTAGGCCACCGTAAAGCAGTTAGAGAGGGGTGCCGCCCCCTGTCAGGACGGCCACCATCAAGGAGCTGGAATGGAGGGGCAGTATATAATACTATCAGAACAGCATTGCAAGGGGGGGTGTCCAGCATCCTGCAGCAAAATGGAGACTGCCATGTCGGTTGTTCCCTCCATCGCTGCGATGTTGGCCCCTGTAATGCCAAAGGAAGAGAAAAGAAGGCATCATCGGAGCTGTGTCCGAGTGACTTGCGTCGAGTCCTTGGGCTCGGGAGCGTGGGATTTTGAATGCCAGCGCATACATGCGATCGTAATGGCTACATATGACGCGCGATCTTCCAAGCTCGGGGATTTTCTGGAAGGAAAATTGAAAGGGTATTTTAAAATCCCATTGTTGCACCACCACGTGTCTTTGCTCAGCGACTCCATTGCAACTGCTAGGCATACGTTGTTGAATATAGCATCACTTAATATCTGGAACTTCTTTATGAATGAGACCCTGATAAATAGGTCAGAGCCGCCGGGCATTGGCATTTTATGCGGGGGATCGACAGATAGTCCTCTGATATAGATAGAAGGCCAATATTCAATATTTTTTTTCTATTATTATTTTAATCTTTCAGCCTTTCTAAGTCGCGATTTCTTAATCCGATTCCGGGCTATGTCTGTTCCGAATCACCATTGAGGGCTTGACGTGTACGTGTTTGCGGTGGCGGAGAGGGCTAGAAAGCAGTGGATGATCAGCAAACGCACATATTTGTAATTCCTTTCACAACATAGACTGCTCTGCTGATTAGTAGTTATGCAAACTTGCCTTGTCCACGTGGAAAACAGGCCACAATTGCAAGGCTGTAGCTCTAGTGGAGCAATTGAGAGCTGCAATGCAAGCAAAGAGGCCTCGTATTTTTGCCAAAAGGCTCGAATATGCACTGGGTGCGAATGAAGAGAGAGGTGGCAAGTTGATGACCACCTACGGCGAGTTTGGCGCCGATGGAGTAATCTCAGCATCGAATGAAGCAGCTTCATATCGTTGTCGGCATTTAGCATGCAATCAAGGCACAGCAACCGTACCTTGTTATTTACCAGCCAGGAAATCTGTAATCGCGTCAGCTCTCTACTGTGACTTGAAAAGTCAACAAACTTGCCGGTACAGCCGACATATCAGTAACATGCTAGGCTGTAGAAGCTGGTTTACTTGCAAGCGAATAGGCATATCAACATAACCTTTGGCTCGCATCGTTCAGCTCACCCCACGGCCCCTGCATTGTTGTGATAGCGCTTGCGTGCCAGGTAGTCATGGGGTAGTAATGGTGTAGTAACTGGTGCTATTTAGTTTGCTGAAAATCTCCATAATGTGTCTATTCCTATCAGTAAACGGAGAATTAGAAAGAAAAGAAAAATAAGGTAGGAAACGCAAATCACACACAAAAATAAGGGTAGGGTCATTAATGTGATAAAAGATTTCTATTATATTATACACATAGGAAAAGTAGGAAAAGTCGTAAATGCAGCAAGTCAGTAGAGGCAGTGGAGGTGTAGTAGAAACAACAGAGGCAGTAGAAAGTAGCTGATGTAGACAAAAAATTGGTATATCTAGATTTAATAACTCACTAGTACAATAACGGTGTGCGTAACAATTAGAGCTTGTGCCCATTTTTATAGAATTCCCTTTTTTTTGGCACACAGCTTGCGGGGCCGTCGCTCATAACCCTGCAGCCGCGATATTGGTGCTCCTTGTAAGTTGCGTATTCCTCGGCCGTGCTCCGCGCCTCTGAGCACGGGGATGCGGAAACATTCCTTCAAGAAAGCTGCTGCGTCGCTTATACAAAGACAAAGAAGGCTACCGCGGAAAGATGCGCCCGCCGCTGGCAATACCGCTTCGTAGAGACCCTCTGTGCTCTCTCCTAATGCGCACTATCAGTCAAGTCTCAAACTTCCAATGATCATGGCGGAGCGGTGGCTGTTTCTGACTCTTAGGTTACATCAAGGTAGAAACGATTATTTCCTTGCGTAAGGCGCGAATAAAGCCTCGAGTAGGATACACACCACGGCGGCATTGACTATGCTGCTTAAGGATATGATGACACGGGAAACGAGATTTACGAGATGATGGGAGTCGAGGTGTTATTAGTATGTGCAGATACATTCCTGGAAAGCCCCCAACGTGCGATTCTCAGAGCCAGCAGATGAGGCATTTGAACATGCTTCGCACCTTCACCCAGTAGGGGCAAGTACATGTATAACCACAAGCGCCGAGCTGAGTGATAGCGTTATCCCTCTTTCGTCTGTAGGTGTCAACGGGCCGTTAGCCCAAGTGACAAGTATCAAATCGCCATTGCCCAGTCCATGCTTGCAATGACAGGAATGTGACACATAATATTGAGTCCAAAAGCGCGGCACAATTCCTACATCATGGCGTTCACAAGCATCAGCGCCAGAGCATTGCAACCAACAGCAACTGGCTTGATAAGCTCAGCCAAGATCTTGTGAGGCAGAATTAAATCCGCTTAATGGGGCGGACGGGCCCGGCTGAAGAGTGGGACTTTGCTCTCGGACCTCCGCGCCGGAGTATCCGCAAGGACACCAGAATGGAAACTCGGGGTAGTATTGCCTGTCGTGGTAAATCACAGTGCTAAGGCTAACTGCATCACGGGGCTAGAAAGACTGTTAGCAGATGCAGCTAGCAGTTTAGAATACGGAGTTACATTCCGTAGGGAAAGAAAGGAGAGGGGTTCAAGAAGCGATCGCTAACAAGAGGGCTGTACTCGAGCTAGTCAACCATACAGCTCGATATTGCGGAATGCAGCGGGCGAGTATCAATCCATCTAACAACAGCTTCTCCTCTGTGCCCATGAAAAATTGCCACTCAACGTACCGCAGAGCCAGCTAAAGGCAGAGATTTAGTTTGTTGCGTAGAGATAATCATCATTGCTAAGAGTAATAATCCAGTGGAGGGAGATAGGTTCAAGATCGCCATCAGTTGTCGTCATCATTTGCTTCTCAACCCCTGAAGTGGCAGCCCGTAGACTCTGGTGTCGCCCGCGTCGGCTCATGTATCTTGGTAAACAATCGATTTGCTCTACATGATGAGCATTAAATCGACGATATGGCAGAGAGGGTGTGGTGGTTGCAATCTTCACTGGATGCTCCAATTTCGTAGTGGTGTCCCATCGCTGTGTCCCATCGTCGTTGGCTCGGGCGTCTGCGAGAGCATTCCGTCGAGCAGGGGTCAATTCTGACATACATGTGATGATCACCGATCAGTGGCCACCCTCAACGGCAGGACAAGATGGATTATGACAGCATCCAATTCCACTGCAAGAAGAGCAATAAAAATTGATAGGCATCATTTGGCGATTTCTGGTGGCACTCCTAACGGAAATCGCCATGGGAAGTGAGCAAGTCAGTACCTGCCAAGTGTTTCAGTAATTGATATGATATAAGTACCTACTAGATCAGTAGGAGCTGCGGCGATACTACAGCGCCAACTACACATACCTCATAAAGTGTCGGCAGTGCCCATCGCCACTTTGGCTTCGAGTTCGAACATACCTGGAGTAGTATGCATTACACTTCCCTAGTCTAATACTTCAGCTGCCTCGCGGATCAACACTTTCGTACCTGATTCTTCAAGAGCGGCAGGAGGGCGGGCCACGGCCCCACTAATATGCGGCGCAGCGCCCGCTGGTGTCGGCACCTAGAACAGCTTATGAGACGATTTGACGGCGGCTCAGGAGCAAGCCTGTCCAGAGGCCATAAGCCTCTGATCGAAGTGCGTACTTGCGTGGCTAGTACAGGTTACAGATACCATCAGGGCCGAAGGTACTAATGCTAGTGCTTCCTTAGCGGCCGGCGGCACCAGCAAAGTTGTTGAATCCTCGTCGTCATTATCAGCCATCAATTCATGGTCTTCAGCTTCATCCAGCAACTCTCTCCATCGTCTCTTTTCCCTGGCCGTCCCTTCGAAAGGTCCCCTTTGGTCTAGACAAATCCAGACCGTCCCGTTAGCTGCGTAACCACAGCCCAGGGGCTTCTTCGAGCCCACACCAGCTATACCACAGCACGCCTGTAAGCACGATCGTATCCAGTCGACTTGACAGGTAAAGAGTACACGTCATTTCCGCATTTGCGTCGGACGCGGGATAGAACTGACACAATGGTCTATATACATACTGGCTTAGCAGTTCTCATGATACCTCATGACCGCCAAGTTCCATCTCCGTGGGTACAGTCCCACTTGATGGGTTTTGGTCCACCTGAACCTGAAAGGGCCTACTCAAGCTTTTCCCATATCCCTGTACTCCAGACCAGACACGAGTATGCAGCCCTTCATGCGTCCGTGCGGGTTGTTCCAAGTAACTTGTATGTGCAACATGTCGACAAGATGCCCCTACAAATCGTACGAGATCCGTTTCACCAATGTTGCCTCGATTCCGACTTCCCAACAATTGGCTGAGATGGAAAATCCCGTGGCTACTAGGTAGGTACTCCTCTACAGGACCCACAATCATGGACTTTTGGTCTCTGAAGTCATCACGCCGGAACATCACCCAAATGAAGTGTGGCAAGAACAGCCACATCGAGCTATTGAGGAGGAATGCAAGAAATTTGAAGACGAACACGGTTCTACTTGTGCAACACTTCATTAGCATACCAAGCCCACCTTTCACGGTATGGAAAGCTAGCGGTTAGTTCTTCGACCCATTCGAATGCGGTATGCATTGATGAGTACCATTACTGGAGATACGTCCATAAAATATAGAGTGTAGCACGGGGAAATCGTATCAACTTGGCAGAAGCTAATGCGCTAAAGTTTTTAGTAATAAGCTGAGGAAAGCAAGTTGCAACCCCAAACCTCTTGAGGCTTTAATCTTGTTGGCCTTTCCTGCATTGGTGGACAATAATCGAAAGGGACGGCTCGCCGGCTCCATCATCCTAGCGTCGCTAAACCCAATGGTTCTCTCATCTAGCTCAATACTCTGCCACGAACTTTTTACAATCTTCGTCCCATCCTTCCCTTCCTCTCCAACTTTAGTGTGAATGGGTGCGGGAAGACCCGATCCGCGGGTCCCCTTGCTGGTAACAATCAACTCCAAGAGCTTATAATACTCCCCCCTTCCTGATCCAGTGGACAACTGGATTCGACTTCTGATGACTAGTGTATCTAGGATTTGTACCATCCTCAGCTAGTAAGCCCTCCTCTTGAGAGATGATAGTGACCTACGCCAAAAAGACGGCAAAAGTTGGACGACTATGTTACTTCGTCAAGAGTTAGCCGGGCATCCTCGAGCTAGCGCCTACGTTCGTGTCCACAATCGATCCTATAGTTGGCGCAAAACGACGTATGCTACTGTGCGAAGCGTAAATGCGGCTGGATGATGGCTGTGTAAAATGAAATGTGAGCAAATCTCTTCGTCCACCAATGAGTGCCTCCTGAGAGGGTTTCCGCATATCTACTCGGCATAAGATAGGTAGCACTCGCCCACACATTTCGCCCGCACATTTCCCAATTTTGTTTTTTATGCGTCTTCCCTTTCTATGGGAATGCGGCATAGCCCTATTTTCAGAACTTTTGACCCATAGTCTACCTAATGGTAGCCTGAGAATGCCGTAGGGCAGAAAACGCCCTCTGGGTGGGACGGAAGACTCGCCACTCGCTATTAAGTTCCTTTCGATTACTCAAGCCTCATGGATACTAGCCACTATGTCTGCGAGTTTACAGACTGCCTGGTAAGTCATGCAGGGACCTCCTGCGGTTGGGACATATTCGTCTCGTTGCCCCTCTTGGGCATTGCCCACGAAGCTCGCCATGCAGCCGCTGTTCCGGCAGTCCAGCCCCTGGCACGAAAGAATCCATTGCTCAAGTGACATATCCACCAACCTGGGCCGCTGTCGCTACGCTCTACCCCAGTGCTGTCACAATTATGACACGTCATGCCCAGCCATTGGGTACTTTCCTCGAACGCGAAGGTCATTTAGAAAGTAGAAGTTGGAAGAATAACCAAGAACTCTTCGAAGATGGACATAGCGTTCTCGTGAACTCTTCGGCTCAAAGCCCAAAATAAGACTGAAATCAGGCTGCCCGGTTGTTTAAGCAATACGAACACTCTGTGGTGCCTTCTTCTTACCACATCGCCGCAACACCGATGTCGCTCTATGCATAACTGCTACTATGTAGATGGAAGCTAGGGGGGCAATTATGTTAGGCGAACTGCTCAAAATACCTTAGTTTGCATGTTGAACTCGCCATCTTTCGTCCAATCTTTCATCCAATCTTTCTTTCATGGCTATACCAACGTTATCCACTCGCTATTGGGAGCTTCCATTGATGCCTTGGTCATCGTCAGCGTGTTACTTGGCCGAATGGGCTACGTTACAGCCCCTGTAAGCTGTAACTGAGGGAATAAGTCCATTTTCTGTCCTCGGGTGTTCTTTTGTCAAGTAACCCACGCTGCACGCACTGCAAGTAAGTAAGAGGAAAGCCCTAAGTAATACACTATCTTGTGAATTTGAAAATCGAATCTCGATATAGTTTAGCCCTGTAGCTGAGATGTCGGCCCTCCGTAACTTGGCCCATGCAGCCTGCTTGTCATCGTAACTGGAGTGTATGCAAGCCGGCCATAATCCGACAGGCCATACTACTTGGCGTGCTGACGGACACTATTAGAACCTGCATATAGGTAGGTACTATTAATCGACCCCCAACAAACCCGAGAGAGTGTCTCTAGCAACTTCCAAGAGAGCTTCAGCACATAGGCCATATTGTCACTCTCGCTCCGAGCCACTGCTCTTAGCGATCCATCACAAATCTTGCCCCGTATTATCTGCAAGCTTACCACTACTACACGGATATAAAACTGGCTTTTACGTCCTCAATAGGCGTGGGAAAACGTGGCACAAGTGACAGCCAGGGCCATGGTACCCGTAATATTAAGGAAAGCGGAGACACACAAACCACGGCACGTCATCAAGTTTTCTCTTCCGTCTTTCGTGCTAGTAAGTTTCCTGCATTCAGGTGTCGTGGTATTGACAGGTGGAGGAGTGGTAATATTATTGCGCTAATGATATTTGCATGAACCCCATTCGGAGTAATCTATACAAACAAGTACTATGGAGTATTACTACTCTGTCTAACAGGTATACCTATGGCGAGCGCACGAAGTCGACTCCGCGAAGTAATAACGAGGGGGCCAAAATGGGTCTATCTAATAGTACGTTACATAGAAGCCATCATTTATAGACTAGGACTAGGTCCTACTACTAGGTATTAGTAGCGGTAGTATACGGACTACACTTCGCTTAATTCGATGGGGCAGCGGCCCTAGAAGCAGCCCCCAAGCTACCAACAGCACGTAGGAATGGCTGAGGATATACAAAGGACCATCATTTTGCTTTGACGTGTTAAATGTGCAAAGAAAAGCACAGTCACAATATGACAGCTCTTGTGGATCCTGCCCAATGAAGGAAGTTGTTGGTCCCCCCTCATGCAAGGGTAAAGTCCGTCAATCCACGCTGAGAAAAGATGTTCCAAAAGGAGGCAATTGACAGGCGAGATTTGATTCCCATGGGAAAACTGTCGTCATGGAGACTCCAATGCTCAGCTCCGAGTAGTTGGTACAGACGTAATGGATGCATTCTTCTCCGGCATTGCGCCGAGAAAACACGGTCAGCCCCTTGAGCCCCTTGCTACTCAAACGAGCAGGAAGAAGATCAATGCCCGCTTCGAGATGTGGCTCAACACCTACTGTACGCCTGTTGTTCCTCCCAACGTACTCATTTGTAGCCTAGCTATCACATTATATTTTGGTGGTGAGGATTTTATGCACAAGAATATGACATAATTTAACATCGTAAAACAAATACGAGCAGCATCGAGCCATGGATGAAAACAAGGATCGTACTACATTAGTAGTTGCTGAGGCCATGGTGAACAATTCTGACGTCGTCGCCGTTAGCATCTGGATTGAAGATGAACTCCACATGTAAGATATTAATCAGCCAATGTTCTTTTTGGGAAGAGTCTGCAGAAAGGGGAAAGAGGGCAAATTATGCCATTCTCGACCACTCTGATCTTTTAAACATTATAATACCTGCCTTGTACTTCTGCTCTATATTAGCTATGCCATGTACTGTACTATATACTATACGAGACTAAGATTGCTCTATAACTCAACTCCGTAGGCTGGTTCGTTCGCCTTTTTGCCGAATCTACCTGTACAATGGTGACGAAGATGGGCCCTGATATCCATTCTGGTTAGGGTAATCGCAGTGATTCTCTCTTGCATTTTGTAAGCTGGTTATTGGAAAATATGTCATGATAGACTGCACATCATACGTAGGTTAGGAAACAAGCTCGTCAACTCTTCCTGAGGCCTAGCTATGTACTAGAACGAGTGTAGAGAAGCAGAGGCACTCTATTATACAAAACAGAATAGTCATTTGGCTTCACTACCATTCTAACTAAGTAAAGCGATGGTCTAATTCAGATTCCGCTATCTTCTCTTTTTCTAGAGCGTTCTAATTTTTTTTTATATCTGTTGAAGATTTATGATCCAAATTCTTCTTGCCTTCCGGCTATTTCTCATCAGTCTTTAAAAGTTTAAAATTGAAGCATAAAAAGGGGTGCAAATCAGCCAAATGAAAAAAAAAAAAAAAAAAAAATTGAAATATGAAATATAGTCGCAACATTTGTTGAATTTTATATGCAAGCCCGGCTTGCACCATTGACTTATTTGTCGTCGTATTTTCCGCTACCAAACGCCCCAAGTTTACCTTCTGAATCCAGATTAGTTCTCCCAGAAGCCCGGGAACAGGTACTCGATCTTCTTCATAGCCTCAGGGTTTCTCCCAGCAGGCTTAGTCATGAATTTGACAGCTCCAGAAGATGTGCCCTCCCAGTGCTTAGCCATAACAAGGTCGCTGTGGTCAAGCTTGATGAGCTGATCCAGGACACCTCCAACCAGTCTCTTAGCATTCTGGCTGTTGGCCTGCATGTACTTCAAGACCATGTCGACATTCACATCCTCGTATGAGTGCCAGCAGTCGTAGTCGGTTGCCATACAGATAACCTGATAAGCAAGCTCAGCTTCACGAGCGAGCTTGGCCTCGGGGAGAGCAGACATGTTGATGACGGAGCCACCCCATGATCGGTACATGTGAGATTCGGCACGAGTGGAGAATTGGGGTCCCTCTAGATTGAAGACAAAAATAATCAGCCAATATAAACTTGATATCTCGGAGCCACCAAAGGAAACGTACCCATGCAAATGAGAGTGCCCTTGTCGTGAAGCACCACGCCCTCGCCTTCCATGTGCGCTGCGCAAGTCTTGACGATCTCTGCCAGCTTGTTGTCGAACGGATCCGCAAATCCAACGTGGCCGACAACACCACCCTCGAAGAAAGTAAACGGCCTGATACCCTTTGTGCGATCGATAACCTGGTCAGGGACGACAAAGTCCATGGGCTTGATCTCCTCCTGGAGAGATCCGACGGCAGAGAAGGCGATGATGCATCGGACACCGAGATGGCGGAGAGCGGCGATATTGGCACGGTTAGGAACCTCGTGAGGCGCAAACTGGTGGTGTACGCCGTGACGGGCAAGGAAAGCCACGTTCACGCCATTGTGGGAGAGAATAGAGATGGGCGAGGCGGGAGTGCCCCAAGGGGTGACGGGGTTGACGACAGCAATGGGCTCGTAGCCTTCGAGTTGGGCCAGGCCGGTGCCGCCAATGACACCAATATGAACGGGCTCTGAAAAGAAGAGTTAAAATCACATCTGTAATGGCTGCGACGCTATTGACGGCGATGATAACAAGAAGAGGTTTGCGACATACGATCGAAAGAGGTGGGGAGGTCGGCCATTGCGACTGCTTTGCTGCATCCAGAGAGTTAGTTGAGGTCTCTATAACGATTCCTGAACAGATTAACCGTTTGCTGGATCTACGTACGAATAGAATGAGCTGGATACTTGGAGAATTTGGAACTGATAGAACTATTATTGTTCTCCAGAAAGACCGCAGAATCGCAGGAGCAGCAAAATGGTGGTTGCGCTACAGAGCTGCCCCTCTATCGATAGGGTTGGAGGGGCACGTTTTTTTCTCTTCCTGTCCCATTAGCAGATTCACATACTACTGGCAGAGCACGCCATCACAAGAAGCGAGGGATCAGATCCTTATAGCTTAGTGCTGGAAAATCTTATCTTAAGCTGCATCTAGAGATTTATGTGGTTCATATTTGTTGATAAAAGCTACACATACTACTTGAGAAACAGCCAACTTTGGCACACACAGTCTAAAATTGGATTCCGCATCTAGAGAGTAGAACGAGATAATATAGAGTAGGTACCTTGGTACCCATTTCAGAGTCCGCAAATCTACTAGGTGGCAGAGCCGCATTTTCCTAAGCGAGCATCATATGTATACTACGTCGGATATCTCGTTTGAAAAGAAAAATTAGAAAATATAAGAGATATTACAGTTCTGGCTGACGCGGAGACTTTTTTGCTTCTCCATTTTATTCGGAGCCCGAATATTCAAAATATTGCTGGTACAGCGACCAAAGTCCGCCGTCTTATCGCTTCGCCCTTCTATCCCCGATACGGCGGGGCTCAATGCTTACCAAGCCGGCAACTTTTTTTTGCGGAGCCTTTCAGCCCTTCATAACCTGCAGCCAAGGCTAGCATATCCAAGCCATTAAAGCTTTCACCTGTGTGACTTCAGCAACGGCCGCCGAGATGAGGATGACAGAAACGATTGATATTAATGACACCACTATTCTTGGGCAGGAAGCCGTGGCTGCGCGGCCGCAGGAAAATGGCGGCGAGGTCTCAAATGAAACCATCGAGGAGCGGTGCTTCTCGGCCGCTCTCGTGTGTCTAGAAGGGCATTTTACCCAGTCGCCTCCCATGGGCCCTCAAACCACAGCCAGAGTGAGCTCCATGATCTCAAAGACGCTGGAAAAGACTCACACTCTTCGAAAAGCTAGGTGAGATGCCTTTTTGTCCTCATCAAATATGCCTACACGTATGCTTGAAGCTTGTCTTGGCAGCTAACCCATATCGACAGGGAGGCTCTGGCACGAAACGTAGCAATCTGGATATGGCTTACAAGGATTTTTGCTGCTGCCATCCCGAGCCTAACGTCACGGTCAGTGGGACCGCTATCTGCGTTGAATGACCCAAACAAGGGGGTCAGCCCTCAGGAGAGCACAGCCCTGATCGTCCTCAACCATGTTTCCGTCAAGGAGGATCTGGGGACACTTATCAAGCTTATGCACATTGCTCGGAATCTTCTTGTAAATGCCGAGCCTGAGGTCCCTCAGGACATCTGTGCCGCTGTGCACTTTGACCAGATGGTTTACCAAACCATCATCCTATGTGTCAACGTGACCAGCAAAGGCTATGACGGCGAGATCCTGGACGAGGCTCAAAGAGTGAAGCTCACCGATATTACTGAATTATGTATGTGGCAGTATAATCCTTCGACGCGGAGGAAAGTTTTTACTGACTCCCTTTCAGATAAGAAGCTGCTTGTAACTTCACTGCAGCAGGTTCATAATTGGACTGCCAAGCATGATCGCAACAAGATGTCGTTTTGGTTTGATGTTCTGTTTGACGACGATGGCGCGCTATCAGGGCCTGAAGAAATTATGAGCGACGGCTCAGGATTCCGGCCGGACGCGGCTAAGCACCAAGTTCAGCACTGGCTTGATCGGAACTCAAAAATGTGCGACACAGCCAGGAAGCTGCTCAAAGACTATGTCCAGAACCATGCAGACAAGCCGCCGGGAAATCTAGCCCCAATTCGGCCATTGGCTTGGAATTGGCTTCCAGATGTCCCTGCTGACTCGCCTGTTGACGTGCAAGAGGGTAATGAGAAGACGATTCCAGTTTGGAACGTGGACGAGACAGACAAGTTTGAACAAGATCGGCTATACGGCCGTGTATCTCGTGAAATTGATACTTGGTGGCTCCGAGCGCGAGATCCAAATTACGAGGATTGGGTCGTCGGCATGCCGTCTGTGGAGTTTGCACAATCACGCACAGAGCATTGCCGGAACAATCTGGTCCATCGCTATGCTCATTCCTATCGAGCAGATCACTCACCACCTCCAGAGGGTGCTGAGGAGGACCTCTCTGACCATGAACACTGCCATGAGTGTCATGAGTGCTACCTCCGCCATCACCATCACCATGAAGACGATCATGAGTGTCATCACCACCACCACCATGACCACGAGCATGGCCACGTTCATGAGATCGACAATGAGCAGGAGGAGCACGCTGAGGGTGGCGACGAAGTAGTAGAGTGCGACCATCACCACCATCACCACCATGATGACGAGGATCACCATCACCATCACCATTGCCACCACCATCATCACCACCACGATCACGACTATCCTCATGATTATATGGATGATATGATGGACGACGAAGAGGTTGACGACGATGAATCGTACGGCGACGGACCGTTAACTGGGCTCCTGACCGAAGTGCCTAATATCTTGGATCCTAAACAAATTGAGGCACTGCACATGATTATCAAGTCTTGTATCCTCGATCATGCAGGATCTGGGTTAACACGGGTGGGAGAGAACCTACAAAAATCTCGGTGCAGAATGTTCCTCGCATTAGACTGTGGAAAGAGCCTGCTTCGTGAACTGCTTGTCTTCATTGCAGTGTGGGACAAGGATGAACAGAGTCTTATTTTCCAGGTCACAACGCAAATCGTCGAGGCTATTCATCATAGTGCTCTGGTACCATATGCTTGGAACTCTCTGAGGATACCCAAGGATATCATCTCTCCAGCACAGACGGTCCTTTTGCGTTTAGTCAATCACATGCTACGGGCTCGGGTTACTAGCACCACTACCCAGGACCCTAAGGACCATACCAAGGATCTTAAATTAGTACATTTCTTCTTCAGCTTTTTCCGAAGCAGAATTGTGCCCGAGTGTGCTGCTCTCATGCATCTGCAGGCCCAAATCCGCGAGGAGAACCGCGATCCATCCGAGTTTCCTGTTGACAGCTGGGATATGGAACGAGCAAAGGACGGACTGGCTCAGTACCTAGAATTCCTCACGACTGCGGCCGAAATGGTGGATATGAGGCCTCATCTTATTGAGTGGCAGGCTATATATGACCTTATCACGGTTCTCAGTAGTCTCGAGGCTGCAGTCCCAAAGAAGCCAATGGTTGAAGTACCCAAGCGTGCACCGGCAGCCGAGACAGCCTCCAACGCGAACGGCAGTAACAGTGACCTGATGGTCGAGCGACCGTACTCTACCGGAAATGAGAATGTTCCTCCATCACCCCCGCCACCACCTTTGCAAGAACCAGCTCATAAATTTCCATGGAGTGGTATCAAGGGCCAGATTTTCACCATTATTGCAACACTTCTGCAGCCACCACCGGGACAGAGCAGTCCTGGCAATGCACAAGTGCAAATGCAGATGATGAAGTACAACGGCATTGTTCCCCTACTAAACTGCTGCGCGTACGACGACCACAATCCATTCGCCAAGGAGCGAGTCACCATCTGCTTGAAATGGCTGCTGGACGGCTGTGAAGCAGCGAACAACTTCTTCCGCGAGCTTGTCAGCATGGCACCGCAGCCTAACCTGAGGCCACCACCAGGAGGCACCACTGTGTCAACGATCAGGGTGGATGGAGTGCAAGGCGAAGTCAAAGTGCAAGTACGTTCGAACACGGCAGCGCCGCTGGCAATGCCTGACCGCAGCACCAGCAGCACGGATGAGCTGCTTGAGAAGGCTGCGGAACTTAAATTGGGATTGAACCAATCCAAGAAGAGTGGTGGTGGACGGAGTAGCATCGAGGAGGATTTCATGGCGTAATTGCTTCAGGTTAATATTACCGTCGTCTACCTAGGTCGCATATCATATTTCATAGCCTATATGCCATCAGCATTTTGGAGGAGTTTGGTTGTTTAAAACATTCAGTTATCTGCATGTAGGATAATAGGTCCTGGTTACAATCTAAGCCGATTGTGCTCCAATAGAGATGAACTAAAAAGTGGAATTGTCTTTTTTCTTTTTCTTTTTCAGTATCCAGAACAGGCTATACATTTATGTTGGTATGTAAACAACGCCGCAGAAATGGCTAATTCTAATCGTAGATGACCAAAGATAACCCGTCAAGACATACATAAGGTACGCATACATAGATACAAATAGGTGGCAGAAATATGAAACTGGTGGAATACAGGTAAAGTAGATGGGAGTAGGAGAGTGTGTAAGTGCGCGTGTGTGAGATTGTTAAGCAGCCCTGCCCACCGTCGACGCATAAATTGAAGAAATCCCCCCATTATGCATTATCCTTCTTGATGTTTTTTTTTCTTTCCTTTATTATAATCCCTTGGTTTATTTTTTTTTTGTTATTTTGTGTTTCGTTTTCGTTTCCAATTCCATGCTCATTCCAACTCCTTCATCGTAATGAGTTAGGGTTCGAAGAATCTCAATTTGATCCATTAACTGGAAGCTTGCCCTCAGTCTTCTCGACATAGGCCACCAGGTCAGCAATAGTGCAGACCTTGAGGCCCCATTTTCTGGCAAAAGCAATGCAAGCCTCGCCCCTCAGCATGCCGGGGTTGTTGTGCACCGCCTGTCCAGGAACCACCTCGCCATCGTCAACAATCTCGCAGATGACGCCGGCCTCGGGCTTGCCGGCCAGGCGACAGAACTCGGTGGCAGCCTCGGTATGGCCGTTGCGGGCGCGCACGCCGCCGGGCGCCGAGCGCAGCGGCAGAACATGGCCGGGCCGGCGCAGGCTCGCGGCCGAGGAGGCAGGGTCGGCGAGGACGCGGCAGACGAGGGCGCGGTCGTGGGCGCTGATGCCGGTGGTGACGGAGGGGTCAGCGGCGTCGACGGAGACTGTGTAGGCGGTGCCGCGGGGGTCTTGGCTGTGCTGGACCATGGGCGGCAGGCCGAGGGCGTCGGCGCGGGCGTGTGTGATGGGCGCGCAGATGTAGCCGGAGGAGTGGCGCACCATCCAGGCCATCTGCTCGGTGGTGATGGCTTCGGCGGCGATGATGAGGTCGGCTTCGTTTTCGCGCGAGGGGTCGTCGAGCACGACGAGGAACTCGCCTCTACCTGTGTGGCCGGGGGGCGCTCAGTCAGCCATTGGGCTCTGTAAGGGGGTATCAAAGCAGAGAGAGAGAGAGAGAGAAGGCATGCGGAAGCACACATACGGAAAGCCTCGATAGAGTCTGGGATTGAGTCAAAGAGACTCTGGTCTAGGGTGGTGGAAGGCATTGTGGCTGGCGGGCGGCGTGTTGTTTTGGGGTATCACAAGTATTCAAATATTCGCTGCTCTTTTCTTGCTGAGATTGGCTGTTTTATTCTTTGCTGTCGGGTTTTGTTGGGTATTCGAATTGTCTAAAGCAACGATGACGAGACAGAAAGGACGACGGATTCGGAAGAATGTGACGATTTGCGATGCTACGGTAACCCAAGGCCGGGGCTGCTGGGCCGCATGTACGGGGTACCTTTTTTGGTTCGATGGACTTCCACGGCCGACGTAGCGAGAAACCCCGAGCGGCAAGTATCCTAGACTGGACTCTCGGGCCGGCTATAGCACGCCGAGCTGAACCAGTTTTTTGGCGCCGTTGGTTTGATTGGAAAGCTTGTGAAGCTGGGTGAGGCCCGAAAGTCTAGCGGCAAAGCCGAACTCAATGGAGGGGCAAACGCCGAGCAGAGTCCCTCGCTCTTTCAATGGAGATAGTTCGCAGTCTGGGCGCAGCAATCTGCTGTGCGAATTGAGGGTCAAGCTGGGGTTTTGGCGGAGGTAAGTTTGTTTGGGCTTTCGTTTTCCGTTCGCCTTGTCTATTTGAATAGCAGAGTATGATGAGGGTCAAAAAAGAAACATGCAAACTAAGGCGCACAGAAGCAGATTGTTGTGAATAGAGTTGGAGAGAAAATGATGATACGAACTTTCTTTTTTTTCTTTTTTTCGCTCTTTGCGCTGGGTCGGCGCTGGGCTTTAGCCAGATATATATAACGTACATATATACAGTAAAACTAAACTACGCAATTTTTACAGACTCTAGCCCGCGACTTCGGTGCGCCGGCTCTTCCATCTCATGATAATGGGCCGGGGATTTTTTTTGGCTGGCCGGATGATGGCATGAGGACTAATCCAGCAACCCTTGCGCTGCTCGCCTGTTGTCAGCAATCCCGCGGTTCGAGGTAATGATGTGTAAGCCGAGAGAGGGCCTGTGGCGGCACTAGCGCTCTGCGTTGCGGGTTAGTTTGAGACTCAAGCCCAGGACTCGATGTTTGTGAAACCGAGTTGAGAGGCTGATTGATAATACAAAAGAGCGACATGTGGAATTAGTATGCAATGAATGGCTGTATCAATTATACAGCAGATCTGGCACCCTTCAAATTGGCAGAATGATGACTGCACTGCAGATATGCGAGGCGCCCTAGATCAGTGGCCAGGGTTTAATACTTTTTGCCTTCTCATCAGTCAACCACTTACATGTCCAAAACAAGACGCTGGCTCTCACATCTGCTTCAAAGTAGGAATATAGAGAAAAGAATTTACAGCATCATTTATAGCTGCTTACAGAGCATCAAAAAATCATAATACCAGAGAAGACGCTGGATATGTCAGCCCCAGAAAGGAGCTCAATAGCCAACCGCGCGGGTATTCATCCTCAACCTTTTTTTCCCACTTCCAATTCCTAGTCCCCAATTCCCGGTCTCCACCGTCCAGCTCAGGGTCCAAGCGACACGCCAGAACGGCCCCTCAGTTGCTTTGGGGGCGGCCTGAGAAAGGACATAGTCGGAGTTGTTCGATTCTTCTTTGTCAGCTGTTTAGGTTGGTGGGATTCTATTCTGGCAATCCTGTAGCCTTGTTCGATATCGGGAGCTGCTGCTGCTCGTCTCGGCATCCTTCCCGTGAGCTCCGAGCCTCCGAGCCTGGTCTTGCCATCACCACCTTCCTTCTTTCTGCCGGCTTCTCTCTCCACCACCTTTCGGCGCAAATCGCATCACTCCAGGGCAGATGGCCGCACCGACCCGGGCTGCGACAAAGGCCCTCCGACGCCTGCCTGTGCCTCGCCCGTTGCTGCAGGCCACCGCCATCCCTGTAGCTGGAGCCGCGACGACGCCGCCATTCGCCGCGCAGGCCCAGCAGCCGCGATGGCACTCGGCCTCTGCCTCGTCGTCCGTCAACCCCAATGAGGTCTCGCACTTCAATGCCCTGGCCGCCGAGTGGTGGGATCCTCACGGGTCCTCGCGCCTGCTGCATCTGATGAACCCTCTACGCCACGACTTCATCCGCAGCTGTCTCCAGTCCTCCGACTCGGCGCCTCGGGTCGACGACCACAACGCCGACGGCACCGTCACGTATCTCGACATTGGCTGCGGCGGCGGCATCTTTGCTGAGAGCGCTGCCCGGCTGCCCTCGACGAAGCACGTCACGGCCATTGACCCCACGCCGTCGGTCCTGAGCGTCGCGAAAGCACACGCCCGCAAGGACCCGTTGCTGGCCAAGAAGCTGTCGTACAAGCAGTCTTCAATAGAGCAGCTCCAAGTCCCAGCAGAGGGACAAGGCTATGATATTGTCTCGCTTTTCGAAGTCATCGAGCACATTGACGACCCCGGCGCCTTTCTTGACAAGGTGCGGCCGTTCGTCAAGCCGGGAGGGTGGCTCGTCATGAGCACGATTGCGCGAACGTGGATCAGCTGGTTGACAACGAACCTGATTGCCGAGGATATTCTGCGCATCGTACCGCCGGGAACGCATGATTGGAATAAATATCTGAATGAGGAGGAGCTTAGGGGGTTCCTGGCCGGCAAGGGCTGGGACAGCGCAAATGTCATGGGCGTTGTGTATGTCCCCGGGCTGGGATGGAAAGAGGTCAAGGGTAGTGAAAAGGTGGGCAACTATTTCTTCGCTGTGCGCAAGGTATAAATATGCTACGCGAGGGACAAAGGATTGATTGATTGTGAAATATACCTGGCCTGCGAGGTATTCCCTGTATACCTTGTGTGTACCAATATGGGCATGGGAGGATATGATACCCTTAAAATGCGCGATGAAATCCGCGACAAGAGTTGGTTTGACGGCGTAAAAGTCACTGTACAATATCTGGATAGAAGCTGAAAGAAGAAGAAGAAGAAGAAGAAGAAAGCATTCAGTTACTCAAAAAGCTTTAAGCTGGGCTCGTGATTTAATTCATTAATGGGTATCATTTTCTATAATATTCATAGCAGTAGACCAGTAGACGCAGCATCATGAGATTTCCCGCTTCGCCTCTCTCTTGACTCCTCTACCCCCACCTCCTCTTGCCTGTCGTTGGCTGCCCACAAGAAGGGACTCGTCAGGATCATCATCTTCTTCGTCGTCCATATCCTGGCGATTTTGCTCAGCTTGCCTCCAGCGCTGAATTCTCCTCTTCATAGCTTCGTCTAAATAGAACTCGTCTTCAAAGCGAACCCGAGAAAATTTCTTTATTTTTTTTTCGTCTCCATTAGCCTGAATTCATGAGAAATATAAAGAGAGACTTACCTGAGAACAGCCCGTTTGGGGACACTGAAGCTCGCCGCGGAGAGGCAAGTAATCCAAAATGGCAGCTTTCTCAAATACGTGTGGGCATTTGCGGCTCCTGTAAGGCTCATTCATGGGGAGGAGAGTCAAGGGACAGTTGAGACTAATGTTCTCTCGCGAGACAGCCACTTCTTCGTCATCGTCAAAAGAACCGTTTTGTGCATCACGGCTGGGGATTGTCATGTCGGGCTCGCCATTGGAGTCGAACCATCGTGAAGCATCTGGCAAGGGAGGGCCGTCTTCGCCCGCCGCAGCTTCGTGCCACAGCTTCTTGAAGCCGACATAGTCATTATTGAGGCCGTAGCGCTGGTGGACGCTGAGGCCGTTATATTCCGCCCTCTTCTTCGCACGGAGCTCACGAAAGATATCGACGATGCTGGTCACAGGCTCCTGGTCGCCTTCATTGCCTTCATCGGTGGCGGCGCCTTCTTCTTCATCGCTGCTGACTTCATTGGCCCGTCTTCGTCGGCTCTGTGTCGCAGCCGCACCTCTTGTTTGAGCTATTGAATTTGTCGTCGCAGTGGTACTCAGGTCCTCCAAGACGGAAGCCTCGTCTTCCAACTCGGCTTTTCGATCGATGGTCTCTCTGAGCGCACGCTCTGCTTCGCGTGTTAACTTTTCGACGTCGTTTTCGAACTCGGGCATCTGCTGTTCGAGGCGTTCCTCTTCGGCTGTCTTGTCCGTGTCCTTCTCTTTTCGGCGCTCGGAGACTGTAGCCAGTCGATCTTGGCCTCTGCGCAGACGTTCGTTCAGATCGCTCACGCTGAGGCCAAGATGGCGGATAGAGTCCTTTAACTGAGCCTCATAAGGTGCAGCGCCGCGATTGTTTGAAAGCTCGATCAGCTCCCGCCGAGCAGTGCTGGATAGAGGGAAAGAAAGCGGCTCGTAGTCAGGCAGGGATATAATAGTAGTGGTGGTTGAGGCGTTGGCCGATGCAGCAGCCGTACGGCCACCACGGTTGAATAGACGGCGGGACATTGTGTGAGGCAGTTGAATTGAAGGTATTCAGAATGTCGATTACCTCACAACAGCATCTTTGCACCACATTGCTTAGAATGCAGCTGCATCTTTAACATGGTGGGGGTTGAAGACGCGCTTGGATTACGCGATCTGCCAGGCGCCGTTAATTGCCAAGTACATGTACCTTAGGTAAGCTCAATAAGTACCTAGGTCCCCTGTTAATTGAGTGGACACCCACCACTGCGACTACGCCTGTGCATGACAGCAGTCGATTTCCATAACGAGAAAGATGTCGAAATATGAACACTGTTCGCCTTTTCATTACAAGATTATGTCCCCATTTCTTCCTTTTCCCAAAATTGACTTTATTTGTAGGGTCAACTCGCTATTAACGAGTCGAAGGAAAGACCCAAGGCAGCAAAAAGGATAAACTGCACAGCAAAGTCTTTGCAGCGGTTCTGCCTCAGAATCAGCAGCTATTCTTCCCATGTTGGCTATTGATTTTGCTGCTAGCAATATCAAGCAAGTCAGTCGAATTTCTTCATCTCCGCTACTACGTACAAGGCCTGGCAGCAGTACCTTATCTTATAATGGCGAACGGTCTAAGCCTACTCCATTCAACTGTCAAGCGGTGCCAAGCTAGGACACGGCGCATCCCGACCCCCTTGCTAGCTTCTCAGCCCATCGAATTCAGCTCTACGCAGTATGACAGCGGCAGATCTCTTTGACATTTCATCAACGGCCGGCTGGCTTGCCTAAAGCCAGGTGCCGTTCCAAGGCAATAACTGAGTCCCGCCAATGATACAACCTGGCAGCCGGTCTGCCAGTCAAGGACCTGCAAGTTGGACATTTCCACAGAAGGAGAGGAGTAGAGAAGAGAAGTGTTCAACATATTTGCCGTGGCTTCCGCAAGTTGGACCAGGTACCTGGGCCCCGATGCTTGTAATTGCGTTATCCAGCTGCTGGTGACTAACACAGCCACAGCTGCAAGTCGCAAAGAGATCGACAAAGAATCCTTCAGCTTTGCATTCCACTGCCGTCAGAGCTCTCAATTTCCGCCCTCGCCGTAACTGTTGCGCCCTTGAGGCTGGCTGCAGCGTCTCGGAACTTCACTCATGTCTTACCCATATCTTATTGAAGGTCGGCGGCAAATTACGTAGAGCAAGGAGTACGGAGCAGGTCGTACCATTCGAATTACCACTCGTGCTTGATGCTCGTACTTTCTACGATTGGCTGCTGCTGAGCCAGTACTAATCAACAGCAGCACGGCTTAGCGTAGCAAAGGTCCTTCCAAGGCTTCGTCTCCCTGGTAGTAGCTTGATATTCCTCCCTCTCCTTCTTGACTCATGACGCAAATGAAGACTAACTTCGATTGTGGCCTGATATACGATCAGGGCTCAAGGTCAAATGTCCGTATTCTTACGCCCACCGGCAAGAAATACAGACTTGTCAGAGGTCTAGAACCTTGATACACGACCAAAACGGGAACGCCCTGAGAAGTAAGAAAACTGGAACTCTACAGCGGCCCCCGCTGATGGGATACTGCTCATGCGGCATTCGACCAGCATTAGAGGCTGGGATATCCGATCGTCCTGGAGCAATGGCGCCCAAAACCCCGATCGCCATCCGGATTCAATCTCCCAGCATCGGACCAATCATCGGCTGTACACAACACCTTAGCCACGATGATTTTGAGCGCTAACAAACCGAGTGGATATTTCTGACGCCAAGTGGTAGTGCGCTAACAGCGGCTCACTAAGACGTTCGCCCTACCTGTTTGCCAGCCTTCTCGATGGTGGCCAAAGACTCCCGTGCTTGTGATCTGAGATCGATGCCTTGTATCGAAGATTTTCAACCTTTGCAGTAGCCCCCCTGCACGCACCTGCAGGCTGCCTCAGCGCCGCCTGACTGCTGGCGTCTGCCAACGAATTTGCGCCATGCCTGCGTCTGAATCAAGCTTCAAGCCCGGCTCCAATGCTCAAGGTCCGCATTACGATTATGTCAGGAGGGAGTAAACGGTGAGGGAGCAAACATTATGGAGCGGATTTGGGCTTGAATGGAGCCGCGCAAGCATCAAATGTGGCCGTTTTCGTCTTATCCTCTCTTGCCCTTCCTCAGACTACTTTCTTATCCGCTTTACAAGCTTGTATTTTGATCCCTGGATTTGAAAATAGTATTTAAAAGGCACTGCTATGTTGCAACCCGCTTCTCTCATGTTGTACAACTTTTAATTTCCTCAATTTCCTCCCATTGGTTTTTCAATACCCCTTTAAAGGCCGTATCAGATTGAAATCATCCAAATTTTCCATCCTCTCAAGATCACCTACGCCTACCGTTGTTTACATTGCTTCTATGTGTAAGGGGTACCAACATGATTCCTTCAGGGCCATCAGATTTGCCGCTGCAGCTAAATCCATGGGAAGACCATGCTCTTGGTGTAAGATCTTCTCTCCTCTTTACTAGGGGCTGGTTTTAGCGAAGCCCAATATTAATACTCTATGCGACCAGTACGAATTTCCAACCCAGCCTACCACTCATGTGGGAAGCAGCAACAGTTCTCCCGCTACTTGGATACAACTTCCAGACCCCATGATATACCCTGGTATCTACTCGGCTAGCGGGATAGATGTGATGGGCATCTTGGTAAGAACAGCCTCTTTTCACGCTCGCTGGCATCGCATTTTGTAGGAGTACCACGTGCTTGAATTTGCTCTAATTGCGTTGTCATTATTAGCTCCGACTTGTGTCTCGACCGAACCCCTGCATTGAACTCGGCCCTCTCGACTGTTCTGTCTCGCTCACATTATGCGACCTCAACTTACCAGATACACCCATCGTCTATGCTTCCCCAGGATTCTACGAGTTGACTGGCTACTCTGCTACGGAAACCATTGGTAGAAATTGTCGGTTTCTACAAAGCCCTCCTTATGTACATCAAACAGCCGGATCCGGTCGGGTTTCAGAGAGCGCCGAACCAATCACGAAGATGCGGCGTGCCATCCGAGCCAATAAAGAAGTCCGAGTTGAAATCGCCAACTATAAGAGAAACGGGACACGGTTCACTAACATCGTCACCATACTGCCCTTACTCCCAGACGCTGACGGACATCACTATGTCGTCGGGTTACAAGCCGAAGCATGAAAACAGCCCATTCTGAAGATGTTGGGGCGCTACGTATAACATCTTCGGAAACAATCCCTTTTTAAATACACCAAAAACGACTAGATATAACGACATCGTATCTGCGAAAATTTGAGCGTATCTTCATTCAAGCCTGCAAATAACGTCTCTTTGGCGCGCTTGAATTTTGGATCATGAATATACCTGACACATGCCTGTTCCGCATGAATAGTCTTTCTTTTTTTTTTTTTTTTTTTTTTTTTTTTTGTGGCAGCGTTGATAGACCTTTTGTCTTTCTTGTTTCTGAATTAATATGATTGCATATCATGGGACGCACACGAGCATGGCTATAATATATAATTTCTTTCTATTTGTTGTGAGTATTTATATAACAACATGATTTTCTACATTTTTTTTTTCTTTTCTCATTTGATCGGCAACAACGGAGGCTATACGGATGGTGTACGAAGAAAAGTCTCGCGACAGCGTTCTATATACACGAAGAGCAGAACAGAGTTACAAATAATAATATCATATATTTGCATGTACATCTATATTGATCATTGTCGCTTTCGTAAATGAAGTGTGATGGATGTAAAATGCAACTCTATCCAAGAAAATCGCACGCTGTAATTGAACATCGCATCACTATTTCCCAACGTCTACTTCCTCAGGCGGCTGGACCGGCGACGACCGCTATCTTCTTCTACCACTCCTTTGATTTCTTTTTTAATGGGAGTAGACTTCGACTTTGCCACCGCGACTTTGCCTCGCCTCTTCTTGGCAGGCGGGCTCCCTACATCGGATTCTTCGAGCTCTTCCTTGACCTCTGTTGACTGCTTTCGTGATCTCTTGGGTTTAATCTCTTCCACTGCCTCCTTTTCGTCATCATCTTCTTTTTCCTTAGGCTCTGTCTTCACAGGCTTGCCCTTTGCAGGTTTCGCTTTGCCTGATTCGCTCTTTACAGGCTCTATTCTGGCACTGGCAGCGACAGCGCCAGTTTTCTTTTGTACGCCAGGAGCGTAGCAACTGGTCCGTCCGCCAACTGTAATGAAGGCGAGTTTCTCGCCATTTGGAAGCTTGGGAGATGAGCCTTTATCTCCTTTGCCCCATCGGTGGTTGAAAAGCCAGTGCTCGGGGAACTCATTCGAGTCGCCGAGCTTGTCTACGGCTAGCTGGCAGACATAGCAAATAGCCTCGTGCAGGCGCGCAATCTCCTTGTCGCCAAAGGTATCAGAGTACTGTTCCGGATGGATTTTGGACTGGTAGAGCGTCTCGTCGGCAACCCAGTTTCCAATGCCGCTGATGACAGTCTGGTCAAGCAACAACGCCTTGATGGGGACATGACGGGATTTTATCTTGCTGCGAAGGTACTCTTCCGTAAAGATGTTCTTGTCAACCACGGGATCTGGCCCGTTCTCCACCAGCGGGGAGTACTTCCGGATGGACTCGCCAGGGCAGTTGACGAGCCGCACGCGACCAAACCTCCGGGCATCGGTAAAGGCGACCTCGACGGGTTCTTTGTCAGTTGTGCTGATGTGAAACTTCCAGAATTTGGGAGGCCATTGGGCGATATCGCTTTCTTTCATTTTCTTGTAATAGTTTGTATAGGCCGTTTTCTCGCCATTTATGTGTACCCAGCCTACGTATCATATGTGAGTAGGATGAACAGAAGCGGACATCGTATATATCCAGTCAAGCTCACCAGTCATGCCAAAATGCATTACTAAATGTGGTGGTTTGTCTAAAGTTATCCTTTGGGTAGACGTGAGTGAGCATTCGCTATGAGCCTGATAGATGGGTTTTTCACATACCAGAAATATTTCCCTTGGTTGCCCGCTGAAATAACCTAATAGCGGTCAGACATGACATTAAACCTCAAGCTTGAGAGCGCAACTGTCATACTGTTCTTCCTTTCAAGGCTTCTTCCACTTCTTTCCCGCTAGTTCCGACCTTGCCAAAGACGCTGCTATCATCTATGGCAGAGGCACTGGCTATGGTCTTTCCCACCAGCCTCTTGTTGAGGAAGTGTACTATGCGCGCGACTACAAGCTGTTAATTCAGTGTCATCTGGGGGTTCTATAAAAATACATTCCTTCGGCAATCTCAGGCATCGTGATCAGTAGTATTATTTTTTGTGAAGAGACGGTAGCGTAAGCACCTCAATATTCTTTCACTCCGCTCTATGTAACAAATGGTGATTCACATAAACACGATGTTAGCCGCGCCGTGAAGGTCCCTCAAACGCAAATCCGACGCGGGGTCACGTGAGCGCTTACATTAGCAAATTCTGTTTGATCCACAGCCCCGCCCGCAAAAAAGCTATGAAAACATTTCCGCCGAAGCTTTTTTTTTTCCTCGCTTCTTCTTCCATCTGCATGCAAAAAAAAATTGCAATGGCAAAGCTCAATGTAAGTTTGTGCGCTGTTATGTTTGCTTTTTCTTCGTCCACGTACCTGATGAAACCCTAAATCCGCAAACTAGAGTCTTTGACCACTGGAGTGAAAACACCGTTTAGCACGTCAGTCTGAACCATGATCGGACAGCTGAAAGATTTTTTTTATGCATGCAACGAGTTGATCGTCTTGCTAACTGTCTGGAATAGGATTCAAATACCAAGTGGTAACGAGCTCGAGTATGATGCCGGCGTCTCTGCCATCAACCCCACATTTTTTTTATGTGATATCTCGATGTCTTCTTTTTTTTTTTTTTTTTTTCCACGACACAATATGATGATCAATTTTACAACTATATACGCTGGAAATTACCGGCTGAGGTCTCCTTTGACGATATTCTTAGGCTATTACTGATTTTGTCTCTCAATTTCTTTTTTCTTGTTGAATTGCAATTGTATGGCATTGAGCTGACCCGAATAAATAGATTCACTTGACAAGGTATGCCAACGTCATCGTCAAAATTTCCTCGGCCATTCCGATGTTAGATGATGAAACGGCACTGGGCTCCGATATAATGATGAGCAAGACACGCCATTTTGCGGCAGGCCTAGAAAACCTCGCCCACTGATTCTACCTCGTCGATGTCTGAAATTGGATCATATGACGCTGGATATTGGGGCTAATATCTTGATATCAGTGTCCAGTGATGCATTGTAGGTGGCTTGAAGACACATATTACTCTATACTATCAAGGTAAGCTTTTCGCGCGTTTCTTACTCCACCAACGTCATGTGATGATTTTTAGATGACGAGTCCTATTCGGGTTTCCGATGAGGATACAATCTTTTTTACCATTCATGCATTTCCTGATCTTTTGGCCCAACATTACTGTCTTTCCACCGCAGCTTGCTGGTTGACATTGGCTAACATTTAAAAAGTGATAATGTTAGTTTGCCCACGTATTCTTTTTTCACTCAAGCCTTCTCGTGATGAGCTCGAATAAACAATGACAAGCATATGTCTGAGCTTCATGCGACGAAGACAAAATGTTCGGAACTGATCTGAAGTCATTCGCGCCACATTGTGGATTTGCAAAAGCTGAGCTATTGGCTAACTGGCTCAAAAGATAACATAGCTAATCCATGCTACTCACTCTGGCATATGATGCTAATGGTAAGCAACCATTCCCCCATTCTTTTTCCTCTCCCTTTATATGATGTACAAATATCACGACGGTCAACTTAGCCATATGCTCTGATGATAACGCCTGTGACAAGGCACTTTATCCCTGATAATTCCCATTACCTTGGTCTTTTTAATTGCACAATGTGTTTTCAACATTATGCTGACAGACGATTAGTTGATCAGATATCCTAGCGTCGACTTGATGCGGTCCAAACACCAAGCGGTGCTTGGCAATGCTAGCTTGCTAAGTGGCAGCTAGTCTTTTGAGTCTAGAATTTGTGGATTGTTGCAATTCGATTGCGCATGATCCCAATCTGCCCATCGGGCAATGTCAAGATGCCGATCTAGCAGATTTGCCAAAAGTAGCTGAAATAAAGGAAGAAAAAAATAAAGAAAAAATTTGAATAAATAAAATATGGGTCTATCATGCACACAGTCCAACTTCGTAATATTTGATGTGACCTATTGTCGAAATGATAGTATGAGCCGTCTGGATTGAGCAATTCGCCATACTGAACCCCAGTAACAGCATAGAATACTCGAGCAGTTTTCCCTCTCGCTACTATCCAGCGGAGCGGTAGTCTATATCTTTAGCGACTACCTGTCTTACCAGTGAAATAGAAATATAGTATCAATAATACGCGGAGGTAGGCTCAATACATGGCTATAACGTTCTTTCAATCTCCTTGTTAGGCTGATTTGCACATGGCTGCGGGCGGCGAGCAGCGTCGTTGCGACGTAAGCAGAACATCTACTGGGGCTCATCTTTGACTGGGTCCTGAGTTTATCTGATTCCAAAGCCACTTTAGTCAAAGATTAAAATGTCGCATGGGAGTGGGAAGCCGTCGAGGAGGATACATAGAGTTCCGACTATTCAACACCTTACCATGCATGATATGTAGTATCTGTCCAACATATACAGAGATGGAAAGGGTTAAGCTTAGCCACAACAAAACCAGCTCGGCATTCATGCGGCTATGCGGCTGTGTAGAGGCATGTGTTGGGCAAGGACGAGCTGAAGCTACACTTGGGCGGCGCTTATTAGACAAATGGCTGCGCATATTAAGAACGATGATGGGGGCGCCACGGGAATAGCGTCTTTCTATTGACGCATCTGCTGTCAGTTCTGGCGCATCGATCTAGCCAGGATCATGGTTTACAATTTAGGAGTGGAAGACTACGGCGATGGTGGTGTGTAGATAGGTACTGTTTACTACAAAACAACGGAACTGTAAGAATATGAGCCCCTGGTAAGCTCTTGGAGTAGGCGAGACAGGGCGCTCGCAGAAGGATCAGGGACTTGCTAGACTTGCTACCCAAATCCCCAATAGAAGTGGCTGGGGGCTGAGCCTCGAAGGCACTCTGTGCAGCCCTAATCATTCCTCGTGAATGGAGCTTTCCGTAGGATCGAATGGCACCAGCACCAGCCATCAAGTGAACTGAGAGTTCGCCGAACAGTAAGACGCTACTGCTCGCGCTAGCACAGTTCAAATGTTGTCTTTTGCGCCAGCGGCCTGCCAAAGCAACAGTAACAAGTCGGGTAAAAGTTTGAAGTCGTCGTGGCTCAGCCTGTCGTCAAGTTGTCTCAGATTAGACTAGTATAAATTGCGGTGAGAGGCTATACTAGTAAGACATGGCGCTGCATCCAAGGAAGCTGCTGAATAGTATCATCAAGAGGTCTCGTTCGTGATGGCGGCGTGTTTGTCTCAACTCCCCTGTCAATGCGCTGTCGATATAGTTCAGCTAGGCGAGACGCAGGCCAGGATCAGCGGTGGATGGTGGGCACCGTCGCCCTCGAAGAGGCTCTCTAAGCGCTGGGCGCAGCATTGTCGATTTCGCCCGCATCACCACTTGCAGAATCAGGAAAACTGTACAAGTACAATCCTTTCTGGCCCATGCCTCGAGCTAGGACCGTGTGCCTCATCTCACACAGTAGGTCCCTGCCTGGCTACGAGCGAGTCTGCTATACTTGAGCCGGCAGTATCTGTCGATAATTGGGTCGTGGGATCGCAATATTACATGCTGATTCGCTAGTAGCCAGTGAGAAGAGGCTGCTTGACAGGCATGCTCAGAGAAGGATCCGAGTCCTGGCACCTTGGTGGGTGTGCTTGCTGGCACCGTTGGAGCCTCAGGGGTGGATTGTGTTGAGAGCAGTCCACATGGGCTGCATAGGCGTATGTGCTCTTGGCTTGAGGCGGGAAATGTACTGTAGCACTAGAGAAAAAATCGTGTAGGATTTGCTCATACACGTGAAGGGATATCCGGAGGCCTTGGTTGTGTTCCCACGCTACATGTATATTTGCGTTGGGGCTTCCGTCCGCTGTTGCATTTGCCACCTTAACCTGTCACGAAGCTCTGCGTTATGGTGTTTTGTTGACCTCTTGTTTGGACAATTAGCCTGTTGTCGTTGCTTCTGCTGTTGCTGCTGCCGCCGCCCATCTTTCAGGTCCTCTTATACGGGCAGGCGTCTCGCCCAACATCGACATCATGGCATCAGGCGTTTTGCTCGGCCCTCTCACGACAACATGGACGATGCCACAGACGTGCTCGGTGTTTATGCCGGCGTGTTCAACATGCGACCAAGGGTTTAATGGGCAGTCCTGCAACCCTACAAATAGCGGCCGAATACAGGATAATACGGCATGTTGGCCGCCAGCCACCCAAGGAGTCTCGTCGCCGTCATGGCCCTTTTATGGCTGGGGATTCTATTCTCCCGGATTGGCTTGTCCTGCGGGATACACGAGTGCTTGCACGGCGGTTTACGGGCAAAGGGCGACATGGGCGACTCAATTCACTTTGGTGCCGTCAGAGACTGCTGTCGGCTGCTGCCCGACGTAAGTTGATACGAGCTTGATATGACATTTGTTATACTGAGCTTTCCTATTCTGCACATCAACGCTAGGAATGAAAAATGATGCATTCGGCATCTTAGCAAGAAAGAGTCGCAAATTGGCTAATCATCTAATTATAATTGTAGAGGATTCACATGTAATACTCAGGGCGACAACACATGTATGCAAACAATAACACAATCGACGACTTTCCCAACTGCGTACTGTTCCGACACCGACCTCGCCAGCTACGCAATCGCAACATTTCCTACTATTACCACAGTGACGACAACCGAGACAGGCACGGGAACTACCGACGTAGAGTCTTCGACTTCTACGCGCACAATGGTCCTATACGCCCCGATGTTCCAGCTCAACTTCCACTCAAGCGACTTGGCAACTTCGACAACCACGTCGTCCACTGCATCATCTACAGCTTCCGAAACGGGCAGCGGTAACGGTACCTCGTCAAAATCATCGGGAGGGCTATCCGACGGGGCCAAGATCGGATTGGGCGTCGGCATCGGCCTCGGCGTGGCTTTTCTGCTGGCGTTTGGTGCGTTCATCTACTACTACCGACGCTCAAGGCACAACGCGATGCCCATTGGAAGTGAGCTCCCGAACAATCAAATCTCCGTTGAAGACCCAACTCCAAAGACTCCAAACATTAAACAGTCGCCTGGTCAGGTTTACGAAATGGGCGAGTATCATGCGCCTGCGGAATTACCTGGTAATCCCATAGAGGGTGGCTACCAAGACAGTCCCAGAGGCAGCGATGCTCATAGATATGCCTGATCAAGTGGGAGAAAAAGTATGTATTAATGGTGTAATGATGGATTTTTTTTTTTTTTTTTTTTTTTTTTTTTTTTTTNGAGAAAAAGTATGTATTAATGGTGTAATGATGGAATTTTTTTTTTTTTTTTTTTTTTTTTTTTTTTTTTTTTTTTCTTTTTTCTTCTCTCTTCTGGGCGAGGGTGAAATGCATGGGCAGGTTCACTAGAATTGTATTAATTCGCAGAAATCTACTAAGTTCTAAGACTTTTGCTGTTATATATTGTACGCGATATGCGAGCAAGGAGCTTGGATGGGGATGGGGATGGGGATGGGTTTTCTTTCCACACTTTATATACCAATGTTAATAAGTTGTTGTTTAGCGAGCAAGAGACGGAAATAACCATCATATATGTTTGATATTAGCCATGCTCATTTTGTCGGGACTTTGGCCGCGTAAGATCCAGTCGGATAGAAACACGATGCTATTCCCGACAGGATTACGTTTCCATCTCCACTGCTGCTGCGTAACCAGTGGCGCAGCGACAATTAAAATTTGCAATCAGAAGAAGTGTTGCAGCTCATCAGAAAGCCGTGCTTGTAGAAAACCCCATCTTGGAAATGTAGAAGCTTGCATGTGAGGCTGTCACAACGACAGGGCGAATACGCTCTTGCATGGCGTCAATACGCAGTGCTAACCTATACACCATTCCAACAACGCTATAAAATTTTGGAATAAGATTGGATCTCAGTTGGATCTTGACTATTGCCTTTAGGCTTTACCCCACAAAATAGAGCTGCGAATCAGCACATATTACGCACATTCCACCTCGCCATATTGGCAGTGCATGGATACCGTATAAGAAAATGAATGTCATGGACGGCAGTGAATCTGATCGCCGCCCCATGCCAAGCCAGCAAATCGTGCCCCAGATTAGATTAGAGATGCGCCCAGTCGAATCCAAAGCCCCGTTCGGCACGACTCGTCACCGCCCCCTTCTGAGATTGCAACGGACACACAACTAGCCGTATTCGTATTTCGCTGGGCCGTAACACAGGCACTAACAGCAGCCAATCCATGAAGGACAGGTGTTGACGGAGGAAAAAATGCTTTCATAAACATCTTGACTTCTGCTGCTGTGACATATACCGGGCTTTTGCTTGCTTCACTCTTGTTTTTTCTTCCATTTCGTCAGCCGTCCATTCCTTCAATTGGCCTTCTCTTTGCCTTCAGCAGCAGCAGCAGCAGCAGCAGCAGCAATGAACAGCACGGTCGAGCAAGTCATGGCGGATCTGCCACTGCACCCATTTTCCCCTTTTGCCATTGAGCTGCCAACCTATGTCCCCAACACTCTTTCGGCGCTGCCTCTCGTGTCCATCTTTGCAGCAGGATGTGTGGTTATTTTCGGAATCACGTATGGCTTCATTCAGCGGATGAGGCCCTCGATGAGCACCGGCGAGGTTTCCATCGCGCTCTGGTTTGCGCTCTGCGGCTGCATCCATCTGTTTTTTGAAGGTCAGTGAGAATGGAACATGTCAATCACAATGGCTTGACGCGCTATTTCTCATTTTTCCCCCCCCTTCTCTTCCCTCTTACCCCCTTTTTTCTTTGTTTTCTCTGTCAGAATGCTAATAGATATGCAGGTTACTTTTCCTACAATGCATTCGACATGGCCAGCAAGACAGACATCTTTGGCCAGCTCTGGAAGGAATATGCCCTGTCTGATTCTCGCTACATGACCCAGGACGCCTTCACTGTTTGCATGGAAACCGTCACTGCTGTTTTCTGGGGCCCAATGTCCTTCTTTTGTGTCTACTTCATCATTGTTGACCACCCGCTGCGACACCCGTTCCAGCTCATCATCAGCTTGGGCCAGCTGTACGGTGACATCTTGTACTACGCCATCTGCACGTTCCAGGAGATTGTAAACGACATTGTGTACTGCCGACCGGAGCGATTTTACTTCTGGGCTTACTACTTCCTCTGCAACTTCTTCTGGATTGTTATTCCTCTGCTGCTCATCAAGCAGAGCGTCAGCGAGACCGCAAAGGCATTCGCCAAGGTCAAGGCGACGTCTGCTGTTAAGAAGGCTCAATAAAGGAGAGAGGAAAGATGAGGAAATATTTCGGGAAGAAAGCATTTGCGGATTATGCTTGCAATCATAAGATTTGAGATTTAGAAGAGATTATTATCATGGTATAGATAAAAACGACGCTGCCTGTTTTTAGGGGAGAGTATTAACTCTAGCCCCCCCAAACATGTTGCTCCCTATAGGAGCCCTTCGTAATCCAAGAGGACGATTAACTGTTAATTAAAATCCATTCATCATCCATTCCAATAACGCCATCGCTATGCAAAGGTCCAGGTAACTAACTGACTTGAAATTTATTCGAATTGACCCTCAATGCCCAGCTTAATACCTTCCAACACAGGTCCCCACTGGCTGCTCGTCCTTTGAGTTCGAATCTCTCCAAATCGGTCGCTGGCAATTTTGCGGACAAGGAGAGTATCCTTTGCTTTTTTAAGATTTCTTCCTTCGCCAGTAGAAAGATACTCTTCAAACCACACCTCTTCTACAGAGTCAAACGGCAAGAATGCCAATTCGTCTGCCTGCCCCGACTTGTTACCGAGAACCTCCGCGATCAGCTGCCGAAAGAGGAGCTGGCGGGTATACTCTGGGTATGTGCGGGAATATAGGAGCGCCTCAGTCACATTGGTTTGAGCCATGGCGCCAAAGATGAGCTCCAAAGCCTTGGAAGACTTTAAAACTGGTTGAACAGTATGGAAGTAAGACAGCGCAAGATCATAGTCGCCATCCGGAGCATGCTGCACAAGAGTGATGACGATATCATCCGCAAAGTCTGGTACTAATGATGGGTGGGCGACATATTCCAGAGCGGTCTATCAAATTGTTAGCAATGGGAGCCTGGATGCTGTAAATCACATCACCAACCGAAAAAGCTAGGCAGTCCATATACCACAAGCCTTTCATAAAGATCTCGTACTTCTGAGGCATTCCCGAAGCAGAAGCAAATGTTTCAGAAAGAGACGCCTGGCCGTCAACTATATCAAAGTCCAAGAGCACATAGTATAGCAACGATAACTTGTGGTGCATCGACATGTTGCTCTCGCAAATTTGTTGGTGAAGTTGTTTCACGCCATTGTCGTTCTTTGGAGGGTAGATCTTGTCTGCGCAATATGCTGGTCAGTTTTGCAATCAAAGCTGTGTGAATTAGTCTCAGAGCCATGGGTCTAGACTGACTTTTGCTGATTCCCAGTGCTTTCAAAACACGATCCATGAAGAGCTGCCCGCCTAAATCTTTCCGGCGCGCCTCGATCTCGTGGATGCGCTTGCGATCGTAGGGTACCTGGGCCCCCGCGGGGAAAACTTTGTGGTAATCGGTGTATTCAAACATTGTCGCGGGTCGTTAAGGCAGAAGTAGAGACAGGGCGTATCTGCGAGAAAGGCTTGGGGAAAGCGTCTTGCTATTCCAAACTTGCGTCAGAGCCAAAGCTTTCTGGTGCTGTGCTAGCTAACGAGCAAGCCATGGCCGTCGCGCCGTCACGTGTAAGCCGCACCGAAGCTCAAACGCCAGCGGCCGTAGCACTGAAGCCACAGCGAAAGCCACTGAAGCCACAAGCGAAACAATGAACAAATGGTAGGCTTGGTGGGGTGGGAGGGTACGTACCCGTTGTTTACAAACCACGCATTGGGACATTTCCAAACAAAGCCAGCGAGCGCGGGGTCCATCTAAGCAGAATCGATTTCTAGCGGTCTATTGCAAGTTCGGCTTGCGACACGACGAGAGGCGAAGGCCGTGAATCGCCGTTTGACCATCGACAGGGCCGGCCATCTATTATTTCTGATTTCGATTTCCTATCTCTGTTATTTCCAGCTACGCGAGCACGAGACGATCCCTCCTTGCATCCCTTTTTGAACACCGTGAGCGACAGCCCACCTTAGCGTCATGGCCTCTTCTCGACCATCGCGACGCGTCGCCAGGCGGCCAATTATCGAATCCGACGACGAAGATGAGATCTCTTTAACATCAAATAATCGCGAAGAGTCGCCATTTGAACCGCCACAGCCAGCCGCCAAGAAAACCAGGACCGCGCGCAGGACAGTTCCGCCTGCGGCTGCTGCTGATGCGTCTACAAAAACGACAAAGGCGCCTCGAGTCCGTGGGCGCCCTAAGAAGGCTCCAACCCCGTCAGGGACCGTTGACAGCAGCGATATACTAGGCGAAGATGAAATTTCCCAAGCAAATGTCACTGCGACTGCGAAACCCCGCGGCCGGACTAAGAGAGCCTCAACTGTTTCCAGTGTCGATTCCAATGACCACCCTGATGCAGCCGATCGAATGGACGGCAGTACATCGACAGCAGGCGGACCTTCATCACGGAAGCGGAGAAGTGTGGCATCGCGAAGATCAAGGGCCAGTAACGCACCAGAAACCCAACCAGAAGTACAGCCCCAAGTACAGCCAGAAGCACAGCCAGAAGCACAGCCAGAAGCACAGCCAGAAGCACAGCCAGAAGCACAGCCAGAAGCACAGCCAGAGACCCCTCGGTCAAAGGTTAGTAGGAGTCCAGACGCTGCGCTGGAAGATCAGATATCGCCAGAAGACCAATCCACACCAAAAGCACGACCTGCTCCGAGAGCAAAAGTCTCTTCGACGCCGAAGCCTGCTCCAAGATTACGATCCGCAACGCCACAGGAATCCCGACCACATGAATCCCAAGCTGTGCAGTCGACTCCAGCGCCCAAGCCAACGCAACCATCAATAGAAACTCCGCATGCACAGCGACAGGGTTCTCCTCTGGCAGATATAACGTCACACATCAATTCGGTCAAAGCCAAGCCACCGCCATCTGCCAAGCCCGTCAGGACAATGGATACCATTATGGAGAAGCCAATGGATATCGTTCTCAAGTCACGGACATTGACGGTGCCTATTGTCGAAGATCCAACACCAAAGCCTCGCATTGTCATCACACATTTGGTCCTCGAAAACTTCAAGAGTTACGCTGGACGACAAGAAGTGGGACCATTCCATGCGTCGTTCTCATCCGTTGTTGGACCCAACGGCTCTGGAAAATCTAATGTTATTGACTCTCTCCTCTTTGTGTTTGGCTTCCGAGCTAGCAAGATGCGACAGGGAAAGATCTCCGCTTTAATTCACAGTTCTGCACAATATCCCAACCTTCCTTTCTGCGAGGTTGCGGTGCATTTCCAAGAAGTCTTGGATCAGGTAGGTGCTTTCCATATTGCTATGTACTAGACACCGTCAACTGACCGCTTCTAGCCTGGGGGTGGCCATGAAGTAATCCCCGATTCGGAGCTTATTATTTCCCGCAAGGTTTTCAAAAACAACTCCAGCAAATACTACATCAATGGCAAGGAGTCTAGCTTCACAATCGTCACAACTCTTCTGCGCGACCGTGGCGTAGATCTCGATCACAAGCGTTTCTTGATTCTCCAGGGAGAAGTCGAATCAATTGCTCAGATGAAGCCCAAGGCTGCGAATGAGCACGAAGATGGATTACTGGAGTACCTTGAAGACATCATTGGAACCTCTAAATACAAAACTCCGATTGAAGAATCTGCTGCCGAAGTCGAAACTATCAATGAAGTTTGTATGGAAAAGAGTGCTCGTGTTCAGCATGTTGAGAAGGAGAAGAATAGCCTGGAAGAAAAGAAAGACAAGGCACTTGCATTTATTCGAGATGAGAATGAACTCGCCATGAAGCAATCTGCATTGTATCAACTCTATCTTCACGAGTGTACCGACAACATCGCGGTCACAGAAGAGGCAATCAATCAGATGCAATCTCAACTGGACCTTGAACTTGAAAAACATCAAGGTAGCGAGCAAATCATCAAGGAGCTTGAACGCCAATACGCCCAGGTTGGTAAGGAGTTTGAAGCTCAAGACAAGCAAACTCAAGCATTCGTCAAAGAATTGGCAAAGTTTGAACAAGAGCGGGTCAAATTTGACGAGAAGAAGAAATTCTTGGAAGATAAGAGAAAAAAGCTTCAGAAATCGATTAATAAGACTGAAAGATCCGCGGCTGAAGCTGATGAGACGATCGAGCAATGCGGAGAGGACATCGTCACACGGACACAAGAAATCGCAGTATTGGAGTCTACGGCGAAAGATGAAGAAGCTGAGCTTACCAGAATCAGAGAGAATCTGAAGGGAAAGACCCAAGTCTTTTCTGACCAGATTGCAGCCAAACAAAAGTCACTGGAGCCATGGGTAGAGAAGGTCAATCAGAAGCAATCTGCCATTGCTGTTGCTGAAAGTGAGATGAACATTCTCCAGGAAAAGGCGAATGCTGGTGCAGTTGCTCTGCAGGAGCTGGAGGCCAAAATATCATCCATAGAAGAGGGCAAAGTCGCCAAGCAAAAGGAGCTCAAGGCTTGCCAGGCTGAAAAAGCAAAATTGACAAAGGAGGCTGAAAAGATGAAATCCGAGCTCTCAATTCTCGCAGAACAAGAACCAAAGATAAGATCAAAGATTTCTAACGCTCGCCAGAAAGCAGACGAGGCTCGTTCCAGCTTGGCTAATACTCAGACGAGAGGCAATGTGCTATCTGCCCTGATGCGAATGAAGGAATCAGGTCGTATTGATGGATTCCAAGGTCGTCTAGGAAACCTTGGCACTATTGATAAGAAATACGACGTGGCAGTCTCTACCGCGTGCCCTCAGCTTGACAACTTTGTCACCGAAACGGTAGAGGCAGGTCAACAGTGCATCGAGTACCTACGGAAGAATAACCTCGGTCGCGGTAACTTCATCTGTCTAGATAAACTTCGACAACGGGATATGTCACCCATCCACACCCCGGAAAACGCGCCGCGGTTGTTTGATCTTGTCAAAGCAAAAGCTGACAAATTCCTACCGGCGTTCTATCACGCTATGCAAGATACTCTTGTTGCCAATGACCTTGCTCAGGCCAATCGTATCGCTTACGGTTCCAAGAGGTGGCGAGTTGTGACGCTGGATGGCGAATTAATTGACAAATCTGGTACCATGTCAGGAGGTGGTAACACGGTGAAGAGAGGCCTTATGTCCTCCAAGCTCGTTGCCGACACAACACAAGAACATGTCGCCAAACTTGAAGAGGATCGTGATGGGTGGGAAACCAAGTTCCAAGAGTTTCAGGAATATCAACGAGAATGCGAGAACAGATTGAAGGAACTGAACCGAGAAATCCCACAATTAGACACCAAGATGCAAAAGATTGGCTTAGAAATGGAGAGCGCCACGCGAAACTTGGCTGATACCCAGCGACGCATTCAGGAAGTCAACAAGGAGTACCAACCATCCACCGAAGACTCTAAGAGATTTTCGACACTGCAGAAGGAAGTAGCTAAGCTGACTGCAGAAGTGGATAAACTTCGTGGTGAGACATCTAGCGTCGAGGAGGAGATTAAAGCTCTGCAAGACAAGATCATGCAAGTTGGTGGAGAGAAGCTGCGAGCTCAGCGAGCCAAGGTTGACGCTATTAAAGAGGAGATTTCATCTCACAACGACGAGATTTCCAATGCTGAGGTCAAGAAAGCCAAGGCCGAGAAACAGAAGGTCAAGCTTGAGAAAGAGCACACTAAGGCTACTAAAGAGCGAGATGCCGCAGTACGCGATCTTGAGCAGCTACAAGACGGTCTTAACAACCAAGGAGAGAAAGCGGAAGAGCTAAAAGCCCAAGTCGAGGAAGCCGAGCAAGGGCTTGCGCAGATGAAGAAGGGGCTGAAACAGCTTAAGACAGAGTTGGACGCGAAGATTGCAGAGCTCAATGAAACCCGAGCGGTGGAGATTGAGATGCGAAATAAGCTTGAAGAGAACCAGAAAGTCCTCGCTGATAACCAGAAGCGACTCCGATACTGGCAAGAAAAGTTGTCCAAACTTGTGCTCCAAGATATCGACGACTTGGTCGGCAACTCGGCTCCTAAGCCCATTAAGACCGAGGAACCAGAACAGACTGAGATGCCAGGGCCTTCAACAAACGACGGCGATGATGAAGATGTTGAGATGACAGACGCCGAGGCTGATGATGTTGAGATGGATGATGGAGATGCCATGTCAGTAACCTCGGACAAAACTGAACATGCCGAAAGCGCGCCCGCTCGCCAGCCCAACGAACTGCCAAGGTATACGCCAGACGAGTTGGCTGGTATGAATAAAGAGACTCTTAAAGGGGAGATTGCCGCGTTGGAAGAGAAGACTCAGAATGTCAACGTGGATCTCGGAGTTTTGGCTGAGTATCGTCGTCGCGTAGAAGAGCATGTAAACCGCGCGTCTGATCTGCAAACAGCACTTGAACAGCGCGATGCGGCAAAGAAGAGACTGGATGACCTGCGCCGTTTGCGACTTGAAGGCTTCATGGAGGGCTTCAGTGCAATTTCACTGCGTCTCAAGGAGATGTACCAAATGATCACCATGGGAGGTAACGCAGAACTCGAGCTGGTTGACAGCTTAGACCCCTTCAGCGAAGGTATTCTTTTCAGCGTGATGCCGCCCAAAAAGAGCTGGAAGAATATCGGCAACCTTTCCGGTGGAGAGAAGACTTTGAGTAGTCTTGCTTTGGTGTTTGCTCTGCACCACTATAAGCCAACGCCGCTATACGTCATGGACGAAATTGATGCTGCTTTGGACTTCCGAAACGTGAGTATAATTCTGCAAGCGTACTTTGCTGTCACTCTACAGGCCCCCCTTTTTTTATCCTTTGCACAATATGAAGACATGAGATTGAAGTTGCTAATAATACTTAACATCAGGTCTCAATCGTGGCGAATTACATCAAAGAGCGTACAAAGAACGCGCAGTTCATCGTTATTTCGCTACGAAACAACATGTTTGAGCTTGCAGCGCGCCTTGTCGGCGTGTACAAGGTCAACCATATGACGAAGAGTGTCACGATAGAGAACAAGGACTTTATCGACAGGCCTCAAATGACACAGCAGCAGCAGCAGAGAGCGCTGGGAGGAGGTGGAAATACGACCACAGTAGCAATGAGGTAGCACGGATAAGTTGTCTTTCAATATTAATGTGACAGAGGGCTTATGTTATTAGGCGAACCGATGGCGGAATCTGACCGCAGTTTGATGTTCCATGACTCTCATATATGGGAAAAAGGGTAGGGCAAACATTGAAGAGATACTTGGGGTCTGGTATTTTGGAATTATGGCGGATACTTTTGTCGAAAAGGGATATAGCTTTTTAATGATTTTTCATGAGCAAACGACGATTGGACTTTGAAGTATGTGAGGCGCCGCAGGTCGTGTGTGCTTTTCAATCCCCTTCCCCTCTCCCCTCCCCCAAAAGTCTGTTTTGAAGAGCCTTCGCTTCTTTACCTTACATTGTCTTTTTTCTTTTAGTCTAAAAAATCTTGCCGAAAGAGAGGGAGCCCACGACGATAATAGCGTACTCCAGAAGCGAAAGCCGCTCGCCTCGAACACTCGCACCATGTGCTCACGTCCCTCGAACATGTCATGTTCGTTCTCCCCCACCAACCAACCTCAGAATGGACAATGCGAGAAATGTCTTATTTTGCAGCCCCCTTTTGGAGGCGTCCACATGTGCCACGTGCCTCATTCGCACGATGGCTGCATTAGGAGAGAGTGCCGGATCTCGCGATCGCTATGCATGCATGAGACAGATGTTGACGCGGCGTTAGCTCCGCTTTGTGTTGCACGAGTGAAGATCTTTGTGTTACGGGTAAGAGGGAGAATATGGAGGATCGTGGTTGAAGTCCCCTTCTAGCTGTGTGCAAAATGGTCTAGATATCCCGCCTAGGGGAATAAGACCGAGAGGAGGTCGTAGGGAAGAGCTGGAGACGGATGTAGTGCTGCCGAGACATAGTGGTGCCGGCTGTGCTTGATGGGCTGCCTCAAGGTATGCTCTCAATGAGCTTCACTGAGGGTCGATATACATTCGGATCTGAAGGCGTTTTATAGATTAGCCCGTATGTATTTTGAGATCCGGCGTTCTGTTGGAATCTCAGTTTTAGTCAGGGGCAATGAGTTACAGATGCACCATGTCTTGTTTCTTGAGAATAGACTCGCGAGTTTGTGCGATGCATGAGTGGCCATTTCTATACCCGCAGCCTGTATACGATTCCTCTTTATAAATACCGGGTAGGCCATTGATCATTACAGCTAGAGTTCAAATATGCTGCTATTCATTATAGAATATCCTCACCATTCTTTTTATCTGTTACAATGCTGCTTCTTTTTACCCAGGTTCTTCTTGTTTGTGGTGCGTTTGCCTTTCCTGCGGCGCAGGAGGCCGTTTCCTGTGAGCACGATAGTCTGTATACGTCGCTCTCGCGAGATGGCGGAGACTTCTGTTCGAGCATGGTGAGAACTCCCTGCGAGGTGTCGTCGACTCCAACACAATTCAAATCGTATTCTTCGGCCAAGTTGTCGTCATATGTGAGTATTCCTCATTATAGTGAAGCATTCATATAATATGCCTTTGGTTAAAAACATGTACCCCCATAGTGTGCCTGTCTTATGACGAGTTACGCATCATATGGAACCGCTGCACTTACCGCAACTGGTCAATCTAACGGCACGGGGCCATATACGTCGTGGCGTAATTCTCACAGGCCATCGCCTACACATGTCGCTACTCAAGCGAGATCTGAGAATGGCGGCGATGAGGGAGAGTCCAAGACTAACAGTGACGATGACTCGGCAACAGAAACTGGTGGAGCATCTGCTTCTACCGATGTTTCGAGAACCGATGACGGAGGCTCTATTGACAAGACAACCACTACCAAATCTTCAAACAGCTTGGAGTTACCAACGGATTCTGCTGCTAGTGGCTCTGGAGCTCGGTCAACTACTCAGTCGGACATGGCTGGATCAGATACAGGATCAATGACAGCAAAAGTAACGCGCACATCATATGACTCTTCTCAAAAGACTTCAACGTCTAATGCTTCTGATAATGGCGGCGCCATCTCTCATGATAGCTCGGCAACGGAAACCAAAGCTTCTAATACGACCAGTGGCTCGGCTGCATCTTTCCGGACAGTATCGGCTAGTACAGCAACTGGTGATGCTAGTTCTACAGACGACTCAACAGACAGCGGGTCTGGAAGAGCAACAAGCTCTGGAGAAAGACGTCCCTTTACTACTGCTTCAAATGGACAGCCATCAAATGGCACGTTGGGCGCCCAAAGCTCATCCAATGGCTCACAAAATTCTAGCCAACGGCTCAGCATAATTTCGGCCAATTTCACAGACACACGGATACCGAGTTTCACCTATACGGTATCTATGCCAGTAGTGACCTCTGGGAATATATCTGGCACCGCTGCTTGGAATAGCTCAGTCACATATTCTCCATGGGGTACCAGAACTGGAGATTCTCTATCTGCTACGACTGCAATTGGCCTCACATCTAGAGCGATATCAAGATCATCTTCAAGCCTTGGAAATTTGGGGACAGTTACTACAGTCACAAACGGCACTCAAGTGGCTACTCTTACTATCCCCCCTTTTATCACGCCCAGTGGCTTCAACAGCAGTACCATCAGCCATATTGTCAATGCAACGCAGACAGGGCCGCCTCCTTTACCTGCTGCAAATTTCACACAGGTGACTCGAACAGGTGCTATTATCAAACCGACATGCTATCAAATGCCTGAGCCGCAAGGCGGATCAACCCGAAGAGCGCTGCTTCACAACACAAACCTTCGAGAGCAAAACGCTACAATTCCATTCCCATATATTGAGTCTGTGGATTTCCAAACGGATGGCGTTGATCCTTTGTATCTCACGCTGCGAGATGCCGCTGAAGGGACCCATTACATCGACGTTTCTAATCGTAGTTACATCGCTATCGTGGACTCGCTTTATAATGCCATGATAATCGACGCAAAAGGGATTCATTTCTCAACGAAGAAGTGTGAATATGATGTATCCATCACGATTGACTCCATGTATCAACAACTTGCTGCGCTGTCTGGACAAGTCTGTTCCACAGGCAGCCAGCATCGGAAACGAATGAATGATGCAGACTTCAACCAGACACTGTATCTGCGAGACCAGTGCAACAATCCGATTAAGCGGACTGTGCGACGATATCCATCGCTCAGGGTTGGAGACACAGATTGCAATGACATTGAAGTCGATGAGGATACTGGTCGATGGCTCTTTGACTGCACATTCCCTGGCTCAGACTCGGGCACCTTGAAATGTGAATGGGCTGTCAGGAATGACATTGAAGAGTTTCTCTTTACGGACCCCTTTGGTGGTGCTTGTCCTGACTTGTCCACCGTTATCACAACTCTGGAAGCCAACGGCCAAGATTTCATTAATCCAGAATCTCTCCGAACCGAGCTCTACAACCAGGGTCTAGACGATGCGCAAAAAGCAGAGGCCAACCTCATTGTCATCTACTATGAACAGCTGTGGGAGATCCTGAAGCAGGCTTTCTCGAAGCTTCGCACTCAGCCCCCGGGCAAAACGAGCGCGATTCAAGAGTACATCGACGTGTATAACCGGTATCGTAACTTTGAGGACGATATTTGCGAGGATCTTCACGCCGGAGACATGCCATTGAAGATGAGCCTCCGTGCAGGCGTAACCACCATCGACGCCATCGCAAGACTGAACTGGGCGCCAGAGAACCCCAAACCGTTCAATGTGACGGTTCAAGATCCAGCCAAGCTTGCGTGCTGCAGCCCTGGAAGCGATGCGAAGAAGGACGAATCCACTGGAACGTGTGAATATCCCTTTAGCGCTCACTTGGGCGATACGGGCTGCGTCTGCGGAAAGACGGCTTCGGGAGCTTCTGTGGCGTTTGAGATTACAGAGTGTGAGAACTTTGTGAGTGAGTGTGAGAATGATGATGATTGTTCCAAGGCTGGACATCCGACGTTTGTTTGTCTGACTGGGAGTTGCTGTGGTGGAGGAGTTTGTGCTGATCCGTATGAGTGTGCGCAGAATGGGTCTGCATTGGTGAGGCCGAGTCTCTTCTTTTGAATTTGACTGTTGAGATGAATTTGGATGTGAATAGCTGGGTATCGTTTGTACGACGTAGGTGTAAGCAAAAATATTGAGTGCCAAATAGTTTGAAATTTAAACCATCTGCTTTCTGACTTTGCAACCCTGGTACCAACATTGAATACAGATTCCACAATGCAGTCACATGGCAAAAAAGGCACATAATTGTGTGAATTTTTAACAAGAAAAAGTCCGATTCATTTAGCCGCCAGGATTCTCTTTGTCCCGGGTATTCATCTAATCAAATTTTTACATGAAGACGTTAAACGTAACCAGACTCCGCCCAACACCATTATTCCCATAATTTAGACCTTGGGGGCAACGGTGGGGGTGATCTTCTTGCCGTCCTTGTTGTAGCGGACACGAGGAGGGGGAGCACGGTTACGGCGACCCTCGCGGGAACGGACACTGTTCAGTTCTGTCAGCTTCTAACGTACCTTTGTAGAGGGGCGGGAAGGGGTGTATATATGTTCGAGAGCTGGGACAAAGACATGTCCCATAGTACAACCAAGGCTCATCTGAAGCACATACGCCATGATGGCGCAGTTGTAACACTCCCATGGGAGGCAACGTACCGGACAATCTTGCCGTGAATGGCACAAGAGACGCAGTACTGCAGCTTCAGGTACATCTTGGGGACGGTGTACTCGGCGAAGACAGAGGCATCAGAGATATCACCTGGAGAGGAGGAGTTAGCGGATGCGAGTTCTGTGCATTGTGGGCTCGATTCAACGTACGGATGGCAGCGGACTCAACCATGTTGCGGATGGTGAAGCGCTTGATCGCCTTATCCTTGGGGGTGCATCGCGAGCAGTTGCTGCAGCGGATGGGCTTGGTGTGGCCGCGGCCCTTCTTGTTGCGGCCGCTGTTGATACGTTAGCATCCAATTTGTGTGCTTCAAGCTCATTCTGCGACGTCAATCTTCAAAAGCAGCCATCGACACGAAATTATATCCATCCACAGACAGATTAAAAAATCGTGGATAGCGGCATGCCAGAAGGAGCAGAACGGAACAGATGAAGAGGGGAGTCATACTTGTTCTTTCTCTTCTTGACCATTTTGGCGGTGTCTGGATTGAACTGTTAGATTCTCACGCAGGAAAGAAGAAAAGAGAAAGGAGTTCGGTTCACGTACTGGAATCGGTGTTTGTCAAAAAGAACTTCGCCTAGGGCTAAGCAAAAGCTGATTGTGCCAAATCAATACATCGCCTGCTCGCTAGTGTGCCCCACACAATGACCGATCAGCAGCGCAGCCAGCAAAATTTCGCGAGAGACAGGGCAGCTACCGCGAAAACCCTAGGTCAGGTGATCCCGGTTGCCGCTCTCCGAGCAGGGAAATTTCTGGCGCGGCACACCACTAAAAGTAGTTCTCACTCATCAACCGCAACATCTGAAGATTGCTTAGGACGGCAGTAATTTTATTGTCGAGGTATGTCTGAAAGATGCTGCATTTCTATCTGCCCTCCATGAGCTCCGTGAGCTTCATGAGGGAATCATCTTTGATGTCTCTCTCTTGAAATGCTTTTCCGGAGCTCTTTCCCGTGCTTCCCAAAGTACCCCCGTCGATGGCGCAGAGACAATTTGCAACATCGAACGGCTTCTTTCTTCTCCCCAGACGTCGTCTCACGCAGCAATTTTTTGCCAGGCAAAAAAAATCTAACCCTTCCAGTTAGGCAAGATGCAGATTTTCGTCAAGACCCTCACGGGGAAGACGATCACCCTTGAGGTGGAGTCTTCCGACACCATCGACAACGTCAAGTCCAAGATCCAGGACAAGGAGGGCATTCCCCCGGACCAGCAGCGATTGATCTTCGCTGGTAAGCAGCTCGAGGATGGCCGCACCCTGAGCGACTACAACATCCAGAAGGAGTCTACCCTCCACCTGGTCCTGCGCCTGCGTGGTGGTGCCAAGAAGAGAAAGAAGAAGGTCTACACCACCCCCAAGAAGATCAAGCACAAGCGCAAGAAGACCAAGTTGGCTGTCCTCAAGTACTACAAGGTCAGCAACGATGGTAACATCGAGCGTCTGCGACGAGAGTGCCCCAGCGACACTGTGAGTAGCCCCCTGTTTGCCGTTTCCATGCGGCTTACAAAACTTTCCCGAAAACTGTGGCAAAAGTATTTGGAATCTAACATGAGTTTGCCTTTTTAGTGCGGCGCTGGTGTCTTCATGGCTGCCATGCCTGATCGTCAGTACTGCGGTCGCTGCCACCTGACCTACGTCTTCGACAAGCAGTAAACGACAAAAAACTTTTTTTTTTAAAATGGAATGAAAATTTGTGGATTGGACAGCTGGAGCCATGGGACTGCCATAACAAACAAAGGCGTTGATGTAGCATAGAGAGCACATCCGGCGGCTTCTGGTAATGAATGCTTGATTTAAGACACGTTTGGAGTTTCGGGAACTGTAGTTCATGTGACAATGTGCAATGAATGCCGTATAAAGATATACCATCTCCGTGACGATTGTGTTAATGTTCGGGATACCGAGTGCTGTATGAGAGATAAGGTCCGTTCTGACTGAGAACGCGATATACCCTGCCCTCCGATATCCAAATTGTTTTAACCCTGCACGAGAGATTTTACGATTTAGTTGGCCCGCTTTAATCGCGTATGGGGCCTTCTCATATTACTCCGTACTCTCTTGTAGTAGTTTCAATCACATGCATTACAAAATATCACGAAATATCACGCGACAGCCAGATTGTAATTTTGTAACTTCAATTCAATTATGTTGATGCGAATAACCTGAGTTAAATCGAACAATGCAACATCGAGACCGGGTATGCATCCCTTCATATGTACAATAAATTAGTAGCAAAGCTGTTTTCCCTTGAACGCCATTTCCAGATTTCCTTACAACTCCCTCAAAAGTGAAGCGCAGATACCACTCCAGGTCCAGAGCCGACATCTCTAATGCAACCAAAGTCTACTCAGCTTCTGGAGTCTTGCTGTTCTTTGCCTTCTTGGTCTTGTCCTTCTTAGGCTTTGGCTGCGAAAGTTTAGTTTCCTCAGCCATCACCGAAGAATCCATGCCAGGATCGGCAAAAGGTCCGCTGGCTTGCGAGGCAGCTAGATCAGACACGGCGCTCAGATTTCCTTCCTTGCTGAGTTCCTTTTCGCTCTTCTTCTTTTTGTCGGTCTTCTCATGAGTCAAGGCTTCATCTTCTTCGCCGCCATCTTTGGACTGCTCTGGTTGGGCTACCTCAGTGATGGACTTTGAGTCAGTCGAAGCCTCCAAGTGCTGGGAAGCACTCTACTCATCCTTCGACTTGGACTTCTTCTTCTTCTTCTTCTCCTTCTTGTCATCATCAGCGTTAGCCATAGGAACATCCTCATCCTCATCGCGCTTGCGCTTCTTCTCCTTCTTGTCCTTCTTCTTGTCCTTCTTCTCTTTCTTGTCCTTCTTCTCCTTCTTGGAGGCAGCCTCAGGGGCATCAACCATGTCCTCATCAAGGTCCAATCCGGCATCGCCGAGAGACTCCATGACAGATTTCTAGTTTAGAGTTAGTTTGTATTCAGGAGAAATTCAGTGGAGGAAGTCGTAACATACAATAACATCTACATTCTTGGTGGGGCGCTTGCCGGTGGCGTAGAACTCGAGACGCTCATCTACCTGCTGCTTGAAAGCATCACCAAACCGGGTGGAAGGCTCATCGGAGAAGACGTCGATACGAGAAGCCATGGAAGCCTTGTTGGCCACGCATCGAGACATGCGGCCCTTGTTCTGCTTGCTAGCCTTGGCAATGGCACCAGCGTGGAACAGAAGACCAAACTTGGGAGTGTTACCCTTAGTCTTGAGCGCACGGAAGAGGGCCTTCTCAGCTCCAAGAATCTGCAGGGTTGATGAGGGGAGCTTGGCCAAGTTGGTGAGAGAGCCTGCATGAGAGATGAGACGGGCAGCAACGCTAGATCCAAGCAGGGCCTTCAAATTGGGGGCGACCTGGTTCAACTTCTCATCAAGATAGTTGGAGGTTGATCGACGGTTATCGGCTTGCTTGAGGACAAGCTGAGAGAGCTGATCAATGATCTCAAAATCTGTGGGAGTAAGATCATAACCCATGGACACCTTGGCGGCATCAATGATAGCCTGGGCCTTTTCTCCGTCCTCACCAAGGACAGCGGCGATGTCGTGGAGCTTCTCATCGGACAGCAGCTTTCGGTTTCCAATAACACCGACGAGCTGAGCGTAGGTGTAGTTGTCTGAGGTAAATCTCTGGAGCTCAGGGAAGTGCGAGCCATACCATTCACGAAGGCGCATGAAGAAGCCGTTGACACCCTTGTCCTGGAAGTCGACGGTGGCAATAGCCTGGATGATGTGGTTGTCGTTGCGGGTGACGTTGAACTTGACCTTGGCACGAGAGTACGCGTGGGCCAGACCGAGGGAGGCCTTGGTGAGATCACCAGTCTGGAGACCCTTGAGCAGCTTCTCAGCGTGCAGACGAATTCCACGGATAAGTTCGGCAACAACCACTGAGGTTTCGATCGTCTCGATGGAGAGGCCGGGGAACTGAGCCTTGATGGCACCACCAAGGTTCTTCTCCGCCACACCAAGAGTAATCTTGCTCTTCTTGCCGCTCGTCTGGGGGAGATTGAGCTCAAGGACCGACTTGAGCTGGTCGGAAACGATACCCTCAGAAATCAGGTTGACGTTCTCGAGAGCCTCGACGTGGCCGCTGTCGTTCAAACATGTCAATTCCTGGCCCAACTGAGGGTTCATCGTCAACTAGGAAGAAGGCATTACCTGAAGGGAGTGAAGTTGACAAGATTGACCATTTTGCTGAACTTGGGCAGCTCGTTGACGGCGGTTTGCACCTCCTTCAACTTGGCGCCGACGGCATCGGCCTGGTGCACCACATTGAAGAGGGCATAGCCCAGGGCGGCCTCGAAAAGGACGTAATCTACGTGCGCCATTGTATCTCTGTCCAGGCGGCGCCGTTAGATTGAGAGGAGAGACGCGGTGACTGCAATTGGTGGCAGCTTTTCGGTTTGGTGTTTTTTCCAAGATCTTCGCATCCAAACTTTTTTTTTAGTCGACGAAATTTTCTGGTAGCTTTGAGCATTAGCGCACGGGCCAATAGAATTTTGCAGCCGGAAGGGACGTTGATGTGGGATGTATCACGTGAGTGGAGAGCGGGGCTCGTCTGGTTTGGGGTGCAAGGTGAACTAAAGGTGACCTGTAGCTGACAGAGTGCGGCAGTATCGATGACTTCTATATGCTCAATCATTTTCATTTTTTTTTTGTCATTTGTACTCTATTTTACTTTAATCTTTCTATCTGTTCTCAGATGCCAATCTATAGTCCTTTACTGGCTCCTCCTAGCCCTTAGTTATTTGGGAATCCATTCTTCAAGTTGTCGTACTTTGACTGCGGATAATCAATGCAGTTGTCCTTCCTCTGGAGAGCTCGGGGCCCGCCAAACTCATTGACAACAATTCCAATCAGGCTATCGTGGCCCTCTTTATCACCGCTGCTCTCCCACCACATACCGCCCCCGAGACCCCACTCCTTGATGTACCCAGCCTTAACTCTGCTAGCATGAGGAGTATCGTAAGAAACAAGCTTTCTCGTCTGTGGGTTATAGCAGTAGCTGGCGCCAATGGCTTGGTCGTAAATCTCTTGTGACCCCTGAAGAGGAAGAACCTTGTAGTCGAAGATGCCATTTTCCCAAGATCCTTCGCCAATACCGTTGTATGGCCTACCCGGACCATCTGTATTCTCAAAAGCACGGCCATAGATGGGCATTCCGAGCACAATCTTGCTGGGGGCTACACCATTCCTTGTGTAGTGGTCAATGGCCGCGTCGGTGGAAAACGGTGTAGATGTAGGATTGTCATGCGACACGTGGAGATTGGCCTGATGTCCGCTTGTCTGATCCCAAGATCCAGCGTAGTCGTAGGCCATCAGATTCCAGAAATCAAGATATCTGTCCATGCCTGGGATATCGAGAATTCGAAAGTGCGTGGGTCCCGCAGGACAGGCTACAGTCAGCTCGAAATGGCTGTAATTTGGAAGCGTCGCTGAGTAGGCATCCAGCTCTCTGCGGACAGTGGCAAGCAGCTCAACAAAATTTCTCGCCTCATCTGCATTTTGAGGATATTCCCAGTCAATGTCCAGACCGTCAAACCCGAGATTTTTGAGAAGCTCAAGACTGGATTTGGCGAATGTCTCGCGGCCTTGCTGGGTGCTAGCCGGTCCCTTGAAGTTGCCGCTATAAGTCCAGCCGCCAATGGACAGCAGAACCTTGAGATTTCGGTTGCGCTTTTTGAGGAGGTTGAGCTGCTTGAGACAGCCATACATGTTGTTGCCGGTATCATTCCACGAGTCACCCTCCCAGTGAATGTCCGTGTCCGCCCAGCCATCAGTCATATGCCTGCATATATAATGTTAGACAGAGTGCATCTAGGATGGAAGGAGAATAAAGATGGCCTACACTTCTCCGCTGTCTTGGCGAACATTGGCAAAGGCGTAGAGGACATGAGTCAGTTTATCGGCGGGAAGGTCTTGCGGCCTATGCTTTCTAGCATAGATGGCCCTTTGATGCACACAATTAGTATCAATTGGAGGAGATGCGTACACATGCTAATGTTGTGTAACTAGATGATGCATACCAATTCACAAAGTAGGCGACTGAGCGATAACCGCCCTCAGACATGGTTATTTGTGATGAAAAGTAATTGGAGATTGGTATGAAAGACAATATTAAAATGAGGCCCGCAAGGAGAATGAGGTATTTGGGGACAGCTAGATCCCTATGACGAAATATGTTTGCTGGTACTTATCCAACAGGAGCTGTGTTGGGAGGCAAGTGGCTTTGAACAAATGGCAGCCCTTTATATACTTGTATGGCAAACACAAATATGAACCCTTGCTCTGCTTCCTCTTTGGAATAACATGAACAAGTAATGAACAAGTCGCTTGGCGACCCAGTCATGGTGGAACAGCTCAATGGCGGCCTCAGATGCTGTCGCGGCTTTCGCCCCAGCCTCCACTTTGTATGCGCTGTCGAAGCTGCTGACTGGCCAGCACCGCCTCATCGACAGCTCATCTTTTGCTTGTCCATGCCCACAAACGAGCCAATACCCATGTGCAGACTTGCTTTTCCTGTTTAGCAGGAACATATGGAGCAAGCTAGTTGACCAAATTCATGTTGACCAATTAGCTCTTTTACAGAGTACAAACTGCAGCCTACTGATATGTTTTGTCTGCTTGTCGCCCCAGCTGTGCTTGATGGTTAGGTAGGTACCTAGTACAGGACCATATGTAAGAGTACTAAGGCAGTGCCTGATTTCTATCTTATAGCCCGCATTATGTTATATGCATCATGTAAGTGCCTGGATCAGCAGCACCGTGCTCCAGCAGCAGCTTGACAAGTTCTCTCTTCTCCCTTGAATTTGCCCAAAATAATGCCGTGAAACCACTGTTATCTGCTGCATTAACTTGAGCGCCATTTTCCAGTAGTAGCCTGACGCTATCCTCGTTGCCGGCAAATGCAGCACAAATAAGTGCTGTCTGGCCGTCACAATCTGCTGCATCAATTTCGGCTCCATATTCTAGTATCAACTTGACGGTGTTAATATTAGCCTGCCCAAACAAGTCCTCTGAGCATGCAGCCTTCATTAGTGCTCGCTGGCCGTCGTTATCTGCTGCATTGACTTCAGCGCCATACTCTAGCAGGACTTTAACTGTATTCTCATGCCCAACACTGGAAGCGTGGATAAGCGGAGTTTTGCCGTTGATATCTGCTGCATCAATTTCAGCGCCGTGTTCTAGCAGGAGCTTGATGGAACTGCTATTATCCTCCCCAATCAATGAGTCGGAGCATGCAGCAGCCTTCGTCAGCGCTGTCTGGCCGTCTTTATCTTCTGCATTGATTTCAGCGCCATATTCTAGCAGCAGCTCGGCGATATGACTGTTTGCCTCCCTGACTAAAACGTTAGAGTACATGGCCTTCATTAGCGCTGTTTGGCCGTCGTTGTCTGCCGCATTGATTTCAACGCCGTGCTGCAACAGAAGCTCGACGATATTAGCGTTACAGCTACCAGAAGCCTTAATCAGCGATGTCCGGCCGTATTTATCGGCTGCATTGATTTCAGCTCCATGCCTCAACAAGAGCTTGACAATGTTAGTATTAACCTCCTTATCCACGGCAGAGCGTGCAGCGTCCATCAGCGCCGTCTCGCCGGCTTTATTTGCTGCATCGATTTCAGCTCCATGCTCCAGCAAGAGCTTGACGATAGCCTCCTGCCCCCTTCCAGAAGCTAAGAAAAGCGGCGTATGACCATAACGATCTGTTGTGTTCATTTCAGCGCCATATTCCAGTAGGGCCTTGGCCATGTTCTCGTGTCCTTTTTGTGAAGCGTAATGGAGCGGCGTCCTACCCCTTTCATCTGCTGCATCGATCTCGGCGTCATTTTCCAACAGCAACTTTGTGATACCCTCGTCTCCGCATTCAATCGCAATATGAAGCAGCGTCCGGCGCCGGTGGTCTCTTATGTTCACCTGAGCGCCGTAATTACACAGTTGTCTGACCATGCCCTCGTGCCCGCCTTGAATGGCCCAACAAAGTGGCGTGCGTTCAAAATGGCCCGTAGCATTCGGATCATGTCCACCTTTAAGCAGGTTTGTAGCTATATTCTCCAACCCAAAATGTGCCGCGAGATGAAGGCCTATAATCCCTTTATAAAAGCGTTGTTGGAAGAATCTCCGGTGCCCGAGTAGCCCCTGGGCGGCGGCAGACACCTTTACTTCGGAATTAAGAAAATCTAGGATCGGTTGTGTCTCTAGAGATGCAAGAGCATGGAAGCCCCAGTGCTTCGCAGCATAGTTGTACAATGGATTCGATGCTATCCGCTGCTCAAGTTCACGCTCCGTCCTGCAGTTGCCGCTCTCAAATGCGCGAAACGAGAGATACGTGACGCAGGCTGTGGTGATCTTTGTCTCTGCATCTTGAACCCAGGGTCTCCCCTCTCCCTCAAAGTATTCTTGGATTGTATAGTGCGATAACCGCAGAGCATTGCTTTCGGCATCATAAGTGACCAGGCCAGCGCAGATGGAAGCTAAGATTTCTCTGTCTGGGATGAACTCCTCGTCTAACTCCAAGGTTCCCGGCTGGATTGCAACAGCGTGCCGAAGTTCAGTCAAAGAAAGGATTCTTTTGGCATAAATGAGCCAGAATATGACCTTTCTTGCTAGCTGATATAGAAATTCTCCTTGACTTTCGATCCTTTGAATTGATTGCCCATATATCTTGTTCAGAGAATGAGGCAAACTTCGTAATGCTTGTCTGATATGCCCTACAGTTGGCATCTGGGCCAAGGAGTCAATATGGAGCTGCACAAGAAGGAACCTGCAATTAGTTAGACTCAAGAGCTCTCAGTGAAAGATTCGATAAATACCCTACATTCCATTAGAAAGTTGACATAATTTAGATTTTATCTCGTTCTGCAAATCAGGGCTTCTTAATACAAATGATGGGAGTCTAGTCATATGACTATCGATGTATACCTGCACATCCTCATCCTTTGCACTGATTTCGAAGCAGATACTTTGGTTGAACGCATCGACAATATCCTGGATGAATCTGGAGGTCGCAAAGATACTTACATTCGTTTCTGTTTGAAGTTTAAATATCCGAGACAAAAAGTTTTTGCGGCACCCGTCTGTGTCTTGGCACTCATCCAGTGCATCGATAAGGATGAAGACTTTGGAGTAAAGGCTGCTGACACAGCGCAATGTTTCTGACAGTTCATCCAAAGACGGCCTTCTTGGTCCCCTACTGCATTTATCATAGAGGGCCTGCACACATTCTGGTATCGTGGCTTGTTTCTGGACTAGCTGCTTCAGTAGGCTCTCAACTAAATCTTGGATCTTCTGTTCGTAATGCCTTCTGAAATCGCAGTATATATACGCAATTCCTACGCTGTCATCATCTTTGTATCGAGTAAAAAGGAGGTCATCGATGACGGCTGCGCTCATAATAGTCTTCCCAGCTCCGGGGACACCTGGGCAGAATAGCGTCTGCTTGTTAGACTTAATCCAAGATGTATATTCCTTTGACGCAAGAAACCAATGGCAAGTCCCTGTCTGGCGGATACTGATATAGTCACTCTGCTGGAGGGCGAAGCTAATGGGTGTGAGCCAGTCGAGAATTTTCTGGTGCTCTTGATCGCAATGTACCCTAAGAAGCTCTTGAACATCTGTATGGACATCTGCAAGCAATTAATATTTATTCACCATCATTATTAAGCTGGTCAACCACCAACCTTGAAGAAGATCTGTAATCCGACTCTCGGCCTCAACTTTGCTGGGGGGGACTCTAGACAAAAGATCCTTGGCATATGCTGCGGCTGTCATTGATGCATAGCCTTGCCACTCTTTACTCTTATGAGAATCAGAGTAGTCACAAATACCACGAATCACTAAACACGGAAATTGATTCATTAGTCCTGCTGCTTCCATCTCAAAACATAAAACATCTTTCTCTTTAATCAGCCTGTCCCGAATAAGGGCGTCTTTCATCACTTTGTTTGCCGAGGCAATCAAGCCGTAATGAATAGCTGGGTTATCATCTTCCTCAGTGCGATCAGCCCGGACTACTATATCCGATGAGAGATCTCCGCAGCAGCTGGCGCAATTTTCTTCGGTATTTAAAGGATGAGCCACTGAGGATTGGTATAGTCTGTCACTAATTGGCAGCGGCCGCCCATACTTTCGTCGTAGCCTTGGTAGCTTGTCAAGAACATTGTTGATAGCCTCTTCGAGCTTATGGCCGTAAATCTCATAATCTGCTTCAAGCCCATTCACTGCAGTTTGGAGAACTCTTGGTGGCTGATTAAGAAACCCTGTCGTATGAAAAGTTCTATCTTGGATTGCCTTGCCAAAGTCATACTGGATAACGCCCCCAGTTCCGTCGCAAGGAGCACTAACCACGACATCACCCAGCCGTATATCATGCTTTTGGCTGGGAGCGCCGCCGCCAATGCCAACCATTAGACCGATTCTAATGTTTGGAAAGCTATGCAGCATATTCTTTGCAACGCCCGTCGCACTTGAAATCCCGTACTCGCCTTTGGGCAAAACGGCGATAACTACATTGTGCCGCCCAATCTTGCCCAGTGTATAGTCGTTATCGTCACTTGGGTGCACATGCTCTGGTGTCTGGTGCTTCTCGTCAAGAAAGACTTGCGCAGCAACGTACTCTACACTTAGAGCGCAGATCCAGCCGATAGCATAGTCTGCGGATGTCAAGCTTCGCTCAGTAGTGCCGGGGGATGATCTCCCAGCATCATCACTAATCGATCGTCTTCTCTTTCTCTGGGCTGGCGCAATGATATTAGCGTTGTCACTCTTGTCCATAAACATATTGCCTGATTGCTTCAAAACAAGCGTGATCAATGCTGGCCAAGATAAACGCGTACATGAGCGAAAGTCGCGCATGAGTTGTAACGACTCTAGTTGGGGTCACGAGAGCAAGCCAGCCAATTAGAAGATGAATTTGGACAAGGCATCTGGGAGCCTCATCTGTAAGGGAACCGTCAGTGGGCTAATCATCGGCACCCGGGATGGATTTTGCAAAAAAAGTGCACAATTTCTGCCTATTTTAATAGACAATAAATAAACAATACATAGTGTATATACGAATTTAGTATAAGGGCAGCATTTTAATCTACACGCCTGTCACGGGTGTGGTAAGAGCATCATTAACATTATTTCGAAATAGACTAGAGGGAATACAAACAAAACTTGGGTATCCATCATCCTTCTCAGGGCACCACCAATTCAAAATACAAACACAAAATCCTCATTCTCGAGGTCTGTAATATCGGCAAAAGCCTTTCGGCCCTTGGCATCATCAGTTTGAACACCGCTCTCTTCATCGTCCCCTTCAAGCCGGGTATCTCCATTTTCCACAGACAGCCTCTGGGTTCCCTCTCGCATCGCTCGCTCTAATGCTTCCATGCGCTCCACCTCCTCTGCGGTCTCTAAGCTCATATCTAAAACAACTGCACTCTTCCCTAGTGCCACTCTGCGCTTGGCGTGATGTGAGTTGAGATATTTCAGATATAGAGATGTAATCCCCACAAGGACAATGACCATGGTAAAAAACACAACGTTTGCGCGCAAGCCTCGTGAATATGAGGGCGCTTCGTCTGGCGTAAAAAGCAAAGGACCAATAATGTTGCCGGCAGATGAACCAATGAACACGAGTGCTGATGTGCATTTGCGCTTCGTATCTCCAGCTGTATTTTGCGCCGACCAGGAGTAGATGAGTGGTGCTGCTGAGTGTTAGCATCGCAAGTGTTATTGGATGAGAAAAAAACTGACTTATGCCTGTAAAAGTGGAAAGACAGAAATACCCAGCAAGTAGGACTGCTCTATGCTCAATATCATGTGGAAAATGCAGCAGGATCGAAAAGCCGATGATTGGCGGGATACACAAGATGGCAATGACTGGTCCTTTGAGCTTCCACTTCATTGAGACATACGCGCTCAATGAAACTACCAAAACGTGAGAGAAGCCCACTGGAACGTTGAACAGTATTGTCTGGAATGGGTCCGTCACAAAACTTTGGATAATGAGTGGCCCAAAGGTGGATATGCCGTTGGAAGGCACTGAGATGCAGAAGATCATGATGACCCATAACCAGGTTTTGACGTCTCTCAGGGTTTCGAAAAAGTGAGCATATCTCCACTCTCGTGACATGACTCCCATTTGATTATTGCGAAGACGCTCTATAGCAATAACCTTGTCATCGTCGGTGAGGAATTTCGCTTCGGTAGGGGAATCCGGCATCCAGAAGAACATAGCCCCCGAGACCGCGACCGTAACAATACCAAAGAAGAGAAAGATAATCTTGGCCATGTTAGAAAGAGAGATTTAGAGATAGAGTAGCCTTCCTTACCTGGTATGGCCTCAAAGATGAATGAATACTAGCCAGTCCATATGTAATAAGACTTCCAAACTATACCTTGTTAGTGGCCAAAAGGATTGTGAAAGTCAGCATCGTCTACTTACCACCCAAGTCAAGCCGTTCATGCAGTACCAAGATCCGATTCTCAGTGTTTGCTCTCTGTCCAAGCGTCAGCGTTGTTTGATGCCTCTAAGAACGGCCGCAAAGCAATATCATACCGTCGTCTCCACCACATCTGCGTAATAGCAACAAAGGCTGGTCCCACGCAAGCCTCAAAAGCACCCAAAAAGAAGCGGGCAACCATGAGCTGTCCAAAATTATGAGCCCATGTCATCAAGGTCAAAGTAATACCCCAAGCGAGCACCATGACGCTCGTGAATTTGCCGACTGGGAGCTTAACTAGGGCCCAAGCCAAGGGCAGCTGCATAATAAGCTGAGCCAGAAAAACAATGCTGCCGAGCCACGAGAACTCGTCGCCCACTAGGTCCGTGTCATCGATCAGGCCAAATATCGATGCATATGATAACGTAGCTTTGTCGAGGGCCTGGAGGAAGTATACAGAGAGCATAAGTGGAAGCAGAGCGAGATCGATGCGGCGAAGGATGCGGGCGTCGTCGGCCGGAGAAACCGTTATGACCTCGTCTGGTGAGCGGCCCAGCTTGATGAGCAGCATCGCCGCCGCATCTCGATGGCCTTTTAGCTGCGAACCTGCATCGGATGCATGAGATGGTCCATCGGGCCTCTCGCCGTCGTCGTTTGCGTCTTCATCTTGGTTCAAGGCCCGGTAGGGATTGGACGAAGCTGAGGACTGCGATGACGGCAGGGCGAGCTTGACGGTCGTGGAGAAGAGCTTTGAAAGCATGGCGCCGGCGCAAGAAATGATTGCATTTAAAGATGGTATACCCAAAAAGAAGGGTTTGGTTATCTACCAAAAGAGCGGCTGCTGCGATCGCGTCAGGACATGAAAATAAAAAAAGATAACAAAGGAGAGTTCGAGATGTGCACCGTAAGCATGTCAGCAGCGCTTAGGGGCCCTGATGACGTTCCATTGCATGCGTTCCGGCTGCCAGGCACATCATCGCCAGATCTGGGCCACCCTTGGCGCTGAGTGCTGGCTGACAGGGCTCATGTTTTAGCGCTCTACGTTGTTTTGGCGCTCTTGTTTTAGCGCTCATCAGGAGTGCACGTGCGAAAGGCATCTGAGACCATAAGGTCAGACATTGAAATTTCGAATTTCAGCCCAGCAGCAAGTGCTGGCAAGATGCTGCAGTAGCTCCCTCTGAAAGTCGCCTTTTGCTGCTAAATTGTTGATTGTCAAATCTCCGCCATATCAAACATTTAATGTTTGTGGGCGACGGCGCTTCGGTGGCCGCATACATGCTTGCATCGTACATAGACGTCGGTGCTTGGGCGGCTGCTCTAACACACTCTTGCCGGAATGTGACGTGAGAACATGAGCCAAGCAACCTGTTGATGGCGAAGCGAAAATTGGAAGGGAGAGTAGCAACAACAATTTTACGTTAGAGCCTGTCCAGGCAATATAACCTGCCTTCGGCTTGTCATTATCCCCGCTTGACATATGTACATGTAACCACTGGGACGTGTAAATGAGGCACTGATTACAAGCACGCCTTCTGAGCTCCCCCAGAACCACAAATCGTGGTACTTCCCATACCATCCAACAATGCAATACACGCTAGCAGGATCGCAGCAAACGACCAAAAGCATTGGACTTATCGGGATCCGTGTTGTCGCCTTGACCTTCACAATGACCACCAGCAGGAGACGCGACGCGCATCTTCCGTCGCTGGAGAGGCCTACTTGCAACGACCACCACCTTGAAAAAAGAAAGAAGGAAGGAGGAGCAGGAGGAAATCTAGCCAATTGAAGTGAAAAGTTCGTATTTACAAACAATAGCTGAATCGACGAATTTACCAATACAAGTAGTGTGATCCAACATATACGCACATAATCACCCTTTAGAGCACATCAATCGCTCGCTGAATAGATGTACATGCTCCATCCTCCATGTCGATGTAACTACATGTATACATGTTGTTTCCTAATCTAGACAGCTATAATATCATGTTGGCTCTTCTGGTCTATAAAATATACCGGTACATGTATAAACAGCCGCTCACATGTTAGTACAAACACTTTCCCCATTTCACTACTACCCGTTGGTTCGATAGATTCGTTAGGTGGCAAGGCGTTGGCCGTCACAGAGTAGTAGTGCTCCATGCTTGTGGCTGTATTTGATATTTTGGGCGGTCTTCTTATAAAGGAATATGGACTCCTACAGGGCTACCCAGCTTGGGGGTTGATACTACATGCATGGTAAGTTCTGTGGCCATTATGGTTGGATCTCGGCCCTGTGTATGGAGCACTCTGGAGGCTTCAGTCAATAGGCAGAACTCCAATGTGCATTGCGGTGCATGTAAGTACCCATGTAGGAGTGGTGTCCACTGTGACTTCAAATTGTCAATGCTCGATGCCTTCTCTGGCATCGATTCCCCGAAACACTGATCCCGTTTGGAAAAACCTTCTGGAGAGGCAACAATGGGCACACATTCATGTTACTGTGATATGCCAATCTGGCTGCAGCTGTATGCGAGACCTAGAAGATGGCATATCCAGCTTGGTTTTAGATCACTGGGCTATCCCGCCAACTCATTTGGGACTTTCTTCCGAGCCTTGCTGCACAAGAGTGAATCCTCAGCGGATTATATTGGGCAGCTGATTGATGGCTCACTTCCAAATACATTAATTATGATGCTGTCATATTTTCATATTTGCTCACTGAAGCGGAAGTGGTTGCGGATAGCAATCACACAAACAGTCACTTAGTCACCGCTTTTATCGACCAACACTCCTATATTTCTGATAGAAAAGCGAGCTACTGCTCACTTGAACAGACACACTTTTTTATACTACATGTATCCATAGCCACCCCCTAGTGGTGTGGCCCACATGAAGTTGGCTTCTAAAACTCGATCAAATAAGACGATCCTGAATGTTTTTTTCTCGGTTCACGTCGACTCTGTAGATCGTCTTTTGGCCATCTCCTTTCGAATCTTGCAAGAGCCGCTATCACATCAACGATATGACGTTCCTTTGCATTGATTATAACGTTTATCCTCTCCTGGTCGTTGGGTTGGTCATCGCATTCACAGTCTATGCCGTCTATCAGGCTGCATTGCCTAAACCGTTGCCGGGAATCCCATACAACTCAAAGTCGGCCCAAAGATTCTTCGGAGACGTTCCATTTTTCAAGAAAGCAAAATACCGTCGACAGTGGCTTTGGAACCAGCCACGAGAGCATGGAGTCCCAGTATCTCAAGTCTTCTTGTTCCCTTTTCGCCGACCGACGGTACTTGTGACCGACTATCGTGAGGTTGTTGATATCTGCTCGCGACGATCGAAAGAGTTCGACAGAGGTACTAGGAATAAAGAGTGTATTGGGGTGGTGGCTCCAAATTTTCACTTCACGATGCAAACTGCAGATCCTCAGCTCCAATTTCACAAGAAGCTTATTCGAGATCTAATGGCGCCCAAGTTTCTCAAAGAGGTTCGTCTTTGTCTTAGCATTACACGTACTTATGGGTAAGGGATTGTATTCTAAGAACAGTGTTAGGCATCGGCACCTCAAATATATGAAAAGGCTATTGCTCTGATCGCATTGTGGAAATTGAAAGCGTTCAAAGGATATGGCCGACCGTTTTCAGTGAGCAGTGATCTCTATTCAGCAACACTCGACATGATATGCGCTGTTGCATTCGGAATGGAGGACACCAGCTCTGCTCTACAACACGAGATTTCTCATGTGCAAAACATAAGCCCTACCTTTCCTAACGTCGAGGGTGCACCTGCTTGCTTCCCACCAGCTCCTGTCACACCTGAACTCGAAGGTCTCTTCAACATCCCAGAAATGGTGTCGATAGCTCAAGCAAGCCCCTTCCCTTCATTTTCTCAAACCCTCGCTCTTCTCAATCCAAAGCATGCGCGAGCTCATTGGAACAGGAAAACCCTGATAATGCGTCAGACAGACAGGAGTCTGCAGAGACTTACTTTGGCAGGCTTACCTGAATGCAGGAGTGCTCTGGATCAATTGTTATGGCGAGAGATGAATGCCGCGAAGGCGGTTGGACGACTACCAGATTACTACTCACCTGTTATTCGAGACGAAGTAAGGCCATCGCAATTAATTTACTCCTGAGAGCACGTATGCTAACGAGACGTGATCCATACAGCTTCTTGGATACCTTCTTGGCGGCCACGATAGTACAGCCGCTACCTTGTGTTGGTGGGTGAAATACATGTCAACCTACCAATCGGTCCAAATTCGACTTCGAGATGCACTGCGACAAGCTCATCTTGATGCTTACCAAACGTCTCGACTACCCACAATAGATGAAATATGCGATACATCTGTTCCATACCTAGACGCTGTCATGGAAGAAACGCTCCGATACGCCTCTATTGCAACTCTTATTGTCCGAACGTCAACTTGCGATACGCAGATCTTGGGGTACCAAATTCCCAAGGGCACAGACATAATGATGTCGCTGACGGGCCCGTCAATTACGGAGCCTGCTTTACCAATTCGTGAAATGTCACGATCTTTGGAATCACAAGAGTCCAAAGATAAAGTTCACCCCTGGGATGAAGATGTATCTCAATTTAAGCCAGAGAGATGGCTTAAACTAGTAAAGAATACCAACAGCGACGAAAAAGAAGAAGTGTTTGACCCGCGAGCTGGGCCAAATCTTGCCTTTTCAGCCGGCCCTAGACAGTGCTTTGGGAAAAAGCTGGCATATATGAAGCTGAGAGTGGTGGTGACGCTGTTGATTTGGAGCTTTGAGTTCCAACAGCTTGATCAGTCTTTAAACGGGTCGGATATTATAGAGAAGCTAGTAAATCTGCCAAAAGATTGCTATGTCAAACTCGCAGGAGCATGATTGAGACGGTACCGCTGGACTTGGTGGTATTTAATACGTATACCCTCTCATCCGCACGATGCTTATAACTGGGTACTTTAGAATGCATTTTATGCAAAGGAGATAATCCAGAAATAATAACATGATTTTGTCAGCTTGCTATCTAGCGTTTATGAAATTTAACAAAAAAATAAAAAAAAAGTCTAACTATTTTAATAAGAGCAGTTTGCCTGTCTATCTCTAGATCCATTCCTTTTACCCGCAATCGCCATCCATATATGTCTTAATTATTTTAACCCGGTATGTGTAACATCCTCATACGGCCTCAACAAGCGCAATAGGTGCAGCTACTAATGGCTCTGCAGCCTCAGCTTCGCGAGCCTCGGCCCATCTGTTCAAAAGGCTCAAATAGCCTTGCCAGAAGACGTTAATGGCGCCGGTGAAGAGGGATCGATACTCCAGCGGCACAAAGCTGAGGCTAAAGGCCATGACAAACGGCCAGATCTTGCAGGAATTAATCCAGCTTGTGAGCAAAGTATCTTGGACGCGCTGAACAGCGCCGCTGATGCCGTCACCTGCGAGCAAGGCTTGCATGCTGAAGAAGTAGATGTTGATGCCGGGGGCAAAAATGAGCTGATTAATGAATATTTTGACTCCTAGGGAGAGTGCACGAGATGTGTAATTAAAATTTTTGGCAAGGAACATGAACCTTTAGAAGTGAAAGCATGGCTAATCAGCATGACATTTTTGTGTGAAGCTCAATAGCAGAGCAGTCATGATTGATGTTTTTGACTCACCATGAATAAGCGGGAATAGCCGTACCGGCTCCGATGATGATATTTCGGACTGTTCGTGAGGGATCGTAATCATCATCATTCATGCTCTGGGCGCCCAAGTCGGCAAAGAAGAAGATGAACATTGAAGTTATCGTCTGAGTCACATACGGCCTCTTTTTCTGAGATCGGCCGTATGCCTGAGCCGCGCGAGTTACGGGACCCAGGCGCTGCCATAGTGGACGAGAAATGACTGTATTTTGTGTTGCTGTTGCTACTGCTGATGCTGATGCGGCCAGACTGCTGCTTGGTATTTGTTTTGAGATTTTATCCTGAATCTGTGATGATGACTGTGGTGATGAGGAAGATGACTGGGCACGGAGTTGGTGCCGTGGTCGGAATGCCAATTGAAGTTGCCGCCGGACAAGAGACCGGAAAGGAGACGACGCCATGCCTGGGGAAGCCTTTGTCTTTCTTTGGTAATTTTTTCTTCTTCTCCTTTTTCTTTCCGCTCTTTTCTTTTCTTTTTTGTTTTCTTCTAAAGTTATTGTGTTAAGCCGAGAGTCTATGTGACATCATGAGTTGAATGATTCAACTTCTCTCACCCGGGCCGGGAGGGTGAGACTCGTTTGAATTTGAGCAGCACCATTATAAATATAGTAAGCACGGATCAAACCCGCGCCTTTCCTTAACTAGTTTTCTTTGATAAGGCGTCGTCGGCGTCGGCGTCGGCATTGCCATTCCGTGGCCTGCCATTTGTAAGCCGTAATAGGAAATTTTCGGACCTGAGGGCTCAAACCAAGCTGTGGCTTGAGCCGGAACATAGGCTCGTATATTAATTGGCATGTACTCCGTACCAATGCCGGCTATGCCTAAGCAGTCTTTCGAATTGGCTTTTTTTCCTTTAAAGGCTGCAAGACTAAGATTTCTAGTCGTTACCGTAGATCTCGTTTCCATCGTACCTTCAGAGATGCCTGCCGTCGATGAGCCCTCGCTACCCAGGGCGGCTATACTCAATCCCGACATGGAGCCCGCAATACTATTTACTAGTATTATGGAGAAGGGCAGTTATCCCATCCAATAACTCGACAGTTGTGAATTATGCAAATCGACATAGGGCCCGGCATAACGCGTTACGGACGAGGACTAGCCTCAAGCATTAATCCCAGCAGCTGCTTGGAGAAAATCAGGAGCTTCTTCCGCCAAAAGCTTCCACCCCCCTCACCGTAATAACCTCCCAATTAGCGTGGAGCTTACAAGCAACGAGCTTCCCTTTGTCGAAAGTATCCATCTGTCTCATTATCACTGATTAGGAAGCCCTGCGCAGCCCGTCACAATGAGCGACTCCAGCTTGACTGAGACCGAGACTCAGACGAGCCGGACGGCGGCCAGCCGGTCCACGCCGTCCGTCAGCGGCAGCGCTGATACTTGCACCAGCCCAAGTGGCGGTAGCAGTGCAAGTGGCGGTAACTTGATGATGGACGACCTCTGGGTCGCGCTGCCAAAGCCCAGCCAGAACCACGCGCCGGAGTCGCTGCCGGACCGCATCCGCAGGATCAGAGTCGACCTGGAGGAGCTCGAGGTCTTTTACAGCATCTCCGTGTCGCCGGGCCGCCACGAGCGCCTGCGCCGGTACTTCTCAGACGAGCTCAAGGCCCTGTTCAGCCTCGACTTCGAGGCCATGAGCCAGTCCGACAAGGTCGACTTCCTGCTGCTGCGCAACTTCCTGCGCCGCAAGTCCCACTGGCTGTATGCCCAGAAGGAGTCCAACAAGGAGATCCAGCGGCTGATTCCCTTTGCCCAGCTCATCACGGCGCTGTGCGAGGCTCGCCGAGATGTCGACCCCCTGAACAATGAGCGCGTTGCACAGCAGCTCGACGACATTGCCAAGCTGGTCGGCCAAGTCAAGGAGGGCATTGAGCATGACCGCATCAAGATTTCCAAGACGGCTGCCTACAAGGCTTCCAAGACCGTCACCGAGCTGCGCGGCCATCTCCAGGAATTCTTCAACTTCTACTCGTCGTATGACCCCATGTTCGACTGGTGGGCCTCGGCGCCTTGGAAGGCGGCCGACCTTGCACTGTCGCAGTTCATTCCGCTCATTCAAACCAAGTTGGCGGGCATGCATGAAGGAGAGACGGGAGACATTATTGGCGAGCCAATTGGCAGGGAGGCCCTGATTAACGAGCTCGAGGCGGAGATGATTGTCTACTCCCCTGAGGAGCTCATCAACCTCGCCAAGGAGCAGTTCCAGTTCTGCGAGGCCCAGATGAAGACTGCATCCGTCGAGCTTGGCTACGGCGATGATTGGAAGAAGGCGCTGGATTCTGTCAAGAAGCACTTTGTCCCTCCCGGCGAGCAAGCAGGCTTTGTGAAGACGCTGGTTCGTGAGGGCTCTTCCTTTGTCAAGGAGCACGATCTGGTCACCGTCCCACCATTGGCGGAAGAGGTATCCCGCATGACCATGATGAGCCCCGAGATGCAAAAGGTCGCGCCCTTCTTCTTGGGCGGACCGCTGATCATGGTCTCTTACCCCACCGCCGAGATGTCACACGAGCTGAAGAAGATGGTTATGCGTGGCAACAACAGACACTTTGCCCGCGCAACGGCATTCCACGAGATGATTCCCGGACACCGTCTTCAGCTCTTCATGTCCGAACGATACAACAGCCACAGACAGCTATTCACAACACCGTTTAGCATCGAAGGCTGGGCCATGTATTGGGAGTACGTGTTCTGGGAGCGAGGTGACTTCTTTGAATCGCCAGAAGACCGCATTGGAACTCTGTTTTGGAGAATGCACCGCTGCGCTCGCATCATCTTCTCCATCAAGTTCCATCTGGGTCAGATGACGCCACAGGAATGCATCGACATGCTGGTCGACTGGGTTGGCCACGAAAGATCCACGGCTGAAGGAGAAGTCAGAAGGTCGTTCAACGGCGATTACGGCCCTCTTTACCAGGCCGGCTACATGGTGGGTGCGGTGCAGCTTTTCGAGCTGCGAAGAGAGATTCTGAAGAACGGCCACATGACTGAGAAGGAGTTCAACGATTCGTTCCTTAGGGCCAACTTTATGCCGATTGAGCTCTTCAGAGCCCTGGTTCTAGATTTGGAGCTGCATCCCGACTATACACCCAATTGGAAATTTTACGAATGAAATGATGAAAGCGAAGCCCTTGAATCACGAAGTTAAGCCTTGAACGATCAGAAACGGAAAGCGAACAAAAAGCAAAATTGAAATTGAACTTTTTTTTTTTTATCTCGGTTTGGATTTGGATTGAGTTTGGACCCTCTTTGTTTTTGTTTTTATTTTACAAGAGAGTGTATTATATCGCGTCTGCATGCATCTGCTCTTGATCTCGTTTAGCAAGTTTTCGTGTATCGCGCACAGCCACAGCAAACTGCATAGCGAAGCGATAATTACATGTAGTTAAACAACGGTTTTCTTTTTTCTTTTTTTGTTTGGTCTCTAATGGTTTATGATGAGAAAGTTTTACAAATCAGCTGTATACTCAAATATATTGATTCCAAAGCATGTGTGGTATTTTTAAATGATCACCAAGGCCGACCCAGCTATGAATTCTAAACAAATCTATTCTATTAACCATAGATAGACTTAAGGAAGTGCAGTGCTGTGTTCCTAGGTATCAGTTACATGACAAGGTACAAAAAAAAATACACATAACGAGAGTTCCTATCCTCCTTCTACCAAACGCCAGATACATGCTCTTCAAATGCTCCAAAGGATTGACTGTCATCCACTTCAAATGTCGGCCTCGTCTTCATTGAGAAGCTCCAAACCACTGTCATATCTTCTCTTCAATCTCCTAGTTCCCATCTGACTCGGGTTGTGGACAATCATCCGTGAATTGTCCGATTCTCCCTCAATAGTGGCAGCACGTCCACTAGCAGAAGCCCCATGAGCATCTTCAAGGAAGCTCTGACTCAAGTACAAAACTCGCTGTAGTTCTTCCTTCATTGAATCCATGGCGTCTTTCGCCTTCCTCCTCTCCTCTTCCATCAGACCCCTCATCCCGCTATTTTCAGCCCGTAGAGCATGAATAGTTTCGCGAGCAACCCGCAACGACTCAGTAACTCTATCAATCTCATCACGCAGCTCTGCGACCCGCGTATCACGAACAGCAAGAGCCGCGCCGTGCTGCTTCCTGATGGTGATCGTTTGTCGAGCAAAATTAGCCTCAGTGGAGCTCATCTCGTTAAGAAGCTCTGCGGTTTGAGCGACTGCCTCTTCAATCTTTGCTTCTAGCTCGGCAATTGTGGCGTTTTTGGCGGTGAGTAGTTCTTCGCTTGACTTTTTCTGAGCAGCATGCGCGTTTATTGATTCACGATGCTCAGTCTCCATGCGCTCTATTAACCCTTCGAGCTCTGTTATATCACGAACGTAGCCATCAACGGCGCCTTTGAGTCGGTTGTTGCCGATTTCAAGCTCCCTGATGTGACTGTCTTTCTCATCCAAGGCACGATATGCCTCGGTGACTTTGATATTAAGCTCTTCCATGACGGAGATTCGTGAATCAAGCTGCTTGCGTAGAGAACGTTCTATTTCATGATATTTGTCAATCGAATCTTCATCTTCCCTTGTCTTCCTTGACAAGGTTCGCATGCGATCCAGTAGTAGATCCAATATGTCGGCGCCATGAGCGGTAACAGGCAATGTGGGCTCTCCCGGTGCGAGATACTCCAGCTCGAGGCGAGCAGACCGAAACTCAGAAGCAAGCGACATAATCATCTCGCTGGCATCAGTACCTGGAAACCCTAATTCGCTAATGGCATTGGTAAGATGTGTAACTGCTGCTGCTCGTTCGGACATGGTTTGTAAGAGTAACTGGACCTGGTTCTCGATTGCTTCGAGGGAAGACGACGTCCCTTTGTCCCTTAGAGTCCCCCCTGATAGTGCATCGCTTATGCGCGCACCCAAGGCGTTATACGAGTCCAAAGTTGCTGTCAGTTCCTGTACTTCAAATTCCAAAGTTGCAATCTCGTCTTCTAGCTGCTTCTTATCTGCGTCTGGAGAGTTCAGCCGCATCTCAGTATGAGCATCCGGGGTTGGTGACACATCCTTAGAGAATGGCGATACAGGCCTGGTTGGACTTGTTGCGGGAGGAGTTAAGAAGGGAGGTCTCGCTCGAGATGGCGTGTTGGTCTCCGCAGCCATATCACCGAAATGGTCCTCATCTTGAGTCATGTCCATGAGGTCATCCGTTGAAGCAGTACTTGGTGTCGACGGCCAGACGCAGCTATAATACTGTGTAGCCTCCTCGCTTGCTATGCTTTTTGTCGCAAGCTGGCCTTTAAGTTCTTTTACTTGCTGCTCCAGTTCCCAAATCCGTTCGGTATCGAAAATCATGGTTGCATTTTGCATTCTATAGATTTCTCTGTCACGGGCTCTGAGTTCGGCCTTGAGCTTGGTAATCTGTGCTTTAGCCAACTGTTCACTGCGCCGTTTCTCTTGGTCAATTTTATTAAGCATATCGCGGAGGCCATTGCGGCGCATCCGGCGCTCAACCCGGCCATCAATTGTCTGGTGAAGATTGACAGCCGCGGGTTGGCCATTTAATCGAGGAGCTGAGCCAGCGCCGCTTGCGGGGGCGGCCGACCGTCTATTCGAGGCTGTAAGAGATGTGCGGCGCACCATTGGAGTAAGACCGCTCAAATATACGGCAGAGCCTGGGTCAGAATGTCGAGCGCCTCTCTTTCTTCGGCGGGGAGTCTTTGGAGCAGCCGATGGAGCCTGAGGCTCTTGCGATCTGACATTCATGCTGGTGCTGCATCGCCGGCCACGGCGTAACGCAGCAGAAAGGTCCTCCATTTTCGATGGATTCTGAGGTATTTCTGCCTTCTTTCTTTTTACTTTCACATTAATCACTCTTGAACGCGTAATAAAAGCTTGAACCCGACCAAATGATGGGCAAACATCACGGCATGGCTCATTGGTACAATTTATGGCACCATCAACTTCCGAACAGCGTCCAGCATAAACAACCCACATGAATGCATACTTGTAGGCTCAGCCTAGACCGCGTCAGAGACTTGCCCCTCATCTGTCATGACCGTGTTCGCGCATAGATTCGTGTAGCCCTTGCAGCCAACCCATGCCCAAGCCGGACCTCCTTTTGTTTACATTTTGCCTGCTCGAGTTTAGCGCCCGAATGGATCGGCCAGCCGGCCCCGCTGCCTCCGGGACAGTTCTCTATTTTGTCTCAGACTAGATGTGCTGTCTACATGTATCTAAGTGAACAATATGCTACCAGTGAGGTGAGCTTAAAATTCAATTGAAACTCTTTCGGTAAAATACATGAGAGCCAAAAACCTGTGCGTTTTCACTGCCTTCTAGAGTAAAATTAGCGCGCGCCCATGCGAAGGTTATCACGATGATTACATCTAGCCACTCATTGCAGCGGAGGGTCAACGCACAAGGTGTTGAGTGTGGGTATATATGCAAATGTGAATCAAAGAAGCAGAGGCTGATACAAAGGCTATTACGAGTAAATGTCATTGTTATTATTATCATGGCATGCAGCCAAACTGAACTAACAAGAGGTGGGTTCCAAATCGCAGAGAAGAAATAATACATGTACCATCTGGCTTGCTTAACTCTGTGCCCCTAATGTGAACCAGTCTTAGAAATAGCTGTGTTGACAATTCCATCGACCTTCCACTGCCATCCATCGGCATCCAACCCAAAAACAACAATATCGCTCCCGGATTTCGCATACACGGTCTTGTTATCATTTGTCGCAAAGCCATCAAAGTTCATGTCCGAACCAAATCCGGACCCTATAATCCGTGGGAGGCCAATACCCACGCGATTCTCTTGAATGCTCCCTCCTAGATTCATATACAGCAAAGCGAACTCATATGGGAGCGTCTGCGCCGGATCTTTGCTTTCGCCATGGCCAGTACGGACCCACGATAGTTGACTTAATCGTGAGGATAGCGATATACCTTTGCCATCAGAATCTATATTATAAGCCCCAGTTAGTATTGTTAGTATGGCATTGACGCAACAAACCATCATTCTCAAAGTGGCCTACCGAGGAAAGTTTTGTCCAAGAAATGGCACTCTACTTCCTTGTTTGAGGACGCATGAAAATCCACCGAACATTCCCAAGGTGTTATTTCTTGACTCTCTTCAACCGCCATCAACAGTCCACTGAATGACCCGTCGGAGTCATGCCTCTTGTTCTGCCAATCACCCGCAATGGCATGACCAACGCCTCCCCAATCTCCAATCTTGTGACGCCCCGTAAAGGAGCCAAAATCGACCGAGTACCAATCATGATCATTTTTGGCATCTTCTGACATTGCAAGCCGCAAGTTGCCGTCCGGATCTTGATACGACAATACCACAGCATTTGTGCCATGTTCACCTCGGTGGAACGCCGCCGACAGCATCGACTTTTCATGCGCAGCAATACTTTTTCTACTACTGGTGGACATGCCCCCAAGTCTCCAGCTACCTCTTGGCTCCATAAAGACATGTGAAACAGCATTATCCTCATCAAGATAGAATACATGCGCAATGCTGGCGTCGTCCGCCACGGCAGCCATGGGAGTTCCTTTCTTCGCTTTGGGTGCATCTTCAAGTAAATCCTCAATACGTTGTCGACTTTTGAGATGAGACTCCCCATTCAAGTAAGAAATGGATCCCGCCCCATCTTGCCAGAGTAGAATTTCTAGACTGTCTTTGCTATTTTCGCCATCCACAAAGACTGAAGCGAGATTCGATGACGACAAAATAGGGGACGGACTTGGAGAGAGAGACGCTGTAGTCGCTGTTGTAGTTGTAGATGATAGTTTTCTTGAGGATGTAGTTAATGACGAAGAAGTACCATTCGTCACATTTAACACACTTGTCATAATTATAGGAGTTGTAGCCATGGCCGTTAGCATTATCGTTTCCTTCGGGCGCGTCTTCATCATCAAAGCCGACTTTCGAGTCAACCTTACTACCACAACTATGCAGCTGATGAACGCCGAAATTACTCCCATTAATATTGTAAATGGGAGCATTTTCTTCTTATAATACCATGGCTTTCGAGAAGGATCCCTCTGTAGCTGATAGTAATGGTCTCTCGCGGAGCTTGGCTGTTCCTCTCTGGATCTCCCTGAGGGGCCTTCCACGGTTGTTGGGAGAGGCACTTCAGACATAGTAGGTTGACTTGGTTGCTGCATTATGTACGAAACATCGAATATCGGCATCATTTTGAAAGATCACGATGACGTTACTCTACTGCAGCTTTTGAAGTCGAGCTGGTGTCGTCTCTTAAATGTGTGTGTGGCAAGGGAGCTGCAAACTTATATACGAGTGGAACTGAGAACATGATGATTAAAAAAATGGGATCAAGAGCACAACCAGCATCGGGTTTTTATTTACTAGAAACATTCATACATATGTATATCACAGTGATGAAATGAGTGATAAACACGCATATGAGCTGCCTCTGTTGGTCATCATCACAAAGAGCAGGTCGAAGAGCTCGCATACAAGTCCATTCCGGACAAAAAGTAACAGTGATGGTGGTCACTGGAGACTTGTGTGCACACTCCCTGAAATTAACAATACAACATCCGACACACGATACATGACCGATTTCGAGAATTTCTCAGCCGCCGAGGAGCTTTCAAGAGCCATGAGCGCTTCAGGCGTTAACAAATCGCTGAATTATCGAATGATAGAGGCTACTGCGAAACAGAAGCGCAGCCATTGCTTGAAGGCGATGACTAATACAACTAAATCTTCCACAAAGGGCGCTGTAACGTTCAGAGCCTGAGCGAGTTTCGCTTCAGCTCACCGAGCGCGGCCCAGCCCCCATAGATAGCCGCCTGACTAGCCTGTCACCGTCCACTGCCAGCAGCGCCTTCAATGACATTAAGGCGTCCGGATTACCACCGATAACGCCTAAAGCCTGTGAGCCAGGCCCATAATGCACGGATTCGTGACTCGTATTAAATCTTCAATTTCCTCAACCTCATGGCTGCATAACTACATATTTCCTGCTACCTGCTACTGCTGCTACTAATAGCTATTTACAGCAGCGCAACACCAAGCCCCATCGCATCCTACAAGAACAGGAAAATGACGGCGGTTGCAGGGGCCGAATGACGCATGCAAGCAATGTAGTAGCCATGTCTGCGCCAGCACGCAAAGTGAAGTTCGTCGCGTCAGATCCCGCTCGCGGCGGTTTGCCTGTGAAGCGACGGCAGGTCCAGCAAGCCTGTGAATCATGCAGGCGAAAAAAGGTAGTCCTACGTCTTGTTTTTATACGGGACTCGCAAGTATTTTTTTTCTTTTTTTTCGTGTTCCACAGACATCCATGTCGGCTTTTTGCTAACGGCGTTGTGCGGTTGGCAGCGAAAATGCAATCATGCGGAAGACGCCGCCGCCGATGATTTCTCACTCGAGGACCACAAGGGTCTACCAGAGGCGTCACCTTCGCAGTCCTCGTGAGTCCTTCCTCACAGTATCACCAAAGCATGCGTTGACCAGATCCAGAGCCTCCATAGCGTCTCTCACGCCCTCGGTTCGTGCGAGATCGCTTGCCGGGGAAGACGGCGTGCCGTCAACAGCCAGGGTCAGTCTAAGCTCTGACCTGTCTCCCATCGCACGGCGTTCTCTTCCGACCGGCTTCAATCATGGAGAAATCCCAGCGAATGCGCCTGCTACTCCCCAGCTTGCGCCGGATGTTGCCAACAGACCGCAGTCATCGCGCTTCGTGGGAGACCTGAACCCAGAAGGCATGTTCATGGAGGCTGCGGTTCCCAACGTGACTCGGGCCTCGTCACAGAAAGGAGACGTTGGCATTTGGTTTCCAGCCGCCACGACCGGACAGCAGTCTCAGTTCATCACCTCGCGCCCCCCGCCTCTCATGGACAGCTTTATGCTTCCGTTTGTTCGAGAGCATTGTCTGTCTTGTATGCCCCCTGAGGAAGACTATGCCAAGTTGAAGGCGACTTTTCTGCAGAAAGTTCATCCCATCTTTCCCGTCATCCCGGAATCTGCTCTTAATGGACCTACCGATAACCCTGCCCACATTGCGCTCCGACAGCTTGCGTGTTTGGCAGCCGGCTCTGATCCAGAAATGACCTCGTACCTACGGCTGAAAAACAAAGGCCCAGGTCTGCTGCGCCCTGCAGAATTCTCTACCATCCTCTCCTCCTCAGTCCGTGCCATTCTAGAAACCAGTATTATTCCCGATCGAGTGGTACATATACAGGCACTCACCATGCTATCCCTCTACACTCAGCCCACCTGCGCCGAGGAATCCGATTTGCCTGCCCAGCTTGGTGGCAGAGCGATACACCACATTCAGACTCTCGGCCTGCATCTTCTTCGCTACGACGGGCCAAATTACGGCGACTTGGAAAATCTTTTCTGCGCAGTCTGGGCGCTGGACAGAATTAACGCTGCCATGTATGGGCGGCCATGTTTGATCCACGAGCGAGATATTGGAGCGGATCTCGATGCCTGCATCAAGAAACGCCCACCTGCCTTTCGACTATTACTATCCGTGGCGCAATGGCTGGATAAAGTGGTGGAATTATACCGCCCGGGGCCTAGTGCCCAAGTTTCGGGGTTTGATAAAGTGGCATATATCGATCTTCCCGTTCTTGAAGCAATGATTGTAGACGCAGATGCGTTAAAGGTACCGGCATCTCTCATCGGTAGGCTCTCTCCATATCGAATGATTATTTTTCTGTTGCGTCTAACCAACTAATAGCTACCGTTGAAACATTCTACCATGCCGTCATAATCTTGTCGTGCCGGTTGCCACGACCAGGAACAATAATTGCGGCCTCGACATTACCGCCACCCTCCGCTAATGCTCGCCGCTCCCTAGCAGCCGAGCGCATTGCATGCGCAGTACCAAGAGACTGCCTCAGCTCCCTCCCCTTTATTCCTTACGCAGTATCCCTCGCTCTAAGTGTCGAGTATCGAAAGATGAGACACAGCCGGCTGCCAATGTTTCGCGCACGGGCAATGAACGCTTTCAGACGGAACTGTGATCTCCTTCGAGTTTACGGAGATCATTTTTGGAGTGCCCGCGTCGTCTCCGGCCTTGGAGAGCGCGTGTTGAGAGAGATGGAGCGCGCGGCCAACACGCTGGCCAAAGAGCTCAGTCCTCAGCCGGCTGACGTACCGGCCAAGTTGACGGTTGATGAGCAAGAAGGGTCAACCGCTACACAAGATTTAGGAACAAATGCGTCATCAGGCGACACTACAACTATCAATTCCGCCGCGGGCATTGATAATGTCATTGACTTTTCCATGATCAACTCGATCTCAGGCCAGGATGTTTTTGGGCATATCGATCCCAACTTCAACCTAGACGCCGTGGAAGATGCCCTGGAAGCAAATCTGGATATTGGCCTCCCCTTTAATTGGGCAGACTGGGGCCAATTTGCTTCATATTAGGATGGATAATGATAATTCCACTACTTATGGTAGAGTTAGTTCGAAAGAGCTCTGATACAAGTAATTGCTTACTCAGTGTACAAATGAGAGTGCTTCTACGTGGAAAGAAGCGAGGATATCGGCTATCTAGGGAAGGCGTTTCAAGGTAGCTTGTTTTCAATATCACCAGCGGATCGACTTGTTAGTTTGTCAAACAGACTAGGCGTAAGAGGCGCTAATAAATAACTTGGGCGTATGATATTGAATGAGACCATTTCACCCTTTTCATTGCGTTTTTTCTCGAAAATAGGGAGGGGGAAAAAAAATGTTAAGCAAGAGTCGTTTAGGAGAAATGCCAAAAAGGAAAAAAAAATTAATGTTTCTCTCCGATACTGGGAATCGAACCCAGGGCTGCTCGGCACTCGAGTAATGAGAGCGAGCGATGTTAGCCACTACACCATATCGGATGTGTTCTTGTTGAGAGGAGCTACCCTATTGACAACTATAGAACGGAGCGCGTATCGAGCTTTGCCAAGCTCCCATTTTCTAGGAAAGCTACCTGCAATCACAGTCTCAAAAAGTTGTTCAGAAGTCACTGCATATATGATCTCAGAATATCAGAGCTGGGTTGCTATACCTATGCTATGTAGGACTTCTGGACATTCATTACCACAAAAAGGAACAGAGCAGATAATGATCAATGAGTAGAGAACAAAATCCGAAATTTGGTACATCTCTCGCATCGAGGGTATCAAAAGTATTTCATTCATATCGGCGTTGATGCGTCCTTCACGCTTAACCATCCGTCATGTTGATATAAGCGGCAGATACCTATGCGGCTTGCATATGCATAGTATGAGCCTTTATGCCAACGTGTACTGCGGCCATTTTTCAAGCTTTCCATTCCCACATCCTGGTAGTCGTAGTAAAGCGCAAGGGCTTGGCGGCGGTTCATGGATGCCGTAAGATAGGAACAAGATCGCCTTTTGGCGCGCCTAGTCATTTTGAGCAGAGCTTAACTCTGGCTGCTCGCCCAGAGATCCACAGGGCAGCCATGATAGGTCTGTATCGTTGATCGGGTGCGGTATCGTTAAGTCGATGCCAGTACCACGACTGGGGAAACGCACGAGTATCTCGTTTCGGGTGCACGGCCTGCTCATTCACTTTGTGGGAGGCTTATTAGATATATCGGTTGGTCTTCCGCGAGCCTGGTTTTTCAGTTCGCCGAGAAAATGCTTAAGAAATCCGTCGGCTCGACCTCCCGGGTTAGGATCCGCTATAATGCATCTTGTCGTCAGCCCAGCTTTTCACGTCATGCGGCGCTCTCCTAGAGAATCAAATTATCCTACCTGTAGCTTCTCCTGGTGCTAGTGGCTCGTGTGGGTTCCGGCCGTACTGTTTCTCGTTGATGGCACGATGGATGCGGCCGACAGCCCGGTGGAAGCCTGGCAAGCGGAGAATCTAGAGCCAGTGTGAGCAAGTGGCGGTTCGGCGGGAAAGGGTTGGCTGTGCACCTACAGATTCCACGATTCTATCCTCAAAGGCCTGGATAAGGCGCAGAGCATACCAGTATGGCGACATGGTATCTGCCGTTGCTAGGGGGGACTCGCAGCATTGGGTGGCGGAGGAGAGAATGGAGGAGGTCGCGATTAATAATGACGGGCAAAAGTTGGGACGTTGCTGATGGTAAAGCGGCATGTACCTCTCCAGCAGTGGTTAGCGGCAGAGGTACACACGCTTTCACATGCGCGATGCTGCAGGATAAGATACCCTGCAATTGAAGATGACCACAGTTGGAAAATGAGAAGCTCTGTTGGAATGAATGCGATGAAGAGCTAATTCACGCGTGATGTTTTTCTTTATTTTACAAATTCTTTATTTTTTTTGCTATTTTAAAAAGAGAACATGACGGGTATTGATTGAACGGCGCTCTTTGTCAAAACATAAAAACCCCATATCGAGTGCCTGTTCCGTTCGATGATAATTGGTAAATCTCACAATCATCATAATCCATTCAAACCAAAAGGCCCACTGTTGAAACCAGCCAGTGGCCCCTCCTTTCTTTCTTTCTTTTTTAGTTCCATCTCAATGCCCCAATAATTTCAACTCTTAAGCGAATGTACCGTGGAATGGCTCAAGGTAGTCGTTCTTGCCCAGAGGGACGCCCTCCTTGCGCAGAATGTCGTACGCAGTGGTCAGGTGGAAGAAGATGGTGGGCAAGAAGTGGCCGTTGGCGTAGCTGACGCCGGGAATCTGGACGGTTCCGCGGCTGCCCAGGCCAAGGGGCACGATCTCGGCCTGGCGCTGGTTGATGAGCTCCTTGTCGGCGGCGGCTAGGATCTCCTCAGCCTTGGCGATGCGGCTGAAGCACTCGGCGTAGCTCTCGATCTTGCCGTCCCAGGCGTGGGGCTCGACGCCCTGCAGACGCGCGGCAATCTTGGTCGAGGTGTCGGTGACCATGAAGACCTGGAAGGTCAGGGGCAGCATGTCATGGTAGATGGAGGCGGACAGGAGGTCGGCGGCGTTTGGAGCGGCCTCGCCCTTCTTGAGCACGTTGAAGAGAGACTTGAGGGCATTTCTGGCCACGGGGATGGTGGCGTCGTAGAGAGAGTAGCTCATGGTGGGCGATGTTGTGTGATTAGTTGTGCTGACTTCAACGGGTTTCGGTGATGATGAGATGGAGATGGTTGGTGGCTTTGGTTTACCAGTTTCTATCAATCAACGGCGGGGGGCTCTCTTAGATATATATATATATATATACATACACATGCACACATATGTATAACAAACCGTAGTTACGCAGCAACACTGCAATCCCCCCCTCCTGAATAGGACGCAGGTGGCCTGGTCCACACGCTGCAAGTGCTATGTAATGGAAATTGGTTATATCACAGCTGAGCTGCGTTGCGCCTGGTGCTCCATGCCGCTAAACAGAAACTCATGCTCCATCCATACCGCTTGCTCCCACGCTTGCTCCCACGCTTATTAGCTCGTCTTGCCGGATTGAGGCAGAGGTGCGTAACAGGCAGCTTACTAATTAGAATCACATCGAACCGAGTTCCGCTCTTCAATGCGGCCAAGCCAAGCGAGATGCCAGTCCCGTGGAGCACAGAATGCAACAGAATCCGGCGTCCATGTAGCATGTAGAGAGTGCCTAGCCGGTATACAGTGGCATTGCCCCGTCAGATGTTACGCTGCATGCCGTGCATTGAGGGGAAGAGCATCGTCCAGCGGCATCAAGAGACTGCAATTGCGGTGCAAGCATGCCCGACGACCCGAAGGGAGGCTCCGACTCGAACGATCTACGGACGAGATTCAGGCCATGTTGGCTGCAAGACGGGGCCAATCAGGAGTCGACGGAGTCTTGAGGCGACTGGGATCCTTCCCTGTCACAGTGGGAGGTCATGGCCCATAGCTCGGCACTCGGCCGGGCCTCAGCACCGTCCATCACCTCTCAGTTCAATGACAAATGGCCACATGCAACGAGCTTCTCCTGAGACGGCGTTGCTTCAAAGGTCGAGTCTCGGAATTACGGGGTGGATTACTGATCAATTCGAGGACAGGAGGAAACTCTAGTCTAGCTGAAGAAAACATGGATCTATGCGGAACGTGTCTTGGGTCAGATCGCACTCGCTTTCGCAGAGCAGAGCGATAAAGACGGGACGATTAAAAATCCAAAGCCGTGCTGACCTCTGTCTGCATCACTGATTAGCAATCTTGTTACACTAAATTACACTAAATAAACAAATAAGTAAGCAAGCAAACATAAAACTAGATGCTGCTGATCCAACATGCAGCTTGGCATGAGACATGACTATTATGGTACAAAGGTTTCTGAACATGGTTGTACAATCTTGGCCTTCACGCACACAGTTCGAAGCAAGACATTTTTAACACGACAACTTCTTCACACTAGCCCCAACGTCGCGTTAAACCTTTCCACCACCTCTCTGGCGCCTGGCAAAGCTGAAGGACGCGCAATCAGCTTGTCCAGTCCCATTGCCTGCCTGCCCTCGACACTAGTCCACCGCCGCAGCATCTCCTCCGTTGGGCGGTCGATATGTCTGGATTCGCCCTCGCCGCCGGGGAAATCAGGTCCCGGTGTGCCTGCTAAGAAAGCCTGGCGCTGCCTTGCCAGGTACTGAGCATTGAGCTCGGTCACGGGGCAGACGGGAATGTAGAGGACACTGGAGTCGGAATGGCCCTTGTGGACTTTATCCACGGCGTGAATAGCTATAGAACGGTGAGAACACCAGCAGTAAGTATATTGTACGAGATAGGAGATAACAAGGTGGAGTGTAGGAATGGAAACTTACTATCGCAGTGCCAAGCCACAAAAGCTCCGGGCTTAATTTCAGGCACGTGTGTCATGGTTCTTGAAAGCTCCAAATGAGGGTGAAGCTCATCATTAAGCTCTTGTCCGTGTCCAGGGAAAGCTCCCTGTAAGTCACTGGTCATATCATCCTCGCCAGTGAATGCCCAGTTCTTTTCGTCCAAGAACCGATCACCAATCTTGCCATCATCAATCGGCCTGAAGAACGGTCTCAGCAGAGTGTATGCTGTTGATAGCATCAAGGGGTATGTCAACAGTGTGCCCTCTTCCGGCCCTACTTGGCTCATAGAGACCCAGCCCTGCCATGTTCTAAAAGCACTGCATGCCCCTAGGCCGTTGTGAAGGTCGTTGACAGCATCGACTCTCCCAGAAGCCTCCCAGGGGTCGTAACTCTCCCATTTGCCTTCGAATACCTTATCGTAGACATGTCCACGTCCGTATCCGTCCTTCTCCCAGCGTTCGACGCTTCCGCCGTCGATGTGGGGGCCGAGTGCAAAGGCAGCATCACCGGGCTGTCGGATGCGAAGCCTATCGGCATAAGAAAGAGGGATGTCGAGAGAGATTGGAGTATTTGGTGATGCGGAATGCCAAAAGTCTGACATGAGATACTTTTGTACCTTTAGCATGGAAGGATGTGAGCGAGCTTTGATCTGTGGCTCAGACCAGTACAGCTCGTATACTTGGGGGTCATGAGGCGGGAAGGCTATATTCGAACGTTAACACCAGCCATTCTCCAAACAACAGACACAATTTTTTTTTTTGTGACAAAGTCTTACCTCTTGTATGGGGGTTTTTGTGCACGTATTCCTCGACGCGCTCCTTATATCCTCGCGCTTCCTTCTCCGGAATTACACCATGCACGACGACAACTCCTCTCTTCTTAATCTCCTCTTTGACTTTACTATCCAACCCATTATCAAGGTCAGCGAACTCTACTTGGGGAATAACACCCGTCCCCTTCTTGGCAATGATTTCATTTTCTTCCCGCAGCGTCCGCAACAATCTTTTCCAGCTAGCGATGATGTCCTTTTCCCGATCCCTGACCAGGTCCAACTTCAGCTGTCTGAAGCGGTCCGGCAGCGGCGCCTGCTCTGCACCAGACAACGAAACGAAAGAATCTGAAATATCCCCCGTCCTCTTTGTTGCCGGTTTTGACGTCTGCACCGTCGCTAGGCAGCGATGCAGACGGGGCAAGACGGGACAGGCCCCTCTGAAGCTTGAGCGCAGCATCTTATATATATATAAATATATATATATCTGTGTAAGAGATGGAGGGGCACAGTATAAAAAAAGTCGCGAACTTTTTTTTTTTTTTTTTTTGGATGCTCGTGCGAAAATTCTCAACAGAATAAATATGCCACCACACACAATGAATTGAAAAATGAATTAAAAAAAAATTGCATTTCATTCGAAGGAGCCAACCTATGTCTTTTATGAATGACAGAGACGATAGCCGGTATTACTGCTTTGGGGAAGTCCGCGCCCCGCCGGCGGAAAGTTTATCTCCCTCCACAAAAGTAAGATGGAAAAGTTGGGGAACCTTTGTACTTTGTCAGTAATGGCCTGATTGACATTTCCATGGATTTCGAGAATGCTTTGGGCGCAGTAGAATGCAATGATCCTTTCTCTAAGAGCGTGCTGAGACAAGAATTGGTGCTACTTTTGGTGTATTGCGTGCGAGAGGAAAAACCTGTACAAAATTCATCATCATTTTCGTATGAGAATCGAGGAGAACGTACTACTCAAGTCATTCACACCACAACTATCTACTATTGCAGTAACGAATCTAATGCAATCAAATAATCACATCTCTTCTTTAGTACATCAGCTCATCATCATTGAAACGTTACAAGTTCGAAAAATTTACGTCTCTAGCTCTCCCGTGATATGACGGAGTGCCCGTCTTGGAACTGATATCAGATCCCCCCTCCCCCCCTTTAATTGGGGAATCCCTCAGCCGTGTAACAAGCCCCATCCTTCTGGCCGGCACAGCTGTCGACTATGCACTTTCATTGATCACATGTGTGATTGGCAAGTCCGAGCCCGGAAGTAGAAAATCAATCTAATTCGGGGACATGGAAGGAAGAAGGAAGGGAGACACCCCAAAGAGGAAGAAAAAAATAGTACGAGGCCATTAGAAATGACGAGCTACTAACTTCTTCATGGCGTCATTAGAGTAAGAACTACTAAACTACTGGCTTCATTTTCTCTTCCTTACAGCTGATAGGGACGGCTACTTATATCTGGTCACATGGGACAAAGTACGTGCAAAAACCATATAGGCTAAAAAGTCGTGATGTTCCATTCCGTGTCCGTGATAAGATGTTTAAAATAGTTCGAGTGCCATATGCCGGCTTTGTATACGTAATATAATCCAGAGGGCGTGCTACCTGAGAGGGCAATGTCTTATAGCCTCGGCTCACAAGCTTGATTTATAACAAGCCAATTGAGACATTGACATTATCTCCTTCCCTTATCTGCTTGGGAACATCAATCGATTTTGACATATCCCCAGACCGCGTAAATTCATCCTATTAATTAGCTCTTCTTTTCCCCAGTCCAAATCCTTGACAAGGGGGTACAACGTGATCCCAGCTTATCAGCGAGAGCGAGAGAGAGCAATATGTATATATATATATGTATACACCATGTTTGGTTTTCTTAGCCTCGGCCCAGCCTCAGCCTCATCCTTCCCTCAGCTGGCATTGGTCGTCCCTCTTCTTCTCTTTATACCCGAGAAAAACAACATGGCCGCATTGCCAAACGTGGTATCCCAGCAGGGGAGAGGAGAAGAGAAAAAAAAAAAAAAGAGGGCTCTTTTTAATTTATCAGTAGTATTAGTTCCCACGGCAAATTAGGAGAATTACCCCGATGGCCATAATTTCGCCGGCACTTCTATTTTAGGCAAATCCGCCCCCCACAACTCCAGCCACGACGAGGACCACCTTTGCCCGCCAAAGGTGAGGCTAGTAATACATAGTATAAGCAAATCAACAACCTTGCCCAAAACAGAGAGCTTCCCACACCCCTCATCAGCCACACCACTTCTACATGAAAGGGCATTATAGCCTAATGTTTATGGACATCTCATCGTCTCGATCTCATCGTAAGTCTCACTCATCTAGCCCACCTCATACAGAGTAGCCCCCCACCTCCTTGAACGCCTCGCATCAAAATCTCATCTCCAGCCCAACCATGGTCGCCTCCTCCTCCTCCTCCTCCTCCTCCTCCTCCTCCTCCTCCACAATCAAAGTCTCCCTCCCTCATCTCGCCCAAGTCATCGACCACTCCCTCCTCCACCCAACCCTCTCCGACGCCGAGCTCCGTGCCGGCCTCACCCTCTGTCGTGACGCCTCCGTGGCCTCGGCCTGCATCAAGCCGTACGCCGTGCCCCTCGCCCGTTCCATCCTCGCCGGGTCTCCAGTCCGCATCTGCTCCGTCGTCGGTTTCCCGCACGGCTCGTCCTCCGCCTCGCTCAAGATTACCGAGGCCGCCGAGGCCATCGCCTCGGGGGCCTCCGAGATCGACATGGTCATCAACATCGGCAAGGCCCTCAGCGGCGAGTGGAACTATGTCGAGCATGAGATCGAGGCCGTCAACCGCCTGGTCACTGCAAAGGGGGCCATCCTCAAGGTCATCTTCGAAAACGACTTTCTGCAGGATGAGCACATCATTAAGCTCTGCCAGATATGCACTGACCAAGGCGTGGCGTTTATCAAGACAAGCACGGGTTATGGCTTCGTCAAGCAACCAAACGGCTTTTATAGCTATCAGGGTGCTACGCCACACCATCTCAAGCTAATGAGGAAACATGCTGGCCCAAAGGTACAGATCAAGGCCGCAGGGGGCGTTAGGACCCTGGACGAGCTGCTTTATGTACTATCACTTGGAGTGACGCGAGTTGGCGCCAGTGCCACTGAGGCTATCCTAGAGGAGGCCAAAGCAAGAGGCATTGGCGAGACTGAAGTCGAAGTTGAAGTAAAAGCACCCCTGGGATTGCAGGAGGGAGCTTATTGACGATACCACTAGTAGTTTTAGCGAGCGATGCATGAAACGGTATATAATACAGAAATGTAATTATCTATTAAAAAAAAGTTATCAGACGTAACTTCGCAATGATGTGCATGCATGGCTTCATTATCTGCTCTACCTTTTACTTCTTTCTTTTGTCCAGTCCTGACCAGCACGAGGAAAACTCCAAGGGTACCCAAGAACTGAAATAAAAGGTAGTATGAGGAAATGAAAAAGGGGAGAGATAAAAAAGGCAGAAAAAAGTAAAAAGCATAGCCTAGCCGCCAGAAAAAATGATAATCTCAAGCCGCTAGCCCTGTGTCCTTTTTGAGTCCTCATGCATCCTTAACAGCAACAGCATGTCCATACGCCAATTCTCTCCAAGCATAACAGTATTCGTGATTTACAAACAAAGATACGCTGTCATCAGAAAAAAAAAAAGAATAAAAAAATTGTTCATAATGCAAGCCTGAAGCTCTTAATTGTTTGGATTTTTGTTGTTTCTGCTCCGCCACCTTCTTTCTCCTTCACAAAGGCTCTTTATTCAGTGTCTTGGTTAGAGCGCCTCACTTTCTCTCTGAGATCCCTGTTTTCATTTTCCAGGCCGCCGAGCCGTTGCCGAGCGGCCTGTCTGTCCTGGTTGCGCCCTTCTCGTTCCATCTTCAGCTTGTACTCCATATCCCGGAGTCTCAGCAGCCAGCGGTTATCGTTGTTGGTTGCTGATCCGTCAGAGCCTGTAGCATCCAAGAGACCCAGTCCAGTTCTGGAAGACGATACCGGAATTCCGGAGGAGGACGGGGCACGCGCCGTAGACGATGCCCTTCCCTTGGAAGCGGAGCTATGAGAACGATCGCCAGCGCCGCGAGGAGGTATCGGTGACGGTGAGCCAGCACCGATCTCAGACCCTCCAGGCGTTTGATGGGCCGCGCGAGCACGAACATCATTAGCAGTTCTCAGCGTGGCATTTTCCACCTTAAGCTGACGATACGCTTCCTCAAGGCGCATCATTCGACCTGCCGCTTCCTGAGAACTCAGCGAGCCGGTGGCAACTGAGTTGCGAACCATAGTCTCCAGCCTATCAAGCTTCTTGATCCGCACATCCAGGTTGTTCTCTAGAGCCTGGTACTCCCGATAAAGATCCTTCTCGACTGCCTTGATCTTTGTTTGCAGTGCCGCAAACATTCCCTCGATCGTCTTGACAGCGGCAAGAAGGTTCTTGGAAAATCCCGGCAAGCGACTTGCAATAACTTCGAGAGTAGGGACTACCTGCCGGTCTACAAGCGTATTGTTATTCGCCCACTCCCGACCACAGAGGTTGCTTAGTTTGTGCCATAAGAGAAGCAACAGTTCGTTTCTCTCCAGAAGCTGCTCGCGGGCCGTTTGTTCTAACATGGCAAGCTTCCGGCGATCCTGGCCTCTTGTAGCTTCTAGTTCGTTAATACGGACGTCTTGTGTGCTGGCCGTTCGGGTGAGATGCTGATGTGTCTTTTGGAACGACTCATATTGGGACTTTGTGTTACGGTGAGCAACGCGCTCCTTTTCGAGCAATTCGGTGATTTTTCGCGTTTCCAAAGCGTGTGACTCCATAAGCGAATCACGCTGCTTGATGATACGGTCTTTCTCAACCAACGCTGCTTTAGAAGTATCAAGCTCGCGAACAGTGTTTTCAAGCTCACGCTGCATCCGAGCAATAGACTATACAAGAAAAGGGGCCAGGTCAGTACAAGATATAAACAGATGAGAAAAATGAGCGTGCCATACCTTTAGCAGCGAAGAACGGGTGCCGTTCAGGTCACCCAATGCTTCCCTCAGGTTGTTCTCCAATTCCAGCAACCTCTCCTTCCACTCTGTTGCCTCGACCTCGCGAGACGACAAGTTCTTACGTAGTCGCCTGACGTCGTCCTTGGCAGTGGCGTTCTCGCGCTGAAGGTTAGCAAACAGTTGTTGGACATCTGCCTCCTTCTTAGTGGTAACGTCCTCCCATTGCAAACGCTCCTCTTGCATGCGGTTCTCCAGCTCCTTGACTCGTTCTTTCTCATCCTCCAAGCTTCGCTCCGTATTAGACATTGCCGCTTCCAAATCGCCAATGCGAATTTTGTCTGCCTCCTGCTCTTCCCGAAGGAACGAGATTTCGCCTTGTGACGATTCCTGCTGGACGGAAAGACGCTGGTTCTTTTCATTGGCTTCGAGGAGCTTCTGCTCCAAATCCTCAAGCTCCTTGTTAGAGGATTCTTGCTCTTTCTCCAAGTGCTGAATGCGACGGTTTAGGTTAGCCTGGTCTTCTTCAAGCTGTTGGATGTGTCGAAGCTTGTGTTCTTGCTCGTCTTCTAAGCCTAGGAGCGCCTCGCTCATCTGTCGCATCTCCTTCTGCAAACTTTCAAAGTTTTCAGATCTGTCGTTCAAGTCGGCCTGCATTCGCTGGACCTCTGCCTCCAGAGTGTCAATCTCCATCTGAGCTTCGTTGCGAAGATCCTCAAAGTTGGCTTCCAATTCACCATGCTCCCTTAATGCTTCGTCGCGTTCTGATTGTAAAGCAATGAGATCGTTTGTGGCGTTATCAAGCTCTTCCTGCATGCTCATAAGAGCCTCTTCGGCCTCGCGCTTTTGACCAATGGCCAGTTCAAAATCGGCCATGCAGCTCTCCAACTCTCGCTGTAGATCCTGATTCTGTAACTTCACCTCACTGAGCTTATCTCGCAGCTCAGCCAATTTGTTTTCCAGCTCTTCGCGTTCTGCTTCATCCTCTGCTGACAGCTGCCTCGTCCTATGGCTACTTCTTGAACTCGGCCTTTCATGACCGCCAGCGCGTGAAGCTGATCGTTCCAAGAGACTGTCGATAGTAGAGGGAGCTGGGCCACCACGACGCTGAGCCATTTTGAGATCTTCAATCTCCTGGTATAGGCGCTCCTTTTCACGGTTTCTAGACGTCAGCATTGAAGTCTGAGCCCCAACTTCACGGCGAAGTTCAGCATTCTCATGACGCAGCTGTTCACTCTCACGACGCAGCTCGTCCACCAAAGTGCTGGCCGCACTAAAGTTAGCATGCGAACCATCTGCCTCGCCGGATACGCTAGACATGGGCCTGCCTGGCGAGGCATTCCGATCCCTTGGCTTCTTGTTGATGTTGTAAATGTTGGTTGTGTGATGCATCATCCCTGAGCCAGCACCAGACATCTCCTTCTTGAGTCGGAAAACCTCATCTCGCAGCTTCCTATTGTCCTCATCGGACTGCTCCCTACGCGCGGTCTCTTGCTCCAATAAGTCTTTCCAAACATCTGCCTCCTCTTGCCGGCCATAGGCGTCTCCAGAACGCTCACCGAGCGTCTTGACAATGTCCGATAGCTTCTTCTTCTCCGATTCTCTATCCATAGTCTCGCTTCTGAGTCTCTCGATTTCTGTGGCATAAGTTTCGACGCGCTCTCGCAAGAACATGAGCTCGTCTTCTCGCTCTTGAGCTTCTTCGTTGTACATCCGGGCGGTCTGGTCCGTTGAAGATGCAGCACTGCGCGCCGTGCTCGGCCTTTCTTCGTCTTCTTTCTCTTTCTTTTCCAGCTCTTTGACTCTTTTCCGTAAAATTTTATTATCGCGCGTCGTAATGGCAAGATTTGTCCTCAGTTCGACGTTCTCGGAAATCATCTCTTTCAGTCCTTCTTCGGACAAAGTGTCCAGCCGTTTACTCAAGAACATCACCTTGAGCTTCAGGTCGAAATTTTCTTTGGATAGCCTTTCAATTGTGCTACTCTGCTCCTTTAGTGTCCAGTTCTTGTTGCCACCTTTGCCCGGAGCCTTTGAGCTACTGGGGGCAGTGGCCGCGGATACGGACAGTCGTGGCGTTTGTAGGCCATTTTCGAATTTGAACTCTTTCGCAACTGAATCAGGGACGTGAACATTCTTGACATGCTGGGCTATGACTGTATCTGTAGGGGCTGTGCTGATGCTATCTTTGGTTTTCGGTGTCACCATCTTATAGCTGTCTCTGCTTCGCGGCGGAGTATTCGCCTCAACCAGCGGTTCCAACTGGCGTGTATTATCTCCAAACTCGTCAGTACCCATGCCAGAGGTCATGCTGCCCATACTTATTGATCGCAGGAGCAGATTAGATGGTGCCCGAGGCATACCCATATTTGGCACAGCTCCACCAGAATGCAACGCAAAGTCCAACCCCAGTCCTACAGTTCCTGTGGTGTCATTCTCCTCCTGCAGCTCGGGATTGGTGGCGAAGGATGAAGTTGATGATCGCTGGCTACTGAAGCGGTTGCTGCGCACATATTTGGGACGCCTGTTGCGCAGCGCAAGTCCGGGATTGCCACCAGCATCAGCGTGTTCTGAAAGAGGCTGAGACTGAGAGCCATCTCGTGCATCTTTACTGTGTTCTTCCAGTGTCCCAACTCTAGGGGTAGCTTGGTTGCTATGGTTCGAGTTGGCAGCACGCGAGATGGACCTGGCAGCAGCTGCTGCCGCAGGTGAGGAGTCGAAGCCTTCTAGGTTCGATGTGGTGTTGCTAGCTCTAGTCAGGTCTTCTTCAGACTCAGGATGAAAGTCGAATTCTTCCGTGTAATCCTGCCCTGGTTCGTATCTTGGCTCGTATCGTGGCTCGTATCGTTCCTCCGGTTTCGACCGTGACGGCTTGGGCTGAGCTCCGGGCAACATAGGGCTCTTGGAAGGCCGAGAAGGCGGCTTTGAGGGCGAATCAAAGACAAAAGTATCGTCAAGGGCCCCCTCAGGGTTGGCAGAGCCCGTGGGAATCGGCGACAGAGATGGCAGAAAGCTAGACTCGTTATCTTTGAAATGCTCCCGAACTGCATCCTCTGAGAGAGTGTCGTCCGGATTCAGGGTCGGTTCCAGGGCTGTCGTTTCGAGATAGCTCTGCTCTCTCTGTGACAGAGCGGGCGATCCCCCGCCAACACTGGGCCGAGACGAGCCCTGCAGCTGCGCCGAGGCTAGAGAGAGTCTGCTACTAGGAGCTATCGTGGTGTGCTTAGGAGGCGCAGGCGCATTGCCGTTCGATTCAGATCGCTGCAGCGGAGAGCGCGCGCTCATCGTAGTCGAGCCCGGCGAGGGCAACGGCTCTGTTCTTTCTGCTGGACTTCTTGATCTGCTGTTGTCGGCCTGGACGCGCCTAGCAGCGGACGACGAGAGCGACTTGGGCTCGTGGGCGGTGTTCTCATCCACGCCGGCCATGTTGCATCTTGGGGGGTTTTCGGGCTGCAGGGGGCTCAACCGAGGCTTGGGAGCTCCGCAAGGGGGAGAGGGGGCTGTATCGCCAGTGACAGATATGTGGTGTAGACAACGAAGAAGCTGCAGAGAATAATAGGCGAGTGACTGCTGGCTAGGCGGATATGTTTCTCAGCTCAGCTGGCTGCGTGCTCGAGCCTCGTCCAAAGCCTGATCAGCAAAAGCCCGTCGCAGGGCAGCAGCTTGGTGGCGCCAGGTGCGTCGTTGCTAGAGCCGCTCTCCCGGCGCCTGCAGCTCCAGCGCCTGCACGCGCTAACGGCGCGGGAACCAGTGGAATTCTAGAGCGAATTAGGGGGGTGAAATGCCGCGTGCACCGCCTGTCAGGGGAGCCCCGCAAAGCGTTAAACAGGCGGTAAGGGTTCAATGCGATTAAGATTGGAACAAAGGCGCTTGGATTGGATGTGATAGGTTCAAGTTCAAAGTACATCAAGTGCCATATATTAGTAGTACCTAAGTACCCTCCCTACTCAACATCAATTTTTACTCCATGTTGTGAGATCTCAGTATCATAACAGCCTCAGACTATATGAGAGACAGAAAAATTGGTATTATCAAAACTAAGAGTAAGAAGTGAAGAACAAAGGAAAGTAAGAATCAAAACCAAAAACCAAAACCAAGAAAAAGCAATGCCAGTAAAAAGTAAATGCTGGTTTGGTACGGCAACATATTTCCACAAGACCTGCCACTCTTTTTACCAGGTATCAATTTTTCCAATTGCCTGTCGTCTGCTAGTTTTCGTTACAAGCGGACCATCACCGTAATTTATTTGCCGATATGGAGAAGCGTAAAACGACTTCCACGCCAAACGCCGCAGGCCTATCCAATCCTGAATTGTTCCAACTCATGCATCATCACACTCGATTATCGCGAGAAAAAAAAAATGGGAAAAAATGAGAATGAAACGGTGGTAAAAGAAGAATGGGGGGTGAAGAAGAAGAAGGAGAAGAAAGGAAGAGGAAGAGGAGGCGAAGGGAGGGTAGGAAAGAAAGAAAAGTCATTACCACCACCATTTCCAAGTCTTCTCCAATGAAGGGTCTTTGAGGATGTCATCAACCCATCCCAAACTTTCTCTCTTGTCGTCAAGCAGGCGAGCGTACTCAAAGAGCAGCCTCAATACATAGACCTGCATGTCTTCTTTTCGCAGCACTAGATCAGCCCACTCCTTGCCCTCGGTAGCAATCTTTTCTGCGACTCGGTCGTGGCCGTTGCGCCCCTCGTATCCGAGGAAGTACTCCATGATGCCATAGTAATCAAGGAAACGGCTGTCCATGGGAACAAAGTGCTTCCACGCAACCAAACGGCTGTCGTGCCACTCATGCCAGATGGTGGCTTTGATGGGGAGAGAAGTAGATCGCAAGAAACCAAGATAGCGGCCGGAGAAGGAATTTCCGTCAATGTCCGGAATGTACTTTGACTTGAACTGTTCTCCCATCTTTATTCCCTTGGTTGGCTTGAAGTAGTGGCCAGTGTAGTTGCATTTTCCGTTTTGCGGTGGCGAACAGCTAAGATCGGTGAAGCTGATGTTGGACCATTGGTTAATCCATGCGCCCAGCTTGCGGTCCTTTTGCGCCTGCAAGTTGTATTCCTCGCTCGGCAACGCAAAATTCTCCGCCTTCTCTCCCCTTTCAACACGTGCAACTGTCGTGCCGTTGTTCATGGCGACAAATCTATGGCGTTGGAACCCTCGCCAATTATGTACCGTATTCTTGCCGCCTGTTGCAACACCGCGCCAGATGGCCTTGTTTTCTTTCTCCGCCCATTCAACGCCATGGTTATCACCGCCAGTGAAGCGCTCTTCCTCGTTCCAGTACATGGGAGCGGGTAGCAAAATTTCGTTATTGACTCCCAATTTGGAGCCACCAAACATGGGGAACAAGACCTTGGAGGCCGATGTAGAAAGCGGCTCGATGAAGATGCCCTCCAAGGCCTGCAGATCTGGCTGATGGCAAATTTCCGTAGACAGTGTAAAGTTGGAGACGAATCCCTTGTACATGTGGGGTTCGGCATATGTCAAATTGATCGAAGGCATCTTATCGGCAGTTTTTACGAGGCCCTCCACCTGAGAGGGACTATCCGGAGCACAGCCACGTCGAGCAATAGCCCAGTAGGGTTCTAGTTTAAAAAGACCTTGTCAATATCTTCCTTCAAGATTTTTTTCTTTTAAATAAAATAAAAACAAAGAAAACAAAAGAAAACAAAGAAAAAAATCATTTGCTTATGAGTTAAGAGATCGCGTTATGGCAAATTTAACTTACGTGTTTTTTCCCAGTTCTTGCTGCGCGTTTTGACCTCGGGGTCGCCAGTGCCGGGGCGAGGCAGTTGCTGGAATTCGCGAATGACGTCTTTAGACTTGGGTATCTTGATCGTCTTGGAAGCGTTCTTCATGTAGCCGGCCATGTCCTCCCAGGGAACAACTAGTCGGGGCTCATCCATGGCATTCAGCGCGATATCCATGTCAGGCAACAAGTGATCGATGGTCTTGATCATTTTGAGCCAAATCTTGGTCCAGAAGAAGTCGCTTTTAGCGGTGGCATTGCCGTCTCGGATGTTGATTGTCATTTCAAAGTCCCAGGCCTCCTTGCGGATGACGGCGGGGTCAAGACCCCAAAAGGGTTGGAGATCTTGGTAGATTCGATCAAAGAAATCCTCGACGATGATTGCGTTCTTGGAGCGAGCAAATTCGTACCACTTGTCGAAGCCGGGCGGCGGGTGGCGGCCACGGCGCTTGCGATAGGCCTTGGCAGCCTCTTCGACGGTTTTGGATTCTTTGGAAATGAGCTCGGCGAAAGTCATCTGGGCGTCATACACCAGCTTGTCAATGGGATGGCCGCCGCTGGTAGGAGGAGCGCCGACAGGGAAGGCATCTTGGATGGGCTTCCGGCCAGGGGAATTCGGATTCGTGGCATCTGGCGATGGCGACGCCGTGAAGAGTGGTGTTTTCGCGCCTCCAACGGGCGCAGGGCCATTGTAGTTTGGCGCAGGATTCGGCAGCGGACGGTTTGGTGCGGTCTGGTCAAATGAGGGTGGCAGACGGGAAATATCTGGCGAGCTGGGGCTGAAGGTGTACAAGGCCAGCAGGAAGATGGCCGCTAAGACACCGTACCGCACGAGGCCGGACGGCCGCCGCATCGGAAATCCGGGCGTCAGCAGCTTGACCATGGCGATGTTGGGTGGCTTTTCGAGATGTCGCGGGTCTGCCAGAGGCGTGGTGTTGTCGCAGCAAACGATGCTCCAACTATGGCAAGGTCGTGCTTTTTGCAATGCTTGAACAGTCCTTGAAACAAAAACGGGGCGTCGGAAGTTGTTCGCTAAGAAGTGAATAGCGTCGGCCGCGTGTTGCTGGGGTTTGGTGTTCCCGCGTATGCTAAGTAAGTGATGACGGAGGGGCAGGTCTATCCAAGAGAAATTGAGCACTCAGCGCATCCGGGCGCGCCAAGGAAATCCAGCCTTTTAAGATTGTGATAACGAGCGACTTGGTCTCGAGGGACGCCTGACTTGCGAGTACAAGGCACTGTCGAGCCAAGGATGATTGTGGCGAGCACAGGGAGGTCTGGAGGAGACGCTGCGGGCAGGCAAGGGCGGGCAGACTTGGGATTCGGCGCTTTGGAGTCGCTACAGCTGCCGCAGCATCGTCCGAAGAGCCGTGAGGAGAACAACGAGCAGCCGCGCAGCCCAGGAGCGGAGCGAAGAGGTTGAAGAGCCAGAAGTCTAATTTCGCAGCGCTGCCCGGAGGCGGCCAAATGAGCTGGGCAGACGCTTGCGGCAAGATTGGCCACATTGCCCACTGATTCGCTGCTTCGCAACGAAGCTACGAGGTGAACCCGCCGCCAAGACCCCGTCAGCGCCCACAGGCTCTGTAACCCCTGGCACGATTACGCTGCTAGTGGTTGCGCGGGGGGGGGCCTCAGCGTGGCACCGGCTCTCTTCAGTGGCCTGGGCTCAAGCGCGATAAGGCTACCCGCTATTGCGTAGCCGAGCGAGCGAGCGAGCGCTGGCTGCTAAATGAAACACGACGATGGATGTCTAGCTTGCGGCTCGATGGCTCGATGCCCGCTGCTGGCACGGCTTCAGGACGTCGATGGTGACATGCCACTGCATAAGACAGCCTCGACAGGCCATGGTGCATGCGCAGGCAATTAGAATTAAGCTATCGGGCTAATGGTGCATTCCCCTCGGCTAATCTTCACCCTCCAAGGCATCCATCCAGCTCCCATTGGTACGACCCAATATTATAGACTCCAGCTCTGCTACCTAGAGCGATGGTTTAGCATAGTCAGTATAGAGCTATTGTTGCTGTTCCCTTGCGTCATTTGCCCTGGAGAAGAGGGGAAGCAAGCAGATACAATCTGCCTCTCGCCAAAACCCGTTGCCAAGGCGTTTCTGAGTTGCGTTTCCAGCGATGGCCTCGCTAAATGAGCTGACGATCACTCCTCTTCTAGCCCCAGCTCGACTATTGCGAGCTCCACCCTGCCTGGCCCCGGGCACTGTCGTGACATAGCAAATACTTCATTGGAGGCTTTTTGGCGGGTTATCGGCGAGCACGCAAGCTGGGTGTGGACCACATTCAATAGAGCCTGGTCTGTACGTCGAGTAAGTCGAGATAGACCAAGGCAACCTCCAATGCCATAAGCAGCTGAGCGCGCACAAAAGGAAGAAGAAAAAAGGGAAAGGGAAGGGGAAAAGGGGCCGTCAGATTACAGATACTCTATTACACTACATACAGCACACGAGACTATTGGCGGTTAGGGGGCAGACGGAGCCTTTTTTTTTTTTTTTTTTTTTTNTTTTTTTTTTTTTTTTTTTTTTTTCTTAAAAGGCTTGCTCAACATTTAACGCGCGTTTTGCTCTCCCGATTTGCCGCTATCCGCCATCCGAGTCAGCCGTGGGTTGTCTCGCAAGGAAGACCTTGCATACCATATCTAGCTAATTGAGTGGCAGATCAACGACATGAGACCAGTGTTTTGTATGCTATCCGTCCTACTTCATACTACTATTAGTATGTACTGTAGAAGGTACTGTGTATGCACAATATTCCTCCCGTCCACGCCTGGTTTCCAGCCGCCCTCCTCCCCACTTTTGGCTCCTTTGGCTCTGCCATAAGTGGCTCGATCAGTAGAATTTTCCAAACGGGGTAATCCATATGCAGCAGACTAATCGGCAATTGCATCAAATTCGTTCCAGCCGACAGAATACTAACCAAAACTGGCTGCATATGCGCGTACTGACAAGCGCGAGCGAATTCCAGCCTTGCTATTTGCCTTCCACCCAGGCACGGCAAAGCAACTGGTCAAAATAAGAAAATAATAAACTCGCTGCAAGACAGATCTGCCGCCACTCTCGTGACACAAGCTCGATTGCCTGGGCTCCAGTAGCGCAAAAGAAGTGCCGGGCGCAACTTGCACTGGACCAAGGCGCGGACAAAAGAGGTTCGATTTGGCAGGTCCCGGGACGCTTGTAGCGCTCAATTGAATGCCGACTGCCTAAAGGGGGACAGTCTTCAGCGATTGGTTTCCATATTCTGTCGTCATCGCGCCGATAATGGCCCCCTGTCAATCACTGCTTATCGAAATGCCACGGCGGGTTTTGAGAGGATTCCCGATTGGTACCAGCCTCTGACGATGAGGTCAGACGGTCTACAAGAGTGGGTATCATGATGTTGCACAGCCAGCCACTGTCATGAAGAGAATTTGTCTTGTGCGGCCTTGACTGTCCATGCACGGTCTTGAAGACATCGGAAAATACCGAAGTTGCTGGTATATAATCTCCTATACTTTGTTTGACTCGTAGAAATACTGTAGTAGTAATAATGAAGAAGCCAAGTCCCAAAAAAAAGAAAAGAGAAGAAAAAAAGAGGGAGAGAGAAAGTACATATAAGCTCTGCCGCTTTAATGACCCCACTTCTCTCTCTCTCTCTCTCTCTATATATATATATATATATTGTTCATATCATGTTGCTCTCCGTTCAACGTACAAGTGCGGATACAGTCAAGTATGTAGTATTACTGTACAAACAAGCGCTCCGCCCTGTGCACATAATTCCGAGCGGCGCCATGCGGCTGTTTGCCACCGACCCATTTACTGCAACGACTGCTGTGACAAATGCCAGAATATTGGGGACGGTATTTATGGACACGGTTACCCACACAGCTATATGTAGGCCTTGTTAATGCCTTCTCTCCAAGCAGTAGTACTTGCTGCTTAGATTTTCCGAGTCAGGGACCCGAATATCATGCTGCAATTGAATCGGGCTGAGGACTAAATCTCTTCTTCAGATATTTAGATTTATGGCAAAGTCAAATATATCTGTAGTTTCCAGAGTAATTTTCCTAATAATTTAACGGCGTCTAGTTATATACATAGTCGCCAAGGTTACTAGAAATGTATACTCGCCCGTCTTCTTTGTCTTCCACATTGGCGCAGATTCTATGCACCGGAGTATTGGGCGAAGATGTCCGATTTTGAAACTATCTAAGAAGTGCAGAGTATTTTGACAGCCATTCATCATATAGCAGCTTTTTAGTCTTGGAGGTTAAAGTTATGCAACGCCTGTTTTAATGAGGGGATAAAGAGAAATTGTACGCGCAATATTTCATGACGAAAGCAATAAATATATTATGTACGAGGCTACCATAAAATCGTTATTTTTCCAGTTTCACCAGAGCTTAATTGAATATTTGTGGAACATTATCCCATGTGTTGAATAGGCTCGAAACGGTGCTTTTTTGTCCGGTAGCAACAATATCGAAGGGATGAGTATTTGTCGGTACTTTACCCTGCCAAGTACCACTATATAAAGTGTACTCAGTTCCTGGAATCTTGTTCAAAGGCTTCATCTTCACTTTATCTTGAATCCATGGACTCAATGGGGCAGTAGTATTTAATGGCTGAGGAACGATGAGCGAAACGTCAGAGAAGTCTTCGGCATTCAAGACCTAAATCGATAATAACTTAGACATCTGCCTTTAAATGTTAAAGAGTATACAATATTAGACCTACTAAAGCGGTTATATTCAGTTGAGTATAATCGACTTTATCGACGGTGATTACGCTCTGGTTGGACAAGCTAAACACAGGTTGAATAGCATCTGAAAATGGGAATCCGGAGCCTCCATTTTCGTAAACTATTGTTTTTCCAGAGGCATCGTCTACAATCTCAACAGTAAAGGACGATATGCCATCCTTAGCTGAAATCGTGGTATTGAACTGGTAGTAAATGAAGTCGGGACCGCAGTTGGGATAACTGCAACTAGCAGTCAAGCGGTTGTTTCTAATACCGGTGGTCACGGGTAAGAGTTTGCCGGAACGCGAGGTAGGGTGAATGAGCACTTGGCTCTTAGTAGCATCGACTGTAGTGTTAATGATCTATTTCAGGTAGTTAGCTATCTTTGGGGGGTTCCCTTTGCGCTTGATATTTGTAAAAAGGTTCCATACATACCCTTATAAAGCCAGTTGCAAATACCGTTCCGTCAGCATTAGGAGTAATAAATAAATTTCTTGGCTTGACGGTATAAGGATGTAGAATATCTGTTAGTTTTACACTGCGAGGCACAGTATTGATCATGCGCTCAAGCAAAGCGTTACAGGTACTAAGAAAGTAATTCTCGGATTCTGCCATCTGAGAGATTACCTTGCCCCCGTCCGCGTTGAAAATGCGGAAATCTGATCGTGTTGTTTCGTTTTGACCAAATGCAAGTGGGTTTTGAGAGACATTGGCAACAAATTGTTTGGCGCTGAAGGGTGATTAATAAATTTGTTCATTCCTAAATCGCGGATATGATATGAACGACTTACACAGAGTTATCGAAATCGTTTGTTGTTGCATCAAAAGTCACGGTATTGTCAGTCTGAACAATGAAAGTTAGTTTGATCGTACAGGCTTTATGAGCCGTTTCTCAAAAGGCTCGAAATGGATATACTGACACCTGTGTTAGGGGGGTTGGGGACAATTTCTGGAAAGTCCACGCCATGCACACCTCCAATGGTATGCCCACAGGCAACAAGGGTTATCATCTCGGACACATTAAAGCCTTGCTTCGCAAAAGTCGCAGTGTGTGTAGCAAGATCTTCCTGTGGTTGCGGAACGCCTGATGGGCCAGGACCAGTCGCATCCACACGGCCTGCCCTGAATGGGATAATAATGTTTCCATTAGAACATTGTCCAACAGCCATCACCGCACCCATCGCGAACATGTCAGACATAGATGATCGAGTAGTGTAGGCTGCGCCTAAAAAGCTTAGTGATTCTGAAAATGCCTGTCCTACATTCTCAGGACGATCCATCTCAAATACAATCGAAGCATCGAGACCGCCAGTTCCAGCAGTTACATCTGCTGTAGACATGTCATGGTAGGCATTTCTCAACCATTCAGCGCCGAAACTACGCCCTCCAGAGCCACCAGGGCCGCCCGCAAACCCAGTGCATCCTGAGACAAAGGAGGCAATATTACCACCGGGAGGATCGAAAGGACTATCTTGTTCAAATAATAGCCTCTCCAACTCGTCGATTTGTTCGTCGGGCCAGACATATTCAGCACTAGAAGGATGCCAGAAGTAACTGCTGAGAACAGAGTAGAGGATGGCCCGAGTCCAGGCCATGGCGATGGCGAGTTGAGTTTTGATGTTAGATTTCTGGCCAGAGGGGAGTTCTCGGGAGAGGTAATTGTTCAGACAAGTTTCAAAGCTGTATTTGTCTGGGACTCGTTGATTTTATAGTCGAGGTGGCGCTTAAGCGGGCAAATATATCGTACGGGTACTTCACACGGGTACATAATTTTCCCCCGAGTATACCGTCTCTCCAGACCTGGCTGGAGATTTCGTATATGCGGTTAACAAGGGGCTAAAGTAGCTATGGATTCGGGGCATTCCTATTCAAGTATCGGGCCACTCGACAAGACTGAATTCGGGTTTCACAATGGAGATGTTAGCGTGGCTGTGTGAGCCGCATGGCTGAAATAAGGAACAGATTCTAGAACTGTTAAATGCTATTGGTTATGTCGCATCGAGTAACTCGTGCTAAATTCATTCTAGTAGACGGCCCTAGTTTCAACGACGCGTATACCCTAGTCATTTAAGCTTACAAGAACACGTACACCGTAGCTTGTTATGCATATACGATAGTAAGTGTACTCCATGTCGATTAGGGTTACGCATAATCTAGCCAATGAAGTGTTTTTGTTTACAAAACAAAACATCACCTGTTTATAGAAGAGCTGACACAAAAGTCCCAGGTTAGAGGAGTTTGCAAGGGTGTCAGCAGGTTCATAAGTTCCTGGACAATCAATGGACACGATGTAACATAATACAATCTTTATGTTACGTACATATCCATAGAGAAAAGCCCACTACTTCCAACGTTGAAAATAGATTTGCCATTTTCATTTTGGGGAATTCTACTTCTCTCTTCTCATTGTTTATTCTTTTTTAAACAATTAGATATGTTATGTTAATGACTAACTTGCGTCTGTTGATAGATAGGATTCTGTACAGTAGCTTAAGCATAAACAATTTCAAGTTTGTATTATAGCGATGTAACACTGGCGTAGAATATAATGGTAGATGCCTGAGATTTATTGTACATGACTGATTATGACATCTTTGGTTCTTCTAGTGACCATAATTGTAGCAACCGTGTCTTTAAAATAGGATCCGTGGCCTCATCCAGCAAACGATCCTACGTGTTCATTTTTAGTAGCAGTGTTCAAGTCCTTCATATGAGAGTGATTAAAGCTCGCCCTCGATAGTTTGTAACAGAAAAAGAGTCTCTCAGGACTGATTAAAATCCGTGTCAACTCGGTGCCAACTCCCACTTCTACAGAACTCAACTAACGATCAGTAATCAATTGAACCAACCGCGCCACCGCGTATACGTAATCTCGTACGTAGAGTGTTGTATTATATCCTGGCCCTATTGCGAGAAATACAGAACATGTGCTGACTGGTATAAAGCTACCTAGTAGTTATATCAAGTACCTGTCGATACCTCTTAGCTGGTTACTGCAAGTCAGACCAACAGGTAATACGATTTTTAAAAGCCAAAATTCTATATATTTCCGGCTCAATAAAGCCGATCTCCTTCCTATAAAGGTATCATCATTGTGATTAAGTATGTTTTGTGATATCCGCATAAATCCCGAAAACGCCGCATCACGGTTGCCGCTTTCCACAGTGGGTGCTGTTAGAGTCCGAGATACGACTTCAATATTATGTGTTGTTTAGTGGCGGGACTTCAACTCTAAATTATATTCCTCCTTTTCTTTCCTTAGTGAAGAACCAATTGCTGTCGAGCAGACCATCTTGGCAAAGGCGATTTGAAGTGATCACCCCTGCTGCCTCATTTCTGCACGAACGCTTATTATGCGCATCCTATTTCCACAAACAACTGCCCTAGCTAAAAAGGCGTAGCCCTTAGCCTAGTGCCGTTAGTTGATGTGCCGGTTGGTGCGCTTCGGCAACAGGGAATGAGCATGAGCATAAAACATTGGGAATGGAAGCTCAGAATGTAAGACGATCCCATTTCAACTAGCTCTCTCAAGCTAAATCAACGATCTAGAGGCGAATATAAAGACCATACTTCTCCTCCTTTATCTACTATACAGAGAAATAGCAAACACGCTCTTGGCACTCTAATCATCTCTCTCTGTCCACGGGCTCAAAGCATCCAAAAATCTGGTATGCGCTCCAGCATCCCCAGTAACTCTAAGCACTTCCTGGTATACCTCAGTGCCAAGGCGCTTGAAGAAAAGCAAAATGCCTGCCCATATAAGATCGGTGTAGCTGATAGTGTCACCCAAAAAGTAGGGCCCCGATGAAGACTCGTTCAGTAGAGCCGTTATCTCGCGCGCAAAAGGCTCACATCTTTCGAATGCTCCTGGACCATGCTGCTTCTTAAACTCATCTAGCGGCATGCCGACGTCTTTCTGGCGCGTGGTGAGAAAATACTCAAGACTCTCCTCGCTGAGAAGTTGATTCGCTACACTTGGAATATAGATTGGATGAAGCTTTCCCATAAATTTTACGAGGCTATCCCTAAATCTGAGCTGCATGGGCGTATTCAGAGCCAGGCTTGGGACTGGGTGCTTCTCCTCGATAATATCGGCAATTTTGTACGAGTCCATCACGTAGGTGCCGTCGGGCATTTGTATTGCTGGTGCTGTAAATTGGGGTCCTTGTTCATTCGGAGAGACACTGGTATGGCCAAATCAATTATGACATGCACACTATGTTTGTAACACAGCGTTAACTTACTGCGTGTTGAGTCGAGACTTGATATTCGGATATTCAACCTGCCAATGTTAGGGCTTATGGTCCAGCCCATATGACTGTGACTCACCCATTCTGTCTTGTAGTCAAGGCCCTTGTAATTTAAAAGTAATCTAGCTGCACATTGATTTCAGCATTCATGGACTTCTGACTTGGATTTGGCTGGGCGGACCTACTCCTCCAGGTGTTCATCGACCAGCATACACGTGGCGCCTTGGTGGGGATATCGAACAGCGTATAAGTGCCCGATGGCTTATTTCCGACTGCCATTTTAGAAGTTTTATAGATGTATGATGCAAAAATACAACTCCGCCGTTGCGCAATAAGGTGACGCGTGAAAGGCACAGAGCAGGAGAAGAGATAAACAGTCGGCAAACCCTCATTTGGGTGTATAGACGTGAATCTTTTAACCCACTAGGCCTAATGGACCCATTGCTTAACAATTCATGCTCTCCCCGCATTGACCCAAGCGAAGAGCAGCAATCGCTAGAATCGATCTTCAAGTGCGTATTATTAGCGTATTAGTCAATATTAGTAACTGTAGAACTGTTGCTTCAGATATGGAAGCTAAACTACGAATGATTGGCCTATATTAGTAATTCTCATATAACACTAAAGGCTTTTTAACATTTGCTACGGAGTACATGCAGCAATACTATGTATGCATGGAATAAACATTGATTGTCATAGCTACTGGAATAGACCTTGCACCAAGCACCAAAGGTTCCCCGCAGCATTTGCTAATAAGACAGGGATACTATTCCTGTATGTGGCGCTTACAGAATTAACTCAAATAAAGATGCAAAGTAGTTATGCGAAATTCTCTTTTTGTTAGTTTTCTCGGTGCACCGAATCCGCATTCGCACCTTACAAGAAGGAATAATAGAAGCTACTTGGTGTTTCTTCGACATGATGTGAAGATACAAAACTATTGATATCATTTTCTCTCAATTCGGAAATTCTACGCTTCGTTTGTCTCAAAAGTACTCCCATCCCATAAGCCCTAAAACTTAGGACTCGAACTGTCTGCATTGGACAGAAGCCTTCTGTGGGCGTAGTAGCAGGCGAACCGTTGAACCTAACACCGTCCTCTTTCTTATCAAGATTGTAGACAATGCTATTTATCCACCGCTGAAATTCTAGAGTAGTTGTTTTAGGATAAACTGCAGGCTCTTCTGCAGAGGCAAATCTCGGCAGCGGTGCAACAGATGTATCACGTCTAACCTCAAACAGATACGCAGCAGACAATGGAGAAGGAAGAATCAGCCCCCTTTCTCCTTTCATTGCCTCAGGAACAGTGATCTGATGCATGCATCCAATGGTCTTTCCGTTGTTCCAACGGGTCAATGTATCGACCACCTTGGAAATCATCTCCGTCGTATCAGTCGGGGTGCTACCCGTGGTGTCTGTGCTGTCTTCAATTTCCAGCCCGCTGGTGTTATCCTGCAATAGAAGAGTGACGGGACCGAAATCTGTATGCGGCGCAATACAGGTGTTGCATCCTGACTGAAGCTGATCTAGGACTATCTCAGCAGAGTGAGTAAGTCTCAAGTCAGTGGCAAGTGGGCTAGACCGAGCAACAAGAAATCCGTCTTCAATTCCCCACGCAACTTCAAGAGCATGGGTCAATGTAACATCGTTGCACTTCAGGTAGAAAAAGTCTATAAAGGCCGGAAACCTGACATGTTATGGGCAGTGGGCCGTGTGTTTGGAAATTCCGTATCGCTAGCAGGGCTCTGATCAAAACGTTCCTATCGGTTAAAATTATGAGCACGACGATACAGAAAACGTAATGAGAGCTTTAACTTTTGAATCAATGAGGATACGAATATCTTCGCCTTGATGCAACCTGCCCACTTCTTCTACTCACCAAGGTGTGTAGCCACGCATAGCCACGCATGGGCCTTTGTCCGATTTCATTTGGAATCTCATTCATAGCCTCCGAGCTATGGTCAAAAAACGATTGTCGCTGGCTGTTTGAAAACTCGGTTAAATAATTATAAATAAATTAAGGTATAGGGTAAGCAGCTGATGCTGTAAGTAAGTTTTTGCTGCAACTGGCTGCAGATTTACACAAGCTGCACAAGGAGCTGCTGGATTCGTCTCTTACCCAGTGAGAGGCAGCAGGAAGACTACTAGTACTACTACTATTATGCAAAGAGCACGCCTTAATCCGTTGAAGGAAACCCTTTCATCCATACGCCAGTATACAAAATAAATCTGCCGGGTTCTATATCTCCTTGGCTCACAGGTCAACATAGGATATCGAACAACATGCTAGCTTTTGCTGTAATGACCTCTGCATTTGCATTATAGAATAGGGAAAATGCTCTAGCTATAGAAGGGCTAAAAACCTATACTGAGGTTCGTGGCATACTCCCACTATCAATAGCCGCCGATAAGAGCGTTGTAAGCTGGCCCTTGCCCATGGTTTTATTCACCGTCATCAGTTTCTGTGCAGCGAATAGACCCGACCTGGTACCATTCGTCAATATATGAATTGCTTACATATGCATCATCCACCAGGCCAGTACAGCTGTTCCTATTTGAATGTAAGCGTCTGATCGGAACAAAGGTGAGGCATGGCAACCCCCTACCTAAATAATTGACAATGAACCCCATCGGCGACCTGAATTGAGCGGACTTGATTCCTGCTGATTTTATGTTAATTCAAGACATAATTTTGCATAGATGATATTACATACAACGGCGGAGCTAGGATAAAACACGCGCCGCTCGACGATATAGTCTTGGAACTGCCTTCGAAGTCGAATCCAGTGAAGATTACGTTATCGCCCTGCGCAGCCACAAGGGCAGCAAGAAAGATAGGGACAAACGTCAGGGAATACATGTCGAGAGCGGGTATCTGGTGCTCGTCAAGTAAAATTCAATAGGGATTGTTTAGCTTGTTATTAAGTAAAGGAAGTTGTAAAGCTAGTTGTGTAAGCAGTGGAAAAGAAAAGGTGAATGAGGAGCGACAGCAAGCGATTCTTATACCAGTACGTTTGTAAGGGAAATCATGTGATTTTTTATGCATGTCTCTCTATACGAAATATGATGTCAATAGGATCAGTATGAGATTTCTTTGGAATTTGAATTTGAATTTGAATTTGAATCTGCATGTCCACCGTATGGCAAGAAAGAGTTGGCGGTCTCAAGCCGCCACCACCTCTCACACACCCCACCCCTTATGCCTAGACAAAATTAGTTTATACCATTTAAAGATGTAGCCTTAAGCGCCAATCTGGAGGCAATTTCGGAGAAATAGGCCTATCCTCGTATAGTAGAATGACATAACTTGGTACATCTGCAAAGACTCAGTTATAGCCCTATAAGTTCGGCGTGAAGAGTTATGCCCAGCGGCAATTCATAAATAGCCGGAATGAGTATCTCGTATATGGTATATAGTGGCTCGTTTACATAGTGGAGAGGCTGCCGCTGGTTCCAAACGATAGGTGAAGCTAGCAAGCTATGTTTCACGAGCATTGGACTGCTTCCGAGACAAGCCTGTCCTCCTATCCTCGAAAAGCAAGATAGAATTCCTGGTTTGGCAGGCCTTCAGTTAGCACTACTTGCTAGGTCTTGCGTAGGAAATTAGTCGGTCTCAACCTCAGAGGCGGCTTTCCTACCCTGCCAGCAATACCAATATTCAAGGCTTATCACTTCTATGTCTTCCTATATATGTCTTAGGTATATTACTAAGTCGTGAGGCGTAAGACGTCTTATAGCTCCATAAGCTTCCGAAGTCTTACTAAAGTGTTCACCAGAAAGAGTTAAAACTAGTGTAATAGTACTAGATTAGCAGATAAAATATTACATGCTCCCTCTCATTACATCACCCCTTTTGCATAATAACGATACATATCAGCCTAGTTATACCATCAGAAAGTTAGGCATTGCTGCTTACCTCTAGGGAAGCAGAATTTTGTAATTCAGATGGTATATTGGCTATTATACTACCCGGATCCTAGTCCTCGCTTAATGGCCTCTAATATATAATAAATTCCCTTCCTATTTATAATAGCTTTCTTTTCCATTTAGCAAGTAGAACTTACATAGCAGAGACAATACCTTTAATTGTACTAGATTAGTAGATATGGCGCTGCTGGACTAAGACATATAGCTCTACTAACGGTAATATCACTAGTGATAAATATTAAAGCAACCCCCGGAGAAACCTTGTCTTAGAGCAATCTACTCGCAAGTGATGAATTCCTAATGCCTAAGACTGACTTATAGTAATGCTTATAAGTAGATTACTTTTAAATAAAGTTTCTTAAGCTGTACTTTAATGCTCATCATTAATAATATTACAGTCAGTGGAGCTATATATTCTAGTCTAGTTATAAGTCTTGGTAGCTCAACATATTGATATATGTAGGGAAGAGAGAACGCGTACGTTGTGTTTGGTTAAGCACTAGCGGCTTTGGCCTTGCATGGATTCTAAGCAACAAGTGCTACTGTCCAATTTACATTTTCAAGTTCCACTAGTTGATTTGCGTATGTACAATAATGGCGTATATTCTACGAGCATTCTAACGAACACACCTGGTTAGGGTCTCTACTAGAAGTCGAAACAGAGATGCCGAAACAAGAAGGTGTGTATCTCACTCATGAATTAGCGTTTCCACTAACCCGTAGCGCAATCTATACCGTTAATATCCGTTCTCCGCAAATCTGAGATCGCTGCTGATGCACAATTATAGTGACGCATTTGGGTGATGACGTATTTACAGGAGTAGGATATCCAAGCGCCGGAGAATATGAAAAAGTCTCATTTACAAGGGAGGTGTGCGGTATTTTCAAGTGCGTAGTGCATGATGCTATACCTTTATCGTTTGGTAGTGCATTTACGTGCATAGTTAGATCGAGTTTACTCAGCCAGAGCAAACTCGACGAGCATACATATAATGGATTACCCCGTTACTCCGTAATTCCAGTGGGATTAGACGGCCATAAATAAATGCCATATGGCACATGCATACTTATGCTCTTTCCCGATCTTTAGCTAAAAAAAAAAAAACAGTCATTGATATTGTAGATGTGGCTACATCAATGGGCCTTATAAGGCCTACAATCAGCAATTCAAGTAAAATAGACTTTTCGACATCAACCGACTAAGCTGCATGGATCTTTCATTATTATCAATGATCGGATAGCTAACACTACTCTATACTCATAATTTTATGCTATTTTCTAGCTATATAAGCCGGAATTATACTTGCGTATCTGACAAGAAAAGGAGATATGTAAGGGGGCGTCATGTGCGTTAGCTCTTCTTTAAGTTTAAGGCTTATTATTGAGACACTATTACTAGACCGCTCCTCCTCTCCTGATCCTCTCCTACGCTACCATCAAGATTCTCGGGCGTGGTACAGCTAGTCAAATATCTCAACAGTATCTTGCATCTCATCACATCTCCGCAGTAAGGGCACGAAAGGAGTGATAGATTGGATACACTAACACGGCATAAGCCGTAAGATCTCCCCAGATACTGTATCAAGACACCAGTCTAGTATCCCATGCCAGAGTTTGTGGCCATCACTTCTAATACTATCTTTTTAGAATCGTCTTCTTTGATTCAAACTAATCCATCTGATTCAAAATGGGCGATACCAGCAACACCAACTGGAATGATGAGACTGGAATTGGCGGTGCGGCTTTATATGATTTAAGGAGAGCTAGGAGACGGCTGGATACTCTCGCTGGCAAACCCAAGTGGGATCTCAGCGACACAGAGGATTTTGATTGCATGCACTATCTAGGCGATGCTGCCCTGGAAAAAGCATGCCGGACATTGGGCATGGAACGTGGACAGACAGTTGTCGACATCGGTTCAGGCTTCAGCGCCACCGGCCGCTATTTGCACAAGCGGTGTGGCGTTGAAGTCACGGGCATCGAGCTACAGCCCGAAATTCACCAGCTCGCCGAGATGATCACCGAGCGAAACGGTCTCGCAGGAGGTGTGCGCTCAGTTAACGCAGACTTTACAAAGCTCACAGTGGATAACCCTGTGGACTACGTTGTCTCGTTCCTATGCATTCTACACATCCCTGACAGGGACACCCTGTTCCAAAAAGCAGCCAGTGCCCTGAAGCTAGGAGGTAAAATCTACATTGAGGATTATTTCGCTCGAACGGCGCTCAGCAAGGAGGTTGGAGACCAATTGCGCGACATTGTGTCTTGTCCTTACCTACCGAGCCGTGACCAGTACATAGCCGATCTGAGAAAGGCAGGATTTCACAACATTCAGTTTGAGGAAGTCTCAGAAGAATGGGCCAAGTTTGTGCACGAAAGAGCAGTCGGCAATCGACAAAGAGGGACAGGCGAGGCACCACTTACTCTATTCTACGATACGGTTGACGCATTGTTTGCCGGTCGTGAGCTCGGGGGTGTGTGCATTACGGCCACCAAAGCATAAGATTTGGAATCGTTAAATTGATTCGGGGAGGGGATTGCATTCAATACACCGGTTTTATTATCCAAACACCCCAGCTGTAGCTAAAGCCATAAACTACTACGATTACATATACCTACACTAGTATCCTACTGCCTCTACTGCCTCTACTGCTGTTTATTATTCTTATGTTTTCTATTTTAGTTAAATATTCTCATGTATGGACTTACTGCTTCGCTGGGTGACGGCTAGGTTGCTAGATAATGAAACTGGGTTGCTGAATAGCAATTCCCTTATATATATATATGATCCGGCTCCATAGCTGCGTAAATGATGCGTCTACGCCTTACAAGGCTGGCGATGTGTGCAGCAGGCCCCACCAGCTGCCAAGTGGTAGCTGCACGTGCCTTTTTTGACACCCACGCGGCCATAATTAGGTACCTAGGTACATAATAATGCTCTGTATGAAGTACAATGCGTCCAATTATCAGACGATAGACTGGCGAAACATCTGCTGGCCACAGCGACACTGAGAAAAAGATGATAGCTTAGTTGAGACGACTGAATATGGCGCACTTGGTATGTAAAAAAAACAGCGGGGTCAAAAAAAGCTTTATATATTTATATATAACAAGCTTTGTTTACCAAGGAAAACGGAGGGGGAATAAAGAAAAAAAAAAAAAGAAGGAGGAGGAGAAGAAAGAAATATGGTCTCTCTTTGGAATTTTTCAAAAAGAAGCAAAAAAAAGTCGCTTTCGAGCGAAACCCCTCGCGGGACTCGAACCCGCAATCTCAAGATTCATTGCAATAGAAGTCTTGCGCCTTAGCCATTAGGCCAGAGGGGCTTAGGAGCCTTGCTAGTTCCTTGTTGTGAAAGCGCTGATGCAAATTATGCCTATATTGTCAACGTGTTGCACAGCTTCAAAAATGAAAAATGGCCGAGGGAAATTTACTTTTATTACCAGGCACTTGAGGCCCTTAATTATAGGTATACAAGCTATAATCCCTTTATTTATATTTAGCTTAATTAATTACAAGTCTCTTTGACGAAGACTTGGGTCTTCACCGGTATCCAACCCAAGTATCTAATACATAATAATATAGACTTCCTTGGCTGCTTCTTGAAGTTGGTTATCAGACAAGTTGCGGCTCAAGAACATTCGCCTGGCCTATTATACTATCAGAGGTGCTTGTTGTAGAATCAATTTCCATGTCGTTGAGTGCTCTGAGCTTATATTCGGTGTTGGATAGAATAGTTTCCGTGTAGGCCTCATAGGGGATGATATTGGATAGAGATGTCCAAGAGAGAGCAGATGATAAAGAAAGCAGTATAAGACAATACAGTCGCCACATCCGCCCCCTCCGTAGTGAAATAAAGTCCATCACATTATAACTGCTCGTAGACATACCACTGGCTGTCACCAAGGTCGCTAGAGGTATTCTTCGTTGTTGCTCTTGCGGCTTGCCTCGAGACGCGCGGATGGCCAGACGCGCAGAGCCGAACCAAATCACATTTAAGACAGTCATTAGAGCTGGGGCCATGAATCCACTGCAAAGAATGTTGATAGCCTTTGCGGTGCTTTGAGAAAAACGGCCGCCAATCACTAAACCAGCAAATGTCCCGAAGAGCTTAAGTTCCGGTGCTGTAGACGCAAGCCAGGTAACCAGGGCAATCAGAGGTATAGCAAGCGTTGAAAATAGTATTGGCAATCTGGAATACTGAAAGGCGTCGCCGAAAGCCTTTTGGATCGTGTCGAAAGTCGGATTTGTTCCAGTACAGCTGCGAGCTCGTTTTGCTAGAGGGCCAAGAGATTCATGATACGCGGGATCTTTCACATCTTTTCCCGCAGAAAGAGAATGGGGCGGCAATTGGCAGCCTTCTTCACTTGATCCGCGCCTTTTGAGATCGGAAATCCGAAGAAGAGGAGAGTAATCCGCCGTTGGGAGCTTACTCGACTCCATATCAAGCTCCTCCAAGCGTCAGTGTTAGATTGCTCCATTGCAACAGCTCAATGTGCCCAGTTTATGTACAGAGCGCGACAACAGCAATGATAAATGCAGTCAACTTCGTCTCATGGGCACAGGTTGTGTCTCCCTATAGAGTTAATGGGTTGGCTCACAACGTTACTCAAAAATAAATTAACTATCTGGTATTTATACTTCGCGGCTAGGAGAGTATCGCTGGGAGAGGAGTACTACCATCAAAAGTATGGTAACGAAGGAAGGCTATGATTAGATAGAAAAACTAGTACTAGTTGGCTTAAGTACATGTGGACATGGTTTATACAATTTTCCTTTACTCTCAGCATCTGACTTTTCATGACTTCAGTAATCCTTAGTTATTCTGTAGCGTAGAAGTAGGACGCCCTCAGTCACACATGAATATCATCAAGTAGCACTAACTCAGTATGGGACCTACTAATGTTAATCCTATCACAGCACTACACTCATACAATCATGCATTTGCGGCATTTTCCGCCGAGCAGCGTCTTTGTCTCGTATTCTATCAACGCATCCTAGTACAGCGTATTGTGCTACTCCTATTACGAGAAATATATTGCCTCCGCGCCTATATTGTTATTTTTGACAGATAGATGTTGATCTTTATCGCACTAAAGGAAATCTAATAGATTCAGTTAACTCAACTTTGTATACTGTCCAGTAATATTTTCTCCTTCCCTTGATTTCGACATTCATCTCCATTGAAGTAAGCTATTGTCATTGTACTGTTACGACCCAACAACCATAAGATACGTACCCACGGATAAACTACAGATCGACGGGCCAATCAGAAGGGGATTACTCATAGAAGCATAAGCCATCCCTAATGGATTACAAACACTAAAGTAAGCCACCCTAGAAGGATTACAATTAAGATCGTAAGCCTTATAAAATAACTTACTATATAAAAACTATTTATTATGCTTATTAAATAAAAACTTAAATAGTTAGTTATTAATATAGCACTTTTAAATAATAATTAAATTAGTTATTTATAACCTTATTAGCTATATAACTGCATTGCTTATAAAACTTTAATTTATCTTTCTGCTAATATAAACCTAATATTAAGTTTATAAATTAAAAACCTACTTTATACTTAAGTATAATAGTATAGGTTAAGATATTATATATTAATAACTCTTATTTAAAAGATTTTTTAAAATCTTATAAGTAATTAAACTACTATAATTAAAAATAATACTGCAGCTTCTTAAATTACTTTAGCACTTGCTATAACCTTTAAACCTATTAAACTTATTAATGTAGATAGTGATCTTGCTATAAGCCATAAGCCTAACTAAAATAATCTAGAGGGAGATGCTTTAAAGAAATATCTTTAAAATATATTTTAAATTAACAAGCAATTAATTAATACCTTAAATAATAAGAAAAAGGAAATTAAAAAAAATATAGAAATCTTTATTAAGTAATAATTACTTTTTATATTTAATAAAAAGATTAGTAAACTTAAATTCTTTTAAATTTAACTTAAGGCTTACTTTATAAACTTTAAAAATATAATTAATATTAAAGATAAAAAAGTTTTTTTTGCAGTATTATATCTTAAAGGAACTATACTTAAGTAATTCTAACCTATATAGGATAAATATTTTAAAAATTTAACTAATCCCCTGCCTGCTATTAAAAAAGTATTTAATAACTTTAAAAAATTTAAAAAAGAATTTATAAAAGCATTTAAAGATATTAAAGAAGTTTAAATAATTAAAAATAAACTTATAGAAGTATTTTAAAAAGGAAAATACTTTAATTATACTATAAAATTTAAAGACCTTACTTTTTAAATTAAATAAAGATAAGCTATATTTATTAAATAATTCTATAATAAACTTAAGAAAAGCATTAAAAAAAAAGTCTATAATATTAACTAAATTTAATATAACCTCCTATCCTTTATTAAAAAATATATTAAAGCTAATAATCTTTTATATAAACTTAATATAAGCACTTGTAATAATTAAGAAAATAGAGGTAGAAATAATAAATAAATTACTAAAGATAATAATAATACTCTAGAACCTATAAACATTAGCATAATTTAAAAAGATAATAAAAAAAAAGACTTTAAATATTATAATTATAGAAAGCTAAACTATATAGTAAAAAACTATAGATTACTTAAAAAGTCTACTATTCTACTACTAAAAGATAATTATACTATAGAAAAAGACAGCAAGACTATCTTAATAATAAAAAAAGACTTTATAGCAGAAGAAGAAAATAAATACCTTTATTATTAGTTAAAAGCTAAACTATTAAATAATTTTAATATACTAGCTAAAGAATTTAAAATACTTAACTAATAAACAATCCCTTAAGAAGACTTTTAATTAACTAAAAATGTAGATAAAGTAAATATTAAAATAAATAAAGATTTTAAATAATAAAACTATAAATATAACTATAAGTATAATAATAATATTTAAAGATAATATAATAACCTAACCCTAGAAGTTAATTAGCTATTTAAATTTTAAAATTATATTATTAAAGCCCAAGAACTTTTTAAAAATAATATTCCTTTATTTCTATATAAATAGTTATTAAAACTTTAACAGCAAGAAGTAAAAGAATAACTTATCCTTTAAGCTATTATATTAGACTAAGCCCTATAATAAAACCTTAGTTATAAAAGAAAATTTAAAGATATTAATTATATTAATTTAAATTATTTAAGATATTATTATATTAGCTAGGTTAACTGTATTATATATTAATATATAGAATATTTTAATAATAAAAAGAAGTATAATACTTTTTCTATTAAAATCCTATTTCTTTTTATTACTTATATATACTTTTGCATATACTTTTTATTATAAAATATTAAATAAAGGTTTAAATCCCTTAAGGTAGTTATCTTAAAAGAAGGAGAATGCATAAAACTAAATAAATTTATAAAAGTCTATAAAAAAGCCTTTTATAAATATTATAAAGCTTAAAAACTCTTTATATAATATAAAAAAGAAAATGCTTAAGAAGAATGTAATAAAATTAATTTTTTTAACTATAAAAATCTAAAATGTATATAATATGCAGAAATTAAGATTTTAAACTAGTATAATTTAAAAAATATAGATAGTCTTCTGTAAAAGGGCAATAAAAAGACTTAAAATATATTATATCTTTTAAACTAGATAATAAATATAATAGTAAGGAAGAAAAAAAAAGAATATTTAAAAAAATATTATATAATGTATTTTTAAATAAAGAGCCTTTTATAGTTTTAATAGACAGTAGGTTATAATATAACTATATGTCTGCTATAACTGCAATATGCCTGCAGTTATTAGTATATAAGAAAAAAAGAAAGTATTAATTATAATATATAAAGGGAGTGCACTTCCTTTATAATAATAAATAAATTAAATAATAAATTAATTACCTATTAGTAAATATTAAGAATTATATTACTAGAACTATATGCAATATAATTAATATTCTGTAATATAACCTTATTTTAAGGATATTTTAGTTAAGTAAATATAATTTTAATATAAACTAGAAAACTAACTAGATTTATTAATAAAATAATAAAACCCTAGAAAAAAGAAAATTAAATAGCCAGAAGCTTAAGATTTTCCTTAAGTCTATTATAATACTTCTTTAATATATTAAAAAAAAAAGGAAAATATTAGAATAAAGAATGTAAAAATATATTGCTATTTTATGCTAAGAATTAATGCTACTAGACTAAGAACTTAAAAAAATTAAATAATTTAATAATCTACTAGCATAAGTTTTAAAATAATATAGAAAGTATAAAAAACTCTTTAAAGAATAATTAAAAAAAGGACTTTTACTATATTTAAAATAGGACTATAAAATAGTTTTAAAAGATAAAGCTTTTTTAAAGTTTTATAAGATTTATAATTTTAATAAAATAGAACTTAAAACTCTTAAAGAATAAATTAAAGTATAATTTAAAAAAGAATATATTTAAATATTTAAATCCTTAATTAAATACTTTATTATTTTTATATTAAAGAAAAATAATAAACTATAGTTAGTTATTAATTATAGGGAGTTAAATAAAATAATTATTAAAGATAAAACCCTGCTATCTTTAATTTTATAAATTAAGAATAGACTATATAAGAAAAAATAGTTTATAACTCTTGACCTTATAGAAGCTTATAAGCTTATAAAAATAAAGAAAGGATATAAATAGATAACTGCATTTATAATAAGATATAGATTATATAAATACTTTATTATGCTATAAGGACTTATAAATACACCTGCTTTTTTTTAAAAAAGAATAAACTATATACTTAAACTATACTTAGATAACTTTATAATTGCATATATTAATAATATTTTAATCTTCTTAAATACCTTTAAAGAGCATAAGAAATATATTTATCTTATACTGTAAAAGCTTAAGGAAAATAAACTTTTTATTAACTTTAAGAAATATATATTTTATTTTTAAAAAGTTAACTTTTTAAAATATATTATTATACCTAAAGAAATTTACATAAACCTTAATAAAGTTAAAGTAATTAATAAATGGCTAGTACTAACTATATTTAAAGAATTATAAATATTTTTTAAACTTATAAATTACTATTAAAAATTTATTAAGAACTTTTTATTAAAAGCAATTTTATTTATTAATATAACTAAAAAGAATAAACCTTTTAAATAAGGGGAGGAATAATAAAAAGCCTTTAAAGAATTTAAAAAGGCTATTACTTTAAAGATAATTTTTACTATATTTAACCTAAAAAAACCTATTATAATTAAGACTAATGCATTAAATTTTACAATTAGAGGGGTTTTAAGTTAACCAGGCGATAATAGTAAACTTAAACCTATTGCATTTTTTTTATATAAACTTAATAAACTAATGCTATAATATTCTACTTATAATAAAGAAATATATACTATATTATAAGCATTTAAAGAATAAAGATATTATTATTATAGAAGTAAATATAAAATTACTGTTTATATTAATTATAAAAATATTTTATACTTTACTACTATTAAAGAGCTCTTTAGTTAATAAATTAAATACTTTAAATTTCTATTATAATTTAATTATAAATTTATTTATTATAAAAGTATAGAAAATAAAAGAGCTAATATATTAAGCAAAAGAAGTAACTATAAATAAAATATATTAAAATTTATAGTATAAGCACTATATTATAATAATAAAGGAAACATTAAGTAAGTATATATTTATATAATGTTTAAAATACTTAAAGAAAATCTAATGCTTAATAAAATTAAAGAATATATAAAAAATTATAAAAATAAAGAATATTTAAAAGGAGTAACTATAGAAAAAGAATATCTTAAATATAAAAGAAAGATTTAAGTACCTGAAGAGTTAAAAAGGAATATAGTAAAATATATTTATAAGCACCTGCTGTATAAATATAAAAGAATATAAAAAATATATAATTAAGTTTTTATATACTATAAAGTAATTAAACTTAAATTATATATTTAATATATTATATTATACTGCAGTATATGCTAATAGATAAAAAATAGAAGATATAAACTATATAGGAAACTATAACTATTGCTAGTAGTAAAATAACTATAAAAATTAGTAATATTTAACTATATTATTAACCTACCCTTCTTTATTAAACCCTTTATAAAGGTAAAATATAATAGTATTTTTATAGTAGTTTACTGCTTTTTAAAAAAAGTATACTTCTTGCTGTATAATAAATTACATACAGCAGAAGACCTTATTTATATCTATATAAAAATAATTGCTGTAAATTATAGACTACTAAAAGAAATAATATTAAATAAAGAATAAATATTTATCTTTAAATTTTAGCAAAAACTTATGGCTAAATTAAAAATAAACTATAAATTAAATACTATATACTACCTTTAAATAAATAGATAAATAAAATATATTAATTAAATTATTAAAGTATACTTAAGATATTATATTAACTTTATATAAGATAATTAAGTAAAAAAATTACTAGTAGTATAATACTGTTATAATAGTATACTTTTAAAATCTATAGAAATTATACTATTCTATATAAACTATAGATTTACACTAGAAGCATTTAAACCACTATAAGAAGGACTTAACTTTAAAAAAGTAAAACTGTAAGTAAAATTAATAATTAATTTATATAAAGAAATATATATATAACTTAAATTTATTTAAAATAAAATAAAAAAGTATATAGACTAAAATAGAATTATAGAACTAATTCTCTAGAAGGGGGATATAGTTTATTTATTATAGCACTTATAAGGCTATAAATTACTAAACATTAAGATTAATAAGCTAAGTAATAAATTAAACATTAGAAAAATAAAACCTTATAAAATTCTTAAATAAATTAAAGAAGTTAATTATAAGCTAGCGTTATTAGATATAATAAAGCTTTAAAGCCTAGTGTTTTATATATTATAATTAAAAAAAGCATAAGTTAATGAACTTATAGAAAGACTTATTTTAAATAAAATTATTATTAAAGATAAAGAAGAAAAATATAAAGTTAAAGAAGTACTTGCTATATACTAGAACTCTAAGATTAATAAAATAGAGTACTTTATTAAATAAAAAGGATACTTTAAATTAAAGAACTTATAGGAACTAAAAGAATACTTTAATTTTTAAGAGTTAATATAGAGGTTTTTCTATTTTATAAAATTAATAGACTAAGGTTTATAAACTCCAGGCTAATGCTAAAGGAGGACTAATTAATATTATTAAAGACCTCTATATGCTAAAGATTATTTACTATACTATCTTCTTTATTTAACTCCTGCATTTTATAATAAATTAATTTACTACCCTGCTCTTTTATTTTACTTTTTATATAATAAATATAAGTCAGATGGCTTACTGCCTTAAAAAGCTTAACTTATAATTTAAAAAGCTAAAATTAAAGGGACTTTAAAGCTTTGCCTGCAGCCTCTTTTTCTGCCTTTAGCTTTTTTTATTAATTTAATACTTTTATTACTAAAACTAAAATATTAGCAATATAAATAAATATAGGAATAAAAGCTTACCTATAAAAAGAAGCCACCAGGACTTTATTATAAGAATAACTGCGTTTAATATATTTATAATAATAAGAAAAATCCTTTACTATTTAATAAGGAATCTTCTTCTAAAAGCAATAAGTATATAGTATATTAAAATTAAAACTATAAAAAAGAATAAATAATGCAAGAAGGTTGTGCTTATGGGTTTTGCAAGGAACTGACTTAGATATTTAATTAGTTATTATGCTATTATTTAAAGAAGCAAGTTATAGATAATAGGAATGGGAAGAATAAATATATTTATAGATTATAAGGACTAATGTATGCTTGGCCTTAAGGATAAGACTAATAAGGAGGGGATATTGTATTATGACCCAACAACCATAAGATATATACCTATGGATAAACTATAGATTAATGGGCTAATTAGAAGGGGATTATTTATAAAAGTGTAAGCTATCTTTAATGGATTATAAACACTAAAGTAAGCCACCCTAAAAGGATTATGATTAAAATCATAAGCCTTATGGAATAACTTATTATATAAAAACTATTTATTATGCTTATTAAATAAGAACTTAAATAGTTAGTTATTAATATAGCACTTTTAAATAATAATTAGATTGGTTATTTATAACCTCGTTAGCTATATGACTGCATTGCTTATAAGACTTTAACTTATCTCTCTGCTAATATAAACCTGATGTTGAGTTTATAGATTGGAAACCTACCCTATACCTAAGTATGATAGTATAGGTCAGGACGTCACATGTACCCTTTTCCTTACAGGCAACAAGACCTATACTTCAGCATCCAGACGGCATGCTGCATATATTGTGTAAACAACTATTGAACTAGCTTCTTAAAGGTATTACTTCAGGCAATCAGTAATAAGAATAGCACCCCCAAATCCCCCCATTTTAATCATAGAGTCTTCCCTTGTGAATGCAAAGCCGAAGTTTGCAACATTGAATTCGCAAACATTCTAGTGTAAAGTTTATTATCCAAAATACTTTTCGTACTTCCAACAAGCCGCTTCTGCTTGATCGGAATTTCATAACCGTTGATTGGTCAATGGTCATGTGATTGCCCGGTTAGCTCAATCGGTAGAGCGTGAGACTCTTAAGACACACGTTCTGTAATCTCAAGGTTGCGGGTTCGACCCCCGCATTGGGCTTTTCCTATAACAGTTCGATTGAGACGAAGTGGTTACTTTTTTTGCGTATCTTGGCTTTTTTTTTTTTTTCTCCTTCTTTTTGGCTAACCTGTAATAGCGAATGGTGAGTATGAAAACGAACGATGTTTGCCGTATCTTGCCCTTCCTCGTTTTATCTTGAATGGCTTAAGCGTATCATATACCCTCATTCTACTTGTAAGTTAATTTTTGATAGTATCGGTGTGTAGAGCTAGCAGGCTAATATCGCTTGTAAGCTCTCTGCGTATAACTATGCATTTGCCTCCATGTTAATTATAAATCAATGTTGTTGATACTACTCTCCCCCAAACATAAAGAACTAAATTTGGTGCATATCTCATTCTTTCGCTTAGCAATAAGATCTAGTCATTGGTTGTCTATGGTCAAGAAACCAAATTTAGTTAATTGTTTAGGACACGTTGAGACAATCTTTCTACGCGTTTCTCCTGCAATTAAACCCAGTGTCTGGGTGAGGATAGCTACTCATTCAATCCTCTACCCTGTATCAAATACTTAGGACTATGGATTTCGCTGCGCTGCACCCAAAACACTGCTCTTCTGCGAAAAGAAAAATTAACCCGTATTCTAGAACACGTCCCAGCAAATAAGGTGACAGCTTTAGATCGATCGGATCAGATCCGTCGACTCTTGTTTTTAGTGGCCGACGTGCCCCTGGCTGTGCGTGGTTCGATAGATATCTGGGTTGGGAATAGATGCTGCTCTTCTAGGATAGAATCGCAAATAGGATTAGAGGCACAACTTGGACGGATTGATGTGGGAGTTGCGTCGTTTTGTCTTAGTCCCTGGGTCGGAGTTATGGGTGAATTGCCTACCACGCACTAGTTAGTCGTATCTCCGACTACCGCTTGCCCTCGGAGGATGGTCTGGCGGTCTATTTATTAAGTTATGTAAATTTAATAAATTCCATTTTATCGAATTTATCTATTTATTTATTTGAAATAAAATAAATTCAGATTCCTTGACTCATGTTTTACTGGCTGAGACCGCTATTACATAACGATTATTGGGGTGGTTGGTTGGCCATGGCGGGGTCACTTGATCGTTTCTTATCAGGTGGAGGAAGAGATAGGAAAAAGCGCAAGGCTAGAAGCGGCTCTGAGGGTCTCCAACGTCATATAGCGATTTGAGGCCATTGTGGTGAGAAAGACGGCTGTGGATTCGAGTTGCAATAGGATGCAACTGCACATGGCCAAGATCATAACCTCCTGCTCGATAGGGTAAACTTCATACGCAAGAGTCTCTGGACGCGTTTTCCGAATAGGTGTAGTATACGGAGCAAGAACTGTATACATGCACATGTAGCTATCAAATGCCGAGGGGTGTGGGCAGGCAGAGATAAAGCCTCTTGTGTAAGGGAGGTAAGTATCTTGTGCGCGGAGGCTGGCTGCATGGTGGATGTGGTTTTGTATCAATTCCAATAAACCATATTTGGCATCAAACCGGCGTTTCAGCAATAGCCATTCCAGGCTCTCGCCAGCAAGAAACGCTGCCTCCTCTTCCTCTGCTCGGGTGCATCTCATGCCATGCTCAAAAGTCCCGGCGGCCGCCCCCCGTTTGAATGCCCCGCGGTGGAGCCCTCCGGACGCGGCGGCTTTGCCGACTGAAGCCTTTTCGCATTATTTCCCCTTGCCCTGCCCTGAGCAAAGCGACTTACTTATATAGAGTCTCTGTTTTCCTCTAAGTTACTAGTTCGTCCCTCTGCTCAACTCCCCTTTACCTCTAAGTTACTAGCCCGATCCGCCAGCCAGAGACAGACGCGCACACACACGCACACATGGATTCGAGCGCCTCTGGTTGACCTACCAATTGTAGGGGCCTAGCCCGCAGGCGAAGTGCTCAGTCTCGGCCCTCAGACAGTGGCAGCAGCGAGCAAGGCGCAGGCATGGCCCCCATCAGAGCGAAGAAAACGGGCCGCCGATTGGGGAGGCACATGTGGCCGGAGGAGTATATTTACTGCTGCTGCTGCCCGCCTGAATCGCAGCCTCAGTTTTTCTCTCCTCCCCAGCATCACTCTCTACAAGCTTCCAGCCAGCACTCTACTTCTTTTGCCGCCCTAATAGACGGAATTTGAGTCCTTACGCATCTATATTTACTTCGACTGCAACCCAATCGCCCAACATGAACACCAGCACCGTCAAGAGCCGCTTCCTCACGCACCCGGAGGATCTCGGCATTGTCACCGTCGGCTTCTCTGGTGGCCAGGTACGCATCTATATTTTCCTCTTCTTTTTTTGGTGCAAACCACTTCAAGCTCGAATGCTGACTTGTCTGTATCACAGCCCAAAGCTGGTGTAGATGCTGGCCCTACCGCCCTCATCGAGTCTGGACTCTTGACCCAGATCCGAGAGGAGCTTGGCTACAAGCTGCACGGCGATGAGACGGTCAAGTTCTACAATGACCTCACACCCGCCTCCGACCCTGACTACCGCGGCATGAAGAACCCTCGCCTTGTTTCAGCTGTCAACCGAAAGATTGCGTCTGAGACATATGAGCACTCTTCCAAGGGCCGCCTCACGCTGACCCTCGGCGGTGACCACAGCATTGCCATTGGCACCATTGCTGGTACCGCCAAGGCCACGCGCGAGCGTCTGAACCGCGAAATCGCTGTCATCTGGGTTGATGCGCACGCCGATATTAACACCCCCGAGACCAGCGACAGCGGCAACATCCACGGCATGCCTGTTGCTTTCCTCACTGGCATTGCCAAGGAGGACAAGGAGGAGTGCTTTGGCTGGATTCAGGATGATATGCGCCTGAGCGTGAAGAAGCTTGTCTACATTGGCCTGCGCGACGTGGATGCTGGCGAGAAGCGCATTCTGAGAGAGAATGGCATCAAGGCCTTTAGCATGTTTGACATTGACCGGTAAGTCTATGGCTCCAAAAAAATACCGAATCAAGCCCGAGAGAGGAAAAAGCTAACCATCGTAGACATGGAATTGGTCGCGTCATGGAGATGGCCCTTGCCCACATCGGCAACGACACCCCCATCCACCTGTCTTTCGACGTGGATGCCCTCGACCCCATGTGGGCTCCCAGCACTGGCACTCCCGTCCGAGGTGGCCTTACCCTGCGCGAGGGCGACTACATCTGCGAGTCCGTCCACGCGACTGGCAACCTGATTGCCATTGACTTGGTGGAGGTGAACCCCAGCCTTGCTGCTACCGAAGCCGGAGCGCAGGAGACAGTGAGAGCGGGCTGCTCTCTTGTGCGCTGCGCACTTGGCGAGACTCTGCTGTAAGCGAAATACGTGGTTAGGGAGCCTTTTTTTTTTTTTTTTTTTTTTGTCTTTTTCTTTTTTTCTTTTTAAATGTTATGATTTTTTTCTTTTCTTTCACGATGAGACGGAAATATGGGAATGGGAAATGGCATGTTTTGTATATCCTTCTGCGAGAGCAAATTGGCATGCTGCGTTGAATGATTGCTCTTTTTTAGATATTCATAGATGGAGGAATGCCAGAGCCTGGAATAGAATAGTGTAATGTTCATTCTACAAAGGTCAACTTCACGGAAGCTTATCTGCTAAAAGTGTAAATTTGAAAATGTTCCATTGTATGTCTATCTACATCGCTTTTTGGTTTCGAGCATCGGCTCTTCTATTCGCAACGCTCTCGTAAGAAAATAGGCCCCTCCCCTCTACGTCAGCCGCTTAGTAAACCTCAAGCACGTATCGGCCTTCCTCCTTTAGCCTCTCAATCTCCTTGGCCGGATCAACTTTCTTGCCAGAAGCCTTGGCCTCGGCCGCGATAGCTTCCTTCAGCACCGCCGTCACATCAGGCACAGGCCATGTCGGGCCGCAGAGGTAGAAGCTGCCGCCCTCCTTGACGTACGCCTGCACAATGTCGTCCAGAGTCTGGCGCATCCTGTCCTGGATGTAGATCTTCTTCGGCTGGTCTCGCGAGAAAGCGCTTCCGACGAGGGTGACGACGCCGGCGGCGAGATAGGCCTCCCATTCTTCACCATACAGGTACTCTTCGCGCTGGTGGCGGGAGCCGAGGTAGAGGAGGATGGAGCCAATCTCCTTGCCTTGGGCCTTCTGCATGGCGCGGTACTGCACAAAGGCGCGGAAGGGGGCCAGACCAGTTCCAAGACCGGCCATGATGAGGGGCGCGGAGTCCTTGGTAGGCAGCTTCATGACGGAGGGCTTCACCGAGACGGTGACAGAGGCGCCGGGTTGCAGGCGGCGGAGGTAGTTTGTGGCCTGGCCGACACGAGAACGGCCCTTGGTATCAACCCAGTCGACGACGACAATCATCAGGGCGACGGTGTCGGGAGTGACGGCCTGGGCAGAAGCGATGGAGTACTCACGGCGCTTGAGCGGGCTGACGATCTTGACCAGATCGTGGAAGCTAGGGCGGGCGGAGCTGAACTCTTCGAGAATGTCGACATAGGTCACAGTGTCGATCTCAGTGCGACGCTTGAACTCGGCAGCGCCGTCATTTCCACCGAGAGCAGCGAGCTTCTTCTTCTCGGTCTCATCGGTAGCAAACTCGGACAGGGCCTCGTAGAAGCGCTTGGGAGGCTTGCCGAGGATATCGACGTTCTGCATGAGCGCCTGGTACACAGTGCGGACCTCGAAGACCTTGACATCCTCGCGAGAAGGCACCTGGACAAGCTCTGCGGGGTTGAGGCCGTAGAACTGGATGAAGGCATTGATCTGCTCCTCATCGTTCTCGGCGTGGATGCCCAGAGCCTCACCGATCTTGTAAGTGAGACCAGAGTTGCCAATGTCGAACTCAATGTGGAAGATGTTACGGTCGTAGTCTTGGGGAGTGAGACGACGGTTCTCCTTGACACGGACGGTGGCGGTCTTGACGGAGAGGTCAGGACGCAGGGTGGTCTGGGTGCCGTAGGCTTCCTTGAAGACCAAGCCCTTGGCAGCGATCTGCCAGTCTTGGAGCTTCAGGTCGTCCTCGGCCTCTTCCTTCTGGAATGGAACAAAGCCAGTAGGCTGGAGGCCAATCGGCAGAGAGGGGTAGACGTAGTCAGCCTCGACCTCTGCCCATGTTGCTGGGATCTCCAGCTGGGTCAAGACTTGGTCAAGAGCGCTGAGGGATTCTTGCAAGACAGCTTGACCATCAGCCACCTTTGCAAAATCCTCGGAAGAGGTCTCTGGCAGCGCAATCTTCAAGAAGGAGAGCTCAAGCAGGAGCTTAGCAACTGAAGCATCCTTCTCGAAGGCAGGGGAGGCGGCAGTATCCAGAACGAAGACGCTGATCTCCTTTTCTTGAACAGTCTTGCGGAAGGCAGGTGAAAGTCGCTTTTCAGCTTCATCCACCTTGAAGTTTGGCAGCTTAATAAGAAGCTTGCCGCCGGGAACGAGGCTCTTCAGGACATCAACGTCCTTCAAGACCACCTCGTCGCCGACAACCACGACGTCAGCTTCGTTGATGGCATAAGGTGCTTCCAGAGCAACCTTGGATGCGCGCAGATCCGTTCGGACAAGGCCTCCCTGGGTAAAGTTGTCATATGTCTCAAACAGGTGGACGTTGTTGGTTGACTCCTGAGAAAGGAGAGTGCCGATGGCAGCGGGGGACTTGGCGGAGACAGAGTTGTCAACATCCCAGAAAGTGAACTGCTGGGACTTGATGAGCGAGGGAAGAGGCTTGGCCTCATCATCATTGCCAAAGATCTTGTGCAGAGTGCTGACAAGACCCTGAGGAGTCAGGAACTGAGCAGGAGTGTACTTGATGTCCAAGACCTCGGGCTGCTGCTCAAACTTGCCGGCGAATGTGACGGCGGTGAGGACATCACCGTACAGAGCAGACTGAGTGGCCTCATCTGCTAGGGCAATTTCGCTGTGAACCTGTCCCAGCACGGCGATGGTGCGAGCAGAAGCGGGGATGGCTTTGAGGAAAGCCTCCTCGATGAAGGGTCGGTAGACGCGGACGTTGATAACACCAACCTTGGCTCCGTCGGCAGCGATCTTGTTGAGAGTCTCCTTGGCGACTTGAGCCTCAACGCTTCCTAGAGCAACAAGGACGACATCGGGAGTCTCATGTCCGTAGTACTCAAAGGGCTGGTAGACAGTGCCAAGCTCGTCGTTGAAGAGTTTCAGGAGTTCCAGGACCTTGCCAGCAGTGTCGAGGTGCTGGTTCAACTTGCCAGCCTCGGCAACAAGCTTGTTGTACAGATTGGCGACGCCAGTCTCGCTCAAGGCATCGACGATTCTCAGTGTTTCTCTGGGGAGACGAATACCATCATAGATGTGGAGAGTGGGGACGACGGTAGCCAGGAGTGTTGCGAACAATGACATGTGTTGAGACTCATACGAAGATGAGCTGGCAACAAGGCCCAGGCCAAGGTCTTCAGCCAATCTCAGAGCAACATCGTAGTTGGAGACGAGGCCCTCGCTGGCGCTGTAGTCTGCGGCAGCGATGTGTGCCACAAAGGGGCTTGAAAGGTTGTAAAGGAGGGAGAGCTGATCTAGGGTTCCGCGGAGGTTCTGGAGAGAGCCTGAGGGGGCAAGCAGCGTCTGGGGGATGTGACGCTTGTTGACGTCGAAGTCCGGGGAGAAGATGTAACCCAGAGCGAGAGCGCCGGCACCCGTTCTGGTCTGAAGAGGCAGAACTGAAGGGGCATATCCGTGGATGTTCTTGCTCTCATCGGCAGCCCACTGCTTCGCAGCGACGTCCAGATCAAAGGTGTCGGGAGAGTAGGAGAAGATCTTGTCAGAGAGCTTGTAGGCAATCTGCTGGACAAGAAGCTGGGCCGTGACATACGTCGGGCCAGAGATGGCTGACAGAGGCACCTGCTTGCCGAAGGGCAGCGTGGCGGATTCCTCAACCTTGGACGGCATTTTCAAGATTCGAATGCAAGCCTCGAAGGTTACGATGAATACAAGCAGCCCCTACGTCTGAATTAAACTACAGACTGGAAAAGAGAGAGAGAGAGCTGAAGGCTTAAAGGAGGAGAGGAGGAGGACAAAGAGGAGGTTCTACGAGGAGCAATTAAGCCCATGGGAATCGTGGATCACCCCGGACGGGAGCCAGCCACGGATTTGTCAGGGTCCATTTCTTTAACAAACGACTTTTTTTTTCCTGCTTAAACCCCGTGAATTCTGCTTCATTTGGCCTTGGATCTTGCGCTTCCATGAAATTGTTGATACTGGCACAGAATCACGCAATTCACTTAGACCGCATTGAGTTTAGCATCGATGATGCCACTCGCCGAAGCCTCTCCGAAAAGACGGAAAGCCCCGCCTTTGGGTCGATTCAGAGACGTGATTGGCCCGGACTGTCGGGCAGGCTTGTTATGCAGCGACCGACTTCCGAGAGGGTATTGAAGACGTGATGATGATGGATATAATTAGCTTTGCAGAGAGTACGGAGTATGTCTGGGTGAGTTCTTCCGGGCTATGAGAAGGTGGAAGGCGAATGGTGCGATGAGTGCTGTTTGAACTTCATATCGGCTCATACCTATCTATATAGAGATGCAGCGAGATGGAGCAGCCGAGACGAATGCATGCAGCGACCATGTGGAAAATGTCCTAATCCAGACGGATAGGCCTATGGCTGTGGCGATTCCGCTGGGCGTTTGAATTTTTTTCTTCAGATTATTCGAGAATGCGAGAGCACAGTATGAAGCGGCGGAAAATAACTGGCCTCTGTCTGCGTAAAATTGTTAGTTTGTACAGTGTTGTAAGACGACTGCCAGTATCAGCTTGTTGTTGTATTATGAATGTTGTATGGTATTACTTGGCGTTTGAGCAGCCATTGGCAACGACTTTCAGATGCAAAGTATTTTGCGTGTAGCACACCTCATACAACAGAACTCGTGCCATCTATTTCGTCTCATATATAATACTGAGCGTCAATCTTAAAAAATGTCTTAGTTAAGCAAGCTACACAGTCAGCATGGAATGCGTCTGCAAGCAGCTCAACCCAAGCAAGTTGATGCTTTGTCATAGGTACATATCGCCACGTGACCAGATTACACTTTCGTCCTCACCTCAGCTTCACCTCGTGTCCGCACAAATGCCGCGGTGCTGCAATCGCCACGATGCACTAATCGTAGCCGTAAATCATTTACATGCTGAGGGAAATGTGCCGTTGATGTCGTCACCGATGCATTCAGGCTATCAAAAGGCAACGCGATATCAGTTCCTCTCCAGCATCGCCACGTGTGACGCCGTGCAACGCCGCAGACAGCCGACAACTGCCCTTTTGCGGCGATTTCGTGCTTTCCAGCAGCCCTCCATGACCAAGTCTGACATGCAGTGACTCGCCATGTCTGCCAAAGTGCCACCAAATACGAAGTACAGCTACATTATGCGCCCTGTTACTGCTGGTAGCTGATGACTGTCACCTCCCAAAAGGGATCCCTGCACGCTGCACTCCTGCGACATTTGTGCCGATTTTAGCGTCAAAAAGGAGACCAGGGGCGCTCAGAGGTGCACTTTATTATATATTGTAAGCCACGGCTGCCAGCAGTCAAACAAGGTGGCAGGTTCTATTCTTCGTTCTCTAAACATCTGGCTTCCGTCTTGAGTTGCCTTTGCTTGTTATAATCCGGTGTCCAAGATTCATCTCTCTACGACCCTTATCAATCTCATCACCCAGCCAGCGGGGGTGTTTCACTAATACCAAATTTTTGTACAACAACAAACACCCTTGATCTTTATCAGAGTTCCCTCGTTTAGAGCGCCTTGCATCACCACGGCAGTAATATCAAAAGCGCATCCTACATTCGATACTATAATTAATTAAATCGCCGATTTGGTGCAACCGCACCGCAGGTTGCACACGATGGCCTCGTCCAATACCGTTACCACGGCCTATCTGCTAGGGAACCTCCACTGCCCTTCATGTGTAACTCTCATCAAGACGCTTCTGCAGGAGGAGTTTGGTGACAAGGTTGTTTGGGTATCACCAAATCTTGTGACGTCGATCGTGACAGTTGAACATGTTGACCACTCACCCGATTTTGTGCGAGCTATTGGCATGACACTTTCAAATGTCGGGTTTGAGATTTGTGGAGTCGATACCACTGCCACCGGCGCTGAGGAACTGAATGACAACTCTCGAGGGGATATGGCTGACACTGGTGGCCTCTTTGAGAGCTGGTCCAGTCTTTGGGCCCAGAAGCAGCCGGCGCCAGTCCCAGAGACTATCAAGGCCGCTCATCTGGAAAACTGCGAGGCTTGCAAAGAACACAGACCACATGATGGAGAGGACGGCAGCAGCAGCGTTGACCATAAGGTCAAGTCGTCATTCTCGTCCAACAGCCTACGAAAAGAACTAGTTATCGACACAGTACCGCTCGATGGCGTCGTCACAGGCGACGGAACTCAGCCCCCTATATGGAGAGCGACGGTATCTATTGGCGGAATGACCTGTGCGGCTTGTGTTACCACCATAACGGACGAGTTGCAGAAACTTTCTTGGGTGTTGAAAGTTGCTGTCAACCTTGTTGGAAACAGCGCCACAATCGATTTTGTGGGCGCGGATAGAGAAAGGGATCTGGTCGAGGCGATTGAGGACATCGGGTACGATGCTGCTCTAGATGCGGTGGTTAATCTTAATGAGAAAAAGCCTTCATCAGACGAACGACATGTGGAGATTAGAGTCAGCGGTATCTTTTGTCCGCGGTGCCCTCAGAGAATCAACCAGACTTTGAAAAGCTTTGGCGCCCATGGTGTACAGGTTCTGGCTCTCCCGTCTATGGAGCATCCCATCTTGAAATTGCGCTATATCCCAAACTCGCCGCAATTCACCATCCGGCACATTATAAGAAGCATCGAGGCCACAGATCCATCTCTCCGAGCAAAAATATACCACCCGCCGACGCTTGAAGAGAGATCCAGGGCCATCAGGGCAAAGCATACCCGACAACTTTTTTACAGGGAGATGTTGACACTGGTCCTCGCCATTCCAACATTCGTTTTGGGCATAGTCTACATGAGCCTTGTGCCAGATTCCAATTCCACCAAGCACTTTCTGATGAAACCGTGGGTATCTGGCCTCAGTCGCGTAGAGATAATACTTTGCCTACTTGCTACGCCGGTGTACTTTTTCGCGGCTGACGTCTTTCATGTTCGAGCCATAAAGGAGCTAAGGACATTGTGGCGACCTAGCAGCCGGACACCTTTCCTGCAGCGATTCTACAAATTTGGCAGTATGAACATGCTCATGTCTCTCGGAACTAGTATTGCGTATTGGTCTTCTATCGGTCAGATGATCGCAGCGGGAGCTGAGGGCGATGCCGACATTCCTGAAGATCGGTTCTACTTCGACTCTGTAGTCTTCCTCACTCTTTTCCTTCTGGCTGGCCGGTTGATCGAGGCGTATAGCAAGTCCAAGGCAGGCAACGCTGTTGAAGCTTTGGCAAAGCTAAGGCCAACCACTGCTCTTCTTGTAGAGCAAGATAAGCTGAAAGGCCAAGTTACCACAACGATAGATATGGATCAGTTGGAACACGGCGATGTTATCCGAGTGCCTCACGGCTCATCGCCGCCCGTTGATGGCATAATCCTGGATGGCGAAACAACTTTTGACGAATCGAGTCTTACTGGCGAATCACGCCCCATCAAGAAGGGCGAAGGGGATGAAGTATTTGCTGGTACCGTCAACAAGGGTTCTGCAGTAGTTGTCAAGGTGACAGGAACTTCTGGCAAGTCGATGCTTGATCAGATAGTTGAGGTAGTCAGAGAAGGGCAAGCCAAAAGAGCGCCGATGGAACAAATAGCCGATCTTCTGACATCCTATTTCGTCCCTGTGGTAACTCTCGTAGCCATCATCACATGGGCCGTCTGGATGGCTCTTTGCTTTACCCACCAGGTTTCCAGCGACGAATTGAATTCGTCGGGCGGCTCGACCTCCTTTGCCTTTCAATTTGCTATTGCCGTGTTTGTTGTGGCATGCCCTTGTGGACTGGGTCTGGCTGCCCCAACGGCGATTTTCGTTGGAGGAGGTCTTGCAGCCAAGCACGGTATTCTTGTCAAGGGTGGCGGTGAGGCTTTTGAAAAAGCTAGCAAAGTGGGCTGTGTGGTCTTTGACAAGACAGGAACCCTCACTGTCGGAGGCGAGCCTCAAATCACCGATTCTGCTCTATTCCCTGACGGATCTAGTGACGGGATCGACGAACGGATTCTGCTCTCCGCTGTAAAAGCTACAGAAGAAAACAGCAGCCATCCCATAGCAAAGGCCATTGTTGCCTTTTGCAAGACCGGCGCAGAGCAAATCGAGCTCGAGCAAATCGAAGAGTTACCGGGCAAGGGCATCAAGGCAAGCTGCAAGAACCAGTCCTTTGACATTGCAGTGGGTAATGAGGGTCTAATGAGAGACTTGTCTGCCTCTCTGTCTGATCGTGTTCAGAGCTTGCTCAATACGTGGAAGACAGAGGCCAAGTCAGTTGCACTTGTTGCGACGAGGCTACGTGACGGCGATAAATGGGCAGTCTCGGCTGCATTCTCAATCTCCGATCCCATCCGTGAAGAGACTCTGCCCGTGCTTGAGGCATTGCAAAAGAGCGGCGTAGAGGTCTGGATGCTCTCAGGTGACAATGTGACCACTGCGCAGGCTGTGGCTCAGAGGGTGGGCATTCCTGCAACCAATGTGCTTGCTGAGGTTTTGCCGTCCGAAAAGGCGGCCAAGATTAGCTACCTCCAAGCCTCGATGCACAACAGCGGCCGCCGTGCCATGGTCGCCATGGTGGGAGATGGCATCAACGACTCGCCGGCCCTCACGACGGCGGATGTCGGCATTGCCATTGGGTCTGGCAGCGACGTGGCTATTTCGAGCGCTGACTTTGTGCTAGCCACGTCAAACCTCCACTCGGTGCTGACGCTTCTGGATCTCAGCCGCGTCGTGTTCCGCCGCATCAAGCTCAACTTTGGATGGGCAGCGGTGTACAACGTATGTGCCATTCCTATAGCCGCGGGATGCCTGTACGCAGTTACGACATCTAGCGGCTCACACGTCAAGTTGGATCCTGTCTGGGCGTCGCTGGCCATGGCCCTGTCGAGTATCAGCGTGGTGCTAAGCAGTTTGAGCATGAGGACGAAGATTCCATGGCTAGGATTTCGTAATAAGCAAGTTGTGTAATTCTACGATATACGCTGGATGGGTAATGCGGAGGATATATCACTAGTGGTAGTGCGAAGGAGTTATCATGGGTACAGTGTCTTACACAGTAAAGATACGCTACAGACTGATTTTCATACGAATGATTGATATTAATAGTAGTTTGTACTAGTATTCACATGTTCTAGCTTATGATATTTTATAGCGATAATATCTAGTTTTTATCATCTTACTATTCTCAGTGCCTATGATGCTCCACTCAAACCGTTCAGGACCCCTATTGCCTACAAAAATAACAAAGAGGAATGATTGAATTAATCTTAAACAGCCGGCGTATAGTTAAATTACACTGGTAAGGACTAAGAGCGCTGCCTTGCGGCCTATAGCGAGGCTCAGGATTCATAGGCCAGGCTGGGACCGTTTGTTTACTCGCAAGGCTATACTTGAGATACCCAGCCTGCAAGGAACTGTCAAGGTTAATACGCAATTAGTATTGCAGTTGGCGCCAAAATGAGTTCTATTCTATGCCGGATACGAATGTCGAGGGACTATGGGTTATACAGTGCGAGCTTCATCTCCTCGTCTACTAGTACCAAGTTCCATTAGCTTTTAGCTTCCTAGCACGCTGCATACCAAAACTGCACGTAGCTTCACTTCATTAATGTCGCCCCATGTACTGATACTATCACAAACTCTCAAAGTGTATACTTTACATGTATTCTCGGATTTAAATTGTGCCGTTAATGAATTCCATTGCATGCGAATACCTACCACCATTCGAGCTGCGGGGTAAATCTTTAACATTACAGAGTGAATCTCATCTATAAAAGCCCCGTGCCAAATACACACGCCATGAATCACATACCAGCAGAAGCGTGAGTTTGAATAGCTGACTATTGGATTGAATATGACTGTTAAAGGCAGCTTTGTAGTATTGCCTCGTCCGTCCCGTTCCGATTTCTTGTTGGCCCAAACCGGCGAGAATTCACTATACATTCTGCTCTCTTGTCACACCAGTCACCCGTACTTGACAAGTTAGTAAATGGAAGCTTCTCTGAAGCTGCGGAAAAATGTGTCACGTGGGATTCCGTGGATGAGGATACCTTTATCAGATTCTGGCAGTATGCCTACACGGGAAAATATACCCTTGATCTCTCGATAGCTGGACTCAAATCGGAACCCCAAGCCGCTCAGGAAGCTGAGGAACGGACTGCTCAAGAAGCAATAGAGGCTGCCACGATCGCCAGAGAGGAGAAAGAAATCGTACAGCTCGTTGTGAAGAGGGACAATACGCTACGGGGCCTATCAAGCAAGGATGAGAGAAGGCTGGTTGAGCTTCAGGCCAGGGCCGCAAAGAGAGCGGCCCGCGAGGCCGAGAGGCGCGCTGAAATCGCCGAAGAGGAAGAGGAAATTGCTGAGCTACTACGGATGAAAGACAGGAGACCCCCGCTGGCAGTAGAAGACCGTGAACGGCTGATCCATCTGTTGGAGAAGCAACTAGCCCGGAAAATGGAAGAACAAGCGGCGGGCGAAGTTGAAGAAGAGACTCCATCAGGGGAGCTGTCAAGTCGAGAGGTTCAGTGGAACACATTCAAACGTCAGGGAGCGTCTGCCTCTTCTGGAGCGTCTTCTTCAACCGGCTTTGTGAAAGGGCCACCGGCCAGACGCAACCAGGCGCATGAAGATTATACAAGCACGTTCCTCTCACATGCACGACTGTACGTTTTTGCAGAATGCTACGGTATTGCTGGATTAATGGAGCTTTCACTGAATGAATTGCATGGGGCCTTGGTAGCGTTTACGCTATATGAGGAAAGGATTAACGATGTGGTGGTGCTGGTGCGTTACTGCTATGACAACTTGGTTCCGGACGCATTGAGAGAGATGATTACTCTGTATGCGGTGTGCAAGATTGAGAAGTTGTGGGTGAGCGAGGAGTTCCAAGTCCTTGTGGAGGCTCATGGGGAACTATCGAGGTCTTTGATTGGACATATGGTGAAGGCGTTGTAATGTAATGAAGATGAAGTTGTTACTTTTCTGCTATGTTGAGCGCAAGATTTTGGTATTCGATTGAATGTCAAGTATGAAATATGAAGAAACAATGGAAAAGTTAGCTCTACACGTTTTCATATATACATATATACATATATATATATATATATATAGTCTACGCTTGTTTCCCTCGTTTCCCGCGGCTCTAGATGAAATTAAATAGTTGGTATATATAATACAAGACATCTGAATTGGATTCAGTCGGCTCTCTCGTAGTTGATATAATTCATCACATACTCACTCGTCATGAAAGCCTTTACTATCAGCAGTTGAGTTATACAATATGTAGTGATGACGGTATCATCTGCGTTAGAGCTGCGTGGTGTATCCAGCCGCGCGCTGCGCCTTACAAAAAAAAAAGCCCGTTCAAGAGATACTTGTGTGACATGTACCTTCAAAGTAATACTAAATACACTCCCCCTTTGCAACAATATATTTTAAGAAAATATTTAAAGAAATGAAAAGAATAGGCGGCAATCTAAACAGTGAGATGCAGCGGGCTCATTCTTGGGGGTGGAATATTATTTTTCGAATTTTGCCCAACGCAATAGTAGTGCTATTCGATAGACGTTGGCCCCTGTTAGGAATGTTCCTTGGGGGCGGCGCAGCAGCAAAAAAAAAAAAAAGTTGGATCGGGGAATTCTTCTGCTGCTGGCTAGCTGGTGCGAGCAACCTGGTTAGGCGTAAGTGTATTGGGGGAGAGGAGCTGAGCTCAGCTGAGATGGCAAGCAGGGGTTGTTGGCGAATGGGATTGTGGAGATGGAATCGATTTTGTGTTCCTTCTTTTTTTTTTTAGTCTTTTAATACTGAACTACTGCTGTACCATGGTATTGGTACTAGTGATAGTGAAATGCAGGATAATGATCATCATGCAATATTATTACCAGCAACAACAAAGCTAAAGGGGGGCTGAAAGAAGGACCCAACAACGTTTAGTTTATCTTCCTTCTCATTATACCACGGCATGTTAACGCATCAGTCAGTTGCGGTGATTCATCCGGGCCATTTTGCTTGTTTGCTTTGCGTGCATGAATTAATAGCCCTTCACAACACCACCATGCATTGATTGATGCGAGAGATGGAATAAAGTCCATATGCCACGCACCAAGCGCGCGTATCAAGCAAACGCCAAATTAAGATACTCTCTCTATATTAATGGTTATCCAAGGCTATTGTGCACAGCAAACAAAAGCTGTCATCACAACTGTCATCAAAAAGAAAAAGCATGACACAACAGCAAAATCTAATCCACTCATGGGCTCTGTTTTTTGGACCCAACCAACCAACACCCATTCCTTCTACAAGCTATTGAAAAAAAGAAGAAGAAGAAATGAAGGAAAGAAAAATAGTCTCATTCCTTCACGAATAATACTAGTAATTCGCATCCTTTCTTGTTCTGTTTCTTTTTTACTTCGCCCTCTGTTAAAAAAAGAATTGCCCAATTTCCCATCTAGTCCGCATTTCCAGTGCCTAAATCCAACACCTTCTGACGCTGGAAATGGTCCAAATAAGCCCAGCCTCGGAGCCGAATACTCGCTGACTTACCCGACTTTTTCCTCATTGAACCTGTCAGAACGTCCCAAACTACAGCATGCACGCACCGGAAATCAGAATCGCCCGTCTCGGATTTTTTTTTTTGTTTGCCTCTTCCGCGGCAATTGCGTTATCTACATACATGTACATAGTAGTAGTAGTATACGAACACGATATAAACATGGAACTTACGCTTTTAGATCCCGAATCAAAGCCACGCTCGCCTACGTGTAAAACCTCCGCGATCCCGAAACATCAAACTTGCGTCATCATGTTCTATTCTCAAACTATATCCGATCATTTTATTTTATTTTATTTTATTTTATTTTATTTTATTTAGTTAGGTTATTATGTATAATCACATTGGTAATTGCATACGTAGACACGGCGCAGCGCAAAAGCCAAGTCTCACTCTCCGCAGGGCTGTACTCTTGAAGCTCCGACCAGATTTTTTTCGTCTGCCTGGCAAGGGCCAAAAGTCTCATGTTTGCTTGTCAGCAGTTTTTTTTTACCGTGTTAGCTGTCAGTATTTTTACTTGTTGGTGAAGACACGGAACACGCAGCATTCACATTCTAGTCACGCGAGCGCTGGAGCTAACGGACAAGTGCTGACACCGAGGGATGATCAAGTAAGCTGCTTTGGGGCTTTCTGATATTGATGGAAATAACCAAAGTCTAGAGAATTGATTATCTAAACGTAGTCTGTAGATATCTCTTTCAAAAAAAAAAAAAA